ATGGCAGCGTTTTCAAAATCTTGTTTTTCAACGTTTGAAATGTTTCAATTTCAAAGGAGCATATTTTAAAAGATCTGTTTCAACAGCTTTTCAGAAACCTTCACTTTTAAGAATGTTTTTCCGTTACTGTGGATACAACTTGAACAAAATTGATGAATGGCTACTGGTTTTTTTAGAAAAAGAAGTAGTGAAAACGAGGCTCGCTTTAGAAATTACAAACTTAATAAAGAAACTTGCAAATTTCCTGGAGTGAGGTCAGAACAAACAATACGTTTATGGGAAAAATAAGCTAAACGGAGAAAGAAGAATTGTCGCTTTTGTCTGGTTCGAACCCCGAGCATAGGCAGGAAATGAACATAATTTAACTCGAATTTTTCTAACAAAGTGCAAACTTGTATCAAGCAGAAAAACATAAATTCTACTCCAAAATGTAAGTTTTATGGTTCTAGAGGCCGTCTCAATATTTACATATCATGCAAACAATTTTTGGTGGTTTATCGATCAACAATGGCTTTGAAAAAAGCAATAATTTTAAAACAAAGTATAGCGTTTCTTCTGACACTCTTCAGAGCGCAAAACATCAGGACATAGATTGAAGCTCTAAAGGTAGGGAAAATAAATACTCAGTTGCGGATCAAAATAAACTAATATGAGATTGAAACCTGTGTTTGTAAAGCCATAATGCTTTAAGTTGTTGTGCTTTGTTTGATGATGTTTTACGAAATCAGATTTCCATCGAAATTTGATCAACAATATTGAGAACGCTATCACTGCAACAAAATAAAACGCTATCACTGCATTTTTTTACTCTTTCGGCCAGTTCATAAAACATTGTCCTCAAACAAAGTTACGTTGAAATCAGAATCACATATAGGCTCTAAAAAAAGGGAGGAGGCAGTCAGCGCTGCACTCCAAACTCGAGGATTTGTAGGTATGCACAAAAAATTCTAGATTCTAAGATTGTTATCTATTGTCCCAATGTTTTGAACTTACCTTAAACGCAATTTTTGTCTGCAAATCAAGGAACCCCCCCCCCCCCCCCCCCCTCCGAACAATATTCTATAGATTTGAGCTGAAAACCGCATAGTTCAACAGAAAACAGCTATCCACCAAGATTCAGTGTTTGTAAAAAGAACTATTGTAAAATGGCCTTTAGTATAACTCAGTATGCTTCATAATGTAAGACGTGGCTGACTGATTGACTCCACACATGGCTGACTTCGGGAAAGCTATTTTAACGCAATTGTCAACTAAAAACAGTTAAAAGAACAGAGAAGCACAGATGTTTCAAATTAAAATTGGCTGACTTTGTAATCAAAAAGTCAAATAATGTTATTTTCAAACTTATGACAATAAGCGGGAGAATTGATCTTCGTTATTTAAAGACAAGCCTTTCTAATTTAAAGATATATTGGTCATTGCAAGGCTATGGATTGTTTAATTCGGTGCTTCGTGGAATCTCGCAAGATTTAGATCGTGATAAACACTGCTAAAAGAAATAAGAATTTAAAGAACTCTATTGATATTTGGATGGTTTTAAGAACATAGCGATAGATGTTGTGACGATCACAGTCATTTTAAGACAGTGAAATGGTTAGAAACCCGGTCAAACAAGGACAAATTTTCATGTGACATTCAAGTTTCACAAATTTTTTTGCAAAACGGTTCCTAGTCTACCCGCCATGTCAAATGATTAAGGTAAACAAAACTTTGTTATAAAGATGATTGACGATTGCATGTGACATTTCCTGTTGTGTGACAAATGTTTTCAGGGACGCTGAAATGATCAAGGGGCAAGGGGTCTTTTTCAATTTGGTATTCTCTTTGACTGAACAAGGCTAGGTGTGGCTAGGTTTGGCTGGGTTTGGCTGGGTTTGGCTGGGTTTGGCTGGGTTTGGCTGGGTTTGGCTGGGTTTGGCTGGGTTTGGCTGGGTTTGGCTGGGTTTGGCTGAGTTTGGCTGGGTTTGGCCGGGTTTGACTGAATTTAGCTTGGACGGAATATTCGAGTTTCTATTGTATTAAACGAATAATTATCTTTATGCTTATTGCTAACACGGTTTGAAGATGGTATAGAAACAGCTCGAAAAAAGAGTTTATTTGCAAAGAAGTTGAAACTGGCAGCCAAATCCTACAAGACTCACGTGAAAACAATAAGCATGAAAAATGCTTTCTAATGCAATATTATAAAGCGAAGTCAATCGAATGCTGAAAAGTACCTGCAATTTCATGTTTCCTTTGTGCTTGAATGTAAATCAGATTGCCTTTGGACGGGTACATGCTGCTTTTTAGTTGGCCTAGTGAGGGCTTAGCATGGAGCTGTCTTGAATATTATTGCTTCGTTAAGATAAAATTGACCCGAAAGAGCCTGAAAGGAAACTCATTGTCCTGCCTAAAAAGGCTGCGCTGTGCGAGTCCCGATACTTATGTGCATTCTGCTTACTACAATCCTTGCCAAAACCTCTTAAAAAGCCCCATGACAACGCTATTTCTACCTTTTAATACCACCCAATCTCTAACATCACACACTACCAACAACCTCCCCCTCCCTTCCCTCTCCCCTCCCCTCCCCTCTTATTCGTATTTGCGTGCAGCACAACCTCAAAAAGCTTACTTTTAAAGTATGCTTCTCGTTTGCTTTCTTCTGATTTGTCTGACGTTTTCTTAACCTATCAACATTATCTGGCGGGAGGTGACGGCAGTATTAGCATTTGTGAAAATAAATTGAAAGTATCAGTATTTCAATTTTAATTTTGGCAGGCATTGTAGGGAAAGAGAGGAGGAAGGAGGTGGCCATAAAAAGTGTTGCCTCTTTCCTATTTGTTAACTCAAAGAAAAATATTTAATATTTGTTAATTTATATGAGCAATTCAGAGACTTTCATTGGCAGCATGACTATCACATTTATAATTGCAATTAAATCTAACGGTTAAAACTCGAGAGATTGAGTGCAATAAGATAAGAAATAACAATTAAAAAATTAACAATGTAATAGCTTTGCAGATTAAAAGGCTGTGGAACATGTGGAAATAACAAGATTTGTATTGCAAGTATGATTTTAGAATCATTCAATAAAATTAATGATAAGAAATATAAAGGAATCAATTATCAAAGTTAATATTCTAAAGGCAAAAAATTATCATAATTAGAATCATGATTTTTAAAAAAAGTTTGATAATAGTGACTCATCAAGTAGATTAGTGTACATTTCAAAGCTGGTTAATACAGCATGATCTTAAATCTCGATCCATGAAGAGCGAGATAAGATAAAGTGATTAAATTGGCTATGTGGTGTAGGATGTCCCTTGTGAGACAGATTTCACTGGTAGCCTGTTTCCTGATAATGTTTTAGTGAATAGAACAGTATAATTAGCATAAGCTGGTTTCAATTCACTGATATGAAAATCTTTCCACCTGCTTCGGTAAGCATATCAGACAACACCTTATGTTACCAAGTTATTTCAGTTTAATTCTAAGGTGAATAGGGTTGATCTTTACAATAACATCGCATGACGCTAGCAACAATGGGGCGAGGCTTTAAAATCGAGGTTGCACCAAAGCGATTTGGCTGGTTTACAAACTGTTTATTAATAATTTTCGTCATAAGTAAAACAATGAATTAGAGGAAACATAAAACCATCAACGCCGCTAGCATAACTAATGATTTACCTGTCAAATCTATAAAGCTCAAATAAAGATATGCAATTTTAAACATAATTGTTGAGATAAAATAGAAATTTTGCAGTTTTCTACTCCACTGGTAAATTCAAACCTCCCACCCCCTCATCTCCCCCCCAAAAAAAATTGCATCAGTATTTTTACCTCATCTCCCCCCAAAAGAATGTTGCATCAGTATTTTTACCTCTTCTCCCCCCCCCCACCCCCCATAGAAACTTTGGATCAGTATTTTTAACATTTTTGCTTCAAAACCATTCATTACACCAATTCGACTTACGGCCTCGTATTGAAAATTTCTCCAAACTTCATTGTACGACGTTTTTAAGCCCAGACTTGGTTTTATCACCATAATTATAGGCTGGATGCAATTTTCATATTGTTTGTGCTTGCATTTTAGATTTTAAGGAGAAATGAAGTTTGAAAACTTGTAAGGTTGAAAATTTGACCGCAAAAGTCATTCTGGGTAAAACCTTTACCCCGCTTCCCCCCCCCTCCCCCGCCCTAGTCACCAATCACGGTCAATTCCCTTATAAAATTTCCATCTTATCACATGTCATCATAAAGTTAATATCGTGACCAAAACGATACTGAAAGTTAAGTAGATTATAATCCTTGCTCTTTATAGGGGGCTTGTTTTAGTAAAAAAGTCCAAAGACTGTGAGCTTCATTACTTTTTTCGCAAAAAAAACTAGTTTCCAGTTGATGAGACAAATTTTCGTGATTCCAGACCTGACTGCTCTAATTGACAGGGATTTTAGCTTAACCATCTAATAACTTGCCTTAAGAAATTTGTAAAGTTTAAATCAAACAAAATAAAGGTCACTGCTTGTTCGAAGCCTTGGGAATGTTCTGGCAGATGATCGGAAGTCACGTTCCCAGAAGTATAAAAAACAAAGTCGGCAAAGTTTTCTTTTTTCAACATTTTCGAATCTGATGTTCCTAGCAGTAAAAGCTTGCAAAACTGAGCAAAAGATAACAGAACATCAATAGTTTGAAAAGCAAGCTTATCATAAAAGTTCTAAAATCTCCTGATATCATTTGAATTTAAACACTTTAGTATCCGTTTGGGATCTGTCTTGCAATGCAACGTTTGAGATCTGTCTCAAAACAGGGCCCATCCACTTTTTTGCAAATGCAAGTAGCTTTAAAGCTGCAGTCAAAGGAGTAAGAAGCCTTGGCTTCCTACTTCTTTAGCCTTGGCCCCCCCCCCCCCTACTTTCAAATTCGTGGCGCGGGCCCTGATAAAGTAACTGACGACCCAAATTTGGATAGTGGACCTTTTTGGCAACTTTTCTCCGCAGAGGTTATTGGGGAGGGAGAAAGGGAGGGAAAAAGGATAGGATTAAATGAACTGCGGAAGAAAAGAAAAAGTGGAGGAGCTGCGAGGGAGAAAGAGGAAGACACTTCTGTTTTCAACATGGCTCCATTGTCTCCTACTTTGTCTGTAATTGAGTTAGATTAATTGTTCTGCTCCCGGTAGAGAAACAGTGTTCTTCTGAGACATTCAAATTTTATTGTTCTTAGCACAGAACAATAATACTCGACTCAACACTACGTAGGAGCCAATGGAGCCAGGTTGAGAACAGAAGTGTCTGTACAAAGCGGCAGAACCATAGTTTACTGGGAACGTCAGTAGTATTCTACTGAGCATAGGAAAAATTGATATTCAGCTCAATGTCAAATACGAGCCAGTGGAGCCAGGTTGAACAAAGCGGCAGAACCATAGTTTACTGGGAACGTCAGTAGTATTCTACTGAGCATAGGAAAAATTGATATTCAGCTCAATGTCAAATACGAGCCAGTGGAGCCAGGTTGAACAAAGCGGCAGAACCATAGTTTACTGGGAAAGTCAGTAGTATTCTACTGAGCATAGAAAAATTGATATTCAGTCAGCTCAATCTCAAATACGAGCCAGTGGAGCCAGGTTGAACAAAGCGGCAGAACCATAGTTTACTGGGAAAGTCAGTAGTATTCTACTGAGCATAGCAAAATTTATATTCAGTCAGCTCAATCTCAAATACGAGCCAGTGGAGCCAGGTTGAACAAAGCGGCAGAACCATAGTTTACTGGGAAAGTCAGTAGTATTCTACTGAAAATAGAAAAAATTGATATTCAGCTCAATGTCAAATACGAGCCAGTGGAGCCAGGTTGAAAACAGAAGTGTCTGTACAAAGCTGCAGAAGCATAGACTACAGTAGTGTCTGCACTTAGGCTTTGCTAAAGCTGTTAAAGTTGAGGTCTTAAGAATACAGCTTTCCCTCAAAGTAATCAACGCTACATGAACATATTTACCTTAAGGCTTCATTTGATATTCTTTCTGCATAACACGCTAAGCATTTTTTAGGCCAGGCAACGTTATAATTTAGAGGTCCACAGGAGTTTAAACTAGCTTCTATGGCTATCAACCCCACTAGAAAGTAGAAAATTCTACAACTTTACAAACTCGTGACACTTTACATGACAATTTCATAACTAGCAGGTTATCTCAACACTTGTTCTGCATAACCTGCTGTCTATATATTGCAAGTAGGACAACATGCTAACGCGATTTTAGAATGAAACTACCTTGCATAAATATCTACTGTACTGTACATTGAAAAACCATTTAGAGCCACGATAAATATCAAAATTTGTAGGGCATTTTGATAAATAATTAAAGTTGAAAAACCTTATTTTGTGCGGAATCAAATGAATTGAAATACTTTCTCTGTATCGATGTGACAAAAAATCAGGGGTTTATTTTGTCAGTTTAAAATAATTTCTTTTCGGCCATTTCATCTTCAACTGAATGGTATTGTCTTCACTATCTATTTTGCTTTTGCTTTGTTTACGCATATATAATCTTTGTTTCTTCGTTACCAACCAAAAAGATGATTAAGAAAGATAACTTTCAGATAATCCTGAAGAGGCTGCAATGCCAAGAAATTCATGCTCGGTTCTTTGGTCAAAAAGAAGATTATGTTACTAAACTAATTTAAGAGCTATGTTAGCTTGGACAAAAACTATTGTTGATAAAACCCTGATGAGTAGATGTTCAATACACAGTTACATGCTAAGCTTGCAGAGAATGGCCCTATTGTTCACGAGTATTGTTTATGTTTCTTTCAAAACAATTATTGTCGATCGGCAGTGTGAAAGAGAATAGCAATGAAGAATAATCCTTTACATATCGTAGACATTTTGTGTTTTATGTTTTCTTTGCCAATTAAGGAGCAGGTTTATAACATTATGTTTTAGTTATCATCTAAACAAATACCTTGGCAACAGTTTTTTGTCTTTGTTTAACTTTCAGATAATCCTGTATTTCATATCTGATAGTAATGTGCTCGTATTAGTTGCTTTCTAGTTCCAAATTTCTTGTTTTTGTTAACAAAGAGATGTTTTGTACCGTTGCTTTCATCTGAACAGTTTATGTTATCGGTAACAGAAGCATCCTTTGTTATGGAAAATGAGAAGCATACTCTTTCAAATGATCAAACGAATAACTTTTTGCTAGTTCGTCAAGAAACTTATCTTGCGTTTTAATAAGCTGCCCTAATTTTAATCCCAGTCCATCGAGTAAGTTGTTGTTTGTTTATGAATGTTTCGGTCATGGAAACTGCAAACAATGCCATATTTTCTTCTGCACAACTTTTCGTTATACTGAGAAATTCAGCGTTTTCACAAGTCTCTTCGCTATTTTACCTGCTATAAACAGACTTTCTAGTAATATCAACTTGAGCATCGCTAAGATGCCTAAAACTGTATTAAATTGCAAAGACAGCAGTTTGATTCAATTATACCTCCAGTTATATCATTTTGAGCATCGCTTGGATGCCTAAAGCTGTATTAAATTGCAAAGACAGCAGTTTGATTCAATTATACCTCCAGTTATATCAATTTGAGCATCGCTTAGATGCCTAAAACTGTACTTGATTCGATTCTAGATTAACGATTAGATGGTTTGCTTTGATTATTAGAAATGACAGGTAAAGCTAAACAAAAGTTACCGGGAACCTTTTCGCTGCTGTTGATTTACTATCTCGAACTACAATTTTGCAAATTAAATTTTCAAATGAAAAAAAAGTCTGTACTAATAACATGAAAAGTTTAAGAGACGAGCAAACATTCATAAACATATTGTGAGAAATTTCACTCTATCTTATCTTATAAAAAACTTGAACAGGATAATTTCAAATGAAAAAACCAGTATTGTCTTTGGTAAAAATATTCTCTGATACGAAATGACCAATTTCAAGAGGGCTAGGTTGCGGATAATATGAGAAATTTGCAGAGATTATAGGCAATCACAAAGAAAACGTAAGGGACATGCGAAACCTTTGCCATAGGTATTATCCGTTGCAGAATAAGTTTCACGGTAATGGATAGCGGTAAACAAGGATCACGGTAATGAAAAAGATTCTAGTTTTGATCTACATCGCAAATTAGTTTTCCTGTTAATAGCATGCCAATCCTCTGCATGAAGCCAAACTGTATGGAACCTGCCCTTGACCATAAAGGCTTTCCTTGCAACTAGCAATGAAAGGCATGCAGCTTAATTGACGGACTCCTGTTATCAAAAAGTGGAAAGGTCAAATATTCCAGGGCGACAAAAAAGTTTCTTGGCCAAGGATATATGAAGCTTATCTGTAAAAATCACCTCTGCTGAAAAATAGCGCACATTATGTTACGAGAGCTAGAAAATATTATTTCATGTTTTTATTTAATTGGTTAACTTCATTATCATTCGCAATTTTGGAGCCAGGAAAGTTTCACATATTTTACAGATTACAAAATTTGAGAGCCGGGTTTTTTTAAAATACACATAACAATAATCTATTTGGGTATTCAAACTATCTATGGGATTTCGTGCTTTCAAAAAATATATTTCTAGCGTTGAACACCGAACGTTGTATTTTATTGCTGATAATCTAAACATTTAACAGTGATTAAAGTGGCGTATTTTTAAACCATTTCTTTGGAAAACAAATTAAATGCATCAGTTTCTTAAAGCTAGCAAAACATTCTAAAATCCAGGTTTTCTTTTGCCAAGGCTGCTATCTGGGATGTAAGTCCCTTGCAAATGATACCTGCATTATTAAATGAACAGGTCTAGCTAGATCTTTACAGTACCAGTTTATTCAATCTACAGAAATCGCTTGTCAAAGATTCCTTTTTCAACTAGCTTTCTCGAAAGGCAACATAGCATTCCCTAGCTGCTCTTCGTTGCAAAGAGCCCACCAGCCAACTGTAGATTTTTCAATTCAAATTCAAGAAAGATTTGCATGGAAATCCCTTCTAGTCAGCTGCAGGTGTACGGATCTCCTGAATAATTTATGAAGGCTGCTTGCTTTGAATCCAGCTCTTGGATGTCTTTAGACTCATGTGTTTGAGTGATAGTTTGTTTGTATCCAGGGACACAGTTATTGCGTGCCGATCTTCATCGGTTCAGACTTAAAGGAACACATTCAATTTACTAGACATGGTATTCGGGCATCACATACAAAGTTTAACTGCATGCATATCAAGCGGAAATTAAACAATTCTGTTGTTTTAGTGCTAGCTTCATTTTCGTGGTTCTAATTGGGTTTTGGTGAGTTGGTTTTTGTTTTTATCCATGCCAAATTTGCATCTCGCATAAACATTTTGCTTGCCTTTTCATGAATTCTAACGGTTCTCCGGAATACATCAAAGTTAGCTATCTTTAAAACGGCCAAGAATCTTTAATGGCAAAATAGTCCTTTTTTAAAATCAGTTCTTGAATTTGAGGGAGTTGCTACAGTTAATCAAAGCATGGAGATGTGCTTATTCTGAACAACTTTCTTGATTATATTTTATTCAAGCAAGATAAAAATGGTTATGTTTTTGATTATATTTTATTCAAGCAAGATAAAAATGGTTATGTTTTATTCAATTATATTTTCTTAGTTTCACACATGATGCCTAATGGCTGGAGTATTCGATAGCTTTTCTTCCCAACTCTTCTGATCTGCTCTCCTCTTGTGCAATAATGCAATTCTTCTCTCCACGCAGTCAAAATATTGGAATTTACAAAATGGTCTGATTTTCTTTCCAGAAAGCATGATATTTAGAAAAGCCACAAAATTGGAATGCGCTTGTAAGAGATTGGCGTCGGTTGAATATCAGCATGAACTCTAAGGAAATATCTACCGCTTTTTATAGTCTTGAATAATATAGAATCGGTTTTTCCAGACTTTGTTTCTGAAATACGTCTCTTTGCATAGTTTACGACAAAAGAAACGCACGAAAGTATAAAAGTAACTAAGATTACTGAGGTAGCCCCTTCGATTCTCGTTTTTACTTTCACCTAATTTAATGCTTAATCTATTGTTTTACGATATAATCCAATTCTCTTTTCAGGCAGCGCTATTATCATTGATAAGTGCAAATGGCATTATTTTGCAAAATAGGATTTAAGAACTAATAAAAAGAAAGTAATATATCTGTAAGCAAACAAAGCCTTGCTTGCACCTTAAGGACATTGCTGCCACTTGAAAAATTTCTTTCCAGATGCCTGTTTGGCATTCACTGGGTTTCATCCTTGAAAATACCTAATTGATAATCCTTATAGATTGTCGGTATTCTTCTGTAAGCGATTTATTACTACAGATACCTGTCTCTAGGCGATATATTATTCCCTGGTGCATACCTTCCTGAATAATTGAAAACTCGTCCATTCAATGCTTGTTAAATTTTGCAATAAAGACGTCCCTTGTGAATAGTTCTTTTACTTTTTTGTTATTATTTGTACGAAAAATACAAACAGTTTAGAAGTAACTTAAAAATTGCACCTTCACTGATCAAACGCAAGGGCAAGCAACATTATATATTCGACATGATTTAACCTGCTAAATAGAGCTAGCAAGACCGATGCATTCCGTTGTTTGTTTAACAACCTGTGCAATTACAATAAACTGAGTTTGCGTTTGCAATACAGACCAGACAGAAGCGAAACTCGGCTCTAAATTTATTCATCTTAAGAAATCTTTTCCTTTCTGCAGCTTTTTGCATCCAGTTTTTGTGTTTCATTTTTGCTCGGCTGTATTGCTTGATAAAATCTTCTGATCTAAACTTCGAGTTGATAGCTGCGGCAACTAATTGTGCCGCTATCAGCGGACTCGAATAATTAAATATGATATCTGCATAATATAAAGCAAATTGTGGAATAATAGCTCAAATCAGGTACTTTTCACTATACAATACCTTTGATACACTATTCATAGCCTTCTTACAGTAAAGACTGCTATTTTAAATGTCTACTTGTTCTTCTATCGTTAAGATCTCAAAGCGGCTATTGTGCCTTAACACTTCTGTTGTGAAGCTCAAATTGACGCAACACAAACGTGATTTCATTTGCTTAACTCTGGAAATTCAAACACACCGAGTTTGCGTTTGAATATCATATGAAATAGGAACATTCAAATGTGATTTAACCGGCAAAAGCCACATTACGCCTACCCGATGATTATTAGCGAAAATTTTACGTTAAGGGGAAATTTTACGATGTAGAGACAGCAAATTTAGTTAATCCGATTAGCTTGGTATGTGGTTCGATTCATAAATCTCGACAGGGTTCATCAAAAGAATGAAGTGGTCTTCCTGGTTTTTTGGTCTTACCATGGCAAGGTTTTCTACACTTTACGGTTTTAAAATCGAGTTATTGTGTAGTTCCGATAAGCTTTCATAATTATCAAGCTTGGCACTATTATGGAGATTGAATTCAGATTACAAGTCGATATAATTGTGTTGAGTCTTGCAAACCTGATATCGATTCATAATAAACCTTACATTGGCCTAGCTCGGCATTAAAAAACTTGTGTGATGTATGTTTTGCCGGTAAAGCGTGAACAACCTGTTTATCGTTCAATGTTTTATTTAGATTGCTGCAAAATAAACCACGCCTTTTGTTATTGTTAGATTCAATGAACGATACCTGAAATTAATGCAATTTGAAGTTGGTAGCTCCTAGGGTCCGTGAACATGGCGTTTTTAAGTTATGTAATTTTCAAATTTACTCAGTTGAGCATTTGCACACCTCGACATCATTTAGAAATTTCGCAACTTTCAGTACTTGTTTTATAATCAAACATTTTTTCTATTAATTCCACTCTGTTGCCATATTCATCTAAAAGACTCGGTTTCACACATTACATTAAGATTCACGATTTAATATGCATTTCCCTTTAAAAACATCTGAAAATGAAAGCAGAATTGATAAAGGCAAACACTTGTGTAATGTGCACGCATTATGTAATAAAACAAAGACTCCTGAGATTAAGAGATCACTCTGAGCAATGACACTATAAATTGTTAAATTTCCTATGTTTTCTTCCGTAAAACGAAGTTGATTGCAGCAACAGCTTCTTCGTTGCAATCATTAAAACCTACGCGAAATTCTGCATCCTACTCAGTATTTATTGACGTTTCTACGAGAATTCATGAAGCAAAAGTTGTTCGCACCTACAAGCTTTCGTTTTTATATCCACCCCTTACTGACGTATATTGTAGAGATAGCAAGTGCCCCGCTGTGTAAATTCACTCACAAAGCACTTTAAATGCACATGGAACATATTGATGGCGTGTTTTTCTGCTTTAAGCTGGGTGATGTCTGCAGGTGTTCAACTCCATTTCGCGTTCAGTATCTTCACCATCTGTTTTTTCCTCGTGAATATTGGCAGTAAGCTGATGATCGTCAATAAACTCGCCACCGTACTTCTCACCATCATGCTTGTTCATCATTTCAACCAAAGCATAAAATGAAATGAGCAACTACCCTTCAGTGAACAAATTTAAGCATACTGCACCAAGCCATAAAACAATTGATTAACTACAGATCCTATTTTCTAAATGATATTTGCATCTGTTGGCAGACTGCATATCGAGTACCAAAGTGTGATGTCGTCAAAACATTAATTTTTGTTTGTTGTTTGACCACCCTACTTGTAAGAACGCTACAAAAATCTACTAAAAGTGCGAAAATCGGGTCAACCTGTTGCACAATGACTGTGATTTCTTTGAACTGACCTTTGATTTTGGATTATTGATGTTCTGGCCTGGATTTTGGATTTTGAACGAACACCAATTGACAGTGAATTGGTAGGGAAAGAACTTGTGCACATTTGTTCATATCAAAGTCAAATTTTAACACACAAAACTGATTATGCACATTTATAGGTGTTTCACAATGCACTTTTAGGCTATGTAGCACAAACTTATGGTTATGATTAGACAGATTTTTGTGGCACACATTTTTTAACCCTAAACAGGTGATTTTTGTGGCACACTCTAATCCAATCTTTAACAACCAGTGGTTGCATCGAAGCAATTTACTTCCCTTTGCCTGTTTAAAGCTCTTCCTTCCTTTTTGCAATTGCATTTTATACAATGCAACATAACTGCTACAGAAAATGCAATGGCAATATTTGCTTTTCAATATGGCTTCCTGCCAATTTACAGAATCTTTTTACACCTGCCTCCCCGGGGCTTTCATTCCTGCAACAAAACGTACGATTTTCTGACCTCGTTTTTGGCAACCCTTTCTATGAGCTGGCAATCTCGAACAATCAGAATTGTATAAGGAGTAGCAGTATATTTCTAGTGCTGTATTTGGTAACTACTTTTCAAGCACTAGATATCTGGTTTTTTAACATCCAAGAAAATAATAGATATGAAATTTATTGATTCTCTTCGCAGATCTTAAATGCACATCCTTTTTAACGGACATCTTTCAGCTATACATGTTTTGAATGCACAATTCTTATCGTGCCTCTTTAGGCATAATTTGGCATCCTTGCCACTGCACTATTTATGTCACTTTAAAGGTAGCTTATTTTTGTTTCCTTATCCCATTAAACATTAACTTTGGTTCCCTTTCTGTTTTCCAGAGAATTATAATGTGAAATTTAATTGAGAATTTTTACCAACCCTATCTTCCGAATATTACACTGTGATCCGGGTAAACGTTCTTTCAAATACTATCCAAGCATTTTTTTGCCCTGGTACTTCTATAATGGCTTGTCTAAAAGAGAAGCTTTTCATCATCCATCAAACCTTGTATTACAAAAAATCATTCTTTTATAAGGCAAAAAACATCTTGCAATTTCACTATTGTTTGTCCTCTGATATTTTATTTCTTGAAAAACCATTAATGTTCTTGATAGCTGAACGCAGGTGACAAGGTCTGTATTTTATTGTATTGTATTGTATGGCGCAATACAATACAGACATTTGAAAGATTTATATCATCGTGTTTGCTTTCCTTGTAGCCCAGGTTCTTCTTTTGCCTATGCAATCGTTATGTGTCCCATATTTTACTGTATAAAGAAGTCTCTAAACATTGTAGCTTTGTTTGACGTCATTGCTTCAGATTTCGAGCTATAGCAGTTTGCCCTTTTTGAGCTCTCAAATCATACCATAATCAATTATTTAAAGGTGTACGTAGTCAAATGGAGAAAGTCAACAGAAAAGTTCTGTATTAGTATACGGTTGGAAAAGAATTTACATAAAATATAGATGTAAAAAGAGCATTTCTTGATGAAAATATTTCCTAATCTCATCCCAGACAATTCATTAGTCCCTCTGTCCTTTCACAAAATGTTCAACAATCTTCAATATGTTTTCAGTTTAAATGCAGCTATTTTTTTGTTCTCCGATTTTTCTGAATAAGGGTCTGCAATGTCAAAGTGATACCCATAAAATGGTAGTTTTTCATAACTTTTTCACCTAAGCAATTTGTGACTATTGGGAAATGGTTACCACGATATTATCATAAAGCAACTAAAAAAAATTCTAGTAAACTCTTGCTAGGAATTTTACTAAAATGCAACTTCTGATTCATTCCTATTTCAAATCTTCTTTAGCAAAAGTTTAAGAAGCATATGAATGGGTCATTTCCTCTTTGATGTTTGGTGATGTTTTACATGGGCCAAAATGTTTGCAAATTTAATCATTTATAATCAAAATAGCTTGGGTTTAAAGAACAAACGTCATTTTCCGCCTAAGAGAATGCTTGTTTACATTGATATATTCAGGACTTAGAAATGATAACTTTCTCGATCTTCATAATATTACCAACTATAGAAAACTGTTGGTTTCGAACGATTCAAATTGATAAGAGTATATTAACAGGCAACTGAAGAAATCTCCAATGTTTTGACACATATTGTAAAGGATTGATTGTCTCTAAAATATTTGTTTTCCACACTTAACTTTTGAAAACTGGCTTGCTTTTTAATGCAAGTCATTTAAGATTTTCTTATCTTACGAAACGAGTTATTTGTTATCATTTTAGATCATCAGTTAATTTCTATAAAAGGTTAACATAGGACCCGGTCATTTTGCCAAGTCAGACCGTTAAAAACGCAAAAGTATTGAATTTTTAACAAATATCGCGCTACTTCTGACGTAGAAGAAGATAAAACTTGCAGGTGAAACAATCTCTTGCAAATATTCAAAATCTACGTTTAGCCTTAAACAATTTGGACTGGTATCCAAAATAAAATTCAAACTTTTATTTGCTTTATGCAAGACATGATGCAACAGATTTATGACTGCGTAAACAGGTAACGAATAACGAAAGAAAAAAAGTCCCCTTAATGGTAATTTTTTGACTGAGTTTCCTTCATGCTTTTTTTTGACTGAGAAACCAAAGACATTTTCAACTTCATTGAAAGATAGACGGTGGAAGCTGTTGCTTCCAGTTTTTGTGCTCATGAAGTTTTGTTTCTGGGCTTCTTTTATTCGATGATGCAGTTGCAAACTTTATAACGATTGGTTTTTTTATGGGAAACTTGTGATGCAAGCTTAAGCCATTCAATTTTAATGTTACAACGAATTTTTGGCAGATATCATTTGAATTCTAATCGTTTGAATTCTTCTTCGGACATTAATTTGAAGTCAGCAGACAGTAATGCTCTTCGATTGAGGGTATTAGAAGACCGGCAATGAATCCTTTTAGTTGTTACCATGACATTATGTTCAAATTCAAAGATGTCCTGGAACGATTTGGTTCCAAGTAAATCCCACTTTTTGAGAAAAATTGACATAAATGATTCATCTGAAGGTTTATAATTTTGCTTTTCTATTCAAACTGAATATTTTTCCAGAATATAATTAAAGTTCTAACGGGCTCCCATCGAGTTTTGCAACGATATCAGTCTCAGTTAATGGCCTGTCCGTAAAATTAAAGAAAACTCTCTAACAAAAAAGAATAATTACTGCTTATTTTCAAAATAATATGCATAGCTTGTTTTAAGCTCAACAACTCTGTATAGGCCTTTCTACTTATACTTGATAAAACAATTTCCAACTTACACGAAACAATGACAGAAAATTATACAAAACTTTCTTCAATATTTATTTTTTTTGAATAGCTATTGACAATATAAGTAATCGCTTTTAATATTTTGTTCTAGGCCGTTAGGCGCCATATACAAAATTCCGACATGATGATGGAAAGAGATAATCTGAACTTAGCCAAAGAGCGGGTGCTTATAAACGTTGGCGGGGTAAAGCATGAAACATACCGGTCGACATTAAAAATGATTCCGGATACAAGGCTTGCGTGGATCGCTGAAAATAAAAGTAGCAATTTTGAAGGTTTCGATGCTACAAAAAATGAGTATTTTTTTGATCGACATCCTGGTGTTTTTATACAAATATTGAATTACTATCGAACTGGGAAATTGCACTCTCCGTCGGACGTATGCGGGCCATTGTTTGAAGAAGAGTTGCAGTTCTGGGGAATTGATGAGAAACAGATGGAGCCATGTTGTTGGGCCAAATATACAGAGCACAGAGACGCTCAGGCTAATTTAAAGGTATTTGAAGATGGTCCTCCTAATGCCGATGACGATGCTGTGCCAGCAGGATTGCCTGCCTATTTGACTATGGAGGAGGTGTCTCCGAGACAAAAATCCGCAATTGCTTCTTGCTTCGAGAGTTTTATAACTAAGGTCAAGCCTTCTTATTTCGAATCAAGCAACTGGAAGATGCATAAAAGGAAAATGTTTACCCTGATTGAAGATCACAGATCATCTTTGGCGGCTAAGGTTTGTCTTTCATTCCAAATAACTAATTTATTGTTTCATTTAAAGCTCTCTTTCTTTATTTGTGAGTTCTGAAAACGGTCAATCTGGCATTTCGCATTGTTTTCTGAACGATGTCTCAACTTCATATAAGGCACAAAAACTGGCACAACATCTTCCTTAGAAAATGAACGTAAAAAGGAAACCTGTGCAATTAATGGAACTGATCGTCTCGTTTATATTTACAGGTTTCACAAAGAGGCTAATGTAATTTTAGTAGCCAATAATCAAATGACGTCTCGTACAAGCACTTGAATGCAAGTTTGATTGTATCAGCATTAAATTTTCATAAAATTTTATCAGTTGTACAAATCTTTGTACTTTAATCAGCACCAGTGACAAATTAATAAATAAATTCTGCTTTTTCAGGACGTTTTTTGGTATGCGTCTTTTGCCAAATTTAATAGCATGGCAAATGTTTGTTGAAAATTTTTGGAATGAAGGTCTCGAATAATAAAAAATCAACGTCAAGGTGATATTATAGGAACACGTCATCAAGCAAAACAATATCAGAGTTTTCGCAACTAGATAAGCGCTAGATCTAGATCTAGCTTTCCAAGATAAATGAGTTTCAAAGTAAAAATCTTTTACGACTTGAAGACCATTCGAGAGGCCTGTTTTGGTGATATACACAAATACGCAACCAGCCGCCTCGCTAATCAAATTGCTGTTAAGTAAATTTTACATCACTTTAAACTGCCCGCTAGATTCTTTGTTTTTCTCTCTTAATCTCAATTTCTCATTGCTTGTTTTATCATATTTTCCGTAATCTCTATTACAGTTCTTGCTCGTTGCAAATTTATTCACATGATTAGTTGATTTTAATCGTGCTTTGAAAGATTAAGTTATTATCCTGCAACCGCAGAAATTATGTTGTATGTTTTATGTGCAAGTTCTAATTTAGCAGGTTGAAGCTTAGTAAATGAGTCATGAAAAACGTGTTACATCGCGTCATTTTTTACATAGCCTATTACAGAATCGCACGAGACTACACATACAAAATTTTCATATGCTAAATTCACGAAAATATGCTTTACTGTGAAATCTTAAAAAACGTTGCTTGAGTTCTTTATTCAGTTCCATCAGCAGCTATGTTTTTTCAAAAGATAGTAATGAAATCCATTCTTTTTTCACAGTTTTTGCATACTTTTTCAGATCAGAAATGTTTATCTTTACAGAAACAGTTCGAAAGGTGTCAAAACCGGTCTTGGTATAAAAATTGTAAAACTAAAAAAAAAATTATAACAAAGCGATGGCAAATAATATCATTTTTCTAAAATCAAATATCTAGTAGCATATCATGGCAACAAGTAACTTAGTTTTCATAGCAAAATACTGCTAGAAGAAGCATTACATTTCATAAAACATCAAGTAATAAAAAAAGACAGAAAATTTCAAGCTAGGCTGTTTCATTTTCTGCAACTAATAATATGTTTTCATTTTGTCGCATTTTACGAAATTCAACTTACAAAAAATATTTCATGAAAAATAATTGACCGTAGTCTCTAAACTGCCTTTTGTCTGCAACGTCTCATTTGACAAAATCTATGAATTTGCGGTACTAGTTTAGGAATATGCAGAGTTTGTTTAGAAATCTGCGCACATCCTTAGAAATCAATAACTATATTTTACAAGTATTAAATTTGTTTACATTCATGCTTTAGCATATATGTTCTGATATTTCCATACTTGTTAAAAGTTTTCATACTTTAGAATAACTGATGATTTTATCTTTTTGGAAACAGGCAAACAATTTTTATTCTTGTCACTAAATTTTCATACTTTTTTAGCAAATGAGTATTATAAGTTACATGTAAAAATTGCAGCTACATGCAAACACATATTATTAGTGTTGAAAACTAAAACCATTGGAAGCTTTGAAACTCAGCTTTTTATCTTTTACTTAAAGCATGCACCTCGAAATCAAATTGTGTTCATCTAATAGGTTGATTGAAGCAGCTGCATAGTGTGCAATTTCATTGAAATTCTTTTCCGTTAAGTCCAAGTTAAACAACCTTTCTTTTTAACAACACATTTACAGAAAGATGAAAGATAACAGTTATGTGTTATTGGGAACATAAAAACCCTGTCTCCAGATAACCGAAAAACCTTTGAATTGATTTCTAAACGTTATAAATGTTAATAGTTTAGTTGGAGATCACAGTTTTGTTTCCAAAAAATCTTCTACAAAGAGGCAAAGATGAAATGATTGTAAATGCACGTTGAAGAAAGCTGGCTGAATATAGTTGAAAGTGCTTAGCTCTTTGCACCTTGTAAATAATCAGAAAAGAAGATTTGTGTTATCCGAGAATTTATCGCTCGGGCGAGCCACTAAAACCTACTTGATGCAAGGATTTCAGTTTATTTTTTATATATTTTGAAATTAATTAGTCAAATACAAAGGCTTTAGCAGTTTTGGATTGAACGATCGACCTTTAAAAACAACAATTGAATCAAAAACAATTAGTTACTACAAATGTCTCGTTTATCCGTCATATGTTATTTCTAGATTATATAGAGCAGATTTTAGGACATGAAGATTCCAGCAAATTCTAGCTCCTTGAAGATGATTCCATCAGCAAAGTAGCTTTTAGTAATCTTGTTAGGCCTTTGAAGAGCAAAAAGTTTATCTCTTCCGTGCTGCTTGGCACATGAAACTCTATTTCTCTGCTTTGTCATCAGTGACCCAGCCTCTTTTGATTAATCTTCATTAAATATTTACAATAATTTTCATACAGTGGCTGAATAGGCCATTACTCGCTGATAAAGGTATTTAAAAATCTTGCACCAGCTGTCTGCTTGCCCAAATGTTTTAAGACACCTTCATAGTTTCCCATTGTCGATAGAAGAATACATTGCTAGCATCTTATTTAGCCCCATGGCTTGATTCGTTGATAAGTTTGTTTAATGTATTGAGTGCAGCTATCTGGAAAGATCTTTACATCCATTATCAGATTACTCATGTAGTCATTGTTTACGTGAATAAAAAAGATGGGAAGCCTTTAGAAAAACCAAATATTGCCTTCTTGAGAAAGAAATTTTTTCTCTCTAATCGCATGTACTGTCAATTGGTTTGCTTATCTTAAACAAATATATATTGTTTGATACACAAAAGTATCAGATGCTCTTGCTAGACAATATCTTTTACTCAACAGTATTATTTATCTTTAACATTAATACATGGATGGTATTACGGTACGTGCAAGTACTTGATAGGTAATGTTTAATATTTGATGGCGATAGATACCTAATAATGTTTGACTACTGATAACAATTTTGAGTTCAAAATATACTATGATATTTGAAAGCTGAAAAAATCTGATATTTGATAGTATTAGTTAAAGGAGTCAGGTCCAATTATGCTGAAAATAACCCAAAAATAATATTCAGTATACCCAATATCTAAAAATGTTGGCTTCCTTCTGGCAGATTTTCATCTTAGGTAATTAGCTTGGTTTTAACCGTAAGCGACTGCAAAGATCAAGAGTATATTTATTTCAATTGAAACTTGGTTTTTAGAGCGCAAGTTTGATTTTGAAGTTTGAATAGAGATGAATTTTGAAGTTGCAATCAATTATATTGGATTCACAACAATACTTGAAAAGATGCAAATAAGAAGGATTGCTAATGCATTGAGAATTTGACAGCTGCCATAGACTTGCTAAGTAAAGTCAAGATGCCGGATGAAGTTATTACCAAGCTGCGGGCTTACCCTTAGCAGAAAGTTTTGAAAACACTTCAATTGTAAATGCAGTGTTATTTAGATTTCTAATAGCGTCAGATTTATTTATTCAATTGAGAAGAAAACAAATAAGATATCGTTAAGCAAAGAACTTGGTGGTAATCACCAAAATTATAATTATTGATGTTATCACCATGGCAGCCAAAGAGAAATGCACTGTAAAAAAGTTAAAAGATTTAGCCTGGCTTCGCAACGCGTCTATACAGCTGAGCGTAAACAATGTTTTGAGCTAACAATTAAGAACATAAACGAAAATACATATCATACTTTCTAAATCTTTCAATATCCATCATGCAAGCTTTGTTTTCATCTTGTCTAGGAGATTAGGGTTTTCCTGTTTTTCTTAGGATATATTACTTAAGTGCAGTCAAAAATTAAAGATGGTGTTGACCAATTCGCTTATCCAGCAATGCTTGTTCAAATCAAACTTTCTTTTAACAATATTCTTTGACTGTCAATAAAGATTACAAAGGACTGTGAAATTAGATATCAAGCGAAATTATTTCTTTATTTCTTTGAATTTTTTAAGCATCTTTAAATAAATGAATATTGAATGAAAAATGAAGAATGTTGAATTTCGTACTATCAGACTTCAATCTAAATCTCGTTTATTCCAGGTTTGGACGTCATTTTCCCTCTTCTTCATAATCGTTTCTGTGATCTCAATCTTTATGCACTCAATTTTGCAATACAAATTTGAGAAGAACAGCGAATTTGCAAAGACTATGTTCCTAGTGGTGAGAATAATGGACTTAATCTGCTTTACTTGGTTTTTGTTCGAGATAATTGTACGAATACTGGTCTACCATCCCACAAGAAAAAGATTCTTCGTCTCAGTAATCAACTGGATTGATGTCATATCAATGTTGACGTTCATCCCACAGTTCATATATCTAGCATTGAAAAATGACGGCAAACTGAGCGACGAAATCGAAATGATTGCTGCGTTTAGGCTATTTCGTCTCTTTAGATTCTTTCGCCTATCATCAGGCCTCGAAGTCTTAAAGCATACGATGATAGCAAGCTCAAAGGAGATCATTTTGCTTCTTATGATGCTGATGATACCAGTCACTCTTTTTGCAACCATTGTACACTTCTGTGAGAGACAGGTAGGCCTTTTACTCGTCTGCACGTTTTTATACTTCAAGATGGAATTTCTCAGATGATTTATTCTTTACAGTTTTGAATAGGACTTTAATGCTGCAAAGTTTAAAGCAAAAACATGGCATACTCAGTTATTTGACATTGTGAAAAAAATGATGATTATTTAGGTGTTTATTGCACAATTGTTGATAAATATTATTTTATATTAGATTTGCTAGTCTTGTTTGGCAACGTGATGGCTAATGTGTCTTCGAACTTCGAAGATACCTCAAAGTAACAGATTATACTCGAGCATCCAAACGTTATTTTACAGTTAATTTTCATTGTGTTAAAGGATAAACCTATGACCCTCGCTGCTTGAAATGTTATTGATCTAATACTAATAACACTTATGCTCTTGAGCAAAAAGAGGGACTGGAGCATGATTATAAAGCAGATACAAAGCTGACTAGAAATCGCATGACATTATTGTAATATCGATATATTTCGGTAAATCTTTCATGCAATACTACGCAAACTGCTTTCTCCTTTTCTTATGCTTGCTATCACACCCTTTTCATGGTTACAGAAAAGTTTTAATCGCATTCGAGAGTTCTAAATCTTCAGATGTTTAATCCATACTTAGTTCGGGTTAATTTAATCTAGGTTGTCGTCGCAGATGCTTGAATGTTTATCATTGAACAGCTCAAAAAATTGTTATGACAGGCAGGAATCTAAAGCAAAAACAATTTACTGTTATGGCAGCCAAAATTCTTAAATTCTTAAAGCTAAAGTCATTTACCGAAACTTGAAACAGGTGAAATTTCATTTTAGAGTTTAAAACAACCGCGCATATATAGTCTTGTCGTCACTTCGCTCTGAGGGAAAACTACGTTTTGACGTCTTTCGCATTCGCAAGCATATGTAAAATATCGAATATAGTATATCAGGCATAATTCATGCAAATTATAAAATATTAAAAAGAGGCTTATTGAGTAGCGGCCTACAATTACTCAATGATCCCTTTTTAATTCTAAATAATGCAGAAAACTCTTAATCTGCTTTCACAAACGCGTCTTTTGCAGAAAGTTGGCCTAAAATGCGTTTCCACTTAATCCTAAAGACACACGATGGATGAAGATTTTGTTAAAAGCTAAAATTTCAACGTTCTTTGAAATATGAGAGCATGCTATTACGAGGTGGAAAGCATTGCTACTCTTTTCCGTTGTTTTGTGCTGTTCCTACTTCGTTTGAACGGAGTTTATCAAGCTTTGAAAACGTCTCACAGCTAATCATTGCCTGTTTTCCGCCGACCACCTTTTCACGGATTCATCAAAAAGAACAACACAAAAGAAAAAAACGATCACATGCGAAGTCACACAACCGAATCTCACTGGTTGTCTATTTTTGACCAGCCGAAAGCCATTGTGCAAGGCACTCTTATACCCGTTTTGCGTCTTTCAATGCTAGAGCTCTTCGTAGAGTGACACAGAGACCAAGAACTTACTGCACAGCGTGGCGTTTTTGATTGCAAAACACCTCGGATACAGTGTGGAAAGAGGCCCTACTCTTTGGCATTAAGAAGCAATAAACAACAATCTATATTGACGACCTAGTGAAGTGGCCTTGTTAAAAGATATCTGGGCCCTTTAGAATGATACTTGAGGATATTGCTAATTGATGTATTTATTTGTCAATGATGTCTGATTTTACAGACTTATTCAACATTTTAAGACGTATATGATGAAAGAGATAGAACAGAATGGATGATAATAAAAGATTTAGAATTTCCTGAAAAATTGCAAGCTCTAAGACAATCTGTCAGAAGAAAACACAGAATCTTAAGTATAAGGAGAAATCATGGACATATAAAACATTTATAGGAATATATTGTAGTATATTATTTTATTTCATTCACCTTTTTTGTATTACAGGATCCAAGCACAAAGTTTAAAACTATACCAGAATCCCTTTGGTGGGCCATTGTCACCATGACTACAGTTGGATATGGAGATATGGCACCGAAAACGACTTTCGGAAAAGCATTTGGCGCATTCTGTGCATCATGCAGTTTGCTTATTCTTGCCCTTCCTGTTTCCATAATAGGTAAGTTGATTATTGCAAACTAACGGAAATCCCAGGATGATAATGCTATCAAGGCATTGTGTTCCCCTCGGAGCCTACCTATCGCGTACAATACAGACACTGAGCCGCGTTTGCAACCAGACATAACTGAGAATTATTCCCACATTGCCAATTTGCTAGACAAAACAATAGCCTATTGTATAATCCAACCAATGAGAATTTAGGTGACCAAATTTCGTCAGTATGAAAGGAGCAAAAGTCGTCCTTACTGGTGAATGTTTCATCAAGACATCGATTTTTACGTATGACGGCATTTCTAAACCTTTTACAAAACATTCTAATCTATGAAAACTATCGAAGTCCTAGTCTTTCTGTTTGATTCTATCCTGTCATTGGACTGGAGAGATGTGAATAAAATGCAATATACTTTTACATACTTAATCTATTTCTACATCGGAAATTTATTTTCAGAACAAGTATATTAGGTTTTGGGCTTAAACGGCAAAACAAGAGAAGGCACACATGAAATGCGTAAGGACAAAGTCTATACACAGTATGGAAGCTAATAGACAGAAAAACAGCTTTTAGACGTAAAGGTTTCTCCTTTTAAGGACAAAAGTACTCTTCGTTAATGACATCTGTCAATCAATATTGGCCAATCAAGAAGCGTATAGGTCACGCTTACTGATTGGCCAATGTTGATTAACCAATGGCTTTAGCCATTTCAGTATCTGTCGATGGCCCTTTTAGTGAGATAACACCTTCAGGTTTCCTTAACCAATATTCATTATTTTAGATTTAATTTCAACAGCCTTCCTTAATCTGATGAAATCAAATAATTTACGGCACAATTTTAATCAATTGCAAGTTCGCCGAGTGAATTAAAAAGCTAAGCAATATCACGTGTGAATTTGCTAAACACGTTTTGTTGCGAGAATTTCATCAATATTGCATTTCGTAGAAAATGACCCAAGTGAGTTTCGTTGTTTTCAGAATGAAGATGTCATAAATGTTGCATATTATTCAAATTGCTTGAAATGTTTGTTTATGCTTCTTAGAACTCTAATTTACGTGTACAACAAAACTTTTTTGTAACATATCAAATATGCTTTATGGCCTGTGAAGGCATTGCTATGAAGTTGAGCTCTCAAACAAATCTTCTTTGTATCATTTTCTCACCCTGAAAGCAGGATATTAATCCACTTAAACTGTGCGGTGCCCATTTTCAAAGAAACGGACGAGTCAAAGTTTTGCTGCTCAATTTCCTGCAGAGAATCTTAATGTCGTATGCAAAAGGAAGCTCAATAATGCAATTGCCTTTCGCAAGGATGTGAAAACTGCAAATTTAATTCAATGAATCACACATATGTTTTATCTTTCCGATAGATAAAGAAGATTCTTTTTATATTTAAATTGCAAAAGATATGCCTGTGTTAATTTTTTGATGTACTTTTTTATTGCAGATATCTTTTTGATATTATTTTAGTCAAATGTTTTAGCTCTAGTCTTGGTTCTTTGTTATTTGGTAAATTCTTTAGTAAACTTTATTTGTTAAATTCTTGTGACATGAATAATTGATCGATTTCTTGCTTCAGAAATATATATTTCACGTTGGATTTAATCAGCTGCAAATTTTATTTAACTTACTATTATAGTTTATTAATCAAACGATCAAACTAAGTTGATCAAAATAACGATCATGTTATTATTTCATGCTCGCTAAACTGCAATCAATACACTAGTAATTCTTTTAAAAAAACATAATGATTTTAAACACCCATTGTGTCCAACGATTCAAATTAAGACATATTTTGAAAACAATACCAGGAATTTTATGGTGTATTTACATGAAGCAGATGCATTTTACGTTTTTTTTCTAATTTAAAATTTGAAGGCATTAAAACTAGCTACCTAGCCGCAGAAAAGATAAAACGTTATTTCCTTTACTCATTCTCCAAAGTGACGTCATTTGCAGATTTCTTGACTATGAAAAAGAGGACCAAATTGATTAAGATTATAGAAGTCGTTACTAGACAGAACTAAATTCCGTGCGAATTTCTATTTACTGCGTGGTTTGTGTAATTCGTGCCCAATTCAATGTCAGGATATTGAAAAGCACAGTTAAATGTAGTTAAATGAAATCGAACTATACCATTAGGTTGATGTTTTTGAATGTTGTGTATTCGATATCATATAAAATAGACTTCTTTGTTTAGAATCCATCAGCAATTGTATAATTATCCTGCTTGTCCTTCGCAGGTAACAACTTTTCATTGTTCTACTCCTACGCACAAGCACGGCTAAAACTGCCAAAGAAATCCCACAATGCATTGGTGGGTGCTGCCAATGTTTTGATGGCAGACACGAATTCAAGCCATTCGCCCGACCTCGATGGCAGCGAAGAAGAAAACGGGAGTGGAAGTGATGATAATAATTCCGGGGCAGGTGAAGCTAATCTGTCTGTAGCTAAAAGGTGAGTCTGCATACGATTATTTCTCGTTATGTCGTCTTGAAAGGCCTACAAATTCGCTATTATCACGAGATTCGATGTTGCGATAGTCAATTTCGCAGTTGGCAGATAATTAGATGGAATAGGCAAATTTTCATCGCTGTTCAATGTGATTGTTGGACCCTTAAAGTCAAGTTTCTTCCAGAAGCTTCTTATCTAATTAAGACCACGTCAACATGGAGACAATTTTGAATTTTCTAAATCCTCATTGAAGGATCCAGACGAAGGGTAAAACAATTCTTCTCTTTTTTAATTCAAAAGCTTGCATTCATATAGACAGAGCTTGTAGACAGAACTTATGTTAAATGCGTAAGGCAGAGTCTCTGAGATGCAAAGCGAGAACTTGACTGCGCAGGAGAAATCTGACGAACCCTTCTTATCCCGTACGGATAAACAGACTTCGCTGGCCGTTTGAATTTCCCATTGGTTGCACTAAACAATATACCTATTGTTATGTATCCAATCGGCAGCGTAAGACTAAAGGCCTGTTTACATGAAGTGGGCTAGTTTTTGCAGGTGAGATCGTATCCGCAACCGTTTACATAAAGACGCAATTTATTCCACGCAATTTTTTTTAGTTTTTGGCGCCACAAAAATGAATAACAGTTTTCCTCAACAATGGCGAAAAACAATTTGATTCCTTTTCTGACCCACAAATTAGCCGGTATGCTCGGATTCGTACACGGAATTCTGATTTTGTGTTCTGATATCTGATTTCTATCAAATTCTGATATCTATCAAAAATATGCGATCGAAATGCTAGTGTCAATTCAATTAAGGAAACGCGATTCTCTATGTTTCTCTACGCTTTTGCTACGGTTTTAGCAGAAGAACCCAAACTGTTGCTGCAAATTCATACGACATTATGACTTGGTTTAGTTTGGCACCAACTTCCTCTACGCAAGCGTATTGACATTCAGTGAGTGGGCTAGCCCACCTAATTACGTTTACATGAATAATTTCCATCCCGCCTGACGCGGATCCCAACTGTCCTTTTCGCGGATCTCGCGGATTCGCGGAAAAGTAGAAGATTAGGAAAGTGTATGTACACCGGCTCCTAAACATAAGATTGAACGAAAAGGAACGAAAAGGAAGCCAAAGGTTTATCTATTTATCGATCTTCTTTCACTTGCTATTAATTGAGTTCACATTATCTAAACCTGAAGAATGTGGTCTTAAACCTAAGAAATTGGCTGTGAGAAGAATAAATTTGCAAAATGATGACGTCGAGTTAATTACACCTGAGATCGGTCAATCTCGAATCAATTATAACAACATCAAAAAAAGGAAGAAATATCACGCTAACACACCTTTCGTCCAAAAATAGGCTACAAAGGTTGGATGATGGCTTGATATAAGTTTTTAAAAATATGTCAAGGTGCAAAATTTAATTTTTAATGATTTGAGGCCATATTACATCGTAGATTAAACAATACGCGAACTTTCAACATTGCAGAGAAGAGAGAAAAATGTCCTAATATTGACACTATCCCATCGCTGGAGAAACCTGCTAAACCATGCACCTTGGTCTTTCATTCAAAATACATCTTTTATAAACTCACTCCTCTTTCCTTTTCAGATATCGTCGTGACAGGCACTCACTCTATGCAGGTGGAGTTGTTAGGAATTCACGAAGGGTTCTAAGGTCACGAAGCACGGGCGTCACTGGCCTATCAAGTGACAGTGAGAAGGAGCAACGCGATTCTCTTACCAGAACATCAAACATCACTGGAACAACCGAGGCAGAGTCGCCGGTTGATAATCAGAAGGAGGCCGATGAAAAAGAGCAGAATCAAACGCAAAGTTCAGATAGCAACGTAGAACAGAAGTGCGATGGGCACACCAAGCCCAATGGGTCGATTGCTGAGAAACCACCAAGTGGAAGGAGAAGAAACCGATCAGGAGGCCAGAGAATACACCCGGTTATAAAGCTTCAAGTCACTGAAGATGGAGATGATACGAGATCAGATGGCAGGGGGTTAGACAACGAAACCTTTGACAACAGATTGGATACAATACGCACTCCACCGATGAATGAAGTGGAATATTTCGGCTCTGTTTCTCAAATCAAAAATAATTCGGATATTGAAAAGAGCTCTTCAGCAGAAACGTTAAACAAAAAGCAGTTAATGCCACAAAATTATAAGAATGTAAATAGAAATGACACGAGAGAACAAAACGGAACCTTGTTACAAACTATGATACCGGAAAGTAGGACAGAAGTTAACTGCAACGACGAGACGTCAGTAGATAATAACGATATTGATTATGATAGAGTATCGTTTAGATAAGATAAGTAATCAGGTTTTTACAGTGGTAGCAGGAAAACAAATATTTGTCTTGCTTCAAAAGCAACTCTTCCAGTACACACCCTTTCCAAGTCCTTTTGCCATATTCAAAAAGTCTGTCGCCTTCCCCCCCCCCACCCCAGATCAAAGGCTACCCAGACCCTTAAAACATGTATTTATTGCAAAAATGTCAACAAACTTCATCTTTCCCTCCTTTCTTCTTAATGCCTCTCCCTCTTCTACCGTCTTGATACAGGACTTTGATACAGGCACCCGGACCTTTCCCTAACATTACCAGATAAGAAAGTGAATCAAAAACCATCATTGTATTCTTAAATGCAGGAACATGACACCAGTTGGATCAAGTGCTTTGCTGGATCTAATACTGTGGTATATCCAGTAATGAAGACAAATATCACTCTCCTTGATTACGTGATACATTTAAGCATACCAATGCAATAAAAGAACTAGAGAAGTAAATAGATATGTCACCTGACAAGGCATTTACCAAGGAAATACAGGGCCTCAAGGATAATCTTTTTTCCTCTTTATTGCTGAAGCAGAGATGCAACAAAGATAAGGATCGAAGAAATGTAGTTGCAATGTAGCAATTTTGTGCAAGTATGCACAATGTAGGCCTATTTGCTCTACCTCTCAAGCTTGTAGCTAAGTTGGATATTTATCTAGCAAAATCCATTATTTTATACCTACCTACTTTTCGTTATGTTTACTCCAAATACCAATTACCTACCATTATGTCAACAAGAGTTTACAATCATCAACAGGATTTTGGATACTTCCTGTAGCTAGGCATGCAAAAAAATGTGAATGCCAAACACAATATACCATCTTTAGTATAAATGTGTCTTCGCTAATATTATTGATATTTTTTGCTTTTGGAAGATAGGAACAATTTTACACGCGTCAAAAAATGCCCATGGCGGTAAATTGATACCCTCTCTGATGCCAATTGCCTTATTAAAGAATTTCAAGATATCTACCCCCAAGGAGTGGAATTACTTCCCCAACCAAGCATATTCTTCGGGTTTTTGAAGACCTCTTTTCCTGTTCGTTATTTCAACCCTCCTGTTTCGATTATTAAAACATTTGACTAATTTTTTTAAATTCGGAATGCTTATTACAATACCCACGATAAACCCGACCACCCCTCAAGCCCTCGCATTCTTAACCACGGGGTACCCGAGGTCTCAGCGTACATCAAAGGCAATTGAAAGAGAGGAAGTGTGACATCTTGAAGGGTCTATTCATCTTCTCAAGTCCGTAATAGAACAACGTGTTGGTAATCATTGAAAGAGACACACTAACGCATTTAATCTACTCCGACGATCTTGTCTTTGTAGGAAAATTTTAGATCAAAATCTACAAGCCCTGCAAAACTACAAGGAATAGATGCAGCCATTACCCCCTAGCCTCTTTTCTGGGTGTATTGGCAACCATCTTGATAATAAAAAAAAGACTACAATGTTGGCGGGATTTCGTTATCCTTAATCCCTTATCCTTATCCTTATAATAAACCCTTATCCTTAGTCAATTGTGATAAAGATTAAAATCACTGTAAGTAGTTCGTATAAAAGTTAATGTAAATAGTTGTCAGGATCTACAAGATCTTTTCCATTATAAGAGCCAGTTGTTTTTATTTGGTAAACATCTCTTTCGTTTCCTAAACCCGCTTATGCCTATTTGAAGGCATCTTATCTATAATGGCTTAAAGATAAGGCTTTTTAACCTAGCAACGCCTCCAAAATGCTTGCAAGAACTTTCTTTAGTGTCTTGGTGACCTTTCCTTTCCATTTTTTGTTATACCCACAAACTTTTGAAAGTTATAATTTCATAAACTCACTTTTCGCACTTAGTTTCGTTATTTTTTGTTGATTTAAATGCCAAAATTGACTTGAAGGTTTCTTTAATATCAAATGCTAAAAAGCTGATTTTTAAAAACACAAAAGCAGAATATGATGTAACTTCAAACAGAACACCTAATAAGACACAAGGAGTTCTTTCTATTTATCTGTGTCAATAAAACATCAAACTTTAGAATAAAGATTTCCGAGCAGTTCTTTAGGTTAAGGGTGACAATGCTATTACTTTTAATATCTTGTTTATAAGAATTAAAAATATGAAAACTTAAACAATTATGATTGCACTTACATTTGTTCTTGATGTATTAATGGTATTGACAGACGAAAAATATAGATTTGTGATGCAATCACTGCAAAATGTCTTAGAGCTCCAACGGCACTTATAAAGTCAAATTCAACAATCCCCTTTCCAACTTCAAATCTATAAAAGCCATTTCATTGCAAAGCGACGTATGAGAGTAGTGAGTTTTTACTGACATGTTTATGATGTTCGTGATATTATCCTAACTTTCAACCTTTTTCCAGGAAGTAGAGATAGAGAGACAAGTGGCATTCTGGAAAGGAAACATTAAAAAGAAAACAAGGCACAGGGATTTGGATATTGCAAGTATTTTTGACAGGCATTGTCCATGCACTTCATCACAACTTGTGTCAGGTTTGAAGAATAAACTTGCTCCTCTAAATTGTCAATTGTGAGTTACGAAAATAGTTATATTCCTAAATTATTTAAGTGGCAATTTGCTTATTGCACCAATCGCTAGCAGGGCCGCCGAGATGGGGCAGGGGGCATATTTGCCCCAGGTTCTTGTTGCCTAGAGGGCCTCGAAAAGTAATGAGTTCCATAATTAAAATGGATTTAATCAAAAATACTTTGGGTTTGCAAAAAAATTGTTCACGACTTAACCGATCGAAAAAAGTGACTGCAGGCAATAATTTTGAAATAGCTTTTTAACTATTCTAAAGGGCGCGGTCGCAGTATGTTCTGCTCGCACGCTTTTCAGGTTTTCCTCAGGGTCTTAGAGCTCGGCACAACTAACAGCAACGCCACTGAAATACTGCGATTGAATTGTAAAATTTGACTTTGAGAGCTTGTAAAATACCCAAAAAACCAGAGATGGAAATTGAAAGCAACTGGAGAACCTATTCCTGTTAGATGATTGGAAATCAAAGTAGCCCAGGCAGGCCAGAAATAGACGACCAATGGGGGTCGGTTATAAGCCTTTGCAGGTGATTGTATTCTTATTCTTTTACATTGTTCTTTCTAGTCAATCAAAACTAGAAAATTACTTGACTGACAAAGCTAGCGATTGGATGAAATATGGTAAAAAACCCAGCTGTATGGGAGGCACATATCAATTTAATACTTTATTATATGACCCCTCGCCCCCTTCTCCATCAGGAATACTTGATTATGCAAATAGAAAAATTTTACAAATTGCTCTCAGCACCAGCACTGTCCCTCCTGCCTTAATCTTGTGCAGGCGTCCCTGGTTTTCAAGACTTGATAAACTTTGTTTCAACGTGATTTAGGAAGACAAAACAACTACAGAATGATTGTTTGGCAACTGATGATTTCAGGCAAACAGTTTTCCCTGGACGTTGCAACAATTGAGCTATTTTAAAAGAACTTTGCTCTTTATCCGCCATTTTTCTTTAACGTCGTTGAATTCTTTGCAGAAGTTAAGTTAAATTTCTTTAGAAATACATCATTGTTGCTTATCCACATGTGCATGAAAATGCACATGAAAGCGTGTATTCCCTTCGGGTATAAGAAGGCCTCGTTTGTCTTCTTTCTTTCTCATAGAACACGTTTGCCAGCCTGTATATAGGCCCTACAATTAACCAACAGCCTGTATTTCTGGAATCAACACTGCACAATGCCTACCTAGTTTGCAGATAATATTCAATATCGAAATTTTCAAGCTATTTTATGCACTGCCAAATATTTCATGCATTCGATATTTCACTTGAGAAGTTTGCAAGATTCGCGACGATGAAAGAACTATGGATCTGTCAACATCAGGAATAAGGTTTGAATTTTTCATAGTAATCACCTTTCTATTTCTATTGTATTTTCATGAGCTTCATTGTTTGCTGTCTTCTCAACTAAGTGAAACTACAGAATGCATAGAGCCCAAGTTCATAACTCCTGCCCCCTTCACATTAACACCTTAATACTGGAAAGGCAAAGCGTCACTATTTTGTAAGAAATTTGACTCGGTAGCAAAAAATACCGAAGAGATCTCAATGAATTAGATGTCTAAGCAGAATGTACGCATTTGATTTGTTGGCATCATTTATTTTTGCCAGAAATGCTGCGAAGTTTAAAGAGCCTCGTAGTTCTAGCAAAAAGACACTTTCGAAAGATGGTAATTGGCTTATATGATTTCATAATGTCGTCAACTTTGACATTTGGGTCCCTACATTTAATGCTGGGAAATTTTCCAACAGATCCTATTCGGGGAGGGTTATACCGCGGCAAAAAGTTAGACTGGTAAACGTTTCTATTGTCTCAGAGGCACCATATCCAAAAGCATTTTACTTGCCATTTAATAACACTGAACGGTTGACTGACTAGACATAATGCCTTCAAGTGTTTACGCCAATTGTTGTGATTCTACCAACCAACTAATCATATTGATGGATTTTCACGAATTTTCTTGGTAATGGTTTTGAAAAAAGCAAACATTTAGTAAACTACAGCTTTTCGTCTGACACTCTTCAGAGTCTAAAACGTCAGAACATAGATCGAAAACTCTACGCTAAGAAATATATATACCCAGTTGTGGATCGAAATAGGCCAATCAGAAACGCAAGCGCATGACTGTTGAGGCTGCCCAATCAGTGCCGCTTGCCTATTGAGAATGTTACCAATGGTTACCAATGCTCACCTTAGGACTCCATTGGTAACATTCTCAATAGGCAAGTCTTTGTTTTCTTGTAGGTAAGATATGATAAGCATAACATAGAGCTATGTTGATAATAAATGAACCGTCTAATAAGCAAAGTTTAATATGGAATCTGTTTTCGAGGCTTGAATATATTTTTTTTGCGGTACAGAATTTGAAAATGGCTTTGAAAAAAGCAAACATTTTACAACATACTTAAAGCTTGGAGTCAATCTATATAAAAACGAAAAAGCCGCCATTGTGTAGACAAAAGGAGTTCGTTTTCTCTCTTGGACTCCATTGGTAATTTTTCTTTAGGCTCGCGGCACTGATTGGTCAACTATACCGGTCTTGTGCTTGCGTTTTTCTGATTGGCCTATTTCGATCCACAACTGGGTATATATTTTTCAAACGTGTTTTTCGGAACCTATTCTGACGTTTTATGCTCTGAGTAGTGTCAGAAGAAAAAGCTTTAAGTATGTTGTAAAATGTTTGCTTTTTTCAAAGCCATTTTCAAATATGTGGAATATTGTACACTAATCTGCAACTTTGAATTCCCTCAACCTGTTTCCATTTTAAAGGTCTTGGCAACCTTCTGGATGTGATAATCGTTTTGAGGAAGCTGGACATTAGCAATGTTTAAATTAGCTTCAAATGTTGCATCTGCAGGGACTTTAGTCAGGAAATCCATAGTTTCTTGATCCACTGCTGCATTCAGTTGTTGCACCTGTCTCGACAAGGCTATTTGGGATTGCTTTTCTCTTTCAACGGATAGATATCCAAGACATTTTCAATAACATCGCTGCACTTAATTGAATGGCTTTTAAATCCGTGCTGAAAAGCTATTTTAATGGATTTCCCAAGAAATATATCAATTTCATTTTTAAAGTCTCTGTTTATAGTGGCTGATAGTCAAAATGTTCTCTGCCCTAGACATAACCTTGTCGGCCCAATCTCTCAGCTGCAAGTCCAAATTCTAAATTTTCTCCAGCACATTTCGCTTCGATATTTGTAGCCCAATCAGGCCTATTACAGAAGAAGAAGACTTCAACCTACCATTCGATTCCATTGTTAGCATTTTCAATATGCCAGCGGCATGAATTGTGCTCCGTTTCTGATTTGCCTATTTTGATCCACAAATGGATATATTTATTTCCTAGCATAGAATTTTTTGATCTATATTCTGATGCTCATTTTTTGAAGAGTGTCAAATAAAACGCTTAAACATGTTTTAAAATGACTGCTTTTCAAGGCCATTTTTTTAATCCTGTACTGCCGAAAAATTGATTGCAAATAAGAGATAAACATTTCAATTAAATAAGTTTTAATATCGGTTTTTATGAAGCAGCCATCATCAAAATAGATTGGCAAAATAGTTACTGACCTAGCTAACTCTTTTGATCTGATGGTGTAAATTAATTAAGTTGAAATCATGCCGCATGCAAACAAAGCACAATGTGTCACTCTAGTGCTTGAACACAGAAAGAAACCCAGGTCATATTTTAACATGTTTTTGTTCTGCACCAAAATATCGATCTCGGTTAATTAAAACAGACGAAAGAGCACTGCTTCAGCAGTTTTATGGACCCTTTATTTGCACCAGGCCCAAGAGCAACCCCCCACCCTTTTTCTACCTTCCGTGAACAGCCTACCATGGGCTGTTTTCGACTTTTCCAACTGTCTGGCGACCTTTTTGGAAATTGTGCGCTCCTTTTGAAGAATGAGAATCAGATGGAAAAGTTTATGAGATCTTTAGGTTAATTTATTTCAAGGAGTAACTCAAAGTTAAGTTGTTTATTCCAAAAATTGATCATGTTTTGCTAGAAAAGGAAGTTCACGTTTTGGAAGATAACTAAGGCATCCATAAGGCTGTGTTCTTTACTCCCTGCCTTCATTCAAACAGTTTTCAATTTCTTGCGCTAAAAAGTTGTCCAATCGTTTTGTCATATATCAAACCAAATAGAACTGTGGAGCATAATTTAAAATTAGACGAGACTTACCTGTAAGTTGAAGTGTGATTGTAATTCTACCTCATCTTCATGCAGGAACGGAGGTATAACATGAGAAGCGCAGCGCATGCGTGACTGATCAGGCTTTAGAGGAAAGTCTGCACATACAATAGCGTCAATAAGTGACAGTATACATAAAGTATGGGATGGGTACTGCAGGGGAGGGCATGTTATACCTCCGTTCCTGCATGAAGATGAGGTAGAATTACAATCACACTTCAACTTACAGGTAAGTCTCGTCTAATTTTAAATTCTACCTCATCTTCATTACGTCACTTCGGATAACATGAGATTTTAGAGTGTATGTGTCAGACTTTGAACGGAAAGAAAGAAATCAACATGGGAAGTAACCATGAACATCTCAACCACAACAATAATAACTGAAACAAAACTACTAAACAGAACATCATTTTTTCAAACATAATAGTATCTATCAACCAAAGCAAATTTAAGCATTCAGTATAAACTGTCCAAAATTAATGTCATCATACTTATCAACAGTTTTGTTATAATACTTCTCAAACGTTGTCTCATGAGTCCAGCCTGCTGCCTTCATAATAACATTTATTGGCATACCATTACATTTCGCATACGATGTTGCTGCAGATCTAATGCTATGAGCACCAATAACATTGATGTCCACTCCTGCATTAGACAAAACCTCCTTACACCAACGGCTAACTGTACTTCTACTGACAGGCCGAAAAGGCTTAACGGTGCTGATAAGGAGTTTCCGGCATGTATTTCGCAGAGTCTCTGTCTTTGCAAGGTAGCAGGTTATATTATTTATTATGCAAAGGTCTTTGTTGTCAGGAAAAGCAAGGTATTTCAAGGGTTGTAAGTGTATTCCTGGTTTGGTGGTTTTTAAGATATTGTTGACAGAAAACGTACATGAGGACTCATTTAAAGACATATCATCAAGTGACAATGCATGAATGGTTTGTATACGCTGACCAGCAAGTAGACACAGCAGGAAAGTTAGTCTCTGGGTAAGCAATTTGAGCGATAGGTTGTCAGCAGGCCCAAGTGTTTGAAGGTAACTGAGAACTTGGCCTATATTCCAAACAGTTGTTGTCTTTGGAAACCAGGGTCTTTTTTCAAACACCCCTTTCATGAACCGCTTCACCAGGTAGTGCTGTCCAAAAGGAGTACCATGCGGGTCCCTGATAATCGTAGACAACGCTGACCTGGCTGCATTGAGGCTGCTGTATTTTAATCCACCTTTATAAAGTGATGTGAGGAATTCTATGCCATGGTCGATATTAGAAGAATATGTGCTGATGCCATTTTCCAGACAAAACTGTGCCCATTTTCTGTGGTGTACTTCATATTGTTTAACAGTTCCCTTTCGCCATGATGACAGGATGATTTCCTTACTTTCTGTAGACAATTCAGAAGAATTCAAATGTTTCCAGACAAGAGGCAAATTAGCAGATCCAGTTTTTTGTGCAAAGGATGAGTTATCTTTGTAAAAAGTTTGGAAATTTCAGTAGTGTCTTGCTGTGCTTGATGTGCAATGGGGGTACCAGCAACATCTTTGTCATGATTGGATACCAGCTCTGTGTTGGCCAATCTGGGCAAACACAGAGACCCTGTGCCTGTTCCTGTTGAATTCTCTGCAGCATTGGAAGAATGATGCTGAAAGGAGGAAAAGCATAAAATTTTAAATTTTTCCAGCTCATAGAAAATGCATCTATGGCATGAGCTTCAGGGTCTTGTGTGAATGAGACATACTTATCAACCTGAAAATTATGACGTGACGCAAATAGGTCAATTTCAGGATAGAAGTCAAAATGTTTGACAGCCTTCTCAAAAACACCTCTATCCAATTTCCACTCCGAATCTTTGGGCTTTTCCCTAGATTTTTTATCAGCCTCTATGTTTAGCACCCCTGGAATATGGGCAGTGCTGACCCAAATGTCCCTCTCAATGGCCCAAAGCCAAATTTTTCTTACTAATGAGTTACAAGTGGGTGAATGGCTAGTGCCCATATTATTTATTGAGCAAACAGCTGTTGTATTGTCTGAATATATGCGAATATGCATGGATTTGACATCCTTAAAGAATGATGTGAGAGCATTATACACTGCAAGTAATTCTAAATAATTTATATGATGTCTTGCTTCGCGGTCATTCCAATGGCCTCCAATTTTAGCGTCATTCCAAATAGCACCCCATCCAGTCATTGAGGCATCAGTGGAGATTATAATAGATGGTGGGGGTTGAGAGATACATTTATAACCCTTTTTTATATTTGACACCCACCATTTCAGTTCTACAATAGCCATAGGATAGATATTAGTATGTTTGTTAAAATCCCCTTTGAATGCTTTCAAAGCACACACTTTGTTGTGTTCCAACTCTCTGTAGTAAAGAGGGCCATGTGCAATACCTGGGAAGCAAGACACAAGCAAGCCTATGGCACTTGCTAGTTCTCTAATGGTACAATCATTTTTAGCTAGCAATCTCTTGCAAGTGTCAGTGACCTTGCCTATTTTATCAGCATTTGGTCTAACAGTCATATTTGTAGAGTCTAAAATAAATCCTAAAAAGGTTATGCTTTGTCTGGGTATAAACTCAGACTTAGTTGGGTGAATTATAAATCCAAGCTTATCAAAACATATGATTGTGTCTGCAACATTAGCAGCACATTCTTCAAAACTAGATCCTTGTAGATAGATGTCATCGATATATGCAGATAGAATGTGCCCTGCCTTGTGTAACTTATGAATTGGAGGCTTTAATAGCTTTGTGAATAGTCTTGGAGCAGGGCCTAAGCCATTTGGTGCGCATGTGTATACATAAATTTCATCATCCCATTCAAATGCAAGGTACTTTTGGAAGTCTTTGTGTATGGGTACTGTGTAATATGCATCCTTCAGATCAATAGATGCCATGTAACAGTTTTTAGTTAAAAGCTGGATAACTGTCTTGAGTGTATCCATTTTAAAGTGATGATAGGCTATGGATTCATTTAGGTGTCTCAAATTCAAAATTAGTCTGAATTTGCCATCCTTTTTGTCTCGCAAAAATATGGGAGATCTAACTAGGTCTGAATTATCAGCACATTTAGTGATGACACCCTTTTTGAAAAGAGATTGAATCTCACTTTCAATTTTTTCCCTAGTACCACTGTCATAGTTGGTACTTATGACTTCCTGTTTAGTAGGGGTCATAAGGAATTCTAACTTCACTCCTGTTACTATCTGTAAGATACTCTTATCAGATGTGATTTTTTGCCATTCATTGGCAAAATGTCTTAGTCTGCCTGCCTCAAACCTATCAGCTTTCATTTGAAAATATTTTTGTAATGACTCTACAATGGTATCATAGTTGCTTACCATGTACTTGATATTTGATAGGACATCAATCATTTCCTGTTGTGTCCAACACTGTACTGTTGTTGCTTTTTCCTGAAGGCATTGAACTTTTGGCCTCGCCCTAAAAAAGACTTTCTGACATTGCGATTGTCATAAGGTTGACGATAACCTGAGGCTGCAGGCCTAGTGGCTACTGCAGAGAGAGATGCACCTTTCCTCAGGCTTCAAGCTGCTTATTCAAGTCATCCCCAAATAGCAAGCTTGTTACAGGGGCTGATGAGGAGCAAAGGTCAGCATACTCTTTCTTGATGGCAGGTTTAAGCTTATGTCGCCTGATAAGGCTCATTTCGTAGTTAGAATAGCCAAGTAGAGCTGTGGCTTCAATTAGCTGCTCCACCAGAAATCTATGCTCAACCTTACCACTGTCATTTTGAGCAGCTATTAGATGATCTAATGATCTTACAACAGCAATGCAAGCTTTAACCATCGACTCTTGAACATGTGACATTCTCACATCAGCCATCTTGTGTTGTTTAGCTAGGTTGTTCCAAATTTGTGCGTTAACACGAGGAACTGTCAATTTTTCACAGTTTTCTGGTCTATTATATTTAGCCAGTAGTGACTTCAGCTTTTCTGATGGCATTTTTGTTTGCCAGCGTTTATTAACTATGCCAGCAAGCTGATTAGACACTGAGGCTGCCAAACATTCCTCACCATACACTTCTTCATTGATCTCCTGAAGAATATCCCCAGATGTATCTTTGGGTTTTGTGCTGGATGCTGGGGCTAGAAGAGCATCAATATCAGATGCTGGCCCATAATTAATTGGTGAGGTGAGCCTCCTTCTTTTCTGAGGCTTGTCGTCTTCATCAGAAGAGGACCCAAGGTCAAGATCAGAATAATTATCAGGACCTATAGAGCAAGCAGTATCCTCGTCATGGCGTAATTCCATGCTTGTGCCTTGTTGGCTATCAATATTTTGGCTATTTCTGTGGCCTTGTTGGCTAAATGATTCAATAAACTGTTGCATGACCGAGGCCATGCTTGCAATATTCTGCTGTAAAGATTGCAGAGTTGCAGCGTCACCTGAGCAGGCCTCATTACCGCTAGGCCCTGGAGTAGAAGGCTCGTTGCCAGACATCATGCTAGATTGCACCTGAGAAATTAATTAATAGGCCAACGATTACTTAGATAAGTATAAAAACGAGTGAAAGAAATTTGTTCTACGACCTGGTTGCGGAGTTGGTTCTTGATTCCCGAATCGACTGAAGCACGCCTGTTTCAGTTTCGCAAATACTACACACTGATCAGTTACGCATGCGCTGCGCTTCTCATGTTATCCGAAGTGACGTAATGAAGATGAGGTAGAATTGTGATAGAATATCTGTCTCTTGTGCCTAGGATTCTTGGTTCTCTGTCGATTTTGTAAATACCCCAGACCCATTTCCGGCTATCTCTTGAATAGAATGTCATAGTTGCGAAACATTTTCTGTCGCCAACCATAGTGGATGCCTTCATCAAGCTCTGAACAGTCAATCTTATTTTTTTGCAGTAAAGACATACTATTGAATTATAGGCGCATTCATTAAAGTACTGTGTAACTATACAGCCATATCCCAGTTAAAGATTAAACCAAAGCGGCAAACCTGCTGGGCCCCCAAAATTCGACTTTCCGGCCCCTTTTGCAGTGTGCTCTAGCAGAGTCGGAGCCATTATGGCGGAGCAGCGAATTTTCAGCCGGAAAATTTATCTATTAGGAGAGAAATATTAATAAGATGCCTTCAGGCATGCTCAGACTAAATATCATTGTTTTGGCACAATTATTTTGAAAAATTCTTTAGAAAAAGAATAAAGAGCCTTCTGTCAGTAATAAGGGTCTAAAATTGTGTATACAGCGTTCTACTTCAATTTTAAACGCCCTCTCTACCATATTCCCTCCTTCAAATTTGTTCTGGATCCTGCCTTTCAATCTATGTAGTCAGTGATACTTCATTTTTACATATTAATTTGGTAATATAACAAGGAATTGGGTTGTGATTGTCGAGAAACTTGGTAAAAGCGATAAATTAATGAACGCTTTGCATCGGAACCTGAGTGTGAATGAGTTTCTTTGAACTGAATTGAATATTTTGAATAGAAAAAGGTTGTTGAATGAAACAATTTTTAATAAAACCAACATGAGATAATGTGCGTTACTGGCTAATAGGCAGGGAATTTTCTGCAGAAGTTTTGACAAAAGTGCATAGTGCCAGTAAAGATTTAAAAGCAAGGATGCATACTGCACCAGGATAGAAGGATAAAACAATAAGATTTGATTAATTTTTAGAGACCTATTCCCAAGTTTTCTCCTGCCCTTTTCTTGCACAGGTGCCCCTGCCAAAATTAAAGGCTCAACGCAAGCACAGAAAAATGAGAACATAACTTCACTAAGCAAAAGGCCATTGTAAGAAAATGACATTAGCACTAGATTTGTTTACACCAGCAGTAGAAGAGATTTCCAAGAGAATAAGCAGCTAGGCTGCTTCTAACGGAAAGGAAATAGAAAACCTTTGGTTGGCTCCTGCGTGTCCACTCCGACGGGAACCAAAGCTCAACGTAATGAGAAAGGTGGATTTTTTACTCAAATCTATGACAGTGAAACTTGGCAACTTTTGGAATTGGAAAGAAATCACTGAAAGTGGGTATTTTCTAAAACCAATCTAGGCCAAGATTCCTCTTTGCTAACAACATCACATCATCTGATGCATAAAATCATATTTATGCATGGAATTTGCCCATTGCTACAGATATGAATACAAAAGATACTTTAGAAAGAGCACCACGCCAATTTGATTCAATACACTATTTGGACGTAATAGCTTTTGTTAGTATAAGGGCATTTGCAACTTATAATAGAAATGTTGGCATTTTTGTTTCACAAAGTGTTCCGTTTTCACTTATCACCATTCTGAACAAACCTACAAACTTACTCTTTGGTGCCTAATTGCCGCCCCCCCTCCCCCCTCCAGCTAATTAATTTCTGAAAGTTTTTTTAACCCCCAACTGATTGATTGATTTTGGCACTTTCATGTTAAAAACTGTAGTGAAAAAAAATCAAAACTTTTGCGATTTATACCGGAAAATAAAACGAATAATACAGCTGAAGTTTGAGGATGTGTGTGGGGAATTTCGTAAGATTGTATTTAAGGCTTAGAAGACTTAGTGCGCAAGTTACCCGAGCCCACAATAATTCCTGTCCGCAAAAACCGTTTGTTTTATCAATTTTCTTAGCTTCCAAACATTTTGCATTATCATTTGTTCTGTTGATATGGTTTCTATAAAAAACTGATTTAAATGCATTTTGAGTATTCAGTATATGTAACTTCATAATTTAGACCCCCCGGTTTTGGAACCTCATTATAACCTCAGAATAATTATTTAGTATTTTATCTCAATGTAAAGGGCATAAAACGTTCACATATAATGCAGAGGTTATGGGTCTTTTTAGATCTCTCAGACGAGCTCGGGTACATAATTGAATGCGTGGATACGCTGGGGACATGGTATCATATTGTTTGCGGAGAAGAAAAAAGGCTTTAATTCTGCTGGGAGGCCTAAATAAGGAAGGAAAATAGATGGATGGTACTTGACTAGAAGAAGACCAAGAGGTATTGTGATTGCTTATGAAGAAGTGGAAAAGATGAATGAATATAGATACAAAGGAAATATAGTAAGGCTTATGATTGAAAGATGTTAGAATACCAATTTGTTTAAAGTGAAATCATGGTCATATTCTTCTTAACAGCTTTGCCTTAACAGCTTTTCCTTAACAGCAGCAAAATAACAACAGAGAAAGCTGTGGTCCTACAAAGTATGGAAAAACTATTGATGAGCGAACCAAGAAAAGCTAGTTAGACTGAGTGACACCAAGTGGGTATAGTGATCATCTGAGTTGACATCCATGAAAGAAAAAGGCCAAGGGAACTTAGTGGCCTAAATAAACTTTGGGTTCTTCCAAAAACATTCTTTTATATTTATCTTGCATATACACAAGGCTGACACTGACACATGTTTAAGCATGATGAGGTACACTAATCGTGATTAATCGTGGGACCCATCTAGTAAACATCCTCACTTTCGTTTGAGTAAGATCGATGCACGCAGGGAAACAACCAAGACAGATTTTATAATGGAGAATGGCAGATCACCAAGGAAATAAAGTGGACATTTGAAGAATTAAAACTTACATAGATTTGGAAAGTAAGATGACATAAGTAAAGGTCATCAGTACATGGATGCATGTGGCGAATGATGATAATGTCTTTCTAAGCAGACCCTCCTCGCCTTTGACCTCCTTTCTATTATACCCACACTCGGTTATCCAGGGTAGCATGATGATGATCGCGAGACCCTAACCCTAATCCTAACCCTAATCCTAATCCTAATCCTAATCCTAATCCTAATTCTAATCCTAACCTGTTTTGACTGGTATGTGGTCGTCTTCAGAGCAACTGAGAATGCTGTTTTAGTTAGCTGTTTTCATAGCTGAGAATTCAATTAATATTAATTTAGTGTTCATATGATGTGAAGGTGTAGCTCTGAAACATTTTAAAACACCAAGTAACGCTCGAAACATTTTCGCACAGCGCTTAAAATGAAATGAGCACAATAAATAAAATCGATGGTTATTTCTTCAAAGAGTATCTGTTCTCTTCTATACGTTCACTATATATAAAAGCCTTTTCATTTATGGCTTAGTGATAGATGCATTGTCTTTTGTGTACAGAATCACAATGCTTGCAAAAGTTCTTGGTATATACTATACAGAATCATGGAAATTCTATGCCATTGCTTTATACTCGTATTAGCAATTTATTTCGCCTAAAGCTCTAGCCAACACAATCATTAGTTTATTATCTCGCCTAAAAAACAGTTTGTTCAAAGTTTGATTGATTGAGCATTTCACGCTTTCGTCGGCGTTACTGTCGGGATTTTTCCTTGTATGCATTGGTGAGAACATTTGAAAATTGCATGTACTAGGCTATTGATAAGCAGCGTTTCCGTCAGCGTGTTGTCAGCGTTTCCATTAGCGTTTTGTCAGCGTTTCCGTCAGCGATTTTCAGCGTTCCCTTCAGTGTAGCTGTCAGTGTTTCCTTACTTGTTGATCTTTCAAAACACAAAATTTGAAAAATATCATCATTTAAGCTGTCAACGATCTAGATGTAATTTAAAACATCAACGAAATAAAATCTTTAAAATGATCATAAGTGCCTTTAAAATGTTTTTCAGCCAACCGTTACAATCAAGGTGTATCTGCCATCTGTTATAATCAAGAAAACTGTTGCAAATGTCATGGTAAACTGATTTTTTTACCATTTTCAAAACCATTTCCTAACAAAAACAGCCCTGACGTGTGCTGTATGAAGCTCTTTTCCAAGTTCTGAATTCGTATAAATAGATGCTCTTGCTACATTAAATTAAAACATTTTTAATTTTCAATTCGCTTTTCAACGCTCCGTCTACCACCAACACCATCCCACCCCACCCCACCCCCTCCAAGCTCACTAAGTCATGCATCTTGCCTTGGTCAACTGAGTCTTATTTCCAAAGTTCTAGCGTTTGATCCACTAAACTTCTTACGCAAAACACTGATGAAACTTTTAGTTCTCTGTTTGATTGCAAAAAACAGACAGTTGAAGGATGCAAAAATTAAAGACAATTAATTGAAACACAAAAACATTTAATCTTTTCTTTTATGAGAAAAGCAGTTATTTGCCACTATATATGTTTCACAAAGTCAGCTGAGTGTCGTCCAATGTTATTGCTAATTAAGACATTTGTTCTTTTATTTAAAGAAAATAACCAGGAACAAGCTAGCGTCCAGACATTACTTTTTGTAGTAGCTCGGGTAGAAATAATTCTGATAAGCCTGGTAACATATGCAATCTTTGCCAGTAACAGCGTTCTTCCATTTGTCCGGCTTCACGACTGCACAAGACCCACATGACCGGATGCCCGGGTTGCAAAACAGAAATTGACAACTGCATCCGTACAGCTCCCGGAAGTCCATGCAGTTATACCGGACCTTATCAACTCGGATCCATTGACGCATGCTTCGTGTTTCTATTGATGTCTCTCGTGTTTGTTCGTCGCTTTTTGCAACTGCATCTTCGGGCGTTTCCAAGTACATTCCATTAGCTACAAATTTATAATTATAATTAAAATACAGAGTTATATTGTATTCGTTTGAACATAAGAAAATCAATGAGACCTGAAAGTACACACCTCGTGGCTGTCCGTTTCAACGTTGGCAGAAAATATTTTCTTTCTTAACCTTAATACTCACATTAACAAACTGCTTTAATTTCCATCTTTCAAAGGTACTATGGAAATTGTTCTTTTCAAAGATAAGGACACAATTTTCGGTTCAACTGATTTTTAATATATGTGTGCTAGTGACTGACTAAGTAGTTTTATTCGTGTTATCTTGAGTTTTACTTTTCTAAAAAGCAACTCTTTGACATTTGGTAGTTGAGCAACATTAATAACTTATTGGTGCTAAAACAAACAGGAAGCTAAAAAAACTGGGTGAATAGAAGAGGAAGGTTGCAACTTGCGGTGTCCTGTTCTTCTCGCAAAAGCATTAACAACTCTGCCTATATGGCATTGACCATCTGATGTCAGACCAGTAAACAGCAGTCTCATTTTTTAAAAGAAAATGGCTTTCCTTGTGTAAATTCATTTTAATTTCTAGATTATAATCAACATACCACTTTCTGCGAAGAAAAAATACACATTACTTGTATTTTTGATATCACACTGGCATAGCTGTTGAAGATGTTGTTCTTTTTGTCAAAGCAGATTTTGCAATTTCCATTTCCTAATGGTATTCCGAAAAACAACCCCAAAATTTCATCATTTAAAACTTTTCTACAAAAATTACGTTAAAATGTTCAGTACTGTGTACATTATCAATAAATATTGTGTTGCACAGAAAGATATTCAGCGTCTGATTGAACAATATTTTTGTTGTATAGTCAAGGACGGGTTCAAGCAATATGATTGAAGGGAGGGTGTTAGATGCTTGTTGGATGTTGGTGCCACACCCATCCGGCTACTTAAAAATTGTGGAGGCCCCCATTTTCAATATTCGTTTTTAGCTGTACGATGAAGAAGAAAAGAAGATAAATAATGGAAAACCTTTGCGTTATTTTGTTACTGCTGAATACCAAAAATAATTTTTACCGAATAGAGCGAAATTTACCGATGGAATTACAAAAATTTGGGGGAGTTCCACATCCCTACACCCATTGCCCCCTCCTGTCCTGTGTATAATCTGTTCCTGTGTATAGTTTATATCCGAAGCAAAAGTTTATATTCTCACCTGTTAGTAAGAAATACGCCAGTGCGATGACAAAAAGAGTTTCCATTGCTCTTGTCATTCTGCTGTTGAAACAGAACGGAGAAAAATGTCAAGCAAAAAGTTCTTATACACATTACAGCCGTACAGGATCTTGGTGTCACGCACTTTTCTTTTTACAAGAACCAGTAAATTTTTGTTCAGGCTGACTTTTTTTAATTTTTTCGAAAATCTGAGGCTGGATTGTTATTGATTTGTTCTTAAATTGATAGGGTGCAAGCAGTGCGATTGCTAGCTTTTTTGTTTTAGGGAGGTGTTCAGGCCTCATTTGCCAACAGTGTCAGTGAGACAGCCTACATTTGCCAAAAAGTTTGAATATTCACCGAAAAAGCACTCACACACGGCAAAAATTTTCGTTTTTTGAAATTAAATGTTGTTCAAAAATGCATTTTGCAGTAGCTCAACCTCAGCTTGTTCTTAATTTGTCCTTTTGACCAATTTCGTGTTAAAATTGTTCTTATAAGAAGAAAAGAGTGTGATTTGTATTAACGTACCTTTTGGACGATCCTTATCCAGGCGCTTTACCCTATATGTGATTTCGTATGCCGAGAAGTACCTTAGTGTCGAATCTTTCAGTAATCTAAGAAAAATACATACTTATCTTGTAAAAGAAAATATTCTTTTAAAGCATATATAATCCTCCTTCTGCAGCATAAGAGCAGAAACCACGAAGAAATTCGAAAACCTTTTTTCTATGATTTGCTTTACCGTTTTAGATACTCAAATCCGGGGGTCATTTGAAGCGCAATTTTCATAATCGGGGGGTTATCACATCTCTTAGCAATGAGACGCACAAATTCTTGCGACAAAGATAAAAACATTATTGATGTTATAAGAAAGATTTAGATTGCTTTACAGAAAGAAAAAGTAAGTTTAGTTTTCAAGTTGGGTTTTCTGAAGAATTTTATGAAAAATATCTCTTTACTATTTAAGTTATTTGAAAACCTTTGTCCAAAGACCTTTGCTTGCACTTCTTGAGCGGTGCTAAAATGCTTTTAACCACAAATATTCAATGTGAAAGACTTATTTCTTATAAAATAATTATTGCGTTGGATGCCATGGATGATTCTCTGAGTAGTTGTCGGAACACCGATGTGGCCTGTTTAGCTATTACAAACAGTCTTTTAGCTATCGTTAAGTTAATAAAAATTTCTACAAGCATCTTGACAGCTTTTTTTGCAAGTCAAGTTAAGCCTAAATTAAGATCTTCTTTACTGAACTTTTTGAGTTATTGCTAGTGCTCTTGACTGCACAGAAGACCAAAAGAGGCTTTTGAGTAAAATTGCCTTGATGCATGTTATTTCTCTAATTGCAAGCAATGCAAGCATGCTTAAGAAGAGGTACCACGGAAGCGGAGTGAGCTACCCCCCTCACCAAAACAATTCCAAAACATGCTTAAAACCATTCAAAAATCGCCCTAACGTTTTAGACCCTGTGATATGTGCTCAGTTTGTGATATGCTCCGTAGTCAGTGGTCCTTACTTATAAATTCCTTCACTGCATTTTCCCGCTGCATTAAGCACGAGAAGATACGGCAACGCAAACTTGGGTTCTTGCTTGTAACTTCTCCGCAGAAATCAAATTTTTAAAGCTTATCGCAGAATTTGTAAACTTTCGCTATAATTCTAAGAATCTGGTGGCGCAAAGTTTCCGCGAGAAGCTTGGCTAGAAATTGTGTATAGATTTTAAGAATACTGAATTATCAACTTGGATAATCTGTTAGTGGTTGTGGAAAATCTTTTCATCTCTTGCTAAACAAGTAAACGCGGAAACAAAAGCATTTTAGAAACCGAATTGAGATAAATACACGCGCAGATTTGCATGACCCGGAATCAGAGATAGAAGTCAGATTAATAATAATAATTATTATACATATTTAGCTTGATTAAATGAAGTTTAATCATTTTCAATATATGACAGAGTACATCTTTTTGGAGTCTGTTAGGCTTCTTTTGCACAGATTGCACGATTGTGGAGTTTGTGTTTATTGTAGCAGTGCTCAAGTAACATTACATTGTGTATTTGTTACGCCCAAAGCAAAAAGTGTGCAAGTGTGCATTGGCCTTGGGTATATAAACTTTATGTTGGCATAGTTTCATTCTCGCACGTTACAAGACAACCTGAAGTTGGACGATGGAGAGCAAAGGTTTTTCCTTTGCAATCCTGCCCACTCAACCCAGTTCTAGATATTTTTCAGGTTTTTATATGCATGTCAACATTCTAATTCCTCTTCATGCATTAGTTAATGGCCGTGGGGCTTGCAAATTTTGCATTAATAAAGTATTGCTGGTCTGCGGAAGAAGGCCGTCGTTTCTTCTTCTCAATCCCCTAAAAATGGTTGGGTTTTTATTCATGGCCTTCTTTGCTATTGGCGCACCGACAGCCAAATAATATACATATATAAAATTATTTATACAGACCTTTCAGTACAATGAAGTACTGCAATCGATAAGGTTCTTGCACAATGCAAGATTTTTTGCATTTAACAATTGATTTGCAAATTGAATCAGAATGTTATTGGTCTAGCTACCAGCATGATCTTGTGCTAGGCCTCTCTCTCTCTCAAAAGATTGAATAGATACATATATAAATAGATAACCCAGGCTAGTCTAACAACTATCTTTTACTGAACCATTTCTGCGAATTACTTGCTTTCGCTTTTATATAATCCTTCGTTGCTTGTTTTTGAATAACGGTTTTGGAGCTCGCTAATTACTTACCCCTACTGATTACTCTTACAGAGCATCGACATTTACCTCATTACTGAGTCTATATTTGCCAAAGTTTCATGTTTGAAAAGTTACCAATAACCTGTACTAGTGTTCTTTGCTAAGAATCAAATAAAATACAGTAGTTTTCAAGGGAAGACTTTAATGCGAACTGTGAAAAATGGTTTTGTTGATCTGACAACATAAAAAAGCTTCTATGACCAATAGCAAGAAACTTATGCGTTTCGTGGAATGCAGATATATTTGCCTATTAAGTAAATAAGACAACTAAGCTGCTTTAAAATGAAAAAAACCAACAAATGCTTTCCGTGTTTACAATTTGATAAGAAAGTAGCTATTTAAAATGCATTTTTAGGCTTTAATTTTCTCGTCTTTCGTGCGTCTCAGTATATTTTAAGTCAATCAATATCATTTGTTTTGTATGACAATTTTGAGGTTAGCATATAAAAATAAAAGCAAGGCAATGTTTCTGGCTAACATAGAATATGTTTTAATATAGTTCAATATATATTATAATGATGATTTAAAGCTCCAAATATATTGGAACCTATGTTTCCATTAAAGCATGCATTGACAATACTTCAGTTGGATAAGACAAATACAACATGTAATACAAACCTGTGAATATATTTCAAGGCGTTTGCAATGTTCATTTAGCTTCGTGCTCTTTGTGGCTTTGACTACGACTGCACTCCTTTTAATAGTGCTTGCAAACCAACCAATACCGCCGTTACGCAATTGCAAATGCATCCGTGAATGTAAGGTATTTTCTCACGATTTTGACCAATGAATCAAGGCGGCAGCCAATTATTACAGATGATTGCTTAGTGTGGCAAACTGCACCTGGTAATCAGACTATTTTGACAGAGAAGCTCCGACATTTTACACCACTCTTACATCAAAATAACCTCTCCAGGGGATGATGCCTAAGGCTACCCAACTTGAAGCAACCATTAGTGAACTCGTATTATCTGAATTTTCTTTTTGATCAAACAGCGTAGAATCTTCCTCGTGTTTTTGTTCATTCAAAAGCAGTTTCTATTTAGATACTTTGATCGACAAATTTTTAGTTTCAGATTTACTAAAGCATTGCATCACATTTGTTACTTTCCTTGATCATCTTAGTAAATCAAGCAGCCAGTGCAAGTGCTGCAATTTTTACAAAACCCTACACGAAAAGATCATTTTTCAAAAGGACAAGCTACCTAAACTTGTTCTGTTCATATACCATGAATTCCTGTCTTCTCAACGATGAAGCAGATGTTGAAAGCATGAGGACATTGCAAATTCTTTTGACTTATGATTGAAAAGAAACTACCATTTATTTGCTAAACATTGTTATGTGACGAAGGCTCCTGCTAGCAAATCTTCTTTGTAACTGTTTTAATGAAGACAAAATTATAACTTATTTTATTTTCTTTTTATCTTTCTATTATCTTTTTATGTATATCGTTATAGTATTGTGTTATACAAAGATGTTATTGTAGAATTTCAACTTCGTACTTTGATCATTTTTATGGTATGGGAAATAGTTGAAACAATCAGAAGGAAAAGCGATTCAGTAACAATGACTCTGCAGCCGACTGTACATTACCGACAATTTGACATTAATCCAAAGAAAAAGCATCTTTATCAAGTTTTTAAAAGCCTGACGCAATATTTGCTCAAAGCATGAGCAGTAAGTTGCATCAATTTTGGCAGAAATACACTTACAATAAAGATGGTTGCAAGATATAAGTGCTTGATTCTTTACAGTTCAAATTATACTTAACTGCACATTCCTCCAGGGCTGTTAACTTTCTCCTTTGCTTTTCATTACCTATCTGACATTTACGAAAGCAAGCAAACAACATTAGAACAATGAGTTGCATCAATTGTTGCAGCAGCACACTTTTGATGTTAAATGGTGCAATATTTAATCACTTATTTTCTATACAGTACAAATTATTCTTAACCGCACATTCCTTCAGGATAACAATAACAATTTGTTGTATCAATTGTAGCAGTCAATGTTCTAAAGATAATTTCTCTTGCTTATTCTTTTTTATAGCAACTTGATTGTTGTTAAAAAATTTCAAAGAACATCTTATTCATTTGATGTGTTTTTGGATTCGAATTTTCTAGATTTTGAATGCAAATTTCTAGAACAAGGCAGTGGGCGTTTTAAAGTTAAAACCTCTAGTGAAGGATAGACCAAAGACTTCTAGAATAAACTTTTATACTTATCGAGACACAAGCGTCTTGAATTAAATATTAGTCACCATTAATTTTCATCCTATAGATGATTTGAATGGGCAAATCTGATTCGATATTCAACTTCTTCTCATCAGAATTCCTCAATCTTTTTCTCGTTATTTGGAAATTTTGCAAATAACGTCTCCAAAAAGTAATATTTTCAAAAATAATTGTCATCCATCTGTTGGGCATTTAGGCCCCTATCGATGCGGTCAGCTTTGTCTTGTAAAATGAGGCGAAAAATAGTTCTGCGTGCTGTGTTTGTCGACTAGAGATCATTGAGTTTTGGAAATCGTGCTCGTTTGAAAAATCAACAAAATGACAATTAGATACGCTTATAGCACATGGGTGAATCATAAACTTTTAGTTGGTCTGGGCTTTACATTTTTTTTGCCATACAAAATGTTTTGCGGTAATGTGCTTGCGTTCTTCTGATTTGCCTATTTCGATCTACAACTGGGAAAATATTTTCCATCGTGTTCTTTCGGACCTTCATTCTGACGTTTTTAATTCTGAGGAGAGAGTGTCAGACGAAAAATGCTTTTAATATGTTTTAAAAATTTTTGAAAGTTCTGTACTGCCAAAAAAATTTCACAATAATAAACCAGCTCATTTTCAAACCAGCTAACTTACAGTCTCATTTTCAAAAATTCTTCAATGTTTTTTTTCTTCTTCAATGATTGAAGGCAAGAATTTTAGTCCACTTGGAAATTGTCATAATGTTTTTGCTCACGATACTTATTTTATGACGACATGAAGATGAAAACATTATTAACTGCAAAGGTTTTCAAATTTTTTGATAATTCATCCCCACCCTACATGTCAGAGATGTTCTTATCAGTTGGCCAGAGCAGAGTCACTCGAAATTCTAAAAACAAACTGAATCAACCTTTCCAAAAGAAAAACATAGGGCAAAATTGCCTCTCATATCTTGGTCCCAAAATTTGGAACAATCTACCGTAAAAACAAAAATCTGCACAAAGAGCGTCAATAGTTTCAAACACAAAATCAAAAATAAATTCTTGGATGATCTACAAAGTCAAGATGATAGCCACTACATATTTTATTGAAAACCTAAAATCAGCCAACGAAAAGGTTCTAGTTAACATTTTCCAGAAGTACTTTCTTTCCAAGTTTTGGATACAAACTCCATTGTTCATGAACACGTTTCTTTTTATAACACTTCTGGAGGGACCGTTATAGAAACACGGTTGTATTGACCTTTTTAATGCTATCCCTGCTATTTTTAACCAGGGGTGTTTTTTAGTCTATGTTTTTAACTTTAATCGGCCAAATCACTCACAAGTTTTCAAACTTCATTTCTTTGTAAAATCTAAAATACATGCATAAACAATATGAAGAATTGTATCCGGCCTAAAATTATGGTGATAAAACCAAATCTGAGCTTAAAAAGTGGTACAATTTGGTGAAATTGCCACCGTAAGTTGAATTGGTTGATCGTGTAACAAATATGCAGTGAAGAAAATTTTAAAATGTTTCATTGCTCATTATGAGAGATTTATTTCTAAAGTTCTTGAATGTGATTTCATGAAAATATCTGTTTTAGAATATATCGATTTTTTACCACATAGCCTATTATAACACCATGAAATTCTGCTAAATATGTAAAAATCGGTTAAAAATGCCAAAAAATTGGGTGAAATATGGCCAGCAAAATTTGACGGATAACTATTTTTTGGCTCTGTTCATAACGATGTGACACTGATTTTGTACATTTCGTTGCAATTCATATTGATTTCGCAGGTTATGGATCCCAATTAAAAAATTCTAGAAATAGCCTTTTGTGACGTAATCACTTAAGAATTCTGTTGCTCTTCATATTCATTAATGTATTAATATAATAATATCTTTCTCCAAGAAGGTAATATTAGAATGAAGATACCAGCTTAAATTCTTATGATTCTTATATAAAATCTGGAAGTTTTGAAAGTTAAGTATAAAACTAATTAAGACCACGTTCCAAATCAGTAAAAAATACGCTAAAAGGTACAATAGTGTCATTAGTAACTTCTTTTAAATGTATCCACGAATTGAATGAACTGAATGCATTTTCGTGACAATGAGCCGTCAAAACAAAAATATAGGCTTTCCGCAAAGCTACTCAGCTTTTCGTTCACATAAACAGGTATTCATTGTCAAGACCTTCAAAAGTCTTTTTCTTCAACGATGGGAGAAACAGCAAAAGGTGAAGATGAATCTTTTACATGCAGTTTGAAGTAGAGAAAAAAGTAATTGAAAGAGCGACGGAAGTTGTTTAAGAATTGTTCAAAGAATACGGGGGATTGATAATTTGGTCTACAATGATTCTCGCATAGTTTTTTTTCTTTATACCATAATGCTAAAAAATGCAAGAAAATTGCGGGAAGTGATGATCTTCCAAGATTCTCTTTAAGAAATTTCCAAATTTTAACAATAGTATTGGATAAAAAACAGAAAACCGCCATTACATGAGAGTTGTTTTGCTTACCAAGAAGGTGGGAGGAGGGCAAAGCGAAGCAGCCCCCTTTTGTGGCGCAAACTCTGGACAGAACTTTGAAAGTTGTTCCAAAGGTAAATTTTCGATATAATTTCAGCTCTATTTTCGGAGTTACTGCATAATTCACTGAAGTAAAGACATATTAAAATTACTAGCTAAAAATTTAATGTCGTGAGTGTTAACCTGGGTAACAGAGCCTAAGAAATGAAAGCAAAAAATAATTTATCATCTTCTGTACCTTTCTAATGTTTTTGGCTCTTGTACTAAGAGAGTAGGATGCAATAAAATTCAGTATTCTTTGACAGATGGCATTGAAGGTTAATATCTTGTAGATTATATAATTCAATTCATCATCAATTTTACCCTTTGTTAGAAGAGGCCTATAACTTCTCGTCGAATTTTGAAAGCTAGAAACCAGTTAATGAACAATTGCATAGTCAGAATGAAAGCTCTCAGCACGTTCTTGATAAGTTGTTCTTCTGCCCACAGAAAAGACGCAAAATGTGTGGTCCTTGTACATACAGACAAAGGGGTTGAACTCCAGGTAAAATGAATGAATTTTCTTGTTTGGGCTTGGTAAGTAACGATGGTTTTAGGGGAAATTGTAGGAAAAGCAACCAACAAAATCATTGCACACAAAAAAATATTGCACTCTCATATACCTTGTGAAAGATCACTTTGGCACAAGCATATAGATATGATATCAGCCTGATGTAATTCTTAGTTGATGAAAATCACTGTTTACCAGTCTATTTTGAATTGTTCGATGCAGTACAGGCAGAGCTATACAAAGGCTTCTTTTTGACAGATCCTAGTTTCAGAGTTATTCTTGACAGGTTGTTTTACTTTTTTCCTTTTTTGGAACTAAAAGCTCAGATAAATGTTTTCACATATCGTAAAAAGCATGACAGGAAAATTATTTTTGTAAATTCAACTTTTATCAGTTAGTCTAGCATATGAAACCTTTGAATTAAGCTCTCAAAACACGATACTGATTCTAGAACATATGTTGAATAAATTATTCTTAAAAAATATGATACAAGAAAACAAGACATGATACAAGGCTGTATATCTTAAAGGAGTCTAACCTAAACCACGAGAGGCATGAAAAGCTCTTTTGGCCTAGGCTATTTATTTAATATGTTGTAAGTCAAGATGCACGTTGATTGAGGCACGTTGGAACAAGAATAGCTGGCGGAAAATTCTGTTGGGTTTCATTGTACTTATCGGCTAGAAAACATTTGCTAAAAACTTTCGTTATGATAGATGAATGATATACTCTTCCTTGTATGCTGTATGCTAGAAGGGGTCATCTTTTTATTTGTTTGGCAATTCTGTATACCTCTTTGGAAAATTCCCTATTTACTTTGGTTATTTGCTCTATCTTCAAGTTATATATGCAAAATTGCCACTTTGAGATAAAGACTTTAGACCAAGTATCATTGGAAGGTGCTTTGCTATTCTGGGGACTGGAAATAATAGGGTGGGTGGAAATTTTCCCAAATATAATTAAAAGGGCATGAATGGCCAGTAGTCCTTTGAATCTGGAATAGAAGAAGTATATACAAGACAATGGTTTCTTAGAAAAGAACAAATCATTTCAGAATATTAATTTCTAAATAATATGTCACTCTTTCTTTCTTTCTATTATTTTCCTTACGCATCCATGCGCTTTGTTGTATACAACTTGCAATGCAATTTCTCAAAAATGGGAAGCGGGGGATCTAGAACACGGCTGTCATGGGTGAACTTTTTTCGAATTAACAATCGGAGGAAAGAGACATTGATTCCAGATTCGAGAGTAACTGTTTTTCGAACCACTTATTTCATAGTCAATAGAAAGATTATTTCATAGTCTTTTACTATTGACTAAGCTTATTCCAACTTGCGACTTATTAGCCTCCCTATTTGCTGCGAAGGAGACAAGGAAACAAGGAAACAAGGGAATTTGCTGCTTTATTGATCTGATTCTCGGCTGAAAAGGGAAGACACATTGGTATGCCGCAAATGCAGCCAGTATTTGATGACAAAAGAGGGAATAAATAGACATAGATGGTAATAATCATTTTTATCACCTCAAGTAGCTATTTGGTGCTAGCTCTTGCATAATATTGTGATGCCCTTTCGAGAGATTCACCCGCAAATTAACCTGGTACCATGGTTATCATGTGCAGGCCTAGTCTTGCTTTTAGATAGTTGTATCTATCCACGCAATTGATTTTGTTTTGCTTTTTTGGCAATGTATTGATAAAGGAATTCAAGAATGGCTTATTTAAGAAATTATTCATATGTGCACCAGAAAGACACCAAAACCATTAATACATTGTAATAAAGTTGTGTCGAAAACCCAATGTTAAGAAAATTGGTTAAACCTATCTGAATATGGTTTTCATTGATCATTTGTTAAAATGTCGCCAAGTTGCAATCACATTACATGGAGAAACAAGATTTATGTACAACGCTCTTTTCAAGACAATATGATCTAAATACCCAGAAGTTTTACATGAAAAAGGTTGTTATAATTTCTCTAGTATGGCAAACGTTTACCATCATACTGTAAAATTCTGATTTTAGCCCCCCACCCTCAAAGTATTTTCCCTCTGATATAAGTCCCCCATTCATTGGATGTAAACTTGCTTCCAATTGTTAGCCCCTCTAAATATAAGCCCAGGGCCTATTTTTGAATAAAGATTTAAATGCACCATTTTATCCCTCCAACACAAATCATGCCATTACTGTTATGTTCCATAATGTTGCTTGCTTTTTTAGCTCTGAAATGCTGTAATCTATTTTTACAAGATAATGATTTACTTATAAGTAAATACACAATGTCTCTAACTGAAATTTAAACAAATATCGCCAGTGCATGTACATCAGGGAATATAATGTACATGCACCAGTGATGGACACTTGGGGGCAGGGGGATTGCCCTTCCAATACTTTAGAGGACAATGCTATTTTGTTCTAAACAATGGGAAAATAGGACATCATCTTATTAATACAATAGGGTTGCCCCGCCAATATTTGACCAAGTGTCTACCCCTGACATGCACTGTATTGGTCTCTCATCGCAGCCCTGTTTTCTTATGAAGAGCCACAGGATATCAAATAGCAATCCTCATTGTTACCTAAACCATGTTTGGGTGCTGAAATTTTTAATTAACTGTTCAATCATTTTTAGAAGAGTGATCTAGCTTAGCCTATCAATTTATGTATATATCAGGTTTAAAGCTGATCTTTACTCAAAGTCGTTATACTTTCTAAAATAAATTCAAGTATTTACTTATTTTAAATCATGGCTTCTATTCAAGGGCTATTTCTATTTACTTTTAAACCACTGCATTAGTTTTGAATCTGTTTTAGTTATGATTTGCTATAGACAAGACAGAATTGACTGAACAATTGACTGAAAGACGGTATGATAGATATGTGTGAATAAAGAAAAGGCCACAAAGCTGGCTGCTTGATAGACTCTGATAGAATTCTTGCGGCAAAAAAACAACTAAAATGTAGTGAATAAGGAACACCGCAATGCACAGAGAATAAACAACAACAAACACACCGAAAGCAGTTATGGCTAATTTTTGGCCCCTGTATACAGGGCTTCATCAGATCAAAAGTGAAACCTGTATGCCAGGGCATTGTGGACATGAAATTTTAGGCAACCACTATTTTTTTGGAAAGAAAATAGTATTTTGTTCTCTAAAATCAACAATTAAAAGTACATACAATGACTTATTCAAATGCTGTTGTTTTTGAGCAAGTTAACTTTGTTGTTTGTGAAATTTTGAGTAAACTGGCTAAACAGGATGCTTAGTGCAAAGTTACTTTACAGAGCAACAGAGGAATTTTTTCAATCTTCCTCTGATTATATGATACAGACCTGTCCATATGACTCTTAACAGGGGTGCAGTAAAGAACTCTCCTAGTTATTTCCAAGTGAGCTATTTGTAGTTAAATGGAAAACATTTATTTCAAGGAGAACAACTTGCTTTTTAGGACAATTTAGGAGAGCTATCTAGAGCTCCCCTCCAGCATTTAAGGAGAGCCTGGAGGGAAGCAAGAGCTCTGTCAAAATTTAACTTTTAGATGAATCAATTCAAGCAGGCTAATGCTACTATTTCCCTGCTCTTCTAATTCTAAGGCAGGACGTTTACAAGTATTGTTATGATTAAAGTTCTTATTTTAGTATGACATTTTTTAGTATGAGAAAATTCTTACTTGCAGACTGAGATCACTTTATTGTGCCACAAAGTCTACTAAGAAAGACCATTCAATCATTTTTTATCAAGATGTCTATGTCTGCAGTGTATGTCCTTGACCTAAAGGGAAAGGTAGGCTATGAGATTTTCATTTATTTAACTTGGTGAAATATTCATCCCTGTAAGTTGCAGTTCATTGATAGCATCCTTCACTGTGCTCAAAGTATAGAAGAATATAGATTTTTAAGATATTTTACCAATTCTTAAGTATTTTTCCAGGATTATTTTAGCTGTTATTTGTATCAAAAGTGTTCCTTCAGTAAGAAAACTCGATTTTTATTTTTTAGAATCTTATATCCCGTAATTACCGTGGAGACATTGATTTTGGTATAATTGAAAAGTTTTTGCCACTTGTCCTGGAAAGAGAAGAAGAAGAGGCAACTTCTCCAATTATTGTTCATGGAGATGTTACATTTGTGTATATTAAAAATAATAACCTATATAGTATCCTTTCATAGTTGTGTATCACAAAGCAAGTATTGAGGACTTTCAGTTGTCAAGTTTTTTTTCAAGTTTGGCTTTTGTGATCATTTGTTTATCAACTTTAGCACCCCCTATGTTTATTTGATTAGGTTCCATTATCTGAGAAGGATAATTAAAATAGACATGAATAGAGAAAGGGCAGCAGGGGAAATTCTGTGCAGCTCCTTTTTTGATTTTTCAACACAAGAAAAACAATTGTTGTTTGGTTACCCATGTTTAAGATAAGGAGTGACAGACACTAAAAGATAAAGTGATCACTCCTTTTCTTAAGTTTTGTGAGGCAAAGAGCAATTGGTTAGCTGCAATCTGTGAGTTCCTAGCTCTTTTGCTGATTACAAACTTAGTTAGCCTTGAATGCAATAATTTGCACTTGCGCTTGCAAAAAGCATCCCATTATTATTAATGGAGTTTCCCTTCTGCCTTTGTACTATTCTGTGATACTGAATCCAATTTTATAAAACATGTATATATTAGTATATTTTTTATGACAATGCTTCAAAAAAACCTAAATACCATGCTTTAACAATTTTGCAATATCTTAGCAGCATGCATTACCAATTTGGAGGCAATTCTCCAAAATGGTATTCATCAGAAATTATCTTTGTGAAACTATATCCATAAAACTATGTGAGGAATTATTTTTAAAATTATTAATAAAGTGTCCAAGCATGTAAATGATTATGTTTTCACCCTTTTTTAACCCTTTACGTGCCATTCATCTGATTAGAAGATACATATAATAATAGTTTGTCTTTCAGCCCTGCTATTTATCAATTCAATGTTTTGGTTTCCTTAACTTTTTGTTAGTTGTTGCCACAACAAAGACAAATGCTAATGTTGCCCTGATTTTTGTCTTTCTGCATAGGTTAGTTCAGGTGAGTTTCAAAATTTGTCATTTATCACTAATTTTGAAGCATTCCTAGTCAATAAATTATATTGAGACAGAATGTTAGTGAGTGATTAAACCAAGGTAAGACTGGACCCTGAAACAAAAACACTTTACGCTGTTGCTCAACCAACTGAGTTTTCTAGTCACTGTTTCAAACCAAGCTTAAAGCTGTGCCACTCCAACAGACTGACCTTCATGTCATGACACACACTCGTGTTCTCTTTTTCTTGTATATTATCTTTAATCCTGTTCTGCACTCAATGAATGAACTAACTTTTGTTTTTCAGGATGTTTTTGAAAAACCTTTGGGTGGGAGGGGGGATGGAGTAATCAGATCGATTTCCATTTTCGTTCTTTCAAGATAACCCCGTTACGAAGAATGCTGCTTAAGAAAGCTGCTTTTGCGAATATTTCGAAATACGTACAAAATGCTAAAAAGGCATTTCCAACATTTACCGAGAGTCTGAAGGACGTGGTCCAGAAATTCGTTTATTCACCCCCATTTTTCAGGCTGGCGACGCCCCTGAGAAAATTTGATCATTATTTTCTTTGCTGCATGCTTGGTTATCTCATTCAAAATTTTTGCACAGGTGTTTGTAGACTACTTTCGAGAACTAGAAGAGGAAAGTATCAGAGACAACTTTGTTTTGATTTATGAGTTGATGGACGAGCTTATGGACTTTGGCTATCCCCAAAGCACAGAGACCAAGATCTTACAAGAGTATGTGTAGAAAGTTGTAAATTCCTTTCATTTTACTTCAAGTACATTTTGTGTGTGGCAGCTTGTTTCTGTCCAGTGGCGTAGCGTCGGGGTATTCAAGGTATTCAGTGAATACCCTGAGATTTCTCAGAAAAAAATATTAATACGACGTAGAATTGTAATAAGTAAAAAACGTTTTTGGGCTATTGATTCTGGTTGAATTCGTTACCTTCGATATTCTACATTTTGTATAAGTACAAAATATCACGAAATTGATGGAAACGATAACGCTGCGAAGCATAGATAAGCTGGGAGGTCTTTGAAGCTAATTTTGAAGATTGAGCTACTTCATGTTGAATGGAGATCGGTCATGAATACGCAGTGAATACCCTAGACGGTACTTTAACCAATCAAAATGATCCTTTCCATGAATAATATTTACCGTTAATCAGCTAAAACAATGCTCCTGTACGCTGAGAAATATGCAGCGTACAGCCTCAAAGTTAGTTCAAAATAGTCTCGTTTTGAGATCGATATAAACAGTTAATGGACGTCGGAGCCGTTGGAGTGATGGAGCTTCATGAAAAACAGTAAATATGACTTAATTCAAAAACTATTGCAATGTCCGTATTACTGTTTAATAATCATTCTCTCATTTGACCCCTGATCTTAACCTACCAAAAGCAAAGTGGAAAGGAAAGGCAGGCTTCTGCATAATACTACACTGACTCAGATCTGTGCCCTTTAGAAATACCAATTTTGTTATTGCTTGTCAATCAGGGATGCTCCTGTTTGCATTATGTGATAGAATTAAAGTAAATGCAGATTGGCTTGGATAATATCCTTATAGTTGCCTGGTGCATTCAGTTATATTGTTGGCCTTTTTTGCTTGCATTATTCGAGCGCATTCAGTTGCATTATTGTGCAGTCTCATCTCATTACCTTCGATTCTTTCAACCATTAATCTGTATCGAAAATATCACTATTAGGTCATGAAGAAAAAAGTCTTTACTGCATACCACAAACCATTTATAACTCGTGTAATGCTCTATGTGAATAATTTCGAAACTTTCGAAAGCCCTTTTGTATTAAGGCATCAAGAGTAGGTGTTTACAGTTACTTCCTCTTTACATCAGTGCAAATTTTTGACGATTCAACAACAACTATTGGGACTTATTTCGACCAGTAAAATGTTACTGACTTTCAATGATATGTTTTGATTCGAATTACTTTTGATGAAATGGTTAGTGGTAATTTGATGCAATGTATGAGTTCGAAGAGTGTATTTGCGTTGGGTTCTTCAGCAAAGTATCGTTTTCATCATAGTAATGCCCTGACAGTGCAGTACTTGCAAATGAACCAAAAAGAAAATTAGATAAAATTTCAATAGCTAGTCCTTTTAATCTTCCTATTATCCCCTTGTTTTCATCAAGCCCCATTGAGCCACACCCTGCCCCATCCTTTTGTTAAATAGAGAATACCCAGTTGAAAAAGTCACGCTACGCCACTGTTTCTGTCTTGAATTGATTTATTCTGATTGAACTTTGAGTTTATTCATCATGAGAAATTTGAAAGATCGATTTTTAACAATTTTTTTCATCTGGCAAGAATAACATATAACTTCCTAAAACGAATGTGTTAAATGTAGCTTTCAATATCTTGGAACGATGCCAATATGTTTTCGTATCTTAGTAATTTTTGAACAAATTGGGCAGAGGACGAAACATCAGCACTAAATAGTAATGCTAACTGTGATTTGTATAACTTTCATCATTAAGATAATGTTTTATATTTGTGAATTTTGTTTATTTGCTGCATCGCACTTTTGTGTATAGAACAGGGCGGTTTTAAGTTGCAACTTAGTTTCACGCTCAATGCTATCAACAGTCAACAGATGTACAAAACTGCCCATGGCTCAGGCTACACTACCACCTGCGTAGGCTACATTGCCAATTGCGTAGGCTACACTGCCAACTGCGTAGGCTACACTGCCAACTGCGTAGGCTACACTGTCAACTGCATCGGCTACGCTGACAACTGCGTAGGCTACACTGCCAACTGCGTCGGCTACACTGCCAATTGCGTAGGCTACACTGCCAACTGCGTGGGCTACATTGCCAACTGCATAGGCTACACTGCCAAATGCGTAGGCTACACTGCCAACTGCGTAGGCTACACTACCTACCGTATTTCCTCTAATGAACGCCGGCCTCTATTGAACGCCGCACCCAAAATTTGGAGTTCGTAATAAACGCCGCGGCGTTCTTTAAAGGAAATACGGTGTGCTTCACAGACCACTAGATAGCATGCTAGACCTATAAAATAGTGTTTTCTGTCACCTACCTAAATACATAATGTATAGCAGACAACATTTACTTTTAACATTCTGTTGTTTTAGATATATTACACAGCAAGGCCAGAAACTAGAAGCTGCGCCCAAACCACCACCGGCTCTAACTAATGCAGTCTCCTGGAGATCAGAATCAATCAAGTATCGAAAGAATGAAGTTTTTTTGGATGTTATCGAATCTGTCAACCTGCTCGTATGTCTGACAATTTTCTTCCTTTTTACGTACATTTCTTCGACTTTAAAATGTTTTATTGAATTCCTTTTTGTTAGTTAATCACCGCTTCTTTTTCAGTCGTTGTGAACATTGAGGTTTCTGACAAACGTCTCATGTTTTTATGTTGGACGACTTGGCTTGTGCTGTTTCCCATGTTGCTTTTCACAACGTCAGGCACTGAAAGAAAATTGTTTGCTGCGAGTTAAAGGCAATCTGTCTCGTTGTGGATTGGTTAACGAGAACAATAGCTGGAACAATAGCCTAAACACGATTCTGGCGCTCCGCCATATTTTTTACAATGCGATAAATTAAAGAGGGACTGGAAACAATAAAAAATCCCTTTGTTTTTATAATCAATCAACGTCGTGACAGATTGCCTTTAAATGCATTTGTTTACTTTGCTCATCGACCAAACGCCATAGTAACAAAAACAATTAAGAAGAATTAAAGCAGAAGAGTCCTTCTTTTTTGTTTGAATTTTGCTTTCTACTGATAATATTAATAATAATAATAATAATATTGTAATAATTTATCAATATTTATACTGTTTTGCTTGGTCAGCTAAGGACAGCTGCTGGAAAACAAGGACCTGTGTCCAGCGTAGTTCACTTGGTTAAGATCGTCATTCAAAACTTTGCTCTCTTAATTTAGGTTGGTGTTTCTGGAAATGTATTAAAGAGTGAAATTGTTGGTTCCGTTAAAATGAAGTGTTACCTGTCCGGTATGCCAGAGTTGAGGCTCGGTTTAAATGATAAAGTACTGTTTGAAAACACTGGAAGTAAGTATTTTAAGATGGTTACATAAACAATATTTTTCTTGCCTATTATCGTAAAGACACACGACGGATGTAGAGCCAAATTGTTCTTTAGTTGTTGAGACGTTCAGGGATACTTGCTCGCATAAACCCCAACCGCAGCACCGGGCAAGAGCTTTCGAAAAAGCTAGGGTTTATTTCAGAAGCAATTGTACCCTCCATTTCTTCGAATTTTTTTAAAAAATTTGCAGTAAATTACATCGGGTCTCTTTCACCTTCCCATCATCAAAACACAAAACACACAACAACAATAGAATCGCTTGATGCTACCTTTCCCAGAATGCATTGCGCGCAAGGTCTAAACTACGTCATAAGGTAAATCGGCTATTGCTCACATGATGTCATCCGCTGCCAAACAATCATACTGAAGTTGCTTTGTATTCCTAAACGAGATTTGAAAAATTTGTCAACTCGTGAAACTATTTCAGATCCGATTGTTAGCTATTGTATAACTAACAAGTTATTGTCTAGCGTTGATTGATTAAAGAGAACAAAACAAAAAGTACAGAAGCAATCACTTGCAATTTTTCACAACCGACCATCGTTGTCTGTCTTTTTTGGCCCGCCTAGGCAATTTTATATCCGTCGTGTGCCTTTGATCATGCAACAGGATCGTAGAAGCGCTTAGCTCAACATTTATGTTTCCTTTTTATGTACCGGTGAGAATGCCAAAAAATCCTTTATTTTGATTTGAAATATGCCTCCCTCTGTTACATGCCCCCTCGTTTGTAAGCCGCCTTTTTTACTCCCTTTTCTTCTAGAGGGCTCTTTAGAGTTTTTGCCGTGAATTTCTTCAGTTCATTTGATTAACATAAATTTTTAATCTTCATTCCAAAGGAAACTGTTATTAGAAAGTAGAATTCTAAGATAATATTTGCCTTGGCTTTATGACATGAAAAAGGAAACCATGCAAGTCTGGCTTTGAAAAAGGATGTGATTTTGAAATCTCTGTTATTTTAAGGATCAAAAAGCAAGTCCGTGGAGCTTGAGGATGTTAAGTTCCACCAATGTGTGCGACTGTCAAGGTTCGAAAACGACCGCACTATATCCTTTATTCCCCCTGATGGTGAATTCGAGCTAATGGGTTACAGGCTTAGTACTCACGTGAAGCCATTGATCTGGATTGAGTCCGTCATTGAGAGGCACCCACATTCTAGAGTAGAGTACATGATCAAGGTAATGCTACCGTCTATTGTCGCTATCAGCTTTGCTATTGAAGAATCTATATGCTTTTAAAGCCTTATATTATCTGACCTAAGTAACGGCAATCTACAACTACCCCCGTCTGAACCTTCAAACAGTATTGTTTTACTGCAGAGTAGGTGCAAGGTGAGGGGAAAACAAGCCTACATCATTTGTATGCTATTCACATTTATTATCGGCATGGTTTCTTAGGGCTGGGGTTTGCAGCATTTTTAGGGGGAGGGTTGCCATTGGAAACAAAAAGGATAGTGGCTATTTTTATAGACTCTAGTAATGACACAGATATTGCTAAAGAACCGCGTATTTCTGTTTTAAATTCATCTATGATGGTTTCAAACGTTTTAATTATAAACCTTTCTTTGACGTTTAGTACTTTTGGTAGTTAAGGTGCATGGTTTGTTCTTACTTATCATTAAGGATCCCAGTTATAAACTACAAGATTTTATGATAACTTCAGCTTAACCATTAATGACAATTCTAATCCTGACATTCGTTTATTCTGCAACAGGCAAAAAGTCAGTTTAAGAAACGGTCGACTGCAAACAATGTCGAAATTGTTATCCCTGTCCCAGATGATGCCGACTGCCCCAAGTTCAAGGTTTGCTTTCTTGCAATTTTATTAGTTTTATTGTATCCAAAATAGAGCTGCCAGAATTGTAACTAGCAGCCCATACGATGCGCCTGCTGCTCCGATAATTCAGAATCTTGGCTGGTTAACCATCAGAAATCTTGTAAGAAAGGAGACAGCCACGCTAACTTACAAATCTCTAAATATGCTTGCACCAGACTACTTGAGAAAATTGATCGAAAAATGTTCGGATGATAGAGAACGGTTTCTGCGTTCATCAGAAATGATCTTAAGATACTGCTGCTAAAAGCGATAAATGGACAAAAGGCTTTTTCTTATCGCGGTCCAAAACTGTGGAACAGTCTAGAAAGGGCTACCAAATTGGCCCCCTCACTGAAAACCTTCAAAGAACAACTATAGTCGGGGACAACTTTTATTTCATCTTTACGTTCACTTTTTATAGCCTTAGTATTATTAAATATTGTAAATTAGGTTTGATTGGTAAATTTCTTTTGTTATTAGTATTATAACATAGTTATTAGCTCTTATTTTAATCTTTTAAACAGGTCAGGTTGAAAAACATATGTATGAACCTTTAACCTGTATAAATATTATCAAATGAAATGAAAATGTATAAATGGGTAGCTTGGAGATTTTTATAGCCAGTTGTTGGTTGAAAAAGGCCAGTCAGAAACGTGATCAAATGATTGCCAAGGTTGCCTAATCAGTGCTGCTTGCCTAATGGAGTTCGATGGTGAAGGCGAACGCCTTCTGATATATGAACAGTTTATGGACGTAATGCGATCAACATAGATTCCAATTAAATTTGAGATCCAAAGGCGCGGTCAAGTTCAAGAAATGGTCAACCAACGGGCCTAGATATATGTAAAAGTTTCTGTTTACTCGCCTGATGTATAAACAGATGCCGTATAAACGTACTTTATGTCATATAAGCGTACTGTATATGCTGTGGTGTATAGGACTGAGTTGCTACTTCGGGTTTCTTGCTTAATGCAGTCATGAGTCAACTGGCTAGTTACACTCACGAGTCGTATTTATATGCATTGACACTACTAGATCATGCTAGTAATAATTGGTTACGAAACAAGGTGCACGTGAACACTTAAAGGTAGAGGTAAAGACTATTTCCGTATTCGATATCGAACGTTGGGGAATACGCTGTTGGGGACGCATCTTCCGGAGTCACCGCATTGTGTTGTAGGGTGGCTACTTTCCACGCCGCTTTTTACCTCCCTAGTCAACTATTATGTGAGCACTACAATATCCCATAACACTCTATACATTTTGCTTTGTTTTGCATTCAGCATTTTTAAGACGACAGGTCATATTTGCTGTTTGGCAACTTCAGTGAAACAGATTAGCTTTTTTTGTAAGCTTTAAAGATTTTACCTCATTTATTCGCTTGGCCCTCATAAGAGACCATATCGTCGTTTAATGTGCACCATGTAATCATCGAGACTCTACTTCTTTTAGACTACCATTGGGAATGTCAAATATGCTCCTGAGCAGTCATCGGTTATTTGGACAATCAAGTCATTCCAGGTACACCTGTAGTATTAGAAGAGTGTCTATGCCAATTTTCTGATAAACTTTTCTTTGATAAAACGTTTGATGAAAGTTTGATAAAATGATAAAATTTCTGATTACTTTTAGTTACATAAACGCTCTTGTATTATTTCACATTTAACATTAGGTACTTAGGTGCTACAATATGGAATCGTTATTTCGATTTTGCCAGTACAATATTCGGTTATTTTTCAGGGTGGAAAGGAGTACTTAATGAGAGCACACTTCGGACTGCCAAGTGTCCTTTCAGGTAAATTTTGTTTTATAGCATTTCAAGTATTGCCAAAGGAGGTCTACATTTCAATGTATTGCTCTAAGTGTTTTATAATTCAAACTATTTTACCACATGATATGAATCTCAATATTCTGTTCAAAATCCATTCAAACTTATATTCTATATGGTATGAAGTTATGAACTTATGTCTAAAATGGTAAGAAATAGCACGAGAATACCATTATTTGCTCCAAGTAGTATAAAATTTAAACATCTATTCAAAATGGTAAAAACTTGAAACTTTGTCCCAAATAGCATGAAACGCAAATCTTTGTCAAAAAATAGTGTGAAATGTCATTATAATAAAACATCTATCTAATACGTTATCAAATTCAAGCCTTTGTCATGCCTGGTAAAAATTTTTACGTTTTATCCAAAAAAGTATGAATTTCAAATAATTATCCCAAGTGCTAAGAACTCAAGGGAATATATGTTTCCTAATGATGACTGATGTGATGAAAATACAGGTATTTTTTGTGTTTTTATTCTTGATTTACATTAGTTACATAACAATGATTTGTGCATATCCTTCATTTGTTCAGAGGAATCTGAAGGTCGTCCGCCCATTTCAGTCAAGTTTGAAATCCCATACTTCACTGTTTCTGGTATTCAAGTAAGTTTTACTGCAGTTAAAATATTTTTTTTATCCCTGCGTCTGCCACACGCAGCGTGAAAGTCTTAGTAATGCAATTCTTTTTTAAGATTTCTCATATTTTCGAAAAAAAGATTTAAGCAGTTTACATTTGAGTGGGAATTTTGTACCGCTCCCCAGGTGTTGTTATTTTCTGTTTTCAAAATTCCATTTGGATGTTTAATTTTTTATGCATTGAAAGTCAAAATCTTAAAGATATCTGTTTGATGTTAGAACTTGTAAGGGCCTTTAATTATAAATTGATATCAATGAAGTTGTGCGTGTTGTACGTCGAAAATGAAAGATTAACTATATAGAGCGTAGTAGGAAATACGAATTTCTACGTCTTATTCCTACTACGTTCCATATAATTAATCGTTCGATTCTACTCTTCTATTCTCTTCTTAACCGTTTCTCCTTCTATTCTTTTTACCTGATGAAGAGTTATGCTCGAAACGTCGTACTAAATATTCATTTCTTGTACAAAGTAGTTTTTTATTTTATCAAATCTTGTTACTTTAATGGTAACCCTACATCGCTGTGTATACAATGAGATGTGTCTTTAAGAACACGAGCAAATTAACGTAAAGCTAGTAGGTCATAAAAGACTTCATAAAGGTGGCAAAACGTTGCAAGCCCATTGCTTTCATCTGTCCTTTTGCGTATCTACATAGATATCAAAATAAAGTTAATATAAATCATGATAATGTAAAGTTTAAAAAATGGTGATATTTGTAAGATATATTGTTCAACTTGGTACTTCAATTCTTGCAGTATCTTTACCAATATATTTTTTGTTTATTTATCTGCTTTCTTTGTTGTTCAAACAGTGACCTCATGGGGCATGTTATTTTTGTATTTTGTCCCATTTTCAATATTAAATGCCTTACTAAATTTTCTTTTTCTGAATTATCGCTCAGGTTAGATATCTGAAGATTATTGAAAAAAGTGGTTACCAGGCCCTGCCTTGGGTACGGTATATTACCCAGAATGGAGGTTCGTAATTTAGGTTATAATCTCAATATGTAACTGAATTTTGTTTTTTCATTACAATTATTTTGCAAATATTGGAGGTACACTTACGTGACAAAAGTATTAGAACGATCACCTCAAAGCAAATGTGGTTAACCCTTTGCTCAAAGAACATCATAAAAATTGGTGGAACATAACGAGATTGCTGGTTGAGATCTTCAATTGCAATTTCACTCAATTGTAAAAATAAAGATATATTTAATAGATTGTAAAAATGGACTCTTTTAGACAATCATAATTTGCTTTATTTCATATTTTGCCTGATGACCGCCAGGAATCTGGCAGCCGCCATTTGCACTGGAACTCACTGAATTAATTTTGCAACGAAATATCTTCGGATACAGCGGGAAATCTCAAGAAAATTCCAAAATGCTAGTTTTGGAGCCGCCATTTTGTTACTCATCGTCCTAATACTTTTGTCATGCAAGTGTATCGTAGACCTTTTGGTCTAAAGTGTATTTTCTTGCTGCGGTACTTGAACGTTTGTTTGTAAATGAATTGCTTATTATCATCAGCCATGATATGTCAATTTTGCTTTTTTCTGATGGAAACATGTTTCCCTGCTGCTTAACTAATTATTTTATTTCTAAACATCATATTAATGTTTAAATGGCAGCAAATACATTGCTACTTTTGTCAATCCTTTCCGTGTGAAAAAGTTCCTTCTTCTCTCATGATTATTTTTTGTCTACAGAATACACTCTCAGAACTTTATAATGAGGGAACTGAGGAAAGCTACAATTCCGAAATATTGCCACGAAGGATCGAAATTATGAAAGATCTTATACCGGAAATGATGAACAAACATTTATTAATTGTCAATTCTCAATTGATGGATTTTGATTCTGTAGCTTTGGATTAAAAATAAGTGGATTATTTCTGTAGATGCCATGTATAACTGTGTCGACAGACGATTTCAATCTTTTGGTACTTGTGTGAATTTTGTTCCTTGCTTCTAATCTGGAAACCTATTTTTAATTTTTATATATATACGCCAATTCAACTTACAGTCTCATTTTGAAAAGCTCTTCAATTTTTTTGACAAAATTTTTGACCGCAGATTTGGATCAAGAGCAAGGGTTTTGGTCTACTAGCAAGTTTTCATTATGTTTTTGCTCACGATATTGATTTTATAACGACATAAAGATAAAACTTTTATACGGAATTTGGTCGTGATTGGTGACTAAAGGGGTAAAGTTTCACATGGTTTCACCCAATACGATTTTTGCGGTCAAAATTCCCTTACATGTTTTCAAGCTTCATTTCTATCCGAAAAGGTATCTGGCTGAAAAGAATGACAATAAAGCTGAATCTGAAATTTAGAGTAATTTTTAGAACGAGACCATAAGTTGAATTGGTGTGTTGGACAAGGCAATTTGCCAGCTATTCTTTTTAAATTTCACTATTTAGCTGTCTGCCTCAATCAAATTGACATTTATCTGTTCAAAACTTGAGACAGACAATTAAGAATAACAAAGCATGTTGAGTTCCTTAACTACAAAAACCTGTTACTTTGTCATAAAACTGAAAAAAAATTTCAATCAGCTGTTACTATCTTAAGATCTTGAAAACAAGGGTTATTTAGAGTGGACGGAGTAACGAGATCGTAAGAATATGACTTATGTTAAAAAAAATATGGGCGAAATTCCCCACAATCTAAAATGACTAATATTGATATAAAGCAGATTATAGCGACCCATTCATCTTTTCATTTTTATATAGGCATATATTGCATGATTTGAAAGTGAAAATTTCCCAGAAATTAGGCCTACCTGAAATTCAAATTAGGCCTACCTGAACCCATAATTTTATTTGGAAAACTCTGTATTACGGTAGTATGAAGTTTCCTTGCAAAATAGCGGTAAAAGAAATCCTCGCACAATCACACTATCTGATAACCCCAAAAGACCCCCCCCCCCCCCCCCAAATATTATCGCTTGCGACAATTGTTTCCCGCGGCATAATTTTTTGAAATCCTTTTTGTCACACCCTCGTTTTGGGCGAATTGTCACCTCGATTTCAGGTCTAACGTATGGCGCGAGAAGAGATCACCGATATTCAACGAGGAATTCCGCTGAACTTCAGATGAGCATTTACAGGGGGAAAATGCCAGTTTTAAACGAAACAACTCAAACAGTCAAAACCCCAGATAAATGTCTCAAATCTGCATCTGATGAAGTTGATTCACAACTAGAGAAAGACCGCCAGTACTGGGATTTTGGCACCCAGTTAGGTGTCGGTTCCCACGGTAAGAATCTTATAGGTAGAGATCGATAAACCTTAAGGCATTCAAAGCCACATTTCAATTTTTTTTCATGCTGGCAGAGTTGCACTAGGAAGTTCCGTGCGTTCATTGATTCTTTGTTATGTATGGCAGCTTGATGTATCAACTACAGGGCTGTGCTATCTTCTCAGAATAGTTCAGTTTAGATTACTTTCATTTTAAAACACGCAACAACTTTAATAAGTTACTGTTATTTCAAATAAACTTACTGTTAATAAAATAAGATAAGGAATACTTAAAGAAAAAGTTAGCCATGAAATATGTGAGAAAATTAGAGATTTGTACGGAGGAAAATAAAAGCGAAGGTAGATTGTTTTGTTGTTGTTCCAGCCAAGCCAGGTTTGACAACTTGTTGTCCATGCTTCAAACTGACCTGGCTTTTTGCACTCACACCTGACCCATTAATTCAATCAACACGGCTGTTACGCCAATTTTTCTCAGGGAAATGAGAACAGCCAATATTTTGCCATTTAACAGACTGCAACTCGCAACTTTCGAAAATTGAGTGCTTTTCAAAATTAAGTACAAAATCGCAGATTTATTGCAGAAAATTTCAAATAATTTTGAAACAAAGACCAACATCTGTTTATTACATTCCATTCATTTGTTGTTTTCTGAATTTTATCAGGTTTTAGGGAAAAATTTTAAAGATTCACCACTTTCAACGGTTTTTCTGTCTGAGAAGGCACCCCAAAAATTTTATTCTCCTACAAAAGAAGAGTCATTTTGGTATGTTTTTCTAGCAAAATGAACCTGTCTGCGGAAGCGCGAGCTGATTTTTGCCGAACCAGTCAGCCTTAAACTTAATGTTTTCCTAGCGATTCTTAAAGCTGCAAATCTGCTTTGCAGTGTATTTCTCTTCTGCTTCTCTGTTAGGTGCGTTGAAAATATCAACTTGAAGGTGAAAAAATTAAAAAAAATAGTTCAATATATACAAAAATATTTCCAATTAGCCTTGTTTGGTTGGCTTCAGCAGTGGTACCGATAGACAAATTCTGTTAAAGAATTTCTTTGTGAAAAATCCTAAAATTTAATTAGAATTCTATTTCAACTTTCTAGTACAGAATTTAATGCATACAGAAAGTAGCGAGTTCAAAACAAAAAAAAAGCTTCTCCTTTGCTTTTTCAAATTTTGAGATATCTTCGATTTTCTCTGATGTGGCCAGAGAACGGGCCTATGCTGTCCTGACTTCAACAGCGTAACAGCGGTGAATATCAATCAATTTATGTATATTATACTATAGTCATATATATATATGCATATAGATATTCAGAAAAAACACTTTCGCTTAAACATTTTGACTGAAGTCTTCATCAGTAATACTTTGAAAATCAAATTGAGCGAAGATATACAAAACCAATACAATAGAATTAATACAATAGAGTTGGTACAATAAAGGGAATACAATGAGGAGGTTAAAGGAAAATTGCCTATTAGAGTAGTAATTGTTAAAAGTTTAACTCAATGGGAGGGTTAGAGGAAAGCACAGGAGAAGGTGCTGCTGAAGTAGGTGGTAATGCAAGTCTCAAGGGGGCTTCAAATGATATGTGTAGCAGAAAGTTGAAGAAGAAATGCCTTCACTCGCAGATCGAGTTGATGGGATGCTGTTGCCTAGCCAAAATCATACATGTTTTTGTACCTGGGTTGTTCTCATCAGGTCAAGATATTTAAAGTTATTTTTAAACAAAAAATTTCTTGAAACTTTCATACCAGCCTGAGGTATTAAGATTCACTCGTTTTACTGCAATGATATTATGTGGGCAGATTGTTTCAAAAGTCATAAAAAGTTGTAGTTTTGTAGAAGATACTTGGGTTTGCTTAGACTATAAATTATGGCAATGGCATTGGCAAAAATTGTTACTTTGTTTAATAAATAAATTTTGTACCTTCAATTATTCCTTTCATTCCATATTTTGTATAGCAAACATTAACGTTTAAGAAAAAGAATAAGCAGATTTATAAGTTTGAAATTTCAGTTTTTTTAGTTCAGATGATTAAATTATCAATAAATATTCTTTCACAGGGCAAGCAACATTTAGTGGAGTTAATGACTTTGATTATCCAAATGTTCTTGGCATCCAACTACCTCCACAAAGAAGTGGCTTGCATCTGAATTTGTTGCATAGTGTTAAGAGAATTCCTCTCCCTGAAGAATTGTTTGAGCAGTTCAAACGTATCCTTCATTAAAATTATCAATATATTTTTCATGTTGGTGTTTAGAACATGACAAGATAACATTGTAACACTGTATTTTGTGAATGCAATTACCAGGCAACTTTTTAAAGCATAGTTTCCTCTTTTATGAAGGTGGTGTTAGGAATAGATTCACTTTAAAAGAAGGAAAAATTTTGAAAAATGTAAGCTCTTCACCTGACACTTAACAAAATGTAAAACATCACATTGATATATACTTGAAATTTTTAGCTAAGAAATGTATATACTCAGTTGTAGATCAGAATAAACCAATCAGTGTCAATATTGTGTTGATTGATGAGTCAAATCAACCCTCAAGTTCCTATGGACTACTACCCTTGATTAGTATTTCTCTTGTTATTATTATTATTATTAAAACACAGCAAGTATGCTCCTCTCTTATCTGGTTTACAGCGGCAGTTCAAATGTGTCTCCTTTGTTAATCTTTCTATGAGCTCTCTTGGCATCTTCGGCAATTCCTGCAATTCATTCTTCAAAATGTGTGACTCTCTCTTCATCGATCAGCAACAAAAACAGTATCTCATTTCTAAACTTTCCAACATTGCCATCGGTACTACGTACTACATATTTTGCTGCAAAAATAAGCCATAGACAAATCCGGAATTACATCCTTTTTAACTTTAGTTGTTTTATATTTTTTTCTCAGTTTTTCCTTTTACCTTACAATTGTTATAGTTTTTTTCTTGTAAAACCAGGCTAGCCAATTGCAAATTACCTTGTAATAGTGAGATTTGTAATTGTAGTTCTAAAAGGAATTCAAAATGAAAAGTTTCCATTATTATTGGCAGGTTTACAGGCCATAATACTGTTCTACTGTCAATGTGTTTGTGAATAATGTTAAGAATTATTAGTTTGAAACAAAGAAACAATATGAAAAAGGGATCAGAAATTAATTCTCAGAAAAAATACTGAGCAATCAACATCTTTATTGATTGAGGAACAATATTCCATGGTTTATTGGCAAGCCTGTGGAAGCTGAGCTTAACTGACCGATGAACAGTAATCTAGATTAATGATCATAACACATTAAGATACTCACTGGTTTAGTATTGAAAACAGCAATGGCACTACATGTTGAACTCAAAATTGAAGCTTATCTCAATAAATATTGATATGAAAACAAAGCTTTTTAAATTTAATACTTGGATTTTAAAATTATTTCTGAATTTATCTGATATGAATAGTTTAAACAATGCAACATATGAAAGCTTTGATATTGAGCTTTAAAAAATGGAACCAATAAAATTTGCCACACCAACACATCACCACACCAGATAGAGTATAGATCATCTGCCATCCCAGCTTCGTTATGTTAGATCTTTTTTCCATTTTTTATTTGAAGCATCAATAATTTTATATATATTGTCTTAACCAAATGAAAGATGTTCAAGCAAATGTTACAATGGGTCTTTTTGCTGAAATAAGCAGAGCATGGCTGGCAATTGATAGTGATATTTATGTTTGGAACTTTGAAGATGGGTAAGCCTTTGTAAAATAATGTCCACTTACCTTTTTTGCTTATCGATTTGTACCACAGCTATTTGTCAGCTTGACATTTTAAGAGGAGTTGCTTCCATTTTTATTCTTTTTTGATGATTTTAATGGTTTCCCATTCCGAAGACAGCATTTTTGTACAAGTTGGATGTGTTTACAGGAATGTAGCTCAGCCAAACCAATAAAAGGTCACAAACACTCAATTCACAGAACAAATGAATTCATGTCAACATTTTAAATAACTATGAATCCTTCTTTAATCCGTGCAGACTTACTGCTTTATTATGTTGGGATTGTTGTGTCTCAGTCATCAAAGGTGGTGGTGACATAAATAGTATAAATCTTTTCATTCTTTCTTGAGAATATTATAAAAGCACCCTCCCTTAAAATTTTATCTAACTAACCTAAAAAGTGCACATTGGTGCAGTTAAAAGTTTCCTTTCGTTTTTAATAGTTATATTTCTGCCACTGCACTCTGCAGGCTCTAATTTCAATCCACAAACTTTGTTCCAAAGCTCCCCTTCCTCCCCAGATCTTGTAAACTTTGAAATGCTCTACCCTCTTTTTGCTTCACAGACTTTTATAGCCTGTCACTATTCTACCTAGAATCAACAAGATATTTCTTCTTTGATGTTTCTTCCATCTCTTCCAAATTCCTTCTTTCTTTCCTTGTTAGTGCTTAGCTAAAGACTCTGGGGGCTTTCCCAAACATTTATTTAATAACATTCTTCTGTAGTAGCTTGTTAGAGTACATCTTGGCCTTGTTGCCTCAGCAAATTAGATTAAAATATAGACTAAACTTTTCTATCTTATTAAATCTTTTTCAGATTTACATTTAAAGAAAATGCTAAACTATTATTTAAGCAATGCCTTTCTTACCAAATTGCATTTTAACCCTCTGGATATTGAATAAAAGATGCAGTGAGATCCAGTACAATCTGTCTAGCTGATTGTTGCTTGTTCATTTCTTTTTCTAGAACTGATGTGGCATATTTTGATGGCCTTGACGAAGTTATCTTAACTGCAGGACTTATAACTCCAAAGCCAGGTAAGAATAATTTTCAATGTTTTTAAATTTACAGCTCATAACTTTTCAATTGATGATTTCATTAAGTTTCTGTACCATTTTAACTGTCAAAACACTAAGCTAGGAAGTATATATACCCAGTTTTGGATCAAAAAAGGCAAATTAGAACTGTGAGCACATGAATGTGAAGTTTTTGCGATCAGTGCTGCTTTCTTATTTAAAATGTTACCAGTGAAGTCCTAAGGTGAAAACAAACTCCTTTTCTCTACCCAATAGCAGGTTTTCATGTTTATGTAGATAGATCCCAAAATTGTTGGATAGAACAATGTTCAGGGTCTACCAAAGCTTAAGTATGACAAAAAATGTTTGCTTTTTTCAAAGCCAAAAAATGTTTGCTTTTAAATTTTGTGCCATGAAAAGACTGTTTACATATTTTAACTGTGTGTTGAATTAAAAGTAGATGTATGAGTTTGCAATTAGCTATTTTTATGCAATGCAATCAGCCAGCAAATTCAGTGTGATTTTGTTCTGTTTTGGATTCTAGAAGAGAATGAGGCAGTATTTGGTAAGCAATCTGAAACTCTAAAAAATGTCCCATTCTCAGAACACATAATTTTGTAGATATCCTTTTTTAATTATTTTCTTCTCTTTTTAGGTGTTTTCCAGGAACACATACAATTTTTGCTTTGCATTGCAACACCTTTCAGTATCGTTGTTCTTGGAGTAAGCTTCTCTGAGGAAAAAGGTATACAGAAAAGTCATCATATCTCATAAAAACATTTTTATGTTGAGTTGCTTTCTTTTTTAACATGATATTTTATTTAGTTTTTAATTTCAAGGCTAGAAAATAATGCATTCCTTTTTTAGCATAAGACTGCTCCTCTTCTCAAATTTCTGTACCAATCTTTTTAAGAACAAATCCTGTAAATGCCGCTTTGTGCTAGCTGAAGTTAAAATAAGTCTTCAAAAATCATTCTTCAGGTCTCCAAGATTTCTGTTAGCAAAATTTTGATGTGATTTTAAAGCATTCAAGTTAAATTTAATTTTTTTTGCTGAAATGATAGTCGTCATGATGTAATTGAATTAAATGGGAAGAATTGAGAGCTCATAGAAGTCCTGTTCTCTAGATAAAAATAATGCAATTTTGTAAATTTGTTTCACTTTAAAGATGGCAAAGTTTATGGAGAAATGCATTTACAACCTCAGCCATTGTTTACTGTCCCAACGGATAATGTGTTTATGACCTCAACTGCTGGATTGTGGAATGGGCGAATATTTCTCAGTGGGGCAGATGGATGTTTGTATGAGCTGGCATATCAGGTACTTATAGAATTAGTTTCAGATGTTGGCCTTTTGCTTTCAATTGTTGTTTGTAGATTCATCTGTTGTCAAATGATGGCCTCCTCGTACATTAAAATACCCCAAAAAAGTATTCTTTCCAAAAGCAATTAGATAGTTGATGATGGTTATCATGACCTCATCCAGTGACATTGAATGGAACTCTTGATGCTGATTTTTGTGCCAATTCATTATAATTTTTTTCTTTAAGGCACAGAGTAGCTGGTTCAGACAGAAGTGCTCTAAGATAAACCACACAGCAAGCTGGATGTCAATTCTTGTCCCATCTTTTGTGTCCAAAGCCTTTACAAGTGAAGGTTTGTATTGGGCTAAACATAAAAATATAGCAGTTTGTCTAAGATTTAGGCTGATTTCAGAATGGTTTTCACTTCAGACTGGCTATTGGTTCTTACTCTTTGGCAGAACTATTTGGCATCTAATCTTGTATAACAAATGATATGTCTTTATTGTCCAAGCATTTGCAGTCAAAAATGTTTAATGCATATTTGTGTTTTTCGAAATAGCATAGACAATAAGCAAAAACAGCATATGAAAAATATCAGTTATCAATTATGTATATATATATTTGTTGTTCTTGTTTTCTCTTGGCACGTTGTATATCAAGGAACTGATCAAGTTCATTATTCCTCCTCTTACATAACTTCGGGTCCCCATCTAGATATAAATTTCTGGTTACCTTTGGTCATTATCCGCCATTTATATTGTGAGGAGTGCTTTTTAAAGCTTTGCAGCTGAGGCTCCTTTGACTATTTTTTAGATCCAGTATGCCAGATTGCTGTTGATAATACGAGAAATATTTTGTATGGAAGAACAGAGAATGGAAATATCCAGGTAATTTATTTTCTCTTTTTGGTGCATGCTCCCTCCACTTCCAATTTCCCCCCCTCGTCGCTAAATATTCCATGATAATTTGACCTCCTGTCATAGAGACGTTTATCTTATTCAAACATAATATTTAAGCCCAACTATTTTTAGTCCAGATTTCGACAATTGGAGCAAAACTGAAACAAGTTGTTCTTTACATTGAATTGTCAGATTTTCAAATACTGACTCATTATATGGAAAGACGTTTTTATTTCGCAGCTCATTGAGTTTTTTAATTGCAGTGTTTCCAAAAAGCTTCTAGATAAGCATTTAACATATTTATAGTGAGTTTTAAACTTTGTGTATTTCATTCTATGATAATTTAAAAAAATACCTGTTCATGTTTCTTTAAATTTTATCTTGGAAAAAATTCAAAACGTGAGGAATTTTTTGCCATCAAGGTGTGTTTCTTCGAAAAATTTTGAAACACGTTGGTAACTAAAGAATAACTCACCCATTTAGTTGGCAAAGCAGACCCGCGCATCCCCTTGAGCACAATAGCTAGTGCTAGCCCTGATGTTATCATTTGTTTACAGTGCCCTCATGATCGTAGGCTGGTGCTATCGTATTTATCATGCTTTTATTGCTATTTTCAAAGCTCAAAGAGTATCATTTCCCGTAGCGAAATCCCCCAGGCTGCTCCCCAGGCATCCATCCATACACCCTTTCTTTTGATGCATTTCTTTCTTTATTGCTCTGAAGGTTTATGATGCTGGTGAAGACGGGACAAAGATGCGACACGTTTCATGCCTGTCCTCCAATTCCATTGCAGTCAACGCCTCGTATGTTGCAAAGTATGTTCCGATTAGAAATTTATGTGAAATTTTCATTTCTGTTGTTTTTTTGCGGGTATCTCTAAAATTTGTGTTTTTGTTAACCTATGGTGTTCAGTCTTTTTGTAAATATCAACAGTAGACTGTCTGCAGCATATAGCTAAATATATGGAAAATTGTTTCGGGGTCCCTTTTTATTGGGGTCTAGGAAAAGGTTCTAGCGCATTGACTCATCTTTACAGACTGCCAGCTTATTTTAAGTATCAGCATCAAATGTTGTAGGAGATGATTACATTTTTAGAGTTTAGCTGGCTTCCTTCTACCCAGTGTTATTCAATCTAAATTTCGTGTTAATCTTTCCTGTGCATTTATAATTATTGTTATAATCTCTTGTGGTATTGGGATTCTGTTGATGAAACGGAAAACAATACGACTCTCCTATAGAGTACTAAAGTGATGACGTCACAAAAATCTATTTTTAGAATTTTTGAATTTTGAACCCATAACCTGAAAAAGCATCATGAAATGCTTTTTGCTAATTTTTTAATAATTACCAATAATTAATAATAATTAACAACCGACTTGAGACATATTTGGCTAATTTTGCATATTTGAAAGTATTTCGTGGTGACCTTTTATGCATTGTGGTTAAAATTCAAAAATTATAATAATATGTTTTTTATGACGTCACACTCTAGAACTCTATTAAGCTACTTTTAGAAAGACGTTAAATTTCAACTCGTCCCAAATATTCCTCCTTATATGAGAATCTTTTAAGAACCTTGCAAGCTGAGATTTATAGTGACATATGTTTAATGAAAAGGTATATAGGCTCCCTATAAAACCTAGTTTCTTTTATGCAGGTTTAACCTTTGTTTATTGATTAATTCTATTGTCTTTACTCTGTGTAGAAATCTAGACAAGAAACATATACAAAGAATTATTCACATAGCCCCCGTCTCAAAAGCAGAAGCATCTCAAGTTCATCTGGTTGCCATTACTGATACAGGTATTTTACAAATTTGCGTTTGCGTGGCCTTGGACAAGCGTGTGTTAGGCTGGTTGTAGAGCCTAGAAACTTTGTTTATCCTTCCCCCAACTAGTAAACCAAGACTCGAAGGCCTTCTTAGAAAAAAGCTGGAAATTAGGCGTGACCTACTCTAGTGTCTCTAATAAGAGGAGGAGTAAAAGAAGGGGGGTGTTCATTCCGACCAATTTTCAATAGAAAGGGGGTGCTAATTGAATGGGGTTGTTCATGTCGACCAGTTTTCAATAGAAGGGGATGCTAATAGAAGGGGGTGTTCATGTCGGTAATTCTTCTTTGAAATCGAAGTACCTTTTACAATATACTGTCAAAATTTGGTACAGTTTCTTGCATAGTTTTAGAGAAAATTGCAATCTTACAAAGATAAATTAAATTTACAGCTTCTAACTTCCAAGTCAAAAATCATCGGTTTCCTTTGTACGATTGAGATTTTACTAAAAACTATGGAAAACAACGAATAATGAAAATCAAATGACTTAATTTGTAAAATTTAATAAAAGGGGGGTGCTAAAAAGCAACAGGGGGAGGGCAAATTCTTCTGAAATCAATACATGGGGGGCCCGTCTATTAGAAACACTAGAGTAGGTGTTGTTATCGAAATTTGTTTGTCTATACTGACCTGCATATTGCCTTATGGCGATGTGATTCTCAATTCTTCTGCAATCTTGCTTGAGGAAGCACCTGTAATTATGTGGGATATAACAGAAAATTTTGTACATTGTACATTGCGAGGTTTTTTATAAAGCGTCTTCAGATTACGTGATTAAATTCAAATCTGTTAAGAAAAGTTAATGTGACGTTGCTGCTCTAAAGTGTGTTATTTATATTTGAAATTATCTTGATTTGGTTTTCCTTTGAAGGTGTGCGGCTTTACTTTTCGACAACAAACCCAGCAAATCCTGAAGGGAGACCATGTTTACTGCGTTTGGTTCACGTAAGGCTCCCCCCTGGTTTCACACCGTCTGGAACGACTTCAAAACCAAGCAAGGTCCATCAAGCATTTTATCGGCAAGGTGATTAATTCGTTATTAACCTTTAATCTAAAAATCAAAACTTACGAAAATTACTGTTTCACCAGTCTGTCATATAGTGCTCGAAGCCGTTAAGGCAGAGCTGGACACGCTTTAATAGAATATGACGGTTCTAAGCTGCAACTCCGACTTACATGCTTGATGCGATCATCAGGCAACCTGGAAATCATTTTTATGTTTATATTACCAAAAAAATTAACACATCTTTTTAACGCAGTATCATTTCAATGGTGGTATTTTCAGAAACTATAGTATTGAGCTGGCAACGTAGTGTAGCAACTTGAAACTGTCCTGTTCAACCCACCACAGCAATATGAGCCTACAGCAGACACATATTCTTCTTTTTGATCACTTTAGTAACATTTGTTTATTGGTCCAGATACTCTACAAATGGCAGGAAAATACACAATTTTGTCTGGTCCTACCTGAAACTCCTTTGTATTACTTCTTAGCATTAGAAAGTAGTTTTAAGGACACTGAGAAGCTTATGCTTATCGAGCAGTATCCTATTCCTTTCCCTCTATGTAACCACATCTCGTGATCCCACACCTGAAATTACAGAAAGCTGGCGACGCCCCTCACTCTGGGCGTAAGTTATCAGTAGTCAGGGACCCTAACCACTGACCCATCCTCGCACCTGCAACTTCTGAGTCCCCTGTCAGTTTTCATAATGAAATCCTACAGTTAGTGTTGTACCCAGAGACGTATAATTTTTTGTCATATGCTCAGGGACGACGTTAATGCTGGACAATTCATCTGAGGAAAACGATGTTTTATGGTGTTTAAGCCAAGAGTCCTTTCCTTTTGAAAACAGCATTAAAGAGAGTCAGGCAAGTCAATGCTACAAGAACTTCTATATTGACATCACTGTTGTTTGCACGTGAATTTGCTCGTAGCTTTCTGCTTTTCGCTCCTAATCTTTTACTTGCTCTTTGTGAAACCTGGATAATTGAAATTGTGAATCTTTGCATATGGAAACTAATTGTATTTGCTTAATTCACGCTTCTCTCCAATCCGAAACTCTAAAATTTGTTACCAAAAATTACAACTCTCTTTTCATAAAGTTTTATAGCCATTTTCAAAACTTGAATGCGATACAAATCGAAGCAGTCTTAATTGCTAAAACTATTTGTCCTGTCATCATTCACGTTTCGCTACACTTAGAGCCAATTAGTATTTTTGTTTTAGTTGTAATACCGTAGTTTTATTTATGTTACAGGTGTCATCGGCCATTGAAGGCAAAACATGGTGCGTCTCTGAGATCCCAGATTACAGCAACCCCAATCATATCCCAGAAGCTTTTTTCTCGTGTTTGTGGCCTGAGCCCCCAGCTATTGTTAACCAGCACGTTTTACCTCGTCGACGATTTGTCTTGCTAAGCCCAAAGGTATTTTATTTTTCAATATTTTACCATAAAAACATTATACATTCTTCTTCTTCTTCATAAAAACACTATATTTTTTCTTTGTTGATCCCTGCAATGAGAAATGATGTTGATAACCTCTCGGATATGCATCACTTAAGCAAAAGTATTACACCACCTAACCACATAATAGCCCTACTGTTGCAAATTTTCGGGCTAATTCTTGGCAGATTCTTTAGAAAAGTTCAAACAGTTAAAGCAAGTCATTTTAAAGATTTAAGGCGTGCTTTAAGCTAGAAAACGATGGGAAATCAGCCATGGTGTATTGATAAAAGCTATTAAATCAATTCTAAAATGAAAAATTGCGAAAGCTCAAAATTTGAGGTCTGGTGATAGAAGTACCTGTAAAATATGCGTTGCTATCGCCAAGTTCGGGTCCTGCTCAGGTCGTATTACACGCTCCAACTTTCATTGAGCATATTTCTCAAAACCTGTTCTGCATTCGCTTATACAGCTCAACTCTCTCCAGTTATTGGCGGCTGTGATTCCATCCCCCTCCTTCCCCTGACGCTGGAAGTCCTCCCTGGAAGATATTGTGATAAATGCTGCAATGGCTTTTCTGCCCACTTGACAAAGAAAGGGGTAGTGCAGTGCAAAATCTTTTTCTCCATTTGAAAGCATCATTCGTTTAGGTTTACATTATCATTGCTAGTGTTAAACTTCCGTTGTTACCGTGAGTCGATGCCAACATCTCTTTCCAATGACGTAATCTTACTTCACGAACCATGTAGCTTCAGTCTCTACACACACTGACATTCGTCTTAGTATCGCCTCTCTCCTTCAAAATAATTTCTCCACTGCTAGTGAGCAAAGCTAGATAAACTAACATGATTTTCTTTACGCCCTCATCAGTCATAGCATGGAGACGTTGGCTTGCCTGCTCCATGTATTATTTTCCGGAATTGTTAGAACAATATCTTATCGTTCTTTATCAATCGCCATTGCTATTGATTTATAAAAACGTATTGCGAATTGAAATATTTGTAACCACCCGGCTTCCGAAGGTAGGTTTTAAGACACGAAGAAGCTATGCTTATCGAGCAGTGACCTGCTCTTTCCTCCTCATGTATGTGATCACACTTCGTGATTCCTACGCTAGAATTACGGAGAACTGGCGATTTTCCCCACTCAATGTGAAATTTTGTTCATGGTAGGGACTTGAACCCCAGACCCTTGTGTCTGTAGTCTGCAACCTTAACGACTCAGTTATCCTCATACTGGAATAATGCCAATATTTAAGCGTGTATCATTTTTTTAGGGGAGCCATGTTGTCACGACGCTTCGACCATTTGAACAACTCCGAGAACTTTTTATCAACAGTGGTAATGGCATGGCTGATTCTATTGAAACATTTTTTCAGTTTTACGGAGTAAGTCGTTTATTTCAACTTAGAATCGTCTTCCTTCTGCATGTGTAATTGTTTGGTATATAGAAGGAAAAGAGCTTAGTTCAGAAAAATTTTTCTCGCCCCACCCCTTATCCCAACCCTAACACCAATTCCTACTCTAACCCTACACCAACCCCTACCCAAACCTTTATTCCATTCTAAGCCTAACCCTAACCCCTACCCTAAGCCTAACACTAACCCCTTCTCTAACCTTGGCAAACATTGGTAACATTCTCAATAGGCAAGCGGCACTGATTGGTCAACCTCAACAGTCATGTGCTCGTGTTTCTGATTGGCCTATTTCGATCCACAACTGGGTATATATATTTCCTAGCGTAGAGTTTTCGATCTATGTTCTGACGTTTTAAACTTTGAAGAGTGGCAGACGAAAATCTTTAGTTTACTAAATGTTTGCTTTTTTCAAAGCCATTTTCAAGTTTTGCACCACCGAAAGATTGTTTCCTTCTCTAACCCTAACCTCTACCATAACTCCTACCCTAACCCAAAACCTTACCCTAGCCCCAACCCTAACACCAACCCTTTTCCCAACCGCAACCCTAACCCTAGCTATGTTTACGTAGCCTCAGTATGGATTCTACAGGCTTTGGTAGAGTTAAAGAGTTTAGTTTTAATGTTTTTAAAACTTACCTTAATAACTTCCCAAAAGCTTTTCGAACTTTCATCTAAAGCTTATTATGATCGATGCATTAAAAACTACTCTTGCTGTGTTCAGTTTTTTTCAACAAATTTACAAGTATGGACAAGTTATAACTTTTGCAATCCGTTCTAAACTGCTCTTTATTGAATCTTTTGACAGGACTAAAAACCTAATTTGCAAATCGCAGTGAAACATTAAGATTTGTTGTCCAAGAAAAGTCACTAATTTTAAGATTTTTGAATAATTACACTAGATCTCTGTTATGATATTATTTTACCTTCTGCTTACTGATACACTTTCAATTTTATAACACCCAACATAGTATTCCCATTTTTCTCTGTTACTTTGCTACCGTTAAATCAGTAGATAAATTTTCGTTTACAAAACCTGTTCCATTGCCCAAAACAATAATTCACTTCCTGTGAGAACTGCCGCTACAGGAAACAACGAAACATCCTTTATTTTCATATGATCATCCAAACATGCCTATCCCACATGGAATTTTCACACGGATTGGATGCTGATGAGGAGATGTCGTTTGTAGCGTGACTTTGTGAAAGAATTATTATTTTTGAATTCAACGCTTTACCTTCTATAAAGGCCAAAGATTACGTTATTCCTTCTGAAGAGCACGCTATCTACTGATCTGCTTTTTTCTTGTTCTTTTTTAAGGTCACACAAGCCTGCGCAATGTGTCTTGTACTTATCTGTCAAAGCCCCGAAGCAGAAAAAGAGGTTGGTATTGAGTATGATTGATTTAAGCTGTTCTGTTTCCTTGCAAGTCCGAAGATAGAAGGTGATCTGTGTGTTTATCGAATGTGAACATAACCCAGTAAACATAACCCCTAATGGGTCAAGGTACTTGTGAAATAGAAAATTTGGGATGGCTTTCAAAGTTTTACAAAGTAGAAACTGTTCGACGCGACTCGGCATACCGAAATGCTTCTTGAAATGCTCCTTGCATTTGACACTGCAATTCTATCGATTTTGTTTTCTTTTGACGGTTGATGCTCGCATGATCTCATTCGTTTTAATACAGGTTTAAAAGAGTACCTTTTGAACCCTTTACGTAGAGGACCCAAACACGACCCCTTGGTAGACCAGCCATTCTTTTTCCTAAGCACTTGTTACTAAGTTATCAATTTGCTAATTTGTCTTTAAAGTTGAAATGCATCCGTGTGTAAATATTGATATATAATGAAAGAAGAAATTTAACCAGCAAATGGGTCTTTGAACAGCATGTCTCGATCTTCACCTTCCGTTTTATCCTGTCAGTAAATTCACTAATTATAATTAAGGATTGGATGAACAGCTGCAGCTTAATAGTTTCAAAGTTGATACACCATTTGTTTCTGTCGTCTTTCTTTTTTCAAAATTTCTTTTCTTTATATTTAGATTGTGAACCGGGCTGTCCAAGCTTTCTTTAGGTATGATTACCCATCAACACTTGCGGGACAGAGAATGCCCAGCACAGGGGCTCAAACTGCAGAATCGACGGTCAACATCACCGATGCTAGTTTCATGTTTGGAGGCCCTGTGCCCGCTGGCAGCGCTCATGGGAGTTATTTAGCATCCCCAGTCCAAAAGAAGTATGTTAAAATGCCTTGTATGATCTGTTTACCGTTTTACAACTACCTATTTTAAACATTTTATCAAAGACAATTGTGAAACCTTTCTATTAATACTTACTATTAACTAAGTATTAAACCTTACTAATACATTCCTAAGAAGCGAAGACCTAAGGTTTTCAGTGTCACATTTCCGTACCCGTAAAGACATTTGTAACTTTTCGTAAGTCAATTTTTCGAATCTCTTTTATTCTGCCGAAAGAAGTATAATATTTGCCTTATTGTTTACCCATTTTATCAAAGACAATGGCGAACCTAAACCAGTGTCGCAGTTCTGTACCCGTAAAGTCGTTTATAACCTTTCTCAGGACAATTTCGCCAATCTAGTTTCTACTGCTGGCAATGCATTTTCAATAGTTTTGATGCAAAGATCAGTATTATTGGCCTATAGAATTGAATGTTAATTTCTCTACCTTTCTATATGTGAATTCTTTCTTGATATGTAGAACATAACACCTAGGATGTTATGACATTGATCTTCGCCAATCAATTTGTTTATTTGTGAGAACCACCAGCGAAAAGAACTCAGAACTTTTTAGGTAATGCTTTCTCGATCATCGCCTTTGAATTTTTGTTGTACATAGAGAGAATTCGCATGAGTGACACAACCGGAGCAGTATTCGAACCATGTGCCCAGACCCACTGTACGTCTTTGCTCTACACTTTAGCTACCGGGTCACATTTTCAAATCCACGACTTTGCAGACTATTCCAATGATTGCTAATTTACAGGTCTCATAGTAGACTGTGCCGTGATATACCCAATCCATGTTTTGTGCCCGTTACTGGTTTTCTTATGTCTTTTATCCTATAATGTAATTCGTCCTATTTTCCTTTTCATTCACAGACTGAAACCGCAATCTGTTGGCTCACAGTTCCAGACTTCGACACCGGCTACCGGACTGCTAGCGAAATCCGGTCCACAACCCTCATCCGGAAAGTACAGTGGAATCGCGTTGTATCTTGCCAGAATTTTGAGGTATGTTTTAGCTATAAGATATCAGCAAACTAAAGCTAAAATACATTTTTACCTACAAACTTATCAAATATTACTCCATTATCCGTGAAAAAAATTATTTACTGCTTGTTGAAATTTTTTGGTGTCTATCCTACATCCAAAGTTTTTGCTTCATTGCTTAGAGAGAATACTATCTACATGTTGTAGCTATGGTTGGCTATTCCTTTATATCTTACTTTAACTCCTCTAATAATTTCCCAAAAAACTATAGGCGCTATTTTAGGGATATTGTGCTCAATTGAAGGGTAGAGTGCTCATTCGAGGGAAGGGACACTCATTCGAGGGAAGGGACGCTCATTCGAGGGAAGGGACGCTCATTCGAGGTAATAGACGCAAATTCGAGGGATGAGGCGCTCATTGGAGGGACAGGGAGCGAATTCGAGGGATGAGGCGCTCATTCGAGGTAAGAGAAGCTCATTCGAGGGATGAGGTGCTCATTCGAGGGATGAGGCGCTCATTCGAGGGACGGGGAGCGAATTCGAGGGATGGGGGCTCATTCGAGGGGAAGTGACGCTCATTCGAGGGAAGGGACGCTCATGCGAGGGATGAGGCGCTCATTCGAGGGAAGGGGTGCTCATTCGAGGGATGGGGCGCTCATTCGAGGGAAGGGACGCTCATTCGAGGGATGAGGTGCTCATTCGAGGGAAGGGATGCTCATTCGAGGGATGAGGCGCTCATTCGAGGGACGGGGAGTGAATTCAAGGGATGGGGGCTCATTCGAGGGGAAGTGACGCTCATTCGAGGGAAGGGACGCTCATTCGAGGGGAAGTGACGCTCATTCGAGGGAAGGGACGCTCATTCGAGGTAATAGACGCGAATTCGAGGGATGAGGCGCTCATTCGAGGGACGGGGAGTGAATTCGAGGGATGGGGGCTCATTCGAGGGGAAGTGACGCTCATTCGAGGGAAGGGACGCTCATTCGAGGGATGAGGCGCTCATTCGAGGGACGGGGAGCGAATTCGAGGGATGAGGCGCTCATTCGAGGTAAGAGACGCTCATTCGAGGGACGGGGAGTGAATTCGAGGGATGAGGCGCTCATTTGAGGGACCGGGAGCGAATTCGAGGGATGAGGCGCTCATTCGAGAAATGAGGCGCTCATTCGAGGGACGGGGAGCGAATTCGAGGGATGAGGCGCTCATTCGAGTAACAGAGCACAAATTCGATTGTTGAGGCGCTCATTCGAGGGAAGGGACGCTAATTCGATGAAAGAGGAGCACATTTGAGGTGTGGGGTCCCTATTCAAGAGACGTAGAATGAATTCGAGGGGCAAGGCGGTCATTCATGGTTTTACGATAGTCTTATGACAGAAAGATCTACCTATTTTTTTTAATGTTATTTTCATTTTCTTAAAATATCAATTTCAAGGCCCGTTTGGAATCATCTACTGGTGTACATTGATTACCCTGATGGAAGAAACCAACAGGTGAAATTTGAAACATTATTGCAATTCTTTAATTTTCCACAATCCCCTTACATAAAAATTCAATAACTGGTTTTGCAATATGTAGCCATTTTTGCTTGATACAAGATTGCGTTATTTGCCACTTACTTGATGGGTTGTAAGATTTCTCTTTAGTAAACGTGGTGTTGGCTTATTTTTGGCTCAATGCCTCGTGACCCAAACAGCTGGTGCGACCTGTTCAAGAGTATAGTCTTACTCACCGGACATTTCTTCATTCAATACTCACGAACAAAAGCTTTTCATCATACTCTCTTTATATAAGCCAACTTTACTTTGAATCCGGAAACATGATTGAGAAAGTTTCTTCGATAGAGTAATTTCAAAAAGCATCACACTCAAAAACATCTACTTATTTATTTATTCATGTATTTATGTTTCTCTTTATGAGGACTAAAATGAAACATGTTGTTTTTTATTACGCAGTTTTTTTTAACTGAAATGTACATATCCTTTTATAATGTACATTATACATACATACATACTCAAAGCTCCAAATTTGCCATTAGATCTTGATCTAGTAGTGACAAAAAACTGTTTAAGTTAGCTTAGAGCTGCTTTTTAAGAAATAACGATACTGCAAAGGAACATCTGGGTGTTTTTAAAAATTTTCCTTGTTTATTTTTGCGTAAATTTGCATCGACAACGTTGTTCATTCGCAGCTGGTAAGCAGACTCTCGAGTGAAGATCTCTCGTGGTTTATCGAAAGTCTCCGAAAGCTAAAAGAGTTTATGGAAAGATACTCAAACTTGGAACTCTTGGGGTATGATTTTTGTCAACTTTTTTATCAAAGCTGTTAGCACCTCTGAAGAGCATTCCTAGCAATCTTTCTTATTTTTGACCAATAAAATGTATACAAAGATTCTCTTTTAACGGGTTTCAGATGGTAGGTTGTCTGTATATGTATGCAAGGTTATCGAACTGATTACAGTTATAGACCTATACTTCTATACTTCTTTGGATGTTTTACAGCAATGCGCAAGCGGTGAGTGTATGAAATTCTAAGATGACTACATACCATGTTTCTCTTTGGTCTTCTTTCTTGGCAAAAGAAAGACAAAAAGACAAAATGCCGTGTTAAAATTTATCCAATTGCGGTTAACCTGGAAATCGTCTCTGTTAGTTTTGAGAGCAATGAAGACTGTATACTGATGTGAAAGACAATAACCTCAACCAATCTTTGTCTTATTACAATAGTATGCGTGCTATTGAGTTTTTTCCTTTTGTTTACGTTACCTTTTTGCGTTACTTTGAGTTGAGACTAATTTTGTTAAATAAAGCCTCAAATGTGCCTATCTTAGAATTTGGTTTCTCTCAGTTTACTTTTCTCTCATTACATATACATTAAGACGTCTTTCTTCGTTCCTTACTTTACGTTTGTGTGTACAGAATAGTTACAAAAGGCTTATTAAAAGCTAATAACATAATGTCTTGATGCATGCATGTTTTAGAGTACACAGTCAGCTCTATGATTTTAAATATTTGTAGCTCACCAACTCGCCGACACGATGCAGTCTTAAGTTCACAAGTCGCGGGTAGAAAAAGAAACCTTGGTAGGTATTTAGGTAATTTTAGCTTGATTAAGGTAACTTTAAATGACAAAGAAAGTTTAAATAAGTTTTTGTAACGTCACCCGTTGCTCTCGATAGTTCCAAATATTTCCTGAATGAATTTGCAGATAAGTAAATCTTCCCCTTTTCTTCAGTCTACGAGAAATGTTTGTGTGGCAAATTCTGTCAAGATGTCCAATGCCCAAAATAATTATAAACGGAGTTTTAATATTTACAAATTGTATCTGGTATAAAGTTTTTTATTGATATTATTCAGTCTCAAAAAATTTCGCGAGCGAGATTAATTTACTGAAGCCAATATATGACGAACGTTTAGGGTTATCTATTTATGTACCATCAAAGGGGATACAGTTTAAATGTGGACTCAAAGTCTATCAATCATTCTGCTTTCAATAGAACGTCCTTTCATCTAATCCTTTTTCCATGAGTCAAACCAATTGTGCTATATTTTAGCATTAAGCGTTTATTACTTTTGCTTCTTTACAAAACACCCAAACATTCTTTTTAACGCATACAGTTTCGTTTACGCCTAAATTTAAAGAACAGGACGGTTCTAAGTTGCAACTTGGATTTTTACGGTATCGAGCACTTTGTTACAGACCAGTAAAACAGCAATTTTCAGTTCTCGATTAAGTGGGCCCTTGTGTCTCTTTTTATTCTCTTTTGGATAAATCTCCAATTTACCGCTGTTGTTTTTCTATAACCCCGTACCTTTACTTTTCCGTATCACATTTGATATATATATTTTTCATAGTGCAGTTTGGTGTGATGTTCTAAAACACTAGTCCCAGCTTACTGCTGGTTCCTTTCAGTAAAAAGTTCTTGAATGCAAAATTTTAGAGGCTTCACGCAGAATAAAAATCCCAAATGGGAACTTAACGCAGAATAGAAATCCCAATGGAGATTTCACGCAGATTTAAAAAAGTTTCTTATTCTCAAGTTACCTTGAAACATATAACTTGAGTGCTTATTTTCGAAACAGGGGACCAAGAAGCTGTTGCGGTTGAACGAAATGCGTTGGTCAATCTTGCCAACCTAATCTCGATGTGCTGCGAAGCGCTGGAGCTGTGGAGGACTCTCTGCGATAATCAATTCCATATTGTCGCCCAAAATCTTCCTCAGGTATTCATTTTCAAGATATCTCCTCCTTAGTAAGCATTGTCAATTGTAAACAGAGAAGCAACCTATTTTTCTGGCTTTTTACATTTCTAAATATTCTACTGTCACATATCTGTAGTGAAAATTAGCAGTGTTCATTAGAAAAAACACTTCTTTGTGACTCTTTTTTTACTTTGAGAATTTTCCAAATCTAAATGTCAAACGAGCTTTTTTCATTTCCATCACTGAAACTTCTATAACTAAAGTTATAGGAAAACCAGAATCCAATGGCCCTGTAGCACTGGAAACTGTCCGGAACTCCTTTATGCTAAAATACGTTTGTGTGACGTATTTTTATCATAACTATGCATTAATAATCAAACTATTTTTGTTCCTAAAAATCCTTTACCCCTTACAAATTTTCATATAAAGTTCCAAATAGTTTTTGATTTTCACACTTATGCTTTCTGTTCTGATATCAATAAGTAAAAATAGTAGAATTTATCAGAGTTATGCCCTTTCAATATAACGTATTAAGAGGTCTCTCTTCCAGTGCAGTAGCTGTTATTATTTTATTCAATCATCTTATTTTAGGAGTTGAAAGAGAAGCTAGCTGGATTGTCGTTCAAGGAATTTGTATTAAACGGGCAAGAGGTTGGGTAATTTTTTGTTTTCCATGGTATAGAATTCTTAAGTGTGATGACATTATTAATCATTTTTTAGATTATTTTCTTTTGGCTACATAGCCTAAAATTATACTTTGAATTATCTCTAAATATGAAAAATATGAAACATTTGTTCATAATTTCGTTAGCCAATAAAAGATTTGTAGTTTGCTAACAGATTGGTTTGGTATGGTTCAAAAAGTTATGAATACATCACAGAGTCTAAATAACAGTGATTTTATGAGGGAGAAGCTGTGCTTTTGAGGCCGTATCTCAGCCAGTTCCAAACAAATATGCTCCTTCAGGCTACATGATAAAAGTTCAAAGATTCTAATATAGATCACTATCATAACATCACTCAAAAGATTAAATCATTTTTTATTACCTTTTGTTTTATTTTCATCGTTTCTTATTTTGCTTTAATAGTACAGTTTTTACTCTATTTTAAGAAACATATATTCCCCTCTTGCATTTTCTTAAAAAAGTAAGACAGTATAAAAGTCATAAATCACATCGGAATACTAAAGGAGTCATAGCTGGAAAACACAACTGGTTTATTTCAATGACTTCCTAAGATACACCATTTTTTATCAGACTAGTTAAATTGCTCATCAATTATCTTTATGGCAATGGACAGATAAGGAAGTGGCTCAAGCCATCTGTCATTCAATACTAGCCAATCAATAAGCGTGTGAGTGGAATCAGCCAATCAATAAGCATGTGTGTGGAATCAGCCAATCAATAAGCGTGTGAGTGAAATCAGCCAATCAATAATCGCACTCACTTATTAGACAATTTTTTACTGAAAGATGGCCTAAGTCCCTTTAGTATCTGTCGATTCCCTTAATCAACTAAATGTCTTTTTGTTGATGTTGTGCTTATTCCGTTTGTCACAGTGACTTGATTTATTGTATAACATGTTCCTAACCTTGACATACATTCCAATTAACTTATTTTACGGAAAATATCCTCTGAGCTCAAAAATCGTGAATTTAGCAATCCTTCTTCCCTTTTTATAGATTTCCGCCGCCCTAATTGGTTGTTTGATGGCACGTTACCTTGACGACCAAGCAACAGTTGATGCCCTCAATAGCCAATTGCGAGAGATCTGTCCAACATTGTTTTCTATTGACGATGCAATTTATGCAAAGGTATTGATTGATTGCTGTATTCTTCAGAAATACAAGCAGTTATTTTATATGCCTTCCAGTAGGACATTGCCAGTGCCTAGAAGAGGATGCTCCTTCACGTATAACATCAATATTACTTTTATCGTCGAATTCTAAACTAAGGGTATTGTTTTTTTTGTCGCATTGTGAGTAGCGTAGTCTATATTTTCTGAATCCAGGAATTTTATGACCCGCTGACAGCGCATGTACTTAGTAAATTACCGCTGACGTTGGCAGCAGCAATGCCAGATAACAAATTTTGGGTTGTGGAACAAACACTCAAAAAGCTATTGAGGACATAAGAATTTTCGGTTGTGAAGTAACTTTACGAAGGAAGTAGTGGAGCGTAATTTCAATGCTCAAGTATCTGAGCAATATAACAATTTGCTTCGTCTACAATCCTGTACAAAGTTTTCGAGAGAAAATGCAATTTTTACAATCTCGTTCTCTACGTTGTCCTGAAAATTCGAATTCCCCCCTTTCCCCCAAGTAGTTAGTAGTTTTATGATTCATGTTTCAAGAATGTGCGTTGAGCATTAATTAGGGGGAGGGGGGGTTTTTTGAAAGGAAAGAAAAAAATCTACTTTTCTTGAAACGTTTCAGCTATTTTTGTCCGGGATTATAGTTCATACGTATTGGCTCACGTTGAATGTTGCTCAAAAATCAAAGAAAGAAATTACTTAAAGCTGAAAGTTTTTAAAAACTAACTTGAAAAACGTATTAATGATTTTTCTCTTTCTGTTATTCTAACTTATAGATATGACTTGGTTTGTTTAATATAAGAACCAATTAAAATTTCATCTTTTTTTAAATTGCATACATTTTTAAAGAAGCTTTTTATCTTGGAAGGCCAACGAAATTGTTCATTTTGCAAGACATGTTCTAGACCCGGCTGAAAGGAACACACTTCTCGCAGAAGCCATCAGCGTAAGTCAAATAGATCCAAAGTTGTTGGTTCTAAAATCCTATTTGGATTTCTTTTTTAGAAACTTAGAACTACTTTTGTGATAACTGCTTTTAATCAAGGTGGCGAGGAAAAATAAATTTTCTGCTTAGAAAGTTCCAGTCGTGTTATTTCAAAGTCAGGACGTTCGCATTTCAATAGCAGAAATGTCAAAATTGAAAAGGAGTTCTGCAGCTTTGCCAACTATCTTGTACTCATCTTCGCCAAAGTAAATACATATCTCATAGAGGCAGCATACTATTCAACACTAAGTCTATCATTTTGTGTTAGGATATTTCTTCACATATAAAAACGTAGTGAAATATGCCCTACGCTGTTGCAGCGAATTTTTATCTACTTAACTTTCGTGTGTTTGTTCTTTGTGAAAACGTGTAGCTGCTTTCCTTTTTATTTTTCAGTTTAGTCTTATTTAGAAGTTCTCTTTCTCCCAAACAGATGTATTTCAAAGTCCCAGGACTGCTAGACTTGACATGGATTTGCGAGCAGCTGCAATCAGGTATTCATGCCTTTCAAGTTAAATATTTTTCTTTGCTTCATGTAATTTTATTTTCATTCACTAGATAAATTATGATGTTTGATAGGTAATTGTTTCTGACACAACAAACAAATGGTACTTTGAAGGTCTGCTATGATATTTTGGGCCTAACTTTTAATTCAGCAACTAAGAAGACATATAGTTATCAAAACATCATACTTTCTTTATTAGTTATTTTGATATATATACTTAAAAGTGAGAGATTGAGCAGAACTTTTTCCACACCTTTTTGGAATCTGGAGTATTTTAATTCAAATTTGATATTAGTATTGGTAATAGGTTTTATCTGAATTTAGAGTACTAAAACAGATCCGAGCACGACAAGCAAAGCAGTGATATTTTTGTTTTTCGCTAATCGTCAAAGTACTTATTGTTAATGCATAGCGAAGTTAAGGGCACCTTACTTCAATATCTAAGGGCCCCCTAACAAAAAGGGCCCCCTAACAAAAAGGGCCCCTAACAAAAAGGCCCCCCAATTTTTTTCATATCCATTTTCTTCAGTTTTACCCATATTCAAATATTTTTCAAAGCTCATCAACTGCAGCTGCTTCAACTAAACCTAGTTAGCGAGAGAAAATTCACATTTTTACAACTTGCTGTTGTGTTTCGCATGCTATAAAGAATTTGATGGCTTAAATTTGTTCCTTGGAGCCCCAGATGCCTCCATTACGCCACTGCTTATTGTAAATATTATCTTACTGACCAAAAAGATTCTCGCATTGTTTTTTGTCTATCGTCCTTTTGCATTTGGACAATTTTTACTTCTTTCTTACAGTGAGACATTTTGATGGGATAATTGAGCTGGCTCTATATGCTGCCGTGAAGAGGGACCCACAAAACGTTGCGTTGCATTATTATAAAGCTGGAGAGCCAAGAGATGACACGCAAGGGAAGGAAGCTTTCATTCTCAGGTATGCATCAAACTATCCTTACCGTGAAAAATTGAATCTGGATTGAAACCACTGGAGTCTTCATATTTCTCCATATTGAAAGCTATTGCTTTTCACAATATTAGCTGTTAGTCTGAATGATTTCTTGCAGCTAGTCGTATCATTTAAAGTTTTTGGGATGTGGTTACTGTACTCTTTGCATGGTTCACATATTGTGTATATTCTAAAACCAATGGCAAATGATAATGATTTGATAGAGAAGGAGCATGTTCTCATGAACTCATCTCAGCCAATTTTTAATATTATATGATATTTCATTGCATGCTCCCTATTCGAAAATTCGTGACGTCACCGCCTAGCCACTCCAGAAGGGTAGTTCAGGTTGTAATGGGTTTCTTGGAGGCTAATTTGACTTTCTGCTGAATGCAGGATTTACCAGTGCCAGAGAATGACCTTTGTATACTATAGACTCTGAATAAAGCCATCCAATTTTGCTACCACTGTTCTTTAGTAACATTCCACAGAATTTCGCGAACAAGGAGACTCGTGTAACATCCGTATCTACAGGTTGTTTCATTTACTGTTGCGAAAGCTGTGTACATACTTAGATTGTCCTGCTGAAGATGTTAATTTAGCTTTTATGAGTCTTCACAGAAAGCTCCTTGTGTACAATGAATATGCCATAAATTCGAGGATCGTCCAGTTGCTAGGGCCGCAGGCTACAGATCCAAAACATTGGGTTCGAGTCACTGACATGTTAAACTGTCATTTAGAGTGAATCTAGTCACCAGCTCTCTTATTCCACTCATAGGATTCACGAGGTGTGGATACATAGAGAGGAAGGACCAGTCACTATTCTATAACCACAAAATCTCAGTGTCCTGCCTTCGGAAGCTAGGTAGTGACAAATTCAACTACAATACTATACGACATAAATGTAACCTCTTTATATGACAGGTGCGATGCATACAACTGCATTTTGAATGCCTTGAGTCACATCTTCGAGAAGTCTTCAGAACATCCTCATTCCCTGCCAACAGAACCAGGGCCTCCAGTGCAACCAGATGTCAACGCGCTTTCTGTTAATCAAGCCAAACACTTGGTAAGTCTTTTTCCTTCCTCAAAATTCCTTTTTAAGTACCTGCTCTCCCCACTAGTTTCAACATTTTTTTTAAATTATGAAGGAAGGGCAATGTAGCATTTCTAGCTACAATGAATTAACCTGTGCGTCTGACTTGGATAAATCCTCCCCACCACCACCCCCACTCCCAACCCTCCCCCTACCCCATCGAACACCCTTTCATCTAGTTCTCGCTCTTTGCGTCTCAAATCTAAGGGTGCGCTGTATCCCTTTGGGGAGGGGGTACTTTTCTCGCTTTGACTTGCAAGTATAAATTTTGAAATTTTTTGAAACATATATATTAACAATCTTAGACTTGTCTGTTTTTATTCTCAGAAATTCTAGCATTTAGTATCTATTCATTTTCCATATTTTTCTAGCATTTTTTTTTGGAAAAACCATATCTCATTGGAAATTATTTTACCTAATTACTCAAGACAAGTTTAGAAAAAAACTGCTACCACCTGGGTTTTTAAGATTTTCGCACTTTTTGGTTTTTTTCGATTTGCTTTTTGTTTATTTCTGTAGTTCTGACTTTCCTGTAAAGCATGATTCCAAAATTATGGAACTTTTAACTTACAATATAGCTTCAACTTGCTCTCGGTTACATTAATATTCCATCACTTGTTCATGTCTCTATCTCTTTTCAGTTTGACCAAACATTGAAAGTTTGCCTCCAAAGTGACGACGAACTATTTCACGTAACTTTATATAAATGGATGATGACAAAAGAACTCACAGACCGGCTAATTGAGGTACTATAACACATAAATGTATTGCCTGGTCTATGTCTAAGACCCTGTTCGCTGTGCTCCTTTTGCATATGAAAACAAAGTAAAGTCCACCCGCTTTTGCCTTCAGTTTACACTACGATTTCATGAAAACCGAGACATTTGAAAATGATACTGTTATTGCTGTTGATTCTAATGTTGTTTTTCTAAAGATATATAATAGTTTGTTCTTAGTTAGTTTAAAAAAGCTTTCTTTGATCCTTCAGATTTCATCACCATTTCTTCAAACCTTTATTGTGGATACCGCTGCAGAAAAGGTAAGCAAAGTTGATTTTGCAGAGAAACTTTAGCAGTTCTACCGCATTATGTCGATAAAGTTTAAAAAGTTTCGCATCATGCTACTTTAGCGGTTGTTCTCTTTCTGAAGATGACTTCAACAAAACTATAAGTCTCAGTAAATTGCAGGTTGATTATGTGAGCCAGTATCAACTTGAGACTATAAATCCAGCCTCTCGGGGCCTTCTTTCCTTTGGGGACACTTTCATATATAGCTTCTTCGGAAAGTCCTTAAGTGATGACGTCATAAAATATATTGTTAGAATGTTTGAACATTGATCAATTGATATGAAAGGGCATCATGGAATACCTTTTAAGGTGCGAAACCTGTGTAATGTGTTCCCAATTGGCTGAGATATGGCAACATGAGCCTAGGGTTTTACACTACATCAAATCATTGTAGTTTGTCTCTGCTCGTATCTAACTAAGCTAAGCTAACTGTAATCCGTTAGCAAATTTTCGATCTTTCACTGTCTATATCCCACCCAATTATAAACATATCCAACTACTTTTCCATATCTAAATTTTTTCGTAGTGCTCTTTTAGGTTATGCAGTCAAAAGCCAATATTCTAAAAATATATTTTATGACGTCACCCTTAGAAACTTTATTTTAGGCTCTCACAATTAATTACGGAAACCCGCGGGCAAAACTTAGCACCCGGTCAATTGGACAATCTTCAGATTTCTTGCGGCTATGAACTTTATATATACAGTTGTAATGCTATCAGAATTACAGCAAGTACTATTTATTAATCATTTGTTTACTTTAAGCATCCAAACGATATCCCAATTTTGGATTTACTTTGGAAATATCACCAAAAACACAAGCAATACATCCAAGCTGCAAAAGTCTTGATTGGACTTGCTGAGCGACAATGGTTTGTTCCTTATTTCCTTCGTAAATAGATTGTCACAGGCTGAAACTGAATCAAACCTGTCATGTTTTAGGCCGTGATGGTCTTAGTAGCTCTTCGCCGCTTTTTGCAAGCCATCCCTTTAGCTGCATAACAGTCCATCCCTAGTAGGTCTGCTTAATAAGTCCTATTTCTATTTGAGGAACCTTCGTAAATCCACGATGCTTGAATTCTTCGTTATATTTAAAATTCGAATGTAATCTTTATTTTAAGAACTAAGATAGCTGAAGTGTATTCCTAGCGTTTCTTGGGGGGAAAGGGCAACTCAGCTCTTGCTCTAGGGGAGAATTGAAATAAAAATTGAAAATTGAATGAAACTGACTAGGTGTTCCAAGTACTTTTGGCAAGCATTTAGACGCATCCCATATAGCACTGTTGTTTTCTGTATTTTATGAGCAAGTATGCCCAATGTAACAAAATGAGATCAACGTGAGCGTCGTAAAAGAAGTAGATTTCCAGAAAACTGCAGACAATCTAGAGCTTTCTAAACTAAATGAGACTTTTTGAATTTCTGCAGTTAGAGAAAACTATAGGATGTTTAAAAAAAAAGTTCAATTTATTACATTCCGTATCGAAGTTTTTTTCTAAAATTTGTTTCTTATTACTTATTCAGCACGTCACTCGTCCTACAAGAACGTGTCGCTTATATTTCAAGAGCAATCATGTGTGCAAAGAATTCACTGACATTTGCAAGTTCAAATACAGAAGGAGAGTTTCTGCACGAGTTAGAAGAAAAATTAGAGGTCTGTATCGCCCCTAGACCCCACCACCATGTCATGACTCAGTTTCTACATTTTTAGATAGTTTTACTGTGCCCTGCGTGGCATCTAACTCTTGTGTTTTCATATATATATATGAACTCTGCCTTCTTATGCTCGTTGTTTTCTTAAATAAGCAAAACGGTTCTTTGTTGAATGGCATCATTTATAAAAACCCCTTTGACTTTTCAAATTTTTCTTTAGACTTAATCGTTGCTTGTTTCTTTTGTAAAACATAGTGTAAACATATTTTTAAAACATTTTTCGAAACATTTTATTGCAAAATTATCTTAAATTATTACTGTAAAATATTTTAGGAGCTCTAGGTTAACAGTTCCTTGGTTGTAAGCTGCAAATTATTTTGCTGAACAATTACCTGTATAAATATGGTTTTATTATTATTATTTTATTTTATCATAACATTTTCTTACTTCAGGTCGCAAGAATACAATACCAGGTTTATCAAGCTTTAAACGCAACAAACGTCGGTCGCAGTCTCATTCAAGAAAAAGCTGATGCCATTAAGTTGCTTGACACACAGCTGGTCGATATATCACAAGTTTGTGTTCTTTACTATTTGTGCCTATTTAGTAATTCCTGGAGTGATGATGTCAAGAAATTATATTTTTTCGAATTGTTTTTTTTCTAAAGATTTAGATAACAGCAGTTTCGGGTGACATCGTTTTAATTTTAAGAATTTTAGAATTTGGATAACATCAACTGGAAGAAAACATTACGAGCAATGAAACAAACGAAATCCGTATCTGTATACAAATTTCTGCTTACCTCTAAGTCATCATTCAACGTTAACCCTCTGAGGATTGACCGACGAAAGCACTGTGGTATGCTATGTTGCCACTTCTCTGTGCTATCATCAAACAAATTTCATTTGGAGCAAATTTAAGCTAACCATTTCTGTTACAAAAACATTGATTTTCCCTCTAGCTTTATGGGGATTTCGCCGACCGTTTTGACTTGCTAGAATGCAAGTTGGCGATATTGCATTGCGCTGGACATCAAGATAAAGCGTTGATTGAGAACATTTGGAAACAACTCATCGATAAGGGTAAGTAAATTGGTTCATCGTTTCTTAGTTAAACTGCCTGGAGCACTGCTGCTGTTCTCAGGTCACACTGTGTCTTGTATGTAGCATAATAGGGTAACACAGGGTGACGTCATCAGCAATTTATTTTAGAGTTCTCGATTTTTGGCCACATAACCTGAAAAAACATCGAAGAATATCACGTGCAAAAACTGTTAAATCTGTGCAAATAATTTAAGATATGGTCACTGGAAGAGCTGAGTTTTGCAAATGGATTACTGCTATTTTGGCTTGTTTCATAAAGTTTAGAATCAGGGCCGGTTGACAGTAGTTTGATGGACAAAGGACCTGCACTCATATGACTTTTTGTCGGCTAATTTGCAACACATTAAACTGGTTTTGGATATCTAGATGTTTTTTGATGCTCTTTCAAGTTTTTTTGTCCGAATATAAAAATCCTCAAAGTAGATTCTCGTGACATCATTTCTTGAAACAATACTTTGCCACAAACCGACCCATTATCTATTGAGCGTATTCGTGGTTTGAAAATAGGCTTTTTAAACACTATGATTCTAGTTTTAAACACTATGATTCTAGTGACAAAACATTATAGTTTCAACTTTCATGTATTATCTGTATTTATGAGCAAAATATTATTTAGAACAATTCATTACCTTATTAGTAGTTTATACTTTCAGTCTTTTTTGCTAGTAAGTAAGTAAATACCGTAATACTTCGATTAAGCCCCCCCCCCCCCTCCTTTCTCGAATAATGCACCCCTTTTTGATTAAGCTCCCCTCTTCCATTCGCCCACTCCCCTTTTATTCCTGATATTGAAAACAGCATTTATCATTAAATGAAATGAGTTTATGCAGCTGCACTTAATTTAATTTGAAACAGTTATGCGGTTTTTTGTCACAATTCTTTATATTCTGTAAAATAGATCAATTACGGAGAGCTTCTTCCAATTATTATGGTAGACAAAATATCATGCAGGGAATGCTTACTGTTATGATGTTAATATACAGCATTTCAGCAATGCACTCAAAAGTTTTGTCCAGGCGATTCCCCTGATTGCCTAAACGTTCTTTGATTTTATTCAGCTGTTCGTGTTGACGGTCGAATGGCAGCTGTGAGTCAAGTTGTGATATCAACTGGAAAGATGTACGTCACAAGCCAAGGATTTTTTCCTTTAGGTATGTTATATACCATTTAGATTTATGCAACTGCTCTGCTCTAGAAGCATATTAATATGTCGAGCATATGAACAGTGGCGGGCACGTGGTCAAATATTGGGGGTGAAAGTCCATTCGTTTGATAATATGACGTCCCATTTTCCTCCATTTTTATAACAAAAGACATTTGTCTTCCAAAGTATTAGGGGCTATCCCCCCCCTCTCCCCGCCACTGCATTTGAAGCCGCATCAGTCGTCCATTTTTTTTCAAATTTGGTTGTTCGAGTTAGCACTCTTGGAGAGTCTAAGCCAAATCGCGCCTGGCCCTGCACTGCTAACGTTTATTGGTTTACCAACACTATTCCAGTGCCCTGGCTTCCTCTGTATTTTTGTTGTTGCTTTTTTCAGATTTTGGGATTTTACATAAAGCCTTGTTCTCGTATAGAAAATGATTTAACTATTGAAGACTCCATTTTCAAACAACCTGATTTCCTTAACTGGAATAATGTAAACGAGAACACTGTTAAGCAACATTTAACCAAGTAGTTTTGCAAGTTTTCTGCTCGCTGTTTCCGTATTGAAATATTTCAACCTTTCTCTACACCAAAGCGTCATCAACACATGCCTTCGTACCACATTCAACGACATTTGCATTCAGATCCATGATTAAATCGATGAACATCTTTTAGGAGTTGTTTCTTAAAGCTAACCTCGTGCCTTCTGAAGAAATACAAGGATCAAAACCGTTGATAGGCCTGCTGAATTTCTACTTTTGAGTGCATTGATTGTCTTGATCCTAGATTCAGCTTACTAGAATCGTTTCCATTCCATATTCCATTCTGTACTCTCTGTACTGTACTGTACTGTACTCTCAATTAAATCTGGTGGAAAACGTTACGCTGACCCTTAAAACGTTTTCCCCCGAGTGGCCACAAAGATTCATTTCTTCGCGGGACACAGAAGTGCAGAATACTTGTCAATTTATCACCGTCCTGTTCTCCATGGTAAGGTGTGTGCAGCTCTGCCATTATGGCATCGAGCATATGATAGACTGGTAAACATTAATTTCCATTGATTCTTAATTAATGTTGGTAGTTTTAGTAGAAATGCACTGATATTTTATTGTTCCAATTTGATACAATCTTTTTTTGTCACAGCTTTTATATTATTCTATTTGGAAAAAGTATCCTGTGAAAACTCGTGGGATCCGACCTGGGTATTTGTCACTCTAAGGGAGGTTGGTTTATCAATGAAACAGCTCTGGCTCGCATACGACAAACTTTTAAAAAGCAAGGTAACTGTTCTTATTTTTATTTTGTCATTTTATCAGTTAGTTTGATATTGCAGATATGTTTCGTTATGTCTCATTTAAGTTTAAGTGTTAAATTATAAAATTGTTTTAAAGTCAAGTCTTGATTCAATGTTTTGTAGAATTGTTGGTGTTGATATAAGATGAATTAGATGTAAACTACATGCATTATAATATCACTTGCTCATGATGGTCCAACATTTTATAAATTATTGGACTGTTGAAGTAGTTTGCGATAATGGATTTTGGAATAAACGAGTATGAAATAGCCATCCTCCCCCCCCCCTGCTTATTAATTTTTCAAAAGTAATCCACTCATGACATCCTTGTTCACGAACCCACGTTTGTTATCTTCGAGTGAAACTATTTTCAAGAACTGTAAATTTTGATTTCACTGTCATGTTATGAAAATGTTTTGTCCTTTTTAAGATGCCAGTGTCAATTTTCTTGCTTTCTTTCTTGCTTTCTCTCTTTTTCCAGTTTCGTCTTTTCAACTGTCTTTTGTGCCTCTTTTCGACTGTCTTTTCTGCTACTTTTCAACTGTCTTTTATGCTACTTTTCAACTGTCTTTAAAGGTGAACATACACGCAAAACTGCTTTTTGATATAATGCAGAAATTGATGCAAGGAATCTTAAATTCAAGTTTTCGGTTAATTATGATTGTCCGTTTTGACGAAATTTCGCTTTAAATGTCATGAAATTATCGTCGAGTGATCGACCATTGTCGGCATTTCATGTGACCCAGTGAGCGTGACGTCACAAAAACCATGTTTTACTCTTTGAATGCAAATCACGCACGAAAGTTCATCTTTATCAGTTACTATTCGAGGAGATCTATGTAGTCATTGATCCAAAATTGAGGCTAATGACATGTACGACAGATATGTGCTGGCTGGTACTGTGTTATGAAAGGAGGGAATTCAAACTTGGAAGGAATAGGCATTGCTAATTTTAACTGTCTTCTATGCTATTTTTCAACTATCTTTTATGCTACTTTCCAACTGTCTTCTCTGCTACTTTTCAACTATCTTTTATGCTACTTTTCAACTGTCTTCAATGCTACTTTTTAACTGTCTTTTTTGCTACTTTCTAACTGTCTTCTATGCTATTTTTCAACTATCTTTTATGCTACTTTCCAACTGTTTTTTATGCTACTTTTCAACTGTCTTCTATGCTACTTTTCAACTGTCTTCTATGCTACTTTTCAACTGTCTTCAATGCTACTTTTCGACTGTCTTTATTGCTACTTTTCGAAAGTCTTCTTGCTACCTTTGGAATGTCTCCTATGCTAAGCTAATTTTCAACTGTCTTCTATGCTACTTTTCAACTGCCTTCTATGCTATTTTCCAGCTGTCTTCTATACTACTTTTCAACTGTCTTCGATGCTACTTTTTACTGTCTCTTTACTTTTTCTTGACTGTCTTCAATGCTAAATCTCGACTATCTCCTTTGCTACTTCTCGACTGTCTTCTATGATACTTTTCGACTGTCTTCTATGCTAATTTTCAACTGTCGCCTTCGCTACTTTTCGACTGTCTCCTTCGCTTCTTTTCGACTGTCTCCAATGCTTTTTCGACTGTCTTTTATAGGAAGCTGTCTGGCAAGCCTCCGGGAAGCCATTGCATTTACTAAATGCAATCTCACTTTTCATCAAAACGTATTTGGATAACACCACTGTTGTTCCTTCAAGTGAAAGGTAAAGTATTTAGTCGTCAGCTGTATTGTAAACTGAATTTGCGTTTTATATACTTCAATTTCTTGATTTTTGTGATTTTTCGAAATTAAGTGTCCTGCTTTCAGCTCTGTTTTAAATTTGTATGAGATTTGGTAAAATATTGAGTTAGAACAAAACAGATTCAAACTAGAGAAATATTTAATGACGAATCCTTCTTTTAAATGATTTTTACTACTTATTAAAACTTTTTTATTTAAGTGAAGCCTTCAAATGAGGAAATTTTGTCCTTTATTTCATTGCTTTTTGTTACATTTTGTATAAATTGTTTTTTTATCGTATTCAACTCTTATAACTGTAACGCAATAGAATTGATGACATCATAAAAATCTATTTATAGAATTTTTGAATGGTGAACCCATAACCTGAAAGAGCATCATGAAATACCTCTAAATGTGCAAGATTAAGTCAAATGTGTTACGAATTGGCTGATATGTGGCCACATGTGTATTGGCTTTCTTCCCCATCAAACCTCTGTATTTTGGTCTCTGTTCATAACTTTGTGAATCATTAGCAAACTTCAAATATTTCATTGGCCATATCTCAACTGATTTTAGACATATTTGGCCAATTTTCCATGTTTGAAAATTTTCGTGGTGATCTTTAATGTAATGTGGTTAAAATGTGGTCAAAAATTCTGAAAATAGGGTTTTGGTGACGTCATACTTTAGAACTCTATGTTACTGTAACATAATGCCGGATATGCCAATAAAGATCTACCATTTTCTTTACAGGCCAGCGTTCAACAGATCATTATGTGAAGCCTGCTCCGGTTATCTTGTAGAACTTGAATCGATGAGTGAAAGCAATACATTAGTGAAAAACTTGCTGTCAAGATTTCGCGGTGTCATTGCGCAGTTAAAGAGATAAATGTTTAGATTTAATAGAGTAAAAGCTGTGCTGATAAACACACAACTTAAGCTAAAATAGGGGGGGGTTGGAAAGGTGTTGTCCCTTAAACTTTGATAGACAATCTTTCCACTATGTTATGTCATTGTAAATCTTTGTGTAAACCTCGTGTATACGGTACTTCATGTATACGTCACCAAATATATGCCCCCGAATGTACAACTTTGATGTAGGTTGTTCAACAGGCCATTTAATCCATTTACTCGCGTCAACCAAAACTCTATAAAGCAGAATTAAACATGTCTGATATTGTTTGTGACAGAAGTTTGATTTTGTAATTTTTGCATGAATTTTGAAACGTGGAAGTACTTAAGAATTAATCAGTAATTTGAAACCAGTTGATGATACTGAAGACCTGGACCAATCAAATGTTTTGTAGTATCACAGGACAAATCATTTCTGATTAACTTGATGTGTCAAATCTCTTTCGGTGAATATTTTTCGTCATTGTATACTGGCCTAATTTCAAGGATTTCAGCAGTAATTTCGGTGAAAGTCGAGCCTCTTTTCCATGCTGTGTCATGTTGTACCTCTTTTCAAGAACAGGCTATCAAGACATCAAGAAGTATGCATTTTCTCAAATTAATTTTAAAGAATGGTAATTCTCGGTTTGATTTATTTAAAATGCAATCTTTCATGATGTTGTTTCGAAGTCCTAAGCCAGTTTTCAAGAGCAGCCCTTTGGGTTTCAACTTAGTTCCGCCATCTCTATGCCAAGCGAAAAGGATGATTGGCAAGGAGCATTAATTCTGTTTAAGGCAAGTGAAAAGCCGTATATCTTCTTGACATTTCGCGTTTTGATAGCAATGAGTTTCAGCTATGTCAATAACAATGTGGCTCTTTTTATTGTATAAGATACGCCTTCTCTAACATTTAGTCCAGAATGGCACAAACCATATATTCAGTCTAGCTGTTTCCTCTCGATCTGTTCATTAGAACTGCCGATGCCAATGCCGATACCGATACCCTACTTGACATACAGTAAATGGTATCTTGGTTCAAAGACCATTGACGTTAGGGCTGAGATTTAGGCAGACTCTGTATAGTTAGCTATCCTTCTATCGATTCCTATTTTTGTTTAAGATAGTTTGTTTAAGACCTGCCCTCAAGGTCGCATTGAAAATATTGGAATAATCCAAATCATCCCATAAGTAACCTCGAGAACAGACTCAAAGCTGAGCCTATTTTTCTCTTAAAGTATGCGACCATCTGCTTTCTATATGGGAAGCGACATTGACGACAAGAGACAGTGAAGTGGCTTAAGTCATCTCAATTTTGGCCAATCATTAGGCGTGTGAGTTGTCTTACGCTTATTGATTGGCCAATTTCTGAATGACAGATGGCTTAAGTCACTTTTGTATCAGTCGATTGCCTTGAGGTGTTTTGCAAGAATTTCACTACCTTCTCTTCACAAACGCGTTCTCTATTTGACAGTAAAATTTTTGCTCGATCGTTACTATAGTTGTAACCTTAATAACAGGAATTGGGTTTTCATAATAAAAAGATATGGTTCTGAAGTGAAACAAGTTATGTTTTCATAAGAACCAGTAAATTGTTATTTTTTCGAAAATCTGAGACTGGATTGTTCTTAATTTGTTCTTGGTTTAATAGGCTGTAGGCACTGCGATTGCCAGCTTTTCGCTCTAGGGAAGTGTTCAGGGCTTATTTGCCAACAATGTGAATCAGCCAACTTTCATTTGCCGGCAATTTTGAATATTCACCCAAAAAGTACCCACATGTGGCTAAAAACCTTCTTTTTGAGATGAAATTGTTCAAAATTGCATTTTACAGTAGCTCAGCCTCAATTTGTTCTTAATTTGTTTTTACCTTTCGACCAATTTTTAAGGCTCGCGTTCTTATAAAATTGTTCTTACGAAAAAAGATTGTTCAGATGCTCGTGTGCCACGCCGAAGCTTACGAAATTTTTCGTCTTTTTTTATTTCTCTCAAATAACGCAATTGTGTGATAAAAACAGGCACAGAGGGGAACTTAAGTGGGAATGAGGAATATAAGAGAAAGGTGTGTTGGGTATTATACACACAAAAAAATTTCCAATGCCATTCAGTGCAAATGAAGAAATAGGTGGCACTGAAAATCTCTAATTGGGAATCGCGTCTTAGTCATTATGTTAGAAACTTTCTAAGACGGAACCTTGTTTCGATCATATAATAAAACAATCACGCAATTTTATTGCTATGAAGGTCTCGAAGGCTAATTTGCTATAGAAATCTCGAAGGGGGGGACTATTTTGCAAAAATACATTTTGGGGTGGAGTCTTTTTTCAGGAGGGGGGGCTTATTCAAAGAGGGGGGCTTAATTAGCAGCAGTCAAGTATATTACAAGGGGTAAATTTTCCTCCTCTATTCAAGGCTGGTCAGTTTGCTTTAAAATGCAGATATAAACATATTGATAAGATATAAACCATGTTTATTTTATTTCATCAGTTTTAATAATTCTTTTGCAGATGGCTTTGAATCTTCAGAAGGAAGAGGAAAGATATGAACTTTTTCCATTCCTAGTCTACCTCCAGCTACAGAAGGAGCTCTGCTTTCAAGACCTGCAAATTTCGGTTAAAAAGCTCTCTGAAACTTTAGAAAATGTTTTTAGAACAACTGAAATGGGCAAAGAAGGTAGGGGCTTGTTTTTTATCTCTATGTATTTGGCTGTTTTTTGCCTCCTGAAATGTTTAGCCTATTATCTCCTGCAAACAATCTTGAACCCTAAATGCAAAAATATTTGGTACGACCATCGGTTTTGTCTTGGATGTGGTTCTATAAGTTTCCTTCAGCACAGCTGCCTTCCTTATTTTTTAGGATGGCACCTCTCCTGCATACAGTAACCCTACATTTACTTCTACACTACACTCTCAATAGACAGCACATTCCAGAAGTTTTCTTTTGAAACATTTTGTTCATTTCAATCATTACTCTGATAAATTTTGCATGTACTGTCTATGTTTATTATTATTAATACATTAATTTAGTGTATCTCTGAATGAGAGTTCTGTTGACACCTGCCATGAAATTTTGCATTTAATATATTGAATTTCCAGAAAATTCAAGAAACACGATACGAACTGTTACAGCAAACTGCCTATATTATATTGCTGGGTTTTTTTTAAGTAGTTCCATAGATTGGGGCTGTATTTTCTCGACTCAATGCTTCGTGGTTATAAGCTATTTGTATGTTAATCTTAATGAAGATTTCTGTTTACCAATCTGTCATAAAACGATCAATTTCATATAGGTAGTAAGAGCTTCTAGCAGTATGGCTTTAAGTTACTTCTTAAAACCTTAGATCAATTTTAGAACTGTCCTGTGAGCATTTTGGAGCAGCGTGTATCTAAATCCTGCTTTTTTCTCTAATGCCTTGCTGCATAATCGATTTGGACCATGTGTCATAACCTCCCAATCCGTTGCTGCGAAGCAGCTTTAATTGATCTTGCGTATTGCAATTATGACGTCAGATAAATCATTCGTCTGGTATTTGATCGCATACATAGCAAATCTCCTCAAATTCGTTTCTTGTTCGATTACAGAGAGGTGTATTCGTGAGTTTTTTCGGAAAATCGTTCGTGCCCACTAGAGCATATCTAGTATTTTTTCAATTTCGCGCTAGAAAAATTATCTCTAGTGTAATTGACGCCATGAGGCGCTCAAGTCGCGAAGAGGAACTAGTTCCTATGCGGAGCATTGAAGCCGAAGAAGGCAGACGCCTGCCATCTTCTTCTTCTTTAAGTTTCTCCAGCCAGAAAGACATTCGAAGAAAGAAGTCTGTTCGCTTTTGTGGTAAGTTTATTTTTGTCAATCTATTTCTCTTTTTTGTAAGAATATCGCTTTATTTAATTGGTATCGTTTCATACAAGTATTTTTACAGGCTTAAAGTCTTCGACAATTATTGAACGGTGAACTATTTCTTTGTCTTCGTATGTAAATGAAAAAAAGTTATGTCTGATAGAAAAATTGTTGTATGAAGGATTGACTCAGAATTCTCTCAAATGACCGGTCGAGTTTTGAGGTTATGCTGTTTCCGTCGATAGTAAATTAAATTCTTGATCATCGTCAAAAAACAATGACCTAACAAGAACATTTTCCGATCTTAGATTCAGTATCCAAACTTGACGATCTGCAGGGGATAATGCAGAAATTCCAGCACGTTTTGGGTGATATCAAATGGCTGGAATCGACTCTCGAGTCTTTAGAAGCACCTCTGCGTGCCAATGGATCTGGCACTGAAAAGCTGCTTTTGGAATCTATGGTTGATGTCAGGAAGCTGGAGCAGGCTATTGCCAAGAAAAGTGATGAAGCTGTTTGGGAGAATATTCGCAATGAAGATATGACAATGCGTTGCGATGACACCGAGTTGATGGGAAATCTAAAACCTTTGATCAGCTCCTTCACTATGGAAAGCTTCGAAGCATACCTGCGTGAGATGGAACATAGAAGAGAGCGGTTGATAGCAAGCGTGAGTAAGCTCGAGCTCATTTTATTGGAAGACAAGGAGCTAAGAGAATTTGCTGCAAGACGCTCTTCAGGGGCTGAAAAGCAGGTTGCCAGCCAGAGGTTGAGAGAGGAGAAGGACACTGCCGTTGCTAGTCATGATTTGTCTTCGAAGTCAAGCAGTGAAGAGTGGATATGTAGCAATGATGCCTGTAACCAAAGTCAAGAGCCAAGTGGGAAACTGTCTACAAATGGCAGTGATGCACTAATGGGAGAGAGTCACAAAATGGAAGCTGGAAATGCCCCTGAAGATGGCCAGAAACAGGTTCTAATGGAAGTGACAAAAGCCCGGGAGATGCAAGCCGAAAGCAAGATGCCAGCCCAAGGTGAAAATCCTCTCTACCTTCAACTATTGTTTACCAGACTTTAAATAAAATGCTTTAAGTAAGATGGTGCTTGGAGCAAGGATAGAAATGAGAAATTACTCCAATATCATGAATTTTTGTTGATTTATGAAAGATTGCTCGTTTTAAGTTACATTTGTTTCTCTTTTTTTAGATTTTGAGTTGCAGCAAAGCATGAAAAGAAAACTGGTGCTGGAACTGAAAGAGGTGCTTGGAGACATATTCTATTTGGAAGCCAGGCAGACCAAATTGGAAGTTCCATACCTAAGAAAGGTTTTTCCATCGAAGGAATCACTTGTCGAGTCACTTCTTCTGCTAAAGATACGCGCCCAGATACGTCTGCGGAGAAAAGAGAAAGCTCTGATGCAAAAGTTGATTCGTGAAGAAAAGGAGAAAACCCTATGCCAAGATGTTTCCCCCTCTGCCAATAAAGGAGTGAGATATCTCCAGTTAGCCTATAAAAGAAAGCTGGAGAGAAGAGAGTATCTACGAAGAAGTGTCCGTAGATTGGAACTCCACCAGTTGCCATCAAAGCAAGCAGAGATTTTGCCAACATCTGAAAGCCAAGAGAAGGGCCTGCTTGATAATGAAAAGGCTATGTCTGTGGAACCAGTATGTGACCCAGGACAGTTGGCCATGCCAGATAGTTTGGAGACTGCGAAGAATGGTGAAGATCTACTAGATATCTCCGCAGTACCGAAAGGCGAAGAGAGTAATCAAGATGTACGCCTTCGTTCGACGGATTTTGAAAGACTTGGTACTGCTCGTCAAGAGAGAATGTCCCGCAGAAACCGCAAGGCCAACAGAAGTGACAAAGATGGTGCACCTGTGGCTGTACAACGCTCTAAAAGTGAAAGCCTATTCTCTGATGCCCCTGTTGCAAGCTCTAGTGTCATAATGCCATTTAATGATGCTCCAGAACGGGAACCACCGTGCTGTCATGGACCAGAGTGTCTCTTGCAGTTTGGAGATTTTGATCCTATCTGCACCAAGAAGGACCCTCTGCTGTTTGTGGGGGAATTCAGGATTCCTGCAGAAGACTGGGATGCAGAATGCAGTTTATCCAATGGTAACGCAGTCAGCAGTGCATTGATCCCTGAAGTTGGTGCAGAGAATGGCCATTCTGATAATGGTTATGTTGCAGACAAGGACAATGATGCCATCGCAGAGTCAGGGACTGTTAATGGCACAACAGTTGCACCAGAAAGTACCAGTGTCCTTGATGTTTCAAGGAATGCTGCTGCAGGGACAGATATGGTATGTGGCCATGATGTACAGGGTAATGCTAGTGACACTGGTGCATCAAATGAAGTAGCCTGTGAAAAAGAAGTAAAAGCTGCCAAATTGGATTCGACAGGTTCTGTTGATATAGGTAATGGAAGCATCAATTCTTGTGACAATCAAATGCCCAAACAACAATTGTCTCCCGATGCTGCAAACCAGGAAGCTGAAATTAATGGCCTAAACTCTGCTGATGCGGAGTTGGCAGACCTGGAAGATTGTGAGCTGCCAAGAATTGCAAGCTGGGCTGATCACGTAGAAGAGAATGAAATTTCCAACAACGAGCCACATGTTTTGCCAGCAGTTCCAGACAAGGACATCAACAATCCTGATTTGAAGCCACCTTAATGTTATGGCAAAGATTTCATGGCTGATTCATTCAATTTTGAGGACATTATGAATAGTCATGATTGCTGTAATTATTTAGTTATGATTTGTGTTAATGTACATTTTGATCAGTTCAAATTGACTCTATTCTTCTGCATTCTCTGCCATTGTTTCCACTGGTAGGCTCAATCACTCTAATAAGAGTCTGAATTTTAACCACGGATTGTTGGTTTTCTCAATTATGCCTCATCAAGTGGTTTAACAAATGCACGAAGTTTACATTTGGTTATTACTTTCATGTTCTAAGCTAGATATACCAGAGGGTGTTGCAAAAGGAATTAGAAGTGCCAAAAATTAACTTTCTTTCTATAACTTGTATTACTAATAACAAAAATATGTGACATTTCACAAATTGAATGTCTTGATATGCGTAATGGCTACAGCTGACACGAGTTGAGAGCTGGTAGGGATGGCACGTGCGTCATAGCTACATAAGGTTTTGTACACGACTAATGGCACAATCGAATAAATGGGCAGCAAGAAATGGTTTCTGATTTGGCTACCACATGTTGTCAGGTTTTTCCACAAAATCTTTAAGTGTCGCTATTTTTTTTTATAGTTTTGTACAGAACATAACTTTTTTAGAAGAGGAATAAAAGAGAAGGTGAACTTTTATCATTTATTCTGAGTCAAGTGTCATAAATCACCCTTCTTGAAGATTTTCTAGACTTATCCTCTATAAAAGACATTTTAAGTACGAAACCTTTTTAGAAAGGTTGCTATTCTGATTCAGAACAATGCAAGAAATCCCTTTTTGAAGCTATGAAAACATTCCTCTCCAAATGTCACACTTGGATTAAGATAGACAATCATGTTATATTTCTCGACAAAATAGCAGTGTTGCCTTACAGGGGGCTTTTCCCCCCTTTTGACCCCCCACTATCTGCGCTAATGCTAAGATCGGATGAAACCACGAGATCCAAAATTCTAGATGCAGCAAGTTTTCCTCATGTAAAAAACATCATGTTTTTCAAAAAAAAATTTGCTCGTCCAATCTCTAAGCTAAATTACAACTAAAGTCTGCTTTGCGTACATTGTGTTCAAGAGGAATAACTGATGTTAAATTTACGTGGACAATTGTCATAAAAGGTTTCCAACATTCGGTTGTGAGCCTCTTATAATAATATTACATTGCTTAAGTATCTTAATGCCTTAATCAAATGTAAACTTCTGATACATTTTCAAGAAATGAAATGAAATGAAGAACGTATCTTATTCAATATAGGATGTAAATTTTAGTATTGCAACTAATTTGATATCTCATATTTTCGACCTTTAAACAGATGCTCGTGTTCGACTGCTTTCGGAAGCAAAACAAAGTTGGCAAAAGGGAATTTTAGCAAGGATTTAACTATAAAGAGTAGGAAGAAATTTTTTAAACAATTATACTGACCTTCTTATCGCCTTCACCAATTTGGCTTTTATCTTGTCAAAAAGATCAATAGGAAGGTTTTAGTGCTGTAAATACGGGATAGGAAGATTCTCTGCACCCTTATATATTGCTGAGCGAAACTCTTGAATCTCAGACAAGCAGAAGCGGAGCAAGACGGTGTTTACTGAAGAGGAATCAAGATGATCAGATTTCTGTTAATACTCGTTGTAGCGGTGGTGGTGTTCGAGGAAAGCAAAGTTGAAGGGCAAGGATATTTCCAAAGATATAGTGATCTATATCTGCCAAAGCCCCAGGATTCAAGCCAAGCAAAGCCAAGCCATAACCAAAGGTCAATTCTCTATGATGATAGACATCTTAACCTCAGGTACCGCGAGCCAAACCTGAATCTTCCAAGAATTCAAGAAACTAAGGATTCGTCAAAACGTATGTTTACATTTTATTTCTACTATAATTTTATATTTACGTTTCACGTAGACTCTAAGCGTGGTCGCTGTTTTGCAATGCTTCTCTTTTATTCAAAAGTTATAATCATGGAAGAATATTGTTGATATTTTCAGATTTCTTTGAAAGCCTTTTTCCTTGTTGCCTATAAAGAGCGTTTCGCATCCTCATTACGTGTATTCGATTTTGCAGTTTCACACATTTGCAGCCTCTGCCAACGGTAAAGTATATAACATACAGTATTCTCCCTTGTATCCCTGCCCTGTCTAATATTCACGCCTCTCGAATGATTCCGCCTTTCTTCTCAATTAACCCCGCCCCTCTGATAATGCCGCATGCGGGTTTGATGAAAGTAAAAAACCAAGCATTGTCAATGCCTCTGAGTTCTTGGATGATTTTTCTACATTCAGCGTAGTGTCTTGTCGCCTTCATTTGATAGCAGCAAGGGTGAATAATGTTTCAGCTAATCGGCATCACCTTTATAACCATCTTTCGTCAATGTTCTTGATAATTTATATGCAAAGTTTTTGTGCCAAAACACAGGAGAATGTGTTTTATGTTTAATGTAGTAAGTCAGTTATGGCTAACGAAAATTTAATCCCGCCTCTCTTATAATCCTGCATAAAATTAGGAGCTTTAAACAAATTATCCCACAAATGGAATACGAGAGATAATACGGCATATAATATATTTCTATCTCCTAGCTTAACGTATTGTTCCAGCGAGATTTGAAAGTTTAATAGCAATCTTAAAACTTTTGTGTGGATCAATACCCTGATGTGGTTTTGCTTTGAACATCAAAAAGAGTAGCTAACATTTGTACGAAAATTTCTTTATTCGAAATTTCAAAAATGCGTCCGAAAATATTTTCGCCTAATTTTATTGACCGAAATTTTTTCAATTGAAAATTTTTGTGCCTAATGTATATACTTTGAATCAAGGAACTTTATGATCCGCTAGCAGAGAATTACTTTATTTATTCACTGCTAACATTAGGATCAGCAATGTCAGACAAGTGATTTCCTACTGTTCTTTGAGGCGCAAAACATCAAGAGATACGCTCTCAAAGTCACATTGCATTGGAAGTATAATGAAGCAACATTGAGTGTTCTAAGGAGTTGCTACCTCTAGTCTATTTTGTACCTTTTCATTATATACATATAGACAATTTATATTGGTTTTCTTAACTCCCAAAGGCCTTCCTTCACTGGGAGGTTCGGCTATAGTAAGGAAAGGGGCTTCAGTTGGAATGTTGGTGCGAAACTGAGGTTAGACAGAAAGCGACGATCTGCAGAGGGCCAAAATGCAGAAAAAGCAGAAAATATCTTGTCACAGCAACCAAAAGCAGATGTTCCAACAGTGCCTCCAGTTGGTGGTGAAAGGAAAGTAAAGGTTGAGAAGCAAAGTGGTATTTCCAATCAAGAAAAACTGATTCTCAATAACCAAGAAACCTGCGACAAATGTTTAGAAATTCAGCCATTGAAAGTCGACGATAAAATTGTAGAAAACAAAACATTGGAGGATAATGACTTTGTCATGGTTGTCAAGCATATCGATACAAACCTATCTGTGTTCAAACTGTTGTCGATCATGAAGTTTGAAGTTGTTGATGTCTTGAAAAGTCCTATCGAGAAAGTCAGTAAGGGCAGCCAATTTACAATCAGAGCCGAAATGGCAGACTGTCCCTGCCTTTCTATCCTCGACCTGGGGTACTATGTTGTCACAGGCGTCATTGACGAAAAAGGCAGACTCACTCTTTCAAATGTTTTTATGGAGTTTGAGGAGAATTAATGAACATATAACGTTCTTCTGTTTTCCTTGTAAAGTGCACTAGAACTTATTTTAGATTTGAGCCGATGTACTTTTATATGCAGCATTGATAGAAGTCATTTTTCTGTTTTTTGTCTCTCCAAGATGATCATAGAAATCTAATTTAGTTCAAACGGTAAATGCAATTCTACATAAGAAAAGATCAATAAGTTTGTATTGATCCTCTTTCTCTGGAAACATTGTCCTTGCTCTTTTTCATAAGATACGGTGCGCGAGGCCTTGTTCTTAAGTTCCTCATTTTTGAGCCTCATAATAAAGTTGTAGTTCCAAAAATGCCTTAATACTTCTTTATATAGCACAGATAGATGCAAGAAAACATTGAAATTCTGTTTTGCAAAAAACCTTAGCTAGAAGGCAAAGCCAAAACACCAATGAGACGAAACTTCTTTGATAAATGTAAAAGTAAAATTTCAACCAAGAAGTAACAGGCCTTTCTTATTCTCGATTGCTTTCACTGGTAAAATATTCAAGATTGGAAAGTTCCCCGGACATTTTGTCAGTAATATAAGATCCTTAAATGTCTCAATCTTATATTGTGGTTCCTTATGAGAAAGCCTCTAATCCTTTATGAAATGTGATCTGTGGGCGACTCCTAGAATTTCTTCCGTTTGCTTTTTCAAACCACATCACTGTAGTTGGCTTCATTTCCTAAAATTTTTGCTACACAAATTGAGAACTAGGCAAAAAAGGCAAAAAGCCATGCATTGATGAAAACTTTATATTATAGAGCAAGTTTTTTAAGATACCAGGATATTTCAATTATCAAATCATCATTTGTTTTCCTTGTCGACCATACTTGAAAGGACAAAATAATAGTTCTTTACGACCTGTTATGAATAAATGCAAGGGCAGCACACATTGTCTACGATGAATGTTATGTTGTAGTTATAATCAGTGCTCTGTAGCTGCAAATAAGAAATTCATTACCCTCACGACCATTTAGGCTTTGAAAGGGGTACCTTAATAGGCCTTGAAGCAGGGCCGTAAATCCCGGCGGGGGGACGGGGGGGACTGGACCCCCAAAAAATCTGGAGCAAAACGATTTTTTTGGAGAAATTACCATCATTTTCCTTGAAAGAAAGAAATCCCTGGTAGCCGTACTGAAAGCACTCAAAATAAGGAAGACGCACATTTCTCTTCAGAAAAGTAAATTTCTACCAATCAATACAACAGTGTCCCATATTTCCCCAAAGTTTGCCACTAAGGTTTAAGCATGATTCTTCCCCTCCAAAATTTCACCCAATAAACAATAATCTGTGTTCTTCTGAAAAACGCCGAACTTTCTATCCTGAGCGATTCTAGTTTTTTATTGAATTTAGTCTGGGGAAGGCCTTTCTAGAAGATAAAATTTCAAAAATTTTCTTCCGCGTCGGACCCAACCATGGTAGGTCCTCCTACGACAGTTATCTTGATTCTTAGCTCCCAAGGTTCAATTTCTTGGGGCCATCTCTGAAAAATGTTATCCATTCAATTATCAACACAAGTCAATGTACTAAGGAATATCTGTAAATACCTTCTATAGAGCAGAAAGTCTTGAGAAATCCAAAAATATTGACTTTTGTTTTTAAAGTAATTTGCCCCTCAACTGTTTCCATAAAACATAACACATACCCTTGTGGTGCCATGACCCACTGCATACTTTATATTCATTCGCTCTGCTGACCCCCCCAATTCAAATGACAAATTTACGGCCCTGCCTTGAAGTAAGGGAACGTGCCATTACATAGGGGTACCTTTTCTCTGAAAATGCGGGTATAGTTTCCATCATGTTTGCGGAATTATGGGGCACGTCCCTGTCCAAAACTAGGCTTCACTGCCCCCAAGCATCTAGGATTTTCCTGAAAAGAAATCTATGTTTTGAAAATCTCGAACATAGATTCTTTCAAATTAAGCAGTGGTGTCTTGGAGGGGGCTCAGGGGGGCTCCGGGGGCTCAGCCCCTTGTTAAAATTCAGAAAGATCTTAGGTTCAGCCCCCCCCAAACAAACAAACCCTTATATGTTTGGTTTGACGAATTCATTACTTTGCAATGGGAACTTGCCCTGTATTTTGCTACTGATTTTCAACGAATGAGCAACTTCCTATCAGTCTTTTTGATTTGGTGAATGGTTTGAATGATTCACAACACAGTAGAGAATCTTTAGCATGAATAGAAGTATTTAGGATGTGACCTTGGTTGTGGTTTGGCTGTGGCTTGTAAGTGTTGCCTACAGCACAGCCCCTGTTCCTAAATGCTTAGAACGGCATCCCTGAAATCAGGGTATTTTGAGACGATCAATCAGCGAAAAAGATAAAAGTTTATTTTTCACAAACCAGATTATACTTTCACTTGAGTAAAAAATTTCAAAGGATGTATCGAAATTTAGCAAAATATAAGAAGATCGAAAACGAACTCAGCAACAATAACAATTTCAGCGACATTTTCACATGGCTGTTAATGATCAGTGATAGACAAACGACTGCTAGAATAAGGGAAAATATCTCTCTCAGAATGGCTTCATAGGGCGGAATCTACAAATGCTGCACAACAAAAAGCAGTATTGATTCTTGGCCCAACCATCTCTTCACCTTCCCATCAAATTCAGCGATCTTTTAACATACAAACTAGTGAGAAATTTCCCTACCAGGCCTTTAAATCTCCCCACTAGTTGGCCCATGATTCCCCACTAGCAAGCACCTTTTTGTTGAAAATTGTTTAAAAACCAGTTTGATATGTCTCCAATTACTGTTATGCCGTTGTCGTTTTATGCATGTGTCAAATTATGTGTTACTTATTTCGTATTTTCTCAAATGTAAATCTCTGACTCTGTTTGATTTTCTTGCACTGCACCAAAGCGAGGTAATGAAGTTCGCGGGAAAATTCTAACAAGAATGCTGTGACAGTTCTGCTTGTTTTATTATCCTATAAACATGCCAAGATCAGAATGTTATTTAAAATGTAGCTTTTCGCTGCACGGGAGTAAGGACTGATGTGCAAGACCTTGAAGACTTACAAACTATGCATACACTTTCCTTATGTTTTTGCCGTCACAATCCACGTCAACTCTTGTTAGATCAAATGAGTCACAGGTACAAACAGGACCTCAAGACAGTGCCCAAAATTTTGGACAATCATTCAAAGTTCTTGGAACAAAGTACGGCTCCCTTGATGAATTTGACCTCGCTCCATCTCCATCGACAAGTAATTTTTTAGAAGAAGGCGGCTGGGAAGACAGTGATGACGAAGAAGAAGATGATGAAAGCCAAGGGGCCTGGCCTATTGCAGAGGAAGCCTCAGGCAGTTTATTGATAGGTATTCAATTTTCTATCGAATAAGTTTTTCTTGGCTGCAGGAGTTTAGGTATTAAGACGATTTCAACAAATATCCTCGCTAAAATTGTGGGGACAGACATCTAGATACCAAAAATTCTCATAGTTTCACATAAATGTTTCTCGTCTTTCATTAAAAATGCGGCTTGGTTTTTAAACAATTAATTTATTGTAGAATTGTAAATAGAATTAATTCTATAAATGCCTTGAACTGGATAATTAACTTTCTAAGGGGGATTGGGAGACCAATGTAGCAAGAGTGTTGCATTCCAGACTTGAATCTTCACTGGGCACCAGCAATAAAATGCCTGTGAATATTTATGAACTTTTCCATATTTGCAATGCAAAACCATGGAGGATATTAGTTTCACTCTCATCATGATCTGTCTGTCACTATTCATACTATTTAATTTTTGGAAATGTCAAATCATGTTAGCTAAACCTTTAAAAGTTGTTATGCTTTGAAAAAATTGATTTTCAACACCTGCTACAAAAACACTTGATTTATAAGAAAACATTTGTTGCTGAATCTGCATATGACCATTATTGACTGAAGATAATTTGAGAGAACAGCCATTCCAGAAAATAATGTTAAATTTTCATATTTTTTCACTAAATATATCAATTCTTTAATTTTTTAACTATGAACAAGAATGTCTTATTATAGTTTTTTAATTACCATTAATACTTTTTTGTTCTGTTAAAAGTTCCATTTTATCCTTTCAGACACTAAATTTGTATTAAAAATTCATTGTTGAATTTTTTGTAAACATTTAAGTAAGTCCATAACTGCTGCATATTTGCAGACTCTATTTGTTCTGTATTATATCAATTTGTAGCAACGTTATCTTGGACCACTTACACATCATGAACCCAGGCAATTAATTCTCAGCTTATAGATCCATTATGCTTGCACCATAAGTCCTTGGCAGGGGCTCCGTGCACCCTGGGGGGGGGGCTATTTTGCAAAGATACATTTTGGGGTGGAGGCTTATTTCAGGAGGGGGGGCTTATTCAAAGATGGGGACTTAATTAGCAGCAGTCAAATATATTACAAGGGGTAAATTTTCCTCCTCTATTCAAGGCTGGTCAGTTTGCTTTAAAATGCAGATATAAACATATTGATAAGATATAAACCATGTTTGTTTTCTTTCATCAGTTTTAATAATTCTTTTGCAGATGGCTTTGAATCTTCAGAAGGAAGAGGAAAGTTACCAACATTTTCCATTCCTGGTCTACCTCCAGTTACAGAAGGAGGTCTGCTTTCTAAATCTTTTCAAGACCTGCAAATTTTTTTTAAAAAGCTCCTGAAACTTTAGAAAATGTTTTAAGAACAAATGAAATGGGCAAAGAAGGTAAGGGCTTGTTTTTTTATCTCTATGTATTTGGCTGTTTTTTGCCTCCTGAAATGTTTAGCCTATTAACTCCTGCAAACAATCTTGAACCCTAAATGCAACAATATTTGGTACGACCATCGATTTTGTCTTGGATGTTGTTCTATAAGTTACCCTCAGCACAGCTACCTTCCTTATTTTTTAGGATGGCACCTCTCCTGCATACAGTAACCCCACATTTATTTCTACACTACACTCTCAATAGACAGCACATTCCAGAAGTTTTCTTTTGAAACATTTTGTTCATTTCAATCATTACTCTGATAAATTCTGCATGTACTGTCTATGTTTATTATTGTTCAAATTAATACATTAATTTAGTGTATCTCTGAATGAAAGTTCTGTTGACCCCTGCCATGAAATTTTGCATTTAATATATTGAATTTTCAGAAAATTCAAGAAACACGATACGAACTGTAACAACGAACTGCCTATATTATATTGCTGGGGTTTTTTTAAGTAGTTCCATAGATTGGGGCTGTATTTTCTCGACTCAATGCTTCGTGGTTATAAGCTATTTGTATGTTAATCTTAATGAAGATTTCTGTTTACCAATCTGTCATAAAACGATCAATTTCCTATAGGTAGTATGAGCTTATAGCAGTATGGCTTTAAGTTACTTCTTAAAACCTTAGATCAATTTTAGAACTGTCTTGTGAGCATTTTGGAGCAGCGTGTATCTAAATCTTGCTTTTTTCTCTAGTGCCTTGCTGCATAATCGATTTGGACCATGTGTCATAACCTCCCAATCCGTTGCTGCGAAGCAGCTTTAATTGATCTTGCGTATTGCAATTATGACGTCAGATAAATCATTCGTCTGGTATTTGATTGCATACATAGCAAATCTCCTCAAATTCGTTTCTTGTTCGATTACAGAGAGGTGTATTCGTGAGTTTTTTTCGGAAAATCGTTCGTGCCCACTAGAGCATATCTAGTATTTTTTCAATTTAGCGCTAGAAAAATTATCTCTAGTGTAATTGACGCCATGAGGCGCTCAAGTCGCGAAGAGGAACTAGTTCCTATGCGGAGCATTGAAGCCGAAGAAGGCAGACGCCTGCCATCTTCTTCTTCTTTAAGTTTCTCCAGCCAGAAAGACATTCGAAGAAAGAAGTCTGTTCGCTTTTGTGGTAAGTTTATTTTTGTCAATCTATTTCTCTTTTTTGTAAGAATATCGCTTTATTTAATTGGTATCGTTTCATACAAGTATTTTCACAGGCTTAAAGTCTTCGACAATTATTGAACGGTGAACTATTTCTTTGTCTTCGTATGTAAATGAAAAAAAGTTATGTCTGATAGAAAAATTGTTGTATGAAGGATTGACTCAGAATTTTTTCAAATGACCGGTCGAGTTTTGAGGTTATGCTGTTTCCGTCGATAGTAAATTAAATTCTTGATCATCGTCAAAAAACAATGACCTAACAAGAACATTTTCCGATCTTAGATTCAGTATCCAAACTTGACGATCTGCAGGGGATAATGCAGAAATTCCAGCACGTTTTGGGTGATATCAAATGGCTGGAATCGACTCTCGAGTCTTTAGAAGCACCTCTGCGTGCCAATGGATCAGGTACTGAAAAGCTTCTTTTGGAATCTATGGTTGATGTCAGGAAGCTGGAGCAGGCTATTGCCAAGAAAAGTGATGAAGCTGTTTGGGAGAATATTCGCAATGAAGATATGACAATGCGTTGCGATGACACCGAGTTGATGGGAAATCTAAAACCTTTGATCAGCTCCTTCACTATGGAAAGCTTCGAAGCATACCTGCGTGAGATGGAACATAAAAGAGAGCGGTTGATAGCAAGCGTGAGTAAGCTCGAGCTCATTTTATTGGAAGACAAGGAGCTAAGAGAATTTGCTGCAAGACGCTCTTCAGGGGCTGAAAAGCAGGTTGCCAGCCAGAGGTTGAGAGAGGAGAAGGACACTGCCATTGCTAGTGATGATTTGTCTTCGAAGTCAAGCAGTGAAGAGTGGATATGTAGCAATGATGCCTGTAACCAAAGTCAAGAGCCAAGTGTGGAACTGTCTACGGATGGCAGTGATGCACTAATGGGAGAGAGTCACAAAATGGAAGCTGGAAATGCCCCTGAAGATGGCCAGAAACAGGTTCTAATGGAAGTGACAAAAGCCAAAGTGTCTCAAGCCCGGGAGGTGCAAGCCGAGAGCAAGATGCCAGCCCAAGGTGAAAATCCTCTCTACCTTCAACTATTGTTTACCAGACTTTAAATAAAATGCTTTAAGTAAGATGGTGCTTGGAGCAAGGATAGAAATGAGAAATTACTCCAATATCATGAATTTTTGTTGATTTATGAAAGATTGCTCGTTTTAAGTTACATTTGTTTCTCTTTTTTTAGATTTTGAGTTGCAGCAAAGCATGAAAAGAAAACTGGTGCTGGAACTGAAAGAGGTGCTTGGAGACATATTCTATTTGGAAGCCAGGCAGACCAAATTGGAAGTTCCATACCTAAGAAAGGTTTTTCCATCGAAGGAATCACTTGTCGAGTCACTTCTTCTGCTAAAGATACGCGCCCAGATACGTCTGCGGAGAAAAGAGAAAGCCCTGATGCAAAAGTTGATTCGTGAAGAAAAGGAGAAAACCCTATGCCAAGATGTTTCCCCCTCTGCCAATAAAGGAGTGAGATATCTCCAGTTAGCCTATAAAAGAAAGCTGGAGAGAAGAGAGTATCTACGAAGAAGTGTCCGTAGATTGGAACTCCACCAGTTGCCATCAAAACAAGCAGAGATTTTGCCAACACCTGAAAGCCAAGAGAAGGGCCTGCTTGATGATGAAAAGGCTATGTCTGTGGAACCAGTATGTGACCCAGGACAGTTGGCCATGCCAGATAGTTTGGAGACTGCGAAGAATGGTGAAGATCTACTAGATATCTCCGCAGTACCGAAAGGTGAAGAGTGTAATCAAGATGTACGCCTTCGTTTAACGGATTTTGAAAGACGTGGCACTGCTCGTCAAGAGAGAATGTCCCGCAGAAACCGCAAGGCCAAGAGAAGAGACAAAGATGGTGCACCTGCGGCTGTACAATGCTCTAAAATTGAAAGCCTATCCTCTGATGTCCCTTTTGCAAGCTCTAGTGTCATATTGCCGTTGAACGATGCTCATGAACTAGAACCACCATGCTGTCATGGACCAGAGTGTCTCTTGCAGTTTGGAGATTTTGATCCTATATGTACCAAGAAGGACCCTCTTCTGTTTGTGGGGGAATTCAGGATTCCTGCAGAAGACTGGGATGCAGAATGCAGTTTATCCAATGGTAACGCAGTCAGCAGTGCATTGATCCCTGAAGTTGGTGCAGAGAATGGCTATCCTGATGATGGTGATATTGTAGCCAACGATAATGCTGCCAACGCAGAGTCAGGGACTGGTAATGGCACAAAAGTTGCACCAGAAGGTACCAGTGTCCTTGATGTTTCAAGGAATGCTGCTGCAGGGACAGATATGGTATGTGGTCATGATGTACAGGGTAGTGCTAGTGACACTGGTGCATCAAATGAAGGAGCCTGTGACAAAGAAGTAAAAGCTGCCAAATTGGATTCGACAGGTTCTGTTGATATAGCTAATGGAAGCATCAATTCCTGTGACAATCAAATGCCCAAACAACAATTGTCTCCCGATGCTGCCAACGAGGAAACTGAAATTAATGGCCTAGCCTCTGCTGATGCGGAGTTGGCAGACCTGGAAGATTGTGAGCTGCCAAGAATTGCAAACTGGGCTGATCACGTAGAAGAGAATGAAATCACAAACAACGAGCCACATGTTTTGCCAGCAGTTCCAGATAAGGATATCACCAATCCTGATCTAAAGCCACCTTAATGTTATGGCAAAGATTTCATGGCTGATTCATTCAATTTTGAGGACATTATGAATAGTCATGATTGCTGTAATTATTTAGTTATGATTTGTGTTAATGTACATTTTTATCAGTTCGAATTGACTCTATTCTTTGCATTCTCTGAAATTGTTTCCACTGGTAGGCTCAATCACTCTAAGTCGAGTCTGGAATGTAACCACTGATTTTTGGTTTTCTCATTTATGCCTCACCAAGTGGTTTAACAAATGCATGAAGTTTACATTTGGTTATCACGTTCATGATCTAAGCTAGATATACCAGAGGGTGTTGCAAAAGGGATTAGAAGTGCCAAAAATTAGCTTCCTTTCTATAACTTCCAAAGTCTGTAAGCATTGCTATTTTTCATAAATTTGGACCTAATCGAAAAAGTTTGCTAGTTTGATTGAGAACATTGGAAGAAAACGCTTAATTAAGCTATAAATTATAATTTATTAAGCTGTATTAAGCTTGCGCTGTTTTTCGGAGCAAAAAGGTTGAAAAATACAGGAAAATTACAGATGGAATCGAGAAAAACATGGAAGACATTTTTCAACTACTATCTTGACCGATTTATAACCCTTTTACGTCAATTTCGGTTTCTCGAACCGATGTATCCTCTTTTGACGTCAATTTTTGTTTTTGTCCTAGCAGAAAGATTAAAAGGGTGACTTTAGTATAGGAAGTGACGGAAAGGAAAATTTGTCTGCACTCATATAAATCGATGGGCAAAGCTCTTGAATCTCAAAAAAGGAGAAACAGCTCTAGAGAGAGGTAACCGGAGGGGAATTGAGATGATCAGAGTTCTGTTAATACTCGCTGTCACGGTGATGGTGTTCGAAGAAAGCAAAGTTGAAGGGCAAAACGGTTTCCAACCTAGCCTCAATTTTCCAAGATTTCGTTCATCAAAACGTAATGTTTCATTTCATTTCTACTACTGTTTTCTGTGTTTTGTTATAACGTTATATCTAGTAAATGTGTCTTTGACAGTCCTTATCTTGTTGCCAATAAATACCGTTTTTCATCCTCATTACTTGTATTCGATATTGCAATTTAGTTTCTGACTGCCTTTAAAAACATTTCTGTTAAAATAAAATACAATATTTAGATTGTATTGTTTTCAAATGCTTTAATTTCCAAAGCGACAAAGGAGCGAAGTATATTCTTACTGATTCCAAGTATCTCATTGTTCGCTGACAGATCATACATTTGGTTATTTACAGCTATAGACATGAGGAACAGCAATACCATACATGTGATTACCAATTTTCTTGTGTGATGTCGTAGAGGAGACCTATTGTGTATGGCCATTGTTCTATCCATTTGTCTTAACCAATGAGAAAGTGCATCTTACGTACATGTGATTAGGGCGATGGCTCGAAGATAGAATTCACATCTCATGGAGCTGCACAGGTGCACAGAAATTTTACTTGATTCTTGGAGGGATCAGCCCCCCCCCCTCCCCCCAACAATTCTGCCTTGATCTTTCAGTCGTTGCCCCATGTCCTTAAAAAGTCTAGATATGCTTTACCTGCAGAAGTCTTGACGTAGGGTGCACAACATTTGATAATTCAATTGTTAATTCTCTTATCCCTTGCACAATTTCGAATAGTGCCCATTCTTTTCAGGGCTTTGAGGATACATTGCCTGTCAACCACTTTAAAGATAAAGATAGGTCATACTAGATGCAACCTCTAATCTTTTTTGGTATTTTAACATCATTTATATATGTTGTTTTTTTTAATCCCCGAAGGCCATTCTTTCACTGCTGATTTCGGCTATAACCGAAACGATGGCCTTAGTTGGAGTGTCGGTTTAAAACTGGACCTAGGCAGAAAACGGCGATCTGCAGAGAACGATGATGCAGTGAAAGCAGGACAAATCTTATCACAGCAACCAAAAGCAAATGTTCCAATATTGCCTCCAGTTGGTGGTGAAAGGAAAGTTAAGGTTGAGGAGCAAAGTGGTATTTCCAATCAAGAAAAACTCATTCTCAATAACCAAGAAACCTGCGACAGATGTTTAGAAATACAGCCATTGAAAGTCGACGATAAAATTGCAGAAAACAAAACATTGGAGAATAATGACTTTGTCATGGTTGTCAAGCATATCGATACAAATCTCTCTGTGTTCAAACTGTTGTCGATCATGAAGTTTGAAGTTGTTGATGTCTTGAAAAGTCCCATTGAAAAAGTCAGTAAGGGCAGCCAATTTACAATCAGAGCCGAAATGGCAGACTGTCCCTGCCTTTCTATCCTCGACCCAGGGTACTATGTTGTCACAGGCGTCATTGACGAAAATGGCAGATTTACTCTTTCAAATGTTCTTATGGAGTTTGAGGAGAACTAATGAATAAAAGTCTAACAACAAATAACATTGATAAAAGTCATTTTTCTGTTTTTTGTCTCTCCAAGACGATCATAGAAATCTAATTTAGTTCAAACGGTAAATGCAACATAAGAAAAGATCAATAAGTTTGTATTGATCCTCTTTTTCTGGAAACGTTGTCCTTGCTCGTTTTCATAAGATACGGTGCGCGAGGCCTTGTTCTTAAGTTCCTCATTTTTGAGCCTCGTAATAAAATCGTAGTACCAAAAATGCCTTAATACTTCTTTATATAGCACAGATGCAAGAAGACATTGAAATTCTGTTTAGCAATAAACCTTAGCTAGAAGGCAAAGCCAAAAGACCAATGAGACGAAACTTCTTTGATAAATGTAAAAGTACAATTTCAACCAAGAAGTAACATGCCTTTCTTATTCTCGATTGCTTTCAATGGTAAAATATTCAAGATTGGAAAGTTCCCCGGACATTTTGTCGATTATAGTATAAGATCCTTAAATGTCTCAATCTTATATTGTGGTTCCTTATGAGAAAGACTCTAATCCTTTATGAAATGTGATCTGTGGGCGACTCCTAGAATTTCTTCCGTTTCCTCTTTCAAACCACATCACTGTAGTTGGCTTCATTTCCTAAACTTATTGCTGCACAAATTGAGAACTAGGCAAAAAAGGCAAAAAAGCCATGCATTGATGAAAACTTTATATTATAGAGCAAGTTTTTTAATATACCAGGATATTTCAGTTATCAAATCATCATTTGTTTTCCTTGTCGACCATACTTGAAAGGACAAAATAATAGTTCTTTACGACCTGTTATGAATAAATGCAAGGGCAGCACACATTGTCTATGATGAATGTTATGTTGCAGTTATAATCAGTGCTCTGTAGCTGCAAATAAGAAATTCATTACCCTCACGATCGTTTAGGCTTTGAGAGGGGTACCTTAATAGGCTTTGAAGTAAGGGAACGTGCCATTACATAGGGGTACCTTTTCTCTGAAAATGTGGGTATAGTTTCCACCATGTTTGCGGAATTATGGGGCACGTCCCTGACCAAAACTAGGCTTCACTGCCCCAAGCATCTAGGATTTCCCTGAAAAGAAATCTATGTTTTGAAAATCTCGAACATAGATTCTTTCAAATAAGGCAGTGGTGTCGTGGAGGGGGCTCAGGGGAGCTCCGGGGCTCAGGGGAGCTTGACGATTTAACAATATATAAATAACTAACAAGGGCTCAGCCCCCTTGTTAAAATTCAGAAAGATCTTAGGCTCAGTCCCCTCCCATCAAACAAACCCTTATATGTTTGGTTTAACGAATTCATTACTTTGCAATGGGAACTTACCCTGTATTTTGCTACTGATTTTCATAAATTAGCAACTTCCTATCAGTCTTTTTGATTTGGTGAATAGTTTGAATGATTTCATAACACAGCAGAGAATCTTTAGCATGAATAGAAGTATTTAGGATGTGACTTTGGTTGTGGTTTTAGCTGTGGCTTGTAAGTGTTGGCTTTAGCACAGCCCCTGTTCCTAAATGCTTAGGATGGCATCTCTGAAATCAGGGTGTTTCGAGACGATAAATCAGCGAAAAATATAATTTTTTTTCACCAACCAGATTAAACTTTCAATTGAGTAAAAAATTTCGAAGGATGTACTGAAATTGAGCAAAATATAAGAAGATCGATAACGAACTCAGCAACAATAACAATTTCAGCGACATTTTCACATGGCTGTCAATGATCAGTGATAGACAAACGACTGCTAGAAAAAGGAAAAATATCTCTTTCAGAATGGCTTCATGGGGCGGAATCTACAAATTCTGCACAACAAGCAGCAGTATCGATTCGCGGCCCAACCATCTCTTCACATTGCCATCAAATTCAGCGATCTTTTAACATACAAACTAGTGAGAAATTTCCCTACCAGGCCCTTAAATCTCCCCACTAGTTGGCCCATGATTCCCCACTAGCAAGTACCCTTTTGTTGAAAATTGTTTTAAAAACCAGTTTGATATGTCTCCAATTACTGCTTGTTATGTCGTTGTCGTTTTATGCATGTGTCAAATTATGTGTTACTTATTTCGTATTTTCTCAAATGTAAATCTCTGACTCTGTTTGATTTTCTTGCACTGCACCAAAGCGAGGTAATGAAGTTCGCGGGAAAATTCTAATAAGAATGCTGTGACAGTTTGCTATTATCCTGTAAACATGCCAAGATCAGAACGCTCTTTATTTAAAATGTAGCTTTTCTCTGCACGGGAGTAAGGACTGATGTGCAAGACCTTGAAGACTTACATACTATGCATACTCGTTCCTTTTGTTTTTGCCGTCACAATCCACGTCAACTCTTGTTAGATCGAATGAGTCACAGGTACAAACAGGACCTCAAGACAGTGCCCAAAATTTTGGACAATCATTCAAAGTTCTTGGAACAAAGTACGGCTCCGTTGATGAATTTGACCTCGCCCCATCTCCTTCGACGAGTAATTTTGCAGAAGATGACGGCTGGGAAGACAGTGGTGACGAAGAAGAAGATAATGAAAGCCAAGGGGCCTGACCTATTGCAGAGGAAGCTTCAGGCAGTTTATTGATTGGTATTCAATTTTCTTAATAATGAACTGAATAATTAACTTTCTAAGGGAGAATGGGAGACCAATGTAGCAAGAGTATTGCATACCAGACTTGAATCTCTCCTGGGCACCAGCAATAAAATGCCTGTGAATATTTATGAACTTTTCCATATTTGCAATGCAAAACCATGGAGGATATTAGTTTCACTCTCATCATGATCTGTCTGTCACTATTCATACTATTTAATTTTTGGAAATGTCAAATTATCTCAGCTAAACCTTTAAAAGTTGTTATGCTTTGAAAAAACACTTGATTTATATGAAAACATTTGTTGCAGAATCTGGATATGACCATTATTGACTGAAGATAATTTGAGAGAACAGCCATTCCAGAAAATAATGTTAAATTTTCATATTTTTTCACTAAATATATAAATTCTTCAATTTTTTAACTATCAACAAGAATGTTTTATTATAGTTTTTCAATTACCATTAATACTTTTTTGTTCTGTTAAAAGTTCCATTTTATCCTTTCAGACACTAAATTTGTATTAAAAATTCATTGTTGAATTTTTTGTAAACATTTAAGTAAGTCCATAACTGGTGCATCTTTGCAGACTCTATTTGTTCTGTATTATATCAATTTGTAGCAACGTTATCTTAAACCACTTACGCATCATGAACCCAGGCAATTAATGCTCATCTTATAGATCCATCATGCTCACTGATGGTTAAAATGCTTTCATAAGTCCTTGGCAGGGGCTCATTGCACCCTGGGGGGGGGACTATTTTGCAAAAATACATTTTGGGGTGGAGTCTTTTTTCAGGAGGGGGGGCTTATTCAAAGAGGGGGGCTTAATTAGCAGCAGTCAAGTATATTACAAGGGGTAAATTTTCCTCCTCTATTCAAGGCTGGTCAGTTTGCTTTAAAATGCAGATAAACATATTGATAAGATATAAACCATGTTTATTTTATTTCATCAGTTTTAATAATTCTTTTGCAGATGGCTTTGAATCTTCAGAAGGAAGAGGAAAGATATGAACTTTTTCCATTCCTAGTCTACCTCCAGCTACAGAAGGAGCTCTGCTTTCAAGACCTGCAAATTTCGGTTAAAAAGCTCTCTGAAACTTTAGAAAATGTTTTTAGAACAACTGAAATGGGCAAAGAAGGTAGGGGCTTGTTTTTTATCTCTATGTATTTGGCTGTTTTTTGCCTCCTGAAATGTTTAGCCTATTATCTCCTGCAAACAATCTTGAACCCTAAATGCAAAAATATTTGGTACGACCATCGGTTTTGTCTTGGATGTGGTTCTATAAGTTTCCTTCAGCACAGCTGCCTTCCTTATTTTTTAGGATGGCACCTCTCCTGCATACAGTAACCCTACATTTACTTCTACACTACACTCTCAATAGACAGCACATTCCAGAAGTTTTCTTTTGAAACTTTTTGTTCATTTCAATGATTACACTGAAAAATTCTGCATGTACTGCCTTTGTTTATTATTGTTCAAATTAATACATTAATTTAGTGTATCCCTGAATGAGAGTTGCCTACATTATATTGCTGGGGTTTTTTTAAGTAGTTCTATAGATTGGGGCTGTATTTTCTCGACTCAATGCTTCGTGGTTATAAGCTATTTGTATGTTAATCTTAATGAAGATTTCTGTTTACCAATCTGTCATAAAACGATCAATTTCCTATAGGTAGTAAGAGCTTGTAGCAGTATGGCTTTAAGTTACTTCTTAAAACCTTAGATCAATTTTAGAACTGTCTTGTGAGCATTTTGGAGCAGCGTGTATCTAAATCTTGCTTTTTTCTCTAGTGCCTTGCTGCATAATCGATTTGGACCATGTGTCATAACCTCCCAATCCGTTGCTGCGATGCAGCTTTAATTGATCTTGCGTATTGCAATTATGACGTCAGATAAAGCATTCGTCTGGTATTTGATTGCATAGATAGCAAATCTCCTCACATTCGTTTCTTGTTCGATACAGAGAGGTGTATTCGTGAGTTTTTTCGGAAAATCGTACGTGCCCACTAGAGCATATCTAGTATTTTTTCAATTTCGCGCTAGAAAAATTATCTCTAGTGTAATTGACGCCATGAGGCGATCAAGTCGCGAAGAGGAACTAGTTCCTATGCGGAGCATTGAAGCCGAAGAAGGCGGACGCCTGCCATCTTCTTCTTCTTTAAGTTTCTCCAGCCAGAAAGACATTCGAAGAAAGAAGTCTGTTCGCTTTTGTGGTAAGTTGATATTGGTCTATCGTTTCTTCTTTTTGTACGAGTATCGATTTATTAATTTGATATCCTTTCATGCAACTATTTTCACAGGTGAAAAGTTCTAGATTTAGATTAACTGTAAAAAAGACAATTATTGAACTGATAAATGTTCATATGTAAATGAAAAAATCATATCTAATAGAAAAGGTGTTCTATAAAAGATTTACTCAGAAATCTCACAAACAACCGTTTTTTGTTTGAATTTATCCAGTTTCAGTCGATTGTAATTTTAATTCTTGATAATCTTCAAAATATAATTATCTAACAAGAACATTTTCTGATCTTAGATTCAGTATCCAAGCTTGACGATCTGCAGGGGATAATGCAGAAATTCCAGCACGTTTTGGGTGATATCAAATGGCTGGAATCGACTCTCGAGTCTTTAGAAGCACCTCTGCGTGCCAATGGATCTGGCACTGAAAAGCTGCTTTTGGAATCTATGGTTGATGTCAGGAAGTTGGAGCAGGCTATTGCCAAGAAAAGTGATGAAGCTGTTTGGGAGAATATTCGCAATGAAGAGATGAAAATGCGTTGCGATGACACCGAGTTGATGGGAAATATAGAACCTTTGATCAGCTCCTTCACTATGGAAAGCTTCGAAGCATACCTGCGTGAGATGGAACATAAAAGAGAGCGGTTGATAGCAAGCGTGAGTAAGCTCGAGCTCATTTTATTGGAAGACAAGAAGCTAAGAGAATTTGCTGCAAGACGCTCTTCAGGGGCTGAAAAGCAGGTTGCCAGCCAGAGGTTGAGAGAGGAGAAGGACACTGCCATTGCTGGTGATGATTTGTCTTCGAAGTCAAGCAGTGAAGAGTGGATATGTAGCAATGATGCCTGTAACCAAAGTCAAGAGCCAAGTGTGGAACTGTCTATGGATGGCAGTGATGCACTAATGGGAGAGAGTCACAAAATGGAAGCTGCTAATGCTCCTGAAGATGGTCAGAAACAGGTTCTAATGGAAGTGACAAAAGCCAAAGTGTCTCAAGCCCGGGAGGTGCAAGCCGAAAGCAAGATGCCAGCCCAAGGTGAAAATCCTCTCTACCTTCAACTATTGTTTACCAGATTTTAAATAAAATGCTTTAAGTAAGATGATGCTTGGAGCAAGGATAGAAATGAGAAATTACTCCAATATCATGAATTTTTGTTGATTTATGAAAGATTGCTCGTTTTAAGTTAGATTTGTCTCTCTTTTTTTAGATTTTGAGTTGCAGCAAAGCATGAAAAGAAAACTGGTGCTGGAACTGAAAGAGGTGCTTGGAGACATATTCTATTTGGAAGCCAGGCAGACCAAATTGGAAGTTCCATACCTAAGAAAGGTTTTTCCATCGAAGGAATCACTTGTTGAGTCACTTCTTCTGCTAAAGATACGCGCCCAGATACGTCTGCGGAGAAAAGAGAAAGCCCTGATGCAAAAGTTGATTCGTGAAGAAAAGGAGAAAACCCTATGCCAAGATGTTTCCCCCTCTGCCAATAAAGGAGTGAGATATCTCCAGTTAGCCTATAAAAGAAAGCTGGAGAGAAGAGAGTATCTACGAAGAAGTGTCCGTAGATTGGAACTCCACCAGTTGCCATCAAAACAAGCAGAGATTTTGCCAACACCTGAAAGCCAAGAGAAGGGCCTGCTTGATGATGAAAAGGCTATGTCTGTGGAACCAGTATGTGACCCAGGACAGTTGGCCATGCCAGATAGTTTGGAGACTGCGAAGAATGGTGAAGATCTACTAGATATCTCCGCAGTACCGAAAGGTGAAGAGTGTAATCAAGATGTACGCCTTCGTTTAACGGATTTTGAAAGACGTGGCACTGCTCGTCAAGAGAGAATGTCCCGCAGAAACCGCAAGGCCAAGAGAAGTGACAAAGATGGTGCACCTGTGGCTGTACAATGCTCTAAGAGTGAAAGCCTATCCTCTGATGTCCCTTTTGCAAGCTCTAGTGTCATATTGCCGTTGAACGATGCTCATGAACGGGAACCACCGTGCTGTCATGGACCAGAGTGTCTCTTGCAGTTTGGAGATTTTGATCCTATATGTACCAAGAAGGACCCTCTTCTGTTTGTGGGGGAATTCAGGATTCCTGCAGAAGACTGGGATGCAGAATGCAGTTTATCCAATGGTAACGCAGTCAGCAGTGCATTGATCCCTGAAGTTGGTGCAGAGAATGGCCATCCTGATGATGGTGATGTTGTAGCCAACGATAATGCTGCCAACGCAGAGTCAGGGACTGGTAATGGCACAAAAGTTGCACCAGAAGGTACCAGTGTCCTTGATGTTTCAAGGAATGCTGCTGCAGGGACAGATATGGTATGTGGTCATGATGTACAGGGTAGTGCTAGTGACACTGGTGCATCAAATGAAGGAGCCTGTGACAAAGAAGTAAAAGCTGCCAAATTGAATTCGACAGGTTCTGTTGATATAGCTAATGGAAGCATCAATTCCTGTGACAATCAAATGCCCAAACAACAATTGCCTCCCGATGCTGCCAACGAGGAAACTGAAATTAATGGCCTAGCCTCTGCTGATGGGGAGTTGGCAGACCTGGAAGATTGTGAGCTGCCAAGAATTGCAAACTGGGCTGATCACGTAGAAGAGAATGAAATTACCAACAACGAGCCACATGTTTTGCCAGCAGTTCCAGACAAGGATATCACCAATCCTGATCTAAAGCCACCTTAATGTTATGGCAAAGATTTCATGGCTGATTCATTCAATTTTGAGGACATTATGAATAGTCATGATTGCTGTAATTATTTAGTTATGATTTGTGTTAATGTACATTTTTATCAGTTCGTATTGACTCTATTCTTTGCATTCTCTGAAATTGTTTCCACTGGTAGGCTCAATCACTCTAAGACGAGTCTGGAATGTAACCACTGATTTTTGGTTTTCTCATTTATGTCTCACCAAGTGGTTTAATAAATGCATGAAGTTTACATTTGGTTATCACGTTCATGTTCTAAGCTAGATATACCAGAGGGTGTTGCAAAAGTGATTAGAAGTGCCAAAAATTAGCTTCCTTTCTATAACTTCCAAAGTCTGTAAGCATTGCTATTTTTTTCATAAATTTAGACCTAATCGAAAAAGTTTGCTAGTTTGATTCAGAACATTGGAAGAAAATGCTTAATTAAGCTATAAATTATAATTTATTAAGCTGTATTAAGCTTGCGCTGTTTTTCGGAGCAGAAAGGTTGAAAAATACAGGAAAATTACAGATGGAATCAAGAGAATTCCATCTGTAACCCAATGACCCAATTCAAAAACACAATGAATGAAAAGAGATTGCAGCATTATTATTACTATAATCATTATTGCTACTATGTTTTTTCTCAGTTTTCCCTTTTAAGTTACGACTGTTTTAGTTTTTTCTTTTAAAATCATGCTAGCCAATTGCAAATTACCTTGTAATAGTGAGATTTGCAATGGTAGCTTTAATTGAATTGAAAATGGAATGTTTCCATTATATAGACCATCACTGAACTGCAAGAATGGTTATAGCATATATTTTGAGAATATATAAAGTTTTTATCAATGCATTGCTTTTATTGCCAAGTTCGTAAATAGTGTTGTAAAAATTTTAGCAAACGAAGCCAACTACAGTGAGGTGGTTTGAAAGAGGAAACAGAAGAATTTCTAGGAGTCACTCACAGATCACAATTCATAATGGATTAGAGGCTTTTTATCAGGAACCACAATATAAGATAAAAACACATTTAAGGATCTTATACTACTGACAAAATGTCCGGCGCACTTTCCAATCTTGAATATTTTACCAGTGAAAGCAATCGAGAATAAGAAAGGCATGTTACTTCTTGGTTGAAATTGTACTTTTACATTTATCAAAGAAGTTTCGTCTCATTGGTCTTTTGGCTTTGCCTTCTAGCTAAGGTTTATTGCTAAACAGAATTTCAATGTCTTCTTGCATCTGTGCTATATAAAGAAGTATTAAGGCATTTTTGGTACTACGATTTTATTACGAGGCTCAAAAATGAGGAACTTAAGAACAAGGCCTCGCGCACCGTATCTTATGAAAACGAGCAAGGACAACGTTTCCAGAGAAAGAGGATCAATACAAACTTATTGATCTTTTCTTATGTTGCATTTACCGTTTGAACTAAATTAGATTTCTATGATCGCCTTGGAGAGACAAAAAACAGAAGAATGACTTTTATCAATGTTGCATAAAAATGTACATCGGCTCAAATCTAAAATAAGTTCTAGTGCACTTTACAAAGAAAACAGAAGAACGTTATATGTTCATTTATTCTCCTCAAACTCCATAAGAACATTTGAAAGAGTAAGTCTGCCTTTTTCGTCAATGACGCCTGTGACAACATAGTACCCTGGGTCAAGGATAGAAAGGCAGGGACAGTCTGCCATTTCGGCTCTGATTGTAAATTGGCTGCCCTTACTGACTTTTTCAATGGGACTTTTCAAGACATCAACAACTTCAAACTTCATGATCGACAACAGTTTGAACACAGAGAGGTTTGTATCGATATGCTTGACAACCATGACAAAGTCATTATCCTCCAATGTTTTGTTTTCTGCAATTTTATCGTCGACTTTCAATGGCTGAATTTCTAAACATTTGTCACAGGTTTCTTGGTTGTTGAGAATGAGTTTTTCTTGATTGGAAATACCACTTTGCTCCTCAACCTTAACTTTCCTTTCACCGTCTACTGGAGGAACTGTTGGAATTTTTCCTGATTTTTGTGGATTTTCGTCCTCTGCAGATCGTCGCTTTCTACCTAAGTTCAGTTTTACACCAAGATTCCAATTTAGGCCTTGGCTTTTACTATAGCCGAACCCACCAGTGAAGGAATGGCCTTTGGAAATAAGAAAACCAATCCATACATATACATAATCAAAAGGTATAAAGTAGACTAAAGGCAGCAAATTCCTCAGAGTATTCAATTTTAAAAATTCTGCTTCATTAATTCGCAAGCAATGTGATTTTAAGAGCATCAACAACAGACAAATCAAGCTACTCGGCAGCCTTAAGAACTCAAATTTTCATGACAGTTATCTCTCTTAACGTCACAATGTCACATATAGGAGCAGCATTTCGAAAACTTACAAGCGATTAGAGTGGGCGTAAAACACAACATACAATATATAAAGTGATAGTACAAATAAAAAGTAAACATACGTCTTGATGAAGGAACGCTTGGAAAATTCAGGTTTGGCTGGCGGTACCTGAAGCCTTGATTTCTATTATAGTGGTTTGAACCAAACTGATACTGCGGTAGATGCAAACGTGACTTAAAAGTCGTGAGTCTTTTCTTCCAGGGAAATTCATAGTTTTGAAAATATCCTTGCCCTTCAACTTTGCTTTCTTCGAACACCACCACCGTGACAGCGACTATTAACAGAAATCTGATCATTTTGATTCCCCTCCGGCTACCACTGTTTTTTGAACTGTTTCTGCTTATTTGATATTCAAGAGCTTTGGCGATCTATTTATAAGTGTGCAGAAAATGTTCCTATCCCGCACTTCCTATACTAAAAACTTCCTTTTGATCCTTTTTGGCAAGACAGGAACCAAAATTGACGTCCAGCGGGGTGATAAATCGTTTGAGGAACCAAAATTGACGTCAAAAGGGGTTAAATAGGACAGCATAATAGTTGATTTATATCTTTCTTATAAAAACAAGTGTATATTGAAGAAACAACCAGGAAAAAACCGGAATTGCTGATAGAAAACCAAACTGCAATGCAGTATAAATAAAACTTCATGTCTACATTTCAATTTCTATTAAAAATTTACACATGCTATATAATTGCCAAGTTGAAACAAGAAACTATCAAATTGGTTAGTAACAATAAAGATAATTTCAAATTATTGGTTTCACTGGGCCTTCCGTAGATCGTGTCACGACATGATCGATTACTCCGAAATCTTTAGCTTCTTGAGGCGACATAAATTTATCTCTTTCTAATGTCTCCTCTGCAAAATTAAAAATTAGTTAAATGAATGCAAAAACTGTTAAAAGAAAAGCATAAACAATACCATAAAGTATTGGCTGCTAAAAAGTACGCAGACAGAAATATTATAACGTGACGTATAAAGGAAATTACTGTTTATCGATCTGTCGTAAAGTGGTCAATGGTGTTTAGGTAGAGCCATAGAAACACCCTTTTAACGTACTTAGCGTGAAAAGGTTGCCTGGTGATCGCATTGAGGATGTAGCAACTTAGAACTGTTCTGTTCTATACACCAAACGCATGTAAGCTCTCGAGAACTTTATGAAAGACCGGTAAACATGAGTTTTCTTCAGACCTTCATTACTTCAGAAACACTCTTTAGTTGCAATTCAGAGTTTTACACTTAATGCGATCATAAAATTTTATATATGAACCAATACATAGGCATATCGAAAACAAAATTACAGTTTTTACAAAATATTTGGTTTCTTTATAATTTTTTGCTTTCCAAGAATCAAATTGAAAACAAAAATAAAAAAATATTGCATTAAGGTAAATTGAATTCGAAGATTTGGTACATATAAGTCTAGTCAATACTGAGGTATTTCTTAATTGTTATTTCAATCAGGAACCAGCTATTTTTTCAAACTTTAAATTTTATTATTTTATATTTTATTTTATTTATTATTTATTATTTGAATTTTACAACTTATATTCGACAAACATAATCTCGATTCAAGCTTTGATTGTTAATGATCTTTAAGATATACTTCCATGCAAATGGAAAAATTAATTTTATTTAGTTCCTTGTTGAATTAAAAAATGATTCTTAGTTTAAAGCAAGGAGAATAATCCACAGCTTTGAGATACACTGGTCCAGATCCCTCCTTCAAAGTTTAATTCGCAACCCCAACCACTAAGCAATCCTTTTTTCTTCATTTCATTTCAAATGTTTAAGGAGGGCAGCCCATCATAATGCTGATTTTCAAGGGGCCCTCCACTTAAAATACTTACAGAAACCCTTATAAAAAACAAATTACCCTAATTTCGATTCAATATTTACAATGTAAAAATAAAACCTATTTTTTAATCTGAATCTAATTTTTTAAAAGAAATATCCACAATGAAAGGCCAAATTTACAATATACAACTTACAATTACGCATATTTACAATTGCGCAAGAAATTTTTGAAGTGACTCAAGGAAGATGCCTGTTTGCACTCAGCTGAGAAGCCATACCAAGATCTTAAACGAGAAGCATTTCTGTCCATTATCGGAGTTTTTCCTTAGTAGCCTTAGGTCAGTTGATGTTTTTCTAAGATTCTTAGTATTTAACTTTGATTTTTCTGTGAAATGGTTACACGTGTATCACAACTCTTGTTAGGCCTAGATCAGTTTTAGGTCATCACTTCATTTAGCTGTGCTGACGAGTCCTTATGTGGGGCGAAGGCGGTCTTAGCTGACTTTTTGTGGTGTCGGCGGTTTTCGTACTGTCTACTTTCATCTGTTTGCGTCCATAGGTTTGTCAGCGGGTGCTAATTTTGTAATGTTTAGTGACATGAGATGATGGCCCGATTGTAAACAAAACTGTTATCCGAGCGAACAGGCTTACGCACTGATTCCAGCGTTGTAACTTCTGCGCGTTAAGAGCTTGGAGAGTTGCTAGATCTCTGAAGTTCCAGATGTACGAATGTAGGAATCACGAGATGTGGTCACATGAAGAGGAAGACTTAGAGCACTACTCGATAAGCAACTCTTTTCAGTGTCCTAAAGTTAATCTTCAGAAGCTAGGTAGTAACAAATACAAAAACTAAAAGGGTTTAGATAAAAATGAAAAGAGAGACAACTTACCTATTTCTTTTACATCTTTTAATGTATGCTTTGAATATATTTTATTTATCATAGCTTTTAGCTTCATTATTTCCTGAGCTTGAATAGCGATATCCGTGGCTTGGCCCTAGAAGAAAAATATACGCTTTATAGCATGGGTAAAACGCGTACAAAAATAGATAAATTAGATTTACTTTAAGGCGAAACAAGAAACTTTGTTTGACCAAAAAGGGGCAAATCGGTAGGCCTTGTGGAGATGGATTGTTATGAAGACATAAAAGAATAAAAACATTAGGAGTAAGATTAATGCAGACTTCTGTAAGGCATGGCTTTCAATACTTTCTTTCGCGTCTATTTGTGGACATTTACGAAGTATAAGAGTAGCAACGAAATTTGATTCAGGAAACTTTGAAACTGTTTTTAAAATAACACAAACAGTGGGCAATGCCTGGTTGAATCAAGTCTGCCTAAGAGACCAAATGGAATAATCATTTCGGTTACGTGAAGCATAAATTACTGAAAGTTCATACTTAGTACAACTATTTGTATCATATATGAGTAACTCAGCAATCTGACTGTGATATTCCGGTTAAAAGAACAGTTAAACTACTGAAAAGAAGAGTTTAAAATTAAACAATGATAAATATGAATGCATATTCTTAGATATACCTGAGCACCACCATGTGGTTGGTGAAGCATGATTCGAGAATGTGGAAGTGCATTTCTAAGACCAGGTGATCCACTGGCTAGAAGCAAGGAACCCATACTGCAAGCTTGTCCGATGCACCAGGTAGCAACAGGGGCTTCCATATACTGTAGAAAACATAAACGTTGTCATGTCAACAGCAAGACACATATAGCTTGGTTGGCAGGATAGCTAAGGGTATCTCGAGAATTGGAGCCTGTTTATCAAATGAACAATGGGTTGAGGTGGCCCTTAGGGTATGGGGGTATTCCAACACATTGGATACTAGGAATTGCTTTGAAAATCTAAAAAAACTAAATTATGAAAATATTATCTAAGAAGTAAACTTTAGTTGAGGAATAAAGAAATACCAAAGCTAAAATGTTTATGCTTGAAATACCAGACAATCTAAGAATGTCACTTTAATTGTGTTCATACTAAACTTATAGAGAATAAGCAATAATGCTATCTACCAACCCTGATATTTGCAAACTTGAAATAATCTTTCATTCTACCAATCCTACTTGAATAAAAAATTCCATTGCAAAAAAATAGCTTTTTACATCTACGGGTGCTTGGTTGGCAAATTTTCAAACTGCTCTGCAAATTAAGGATGACTCAACTACTTTGTTGGCAAATGGAACCTGGAGACCCCCCTCCCTAAACAGCAGTATAGCTATTGCAACCCTGTCAATAAAATTGGCCTGGAGGGATTCAATTTCAAAAGAAGCTAGGTTTATCTTTAGATCTGTCTCGCAAGCTGTGTTCAGAAGATTAATCACTAACTTTCCATTATTGGATCTTACTTCTTACTTCAACCAGGACTTCTTCCTTACTTCAATAAAAACTTCTCAGTCAAACTTTTATTACCTGCATTGTGTCATAAATAGCTAACCCAGCTGTGACTGATCCACCTTCAAGAAAAATAATAGAAAAAAGAAATGAGACTTGGAATAAAAAGAAATAAACAAAAGACAAGTCTAAAGATTCATTGTTGCACTCAATCAAAAGCAGGAAGAGAATTGTTTATAAGCAATGCAACAAAAGCTGCAGTACTGAAAAATTAATAGAGAGAAACATTTTTTCTTTCATGTTTATAATCACCTATTCTATCCAGATTTCTCTTATTAACAGAGACTTCCAGATATTCTAAAGTATGATATTAATTTAAAAATAAACAAAAAGCACTACTCTTATTGACATGCACATCAATGCTAGAAAAGGGGCTTATAAACTCAATGTTTTAAATAGTGTGCTTAAAGATAACAAATATCATTCTGTTGGACAATCAATTTTTTCTCAGAATTGTTCTTTTGTTTTTAGCTTTTATCTTTTGTTCATATGGTATTTTTTAGCCCTGTTTGAATGCATAACACATTAAATGGGAGTTCAAAGAAACTTTCATGCACCAGGGTAAAGAGGACTGGAAATATCATTAATTTCACATTAAATACATTTTAAAAAAGCAGGTGGTGACAAAAATGCAGTTGACTGAATTTCTACTAGCTACACACTTGCCATTTAGAATTCAGACCTAAATCAACATCAACAATATACAGATTTACAACTTTGACAAGTATTTCTAATTTTGATGGCAAACAAGATATTTTGTTGCACACCAAGACAAAGCCCATGAACACAAACAGATCACCACAACAAAAATAATAATTGTATTTTGGGCTTAGATCTTTCAGTAACAAGGAACTTTTACCTGGACTATTAATATACATGTGTATTGGTTTTTTGCTACTTTCAGATTGCAGGAATAGCAACTGTGCAACAATAAGCCCTGAAAACGTATCATCTATCTAAAAAAACAAAAAACTGCACATTAAGAATTGGCTAAAACTGCTACGATAGTATACAAAGCAAATGAATCAAGGAGCATGCATGGAGCAACTATTTGGATAAGATACTTGCAGAACTTAGATTCTAATTCGCATCATTATGTAGGATAAAGATAAGGTGAAGGATAAGAGCAAACGCCAAATGAACGGTTCATAATTGCACATGATAAATAGAACAAACAGTCAAAAAAGCTCATAATTGTAAAAGCAACTCTTTTTATCCATTAGTTTCTTTTCAAAATATCAACTAATGTAGATAACACAGTCTGTGCCAAATGGCTTTTTTGGGAAGGGCTCCTTCCTACCCCCAAATTCAAAGCTAGGACAATATTTTAGTTGTCTTTTCTTCATTGGAACACATTTCTTCATCTTGAAAATCAAATATGGAAATTAAAAGAATAGCAAAGATTTTGAGGTCAAAAATTATACATGATACTCTTACTGTTAATAGACAAATAATAAAGCTTTCTGAAAGCAAGAAGAAGAGCCAGCTTACAAACACATAAAATGCAGGAAGTATGTATGAAGCTTACCGGCCCCATTACACAAACTATTCTTTCTTTTAGAAGTCTTGAGTATATATCATATGCTCTTTCAGATCTTCCCTATTAGGAAAATAAGATTCATTGAAAAAATACCATATCTGATCTCTAATCAAGAAATAAAATACCAGCAAAAGTTGAAAAATAAAAGAATAGCAACAGAACAACAGAACGCAATAAGCAAAATAGCATTGAAACAAAACAAAAAAATTTTACAAACAATCTTTTGGTGAAAAAAAACATTCTGAGGCACACTAAAGCTTTTTGTCTTCTACATAAACATGGAAAAACCACTTTTGTGTAGACAAAAGGAGTTCGTTTTCACCTTAGGACTCCATTGGTAACATTTTAAATAGGCAAGCTGTACTGATTTTGTAACCTCAACAGTCATGTGTTTGCATTTCTAATTGGCTATTTCGATCCACAACTGGGTATATTTATTTTCTAGCGTAGAGTTTCCAGTGTATGTTCTGACGTTGTAAACTCTGAAGAGTGTCAGACGGAAAGCTTCAGTTTACTAAATGTTTGCTTTTCTCAAAGCCATTGTCCATAGTATTAAATACACCAAGCACGAAAAAACCTACTAACTAAATACACCGCTACTGTGTAGACAAAAGGAGTTCGTTTTCACCTTAGGACTCCATTGGTAACATTCTAATAGGCAAACGGCACTGATTGGTCAACATCAACAGCCATGTGCTCATATTTCTGATTGGCTATTTCGATCCACAACTGGATAAATATATTTCCTAGCATAGAGTTTTCAATCTATGTCCTGACGTTTTATACACTGAAGAGTGTCAGACGAAAAGCATTTGTATGCCTCAAATTATTTGCTTTTTTTAAAGCTGTTTTTAGATAGATTTAATATAATCAAATCGGTTCATTACCATGAATATTCATTTTAAAATAAAAAAATATAAGACACATGTGGGGTCAAAATTTTGCAGAAAAATTAAGAAACACCAGGCTGAAACTGGAGCCAAGTGTTTACAAAAAAGTGTGTAAAGAGATGATGAAACACTTCTAAAATAGGAATATATACAATGAACGCGAGTATTATTGTAAATATTGACTATCCTAGCATTGATAAGTCCTAGAAAACAATTAATAGTCCTTTGTGTGCACTATCCAAGTAGCAGTACTACTTTATTCTCCTCAAGTTCCTTTCTGTCTTCCATATGATCAACAAAATTGTGGTTTCAGGAATAAATTTAATAAAATCAAGATAAATTTACAATAATAAACATTTTTTTTAAATTTGAACAAAAATGAAATTAAAGACACTCACAGACTGTTCAATGACAATAGGTACCATGGGTTGGAGACATTTTGAAGAAGTTTTGAAATTTCTAGTTACATTTGGAAGTCTATGAGATACATTCTGTAAAATAAATGCAGTAAATGAGGGCAATAAGATTGTTAGAAGTTAGAAGGTTGTCAGAAGCTATTATTTCAACTTGTATGTAAGTACTGTTCTAAAAAAATTTCTAATTCTGCTGCAATCTTATTTGTTTAAAGTTGAAAAGCTGTTGTTAACTTTCGTAATTCTAAAAGGGCTGTTTAGAAAAGGACTTTTGCATTTAGTTGAATTTTTAAAATAAAATGAAACTGAAAACAAGTTTTCAAACTTAGTTGGTAATTCACATTAAAGATTATTATACATACATAAATACAACTGAAATAATATGGCATTTCTCAAAATATTAGTTAGTACCTAATGCAGTATTGTTATTGGAAAGACTTTCCCTGTGAATAATATTCTATCGTTTTATAATGTACTTCAGTCTTTTTCATAGTAGTAATTGCTATTAGATAAATTTCTGTATGGAGGAATCTGAAATTGAATGAAATTAAACAAGAAACATTGCATAACATCATAATCTGCGCGCTACTGATACACAATGGTTTTTCAATCTTACAGTGTTCAATTATATTAACACGACCATAAAGATTTTAAAAAAGCTTATGTCACTAAATTTGACAGCTCTCAAACTTACAAGGGTTCTTTGGAAAACTCGTAGAGCTTTGCAAGCCATTTTGGGTATCAATCCACGATGAGATATTTTTCAACAACAATATTTGATGTCGACTTTATTGGAAATGTCTCGCTTCCATGTTGTCATCAAGTTGAGACTATGTCTATTGGCTTGTTGTAGTTGTAGTTGGAGGAGATAGCCGCATACTGCGAAAAGCCAAAAGTCAAGGCAAGAGGCGTTGTACACCTAACCCGTAGATAGTAGAAGGAGACAGGGGGCTGTGTCCATTGAAAAAAATAATTTAACTTAAAATTTCAACTAGTTTATTTCGGGCTATTTAGTTTTTTCTACAAGTGATTTCTAGCTCTAGGTACAATCAATGCCAAAATTACTTGGAACACCTAACACTGCGCTGTGCTTTTCTATTTCTGATTTGTTTCCCCGAATACAACTACTTCCGTCCCCCTTTCCCCCAGACCAGAACAATGTTAGAGGTATAGAAAAATATAATACAAGCCACAAGGAAAAGCGTACTCCATAACCTTCTTCTTTTTTCTATACTAAATCAACATTGTACCTAGAAGGAGAGGGAGATGGATGATTTTGCCTAGGAAAACTGACGTTGGTGTCAATTTGAAAGAATTGCGTTCCTATCAATTTATATAAATTTACAGCGAGGACCTGACATTTATCTGGATTTTCAATCATTTGATTTTCTTCTAGCAAAGCCAGACCTATGCTTCTTCTTCAAGCATTCAGATGTGGTAAGGTCCTTGAAAAATATGTTAGCATGTTTCCAACAGGAAAGTTCAAAGCCTTACCTATTTCATAAGGAAACAATATCATTTATGTAAACGTTCAAATGAAGAGAACCAAGGACAGAACCCTGCTGTACCAGATAATTTAAAACAAAATACCTTCCTTAAACTTAAGGGAGGTTGCCCTGAATAAAATGCTGATCAAATGACATTTTACCAGAGTTAATTTCACGAGGGATGTTGTTCAATTTGATTTCGCTAGGGAATTCTTATTTTAGCTGATTTGGATAATTCTCATTTGGGTGACAATTGTCATGCTTCGAATTGGTATTTAAGTCCATTTTGTGCTTCTTTAATGCCATTGGGAATAAATTTTGATTCAGATGGGTGTATTTAATTGCTTTGGGTCGGGATTATCGTGCATATTTAGTATGCTGTTTCCACGCTGTTCTCTCGTCACCACTGTGTTTGGCTAAGGCTTGTTGAAGAAGAGGTGGCTGACGAAGTATGGCTTGCTGACCTCTACTGGCCACCAGGTATGTTTACCAGGCTGTTCTAGGAATGCTCTTATGTCTGTAGCTAGGTCTCTTTCAGTAAAATTTAGTACTCGTATGTATTTCAGTAGTCTCACTTCTTTCAGCATAAATTTTGTCACCTCTTGCTTGTGCCTTTCGTGCATATTTTTCCAGCCGAAATATAGTTGCAACAGCTTTAGGCTATAATTTCACAAACGTTTTACTAGAGTGGCAAGTTTTATTCCTGCTTGATAACATTTATTCTGGCTTGTGCCGCATATTGTGTCTTTCAACTTTTATTCATTATGAACGATCAGGTGTAATCGAAAGCTATTCTTGCAAGAAAATGAATGTATTTTTAACTTTAGGCGCTTTTTCTTTACCATTCCATCATTATTTACTCCTACACTTAAGCCATGCTATGGCAATAGTGGTTTTATCGTTAAAATGAAAGTTCTTGTTTTAAACTATACAGAAATGCTGCTGCTACAATGTTTTCGTTGCATTTTTTCTTGAAAGTCTTTTTTTTGGAATTAGGCCTTTATGTAGAGACTGTGTAGAACGGCTCGTTAAACATTGTAAGACTATTTTTGAGGGGGCCTAGTTGTTGTGGTAGTAAGAATTTTCTTGTCTTGCAAAGCTTTTGTCTTGTTCTGTCTAAAAAATGGTCCATTATGCTCAGTTTGCTTGATAATTGGGCACAGTTTATTTTGCTCTTAATATTTTTCGTTATCCCTGATGCTGCTGGTAGCTCGGGTACTTGTGCATTGCCTAAGCATGAACTTTTTTGCAGATGAGTGGCCCTAGTACAGTAAAATTGTTCAGTATCGTGGTTAATGAAATATCACGTTTTATAAGTTTATCGGGTCAGCAATGGGATTGTTGCACTTACAAAATTCTCCTTTTGGAATTGTTGTTGCCAGTGCTCCTCAGATTAAAACATTTTCATGTTTTGCTGGTGCTTCTTTGCATGCTACTGAATCGACCTTTCATTGTTGTGTCCTTAGATGATGAGCGTCAACCTTCTCCTACTGGAACTTTTTTTATGTCTGCCGTAAGATCACATTTCAATTATGCATGGTTGCTTAGACCCTTTTGTTTGTTTTTCAATACCCATGGCTATTAAGAGGGTATTTGGAATCCAACAGCTTCTAAGCTGCCCCCAAAAATGAGTTAGGGTTGCCTCTTATAGGGAAGATATTGCTCAGGCAAGTAACAAATTCAGGAATGTAACTTTAAAGGAAAATTCAGCACCTTCGCAATGTAGTGAATATTTCAGCACCATTCGCAGAGTAGCACCTCCAGAAAATTCAGTACCTCCGCAGAGTAGCACCTCCGCAGAGTAGCACCTCCGCAGAGTAGTGCTCTCTGTTTTTTTATGAGATGATTGGTCTCAACTTGAAATTTGAAGATTGCACAAAATACTGGAAACATAGCATACTAATGCACTTTTCGTCCGACACTCTTCAGAGTATAAATATTGGATAATGACCGAAAGTAAGCAGAAAATTTATATCCAGGTGTGGATTGAAAGTAACGTGAGAGGAAGAAAGACGTGTTTGAATGGTTATCTTGTTTTTACCAATCAACTTATCCAACATCTGTTATGTTAACTTGAAATAGAAACTACAAAGTCTTACTGAAGTTTGAGAACACCCTTAAATGTAATAAAATATTACGATGCTATTGATTGTAATCAAATGTATTTTTACAGAATTATTTGAAAAAATCTAGACATGCAAGGGGTTGTCAGTGGTTGGCTGAGAGATCTATAGTTTCCATACCATACTGACCAATCATATGACAACAAACTTGCCTCGCGGCTAGATCTAGGCCTATTTTGCACGTTTTTTTTACCAACCACATAAAAAAAGATGTTTAAATTGTGCTGAAAGATAACCTAGATATTTTTTGAGAAATCGTGACGGTGTATCGAACCGGCAAACGGGCGAACTGGAGAACTGGCTAAACTTTAAGCATCGAACCGGCTCAACTCCTTACTTTCTTTTAAAAACTGCCAACTCAGGCAAAGTCTCTTTCCAAGGTCAAAGTTTATAAAAAACATAGAAAAGGAAACACGATGTAATTTTCTTTTTCACGTTCATTGCTATCTGTCTCTTGTTAAAAGGTGTATCTGCTCATATCTTCTTGCCAAGCCCGAGGCCTGGAGAACTGAAGTAACAACAAAGGCGCTAAAGCCACAAGATGTAACATAGAATAGCCTAACAATAGTATTTTCTCAAATTGGGGTGCTTAGCCGATTCGAGTCTACTTGCTCGCTTCTAGCTGAAGTTATGATAAGTAATTTTTCAAAGGTATTGATACTGTCGAGTCAGATACGACGGAGAAAGGAGATAGAGAAAGTGAGGGTGACTTTTTGATAGAAGATGAGAACCATGTTCTTTCCTTGTACTGATGTCCCAATTAGCTTTGAAGGACGACTGTTTCCAAAAATTTTGCAGACACTCATGTTTAAAAAATGTAGACTTTCTTTCAGTCAATATACATGGTGATTCATATAAAAATTTTTGGCGTGATAAACTTTCGGATGACTCTAAATTTTGTACCAATAAATTTTCGGACAAAGATTTGTCCGAAAGTGTGTCACGCCGAAAATGTTTGTACTTAATGTATTCACATAATTAACAGTGATGAACTCACGTCAGAAAAAATTAAGAAACTCCAGTACTCGAAGAAAAAAATTAAGAAACTATGAAATCGTGATAAAACTGAGAACAACGAAATTTTGTAAAATCCAAGAACGTTATTGCCCTGTTGGCCTAGAACTTGTAAGGGATAAAATATACTTTCCATATCTAAATACAGCATCAGAACGGAAGCGAATCTCTTGACGTGATAAAAAAAGGTCACGAACATTTCATAACATCATTCATGACATCATGATTAAGAAACTCTTAAGAAACAATGAGTATTGAAATTTCCAGAACATTAAGAAACTGGAGTACTCAACATCAACCTTTGTTTCTTATAATAAAAAAATGAGTGTAGCCCACTAAAATGTAAAATGCATCAGCAGCCATAGTCAAAGAAGGGGGGAGAGCACCCATTAATTGCTACAAAGAGCAAGCTTACAGTGTATTTCAATGTAAATCGAGGGCGGTGATCGGAGTGAAAAATATCTATTAAAGGAACCCTTATGCGGCTTTATTAGGACCAATTAGGATTTGGAATGCCAAGGGACAATACACTCGTACAAACAGGGATTTAAAAAATAAATGGATTTCCGAAAACAAAAGGATTTCCAAAAATTCAAATGAAACAATAGGACTTCCATGAAGGGTGTACGATACATTCAAGAGGTATGATTTGCCCCTTGAGGAATACGTTAATCTTTTTCCCTAGGGGCTGCGACACATTCCCCAAGCGAGGAAATAATATGATGCATAGAATTAATTGAAATTTTATATCAAGATGTTTGCTGGGATCAAATGCCTCAAGTTATCGGAATATCAAGTCGTAGGGGCTACCGCTTTTTGAGGAAGTTTGATGAAAAATAAAACTTTGCTTGATGTACGTTTTCATGAAAATATAGAAAAGTGTATACATAATTCATAAATAGCTAATGCGCGTAAAAACCTCTACACCCAAATGTATTTACACAGCGTTCTTCGTGCCAGATCGTCATTGCCGCTGTTTTTGTAAATCAGAGCGAGGTTATAGGCAGCCTCTCTATGGAGATCACTGAACTCAGAATACTGCAAAAAAAGAGCACTGATGAAATATTTGACTGCTTAATTATGCAACACAAGAATGAAAGATTAAAAAGCGACGTGTTTATGAAAGGAAACGAATTGACTTTTGGAGAATTCTAAAAATGGCAAGACCTTTAAAACTAAGAAAACTTCAAATACGTGAATAATGATAGATGTATTTCTTTAAAATCTTACCTGATCTTCTTTAAGTGGAAAATTTAGGGCTTTGTTGTAAAACATAACAGAGAAGTGAACCAAACCTAGACGAGAGCAAAAAGTTAAAAATTTTAAGCCTTGTGTCTTGAATAATTGTGGCAAAGGAAAGGAGTTTTGAGATGAGATGGCAAGAGCCGGTTATTCAAAAATGGAACACGAGTCCAGGTTTTTAAGGCAATTAGTCACGATATTTCATGTTGTGGATCTGCTCAAAACTAATTTGGTGCAACAATATAGAAGCAGTTTATTGAAAAAATTCAAAACAGACGATTTGCGGTCAGCTCTCATGCCGTTGGAAAAATATCCCGTGTTTATCGTTGAATCTGATTCTATTATCCAAAATATTGAAAAACATCTTAAACAGAACCAAGTCGCATATTTACATGGTATTTGGAATAAACGAAGATAAGCAATTTTTTGATCATAAAAGAGTTTGTATCTTTCCTTACTCTTCCTAACATTTAAACATCAGTCAGAGTGTACAACAACGATTCCATGCTAGTTACAAAATAAACCTTGAAACATGAACAAATTCATCACTTTAAAAGAGAATAGTTTGGATAATCTAAAACAAGTTCCTTTACTAATTCAAACCTGTTACCAAAAATTAGATAGAAAATCGCAGAAAAGGAATTTGAAGAAAAAAAGTTTAAGTAAAGAAAGTTGAAAAGGATAAAACTGAAGAAAACTGAAGAAAACAAAGTTGAAGAGGATAAGAATTTTGACTTAACGAGAACTCACCAACTTGATGAAATGCCCGTGCCAAATTGTAACATGCCTCCTGACATCTTCCACGCATATTGTAATATTGCAGCATAAATGCAATACCCTTAAAAACAAATTAGTAAAATTACAGATACTTCTGATTAACATTTGAGGGCGTTACTAGTCGAAGTTCCTCGTCTTTTAATACAAACATTTTGTTTCATACATTGATATTCATTTCCGAATGTTACTTTGAGTGGGGAATCTAGCTGTTATTCCAGGCGTAACGGTCATGGAGTGTGGTCATATAAAGAGGACAGACCAGGGCACTGCTTGATAGGCACCGCTTGTCAGATTCCCCAAACCTACCTTAAGAAGCTCGGTAGTAACAAATAAAAACACAAACACAAACACAAATAACAACATAAAATCTTGCTCTATTAGATTGCTTTTCGTCATCTTTCGAATTCGATAAAACGGCCTATTTACAGCATGATTTTTTTGGCTAAAGGCTAAAGACTTCAAACATCAATAAAATATAGTTCATTAAAAAAAAGAAATTAATGAATGAGAATGAGATCACCATTCTCATCAGCGCCAGGAAATATTTATGACACCATTTAGCGTAAAGCCCTTTTGAAGTTCGACTTGGCTGAAGCGAAGCTCTCTAAAGAAACATGATGTGACCTTGAGAGAACAGGAAGGTCCAATAATAGCCAATGGGTAACATCTGAAAGTTAACAGACCAATCAAAGACGTCAGAATTCGCATTTTCTGATTGGCTGAACATTCTGACTGTTGATTTGATTGGCTGACTGGAAGACCAAATTCTCACTGCCGTTTTCGGTCTTCAACCAACCTTTGACTATGGGAAGCAGGGGGAAGCTGAGAAGTTGTGAGTGATGGCATCTCTCTATGTATTCTTTAGATTTTTTTACCTTGATCTAATATCTACAATGTAAATTCAAGGCATGACCTACAAATCGCCAATTAAGTGCGTTTCTAACCTAAATTCATACTATAAACCAACTGTTTTCGTGAAACGCAGCGTTTGAAATATATGAGTAAAATTTTCTCCTTCTTTTCTGCTAATCAATTTGTTAAGTCAAAGACGTAAAAACTGAGGGCTTGAGAGGCACCGTGTCCCCATGTGACTGCAAATTATTACTGCCACCGTGCCCTCTTGACAAGCGGTGACCACGGGAAGTGCCCTACATTAGTTGTGTTTAATGAGTTGTAGCAATACTCAAAACCTAACCTGCAGTACACTAGTATGCCTATGTTTGGTGAATCTTTGGCATGCCAAATGCAAGTACGTGATGCCGATGCACAAGCTAAGCATTGGATCTCTTGGCTTCATACGGAATGCGCGGATGTATTCTCCTGAATAGAAAAGACAAAAGGAATATGAAATTAATGATATCAAGACAGGTAAAAATTTAATCCTGTGTCTGAATCACACACTGTCATTTGCATAACGCTTATGAAGCACAGTGACGACCATCAATGTACTAAGCAATTTAGGTAAATGGCGTTTATCATTTTCCCGCCCTTTTTATCGCTCACGAATTGAGTCAGCTTCTGCAAGGCGGTAGCAGTGAAAAAGAAGGCTTGAGCCTTGCACTGATCTTTAAGTCTTCAGTCACATCAGTCACACAAGCCTCCACGCCGACATGTAAGGATCCCAACATAAAGATGTAAAAGTGAGTTTATAAGGTTTATTTATGTGTATTAAACAGTTCTGTACTCCCCCTTTATTATTAGAAGAGTAGAGAACTGCCAAATTAAAGCTTTTGTAACTAACGATCGCAGAAGTTTTACTGAGTACAACGGCAGTCTTCTATCAATTTATCGAGCAATCAACTATTTTTTAGTGCAATTTACAATATTATTTGTTGGTGGTGTTGATAAAATAAAAAGGCCTACACCTGTCTGCAAGGCATTCTTGTTATCAAATTCTAGAGCTGTGGTGTTACCTCCTTCTGGCTGAATCTGTATGCATAACAAAGCAAGCTTTAAGTCACATGAAAATTGTTCTTCGTTCATTGCTGGCATGTAACTGGATATAGATGAACGTTATAGATGAAAGATGCAATCTTGTGGGCAGTTGGATGGGTTGTTCTGGTTCTGCAGCGGACATTTTTTAGAAAGATAAATGAAGAAAAGTAAAGGATAAAAATATCATACCGAGTGCGTATTTGTAGCTGCCACAAAGGAAAGTATTATGCCCGTTGACAATAATCAAAGGCAGTATAGCTGGATGCTTAAAAAGCTGCCGAAGGACATATTTGTGACCTTTTCTATCAGGCATGTTATTGGTGATTCGAGAGAAAAAGTTCCACATAGCTGTGCTGTTTAGTCCTCTCTTTTCTGAGCGCAACAACGCCCAGCGGAACGCATCGAAAGCCTTTAGGTAGTCCCTTGCAAGAAAATTTGTTGTTGCGCTAAGAAAGTCGAGCTCACATCGATATCTTTTGTTTTCGCTGAATGAGCGAAACGAAGCAGATTTGTCGATAATTTCGCATGCTTTGCTATACTGCTCCAGCGAAACCATGGCTTTGATCACCTGTCAATAAAGAGAGGTAAACATGAGAAATTCCTTGTCTTATCCAATGCATATGTCTTATATTTTTTGGCAATAACTACCAGGTGTCGAGATACAGAAAGTCGGGTCGGCTGTGTATCGATTTCTGTAAGTCCTGGAGGTCGGAGTCCTGGATAATATTTGTTTGCCATCAGTCCTGGAAGTCGATGTCGTGTCGACAATCAATCTCATCCTAAGTTTTATCATCTCCTAGATGGCCTACAGAAGTAGTATTTTACTATGCCATGTCGGCGATTCTTCACGTCACGTCTTTAGTATGTTTCCATGTACGCTACAGAGCAACATTTGAATATGTCGTGTAAGTAATTTCATTGCGTCTTATCCGTCCACATGTAGCCTGAAGAGAATAAATGTAAATATGTCGTGTCGGCAGCAACACATCGGTCCTATGCTGATTTCTGACGACATAAAATATGAGAACTCTTTTCCAGGCTGAATTTTTTGAGCAAAAGAGAAACGAACAGCCGAAGCAAACCCAAAAGAGATAATTAATTTGCAAAAGAATTCTAACCGAATTGTGAGCTGATACGATGGTATTGCCCACATAACATGCTATAGAATGCAGAACATTAAAGAAATATGGTGCAAACAATGGTAAAATAAATACTGAAAAAAATTGTAAGAATCACCTTTAACAAAAGTTCCCAGACAAAAGCCTTGCTAAGACCATCTTCCCTTGAAATTGCTAGCAAAAAATTAAAAACATTTATTGCAGGCACGCAGTGAGGTGATGACGATAAATTATAAAAGCTTTTGGGACCCGATGGAGAACGAAAAAAAAGATATTAAGCTTTTCTGAATGCCATACTGTTAATGAGAATTCATTTTAGTGACACACTTTGATATCAGGTATCTTCTTGATATGTAGACAAATCCAGTACATAAAAAATGCATTCTCTTTGCTATAATTATTTTTCTATAATGTTTTACACATCTGTCGCAACTGATGCTAAACTTTAGACACAATGCCTGCTAAAAGGTTTGGAACATTAAACTGAATTTCTGTATATTCTCAGATGTCGATCTCAAAACTGTTGATATTTAAATAGACGGATATCTAGCTCAACAAACAACGTTTTCTGGAGAATGACGAAATGTCCGTTTTTTCTACCGTTATAAATACATGAACCGTGTCATTTAATCGTATCTTAGAATGGATTTATCTCGCAACTGTGTTGAATAATATCATTTTCTCAATTGGATGTTCCTGGAAATCAAAATGAATTGATAATGTTGGGATTTTCCATTCATGCCAGCGCATTTAATATAACACTGCAGCACATGCTTTTCGCATAATGAATGTTTTTTCTTCTTGTTGATTCATATAGTTGCTTGCGTAATTCATGTTTGGGTAGGTATCCCTAATTGATTTGGTTAACGGCGTGTTGGGCTGACTCAGGCTAATCATGGGCTCACTCAAGCTATTTATCTATCTATCTGTCTATCTAAACAAACAGCTTAACGACGTTTATTAATCCACATCTGCATTTTAAAGTTATTCATAAAAAATCTTTGACGTAAAGTATGTATCCTGTTTTTCTAAGCATATAAAACGTCCGATTGTAAGGTAAGAAGTGACAGAAACGGTGATAGAGAAATAGGTAATCAGTACCGAGGTGTACGGTGTACAATGAAGAAGGACTGGTAACAACTGTTGTGTTTCCTTAAGTGCTCTCTTGGCACTTTAACATTAAATCTCTGAACCAGCAGATAGTTCTGGTGTTGGCACACTAGATAATTTCTATAGATAACATGAACTCTCGACCACAGTATCGCTAACAAACATTTTAGATTTTCATCTTCTTCCATTGGGTCAAAGAATCCTACAAGTTATCTCTCTATATCAACATTAATCTTTGAAGAAACTCATGTACCTGGAGTGATATGATAAAGGACAATATAAAGCAATAAATCCAGTTTGAGTAGATGTTGTTCAAAAGACAGCTGCACTTATCAAGGATTGGTAATTTGTAATTTCAAGGGAACGCAGAATTATAATAATGGACTGTTATCAAAGTTGGCATAAACAGGGACTGTTATGAAGTGAAAAAATTTTGGTTGCACTCCAATATACGTATAATTCTTGGGCCATATGTCTGATTAACTGATTAGGTAATCCGCAATCGGATTTCAACAGCTCATCTACCGCACATAGTGAACTTTATAATAAAAAATGTTTAAGTAACTTTATTAGGAATAAAAAAAGTTCAAAACAAACCTGCGGACTTAAAATAGTTGACAAAGAATATATAACCATTCTCAGCCAAGCTTTCAGTTTGACCTTGTCCATGCAACAATAAGCATTTTTGATACCAAAGTTTGAAATCCTTTAAAAGAAAGAGTGTAATATTGATTATGATGTATTATGTAAAGTTCGTGTGTACGATTCTCCAACTTCACAATTTATTTGAACTAAATATTATGAAATTGAGATCCAGAAACAGGTGGAGAAGCTACACAGAAATACAGAAAAGGATTTTGACCTCAAGATATTGTAACTATCTACTTTCATTAAGTTAATTCAGCAAAACTCATTCTACATACAACCGAGGCACTGATAAACAAGGCAATGAATTGACTTAATGAAAAAAAACGGAAGGTCGTAGTGTTCACCAGAGTTAGCGAAACAAATTCTCAGGCTCAAGACTCAATTCTTAAAGGCATTTGCTAGGGTGTGAGCACTTAAGTTTCACGTGATATTGGCAACTTTTTTTTACAACTGACTACCTCATGTGGTCAGTCTCGGGTCATAAATTATATCACCACGACCCCCGGGACCATGACTCAGTATATTTGGGTACACCCTCTCATTCTGTCTCAATGCCTGTGTCTATCTTGACTCGATGCCTTTAGATTTGGACCTCTACTGTTAAGAACATCAGCTGATCAAGTTGTTTTCTTTTCCAGCGGGATTAGCCTTTACAACGAACTAGATGCCAAAACAAAACGAGCCTCCGATTTAAAAACTTTGGAGAGGAACCAATGAAAACTTCCCTGCCTTAGATGATATGGTATTACCTTTTTCTTTCAATTTTATCTTTCTATTAATAAGAGTAGTTTAATCTTATGCATGTTTGCAGAAGGTGTAAAGTTTAATCGATTTCGTTTACAATTTCAAAGTTTGACACAGCCTCTTGTAGAGCAGTCTGATGGGGCGGCCGTTAAAGAAAACGAAAGATAAAATTTATTTCTTAACCGTGATCTGAAGCCTCTACAGTCAACAAAATTGATTCTAAAAGTATGTAACAGGAATAAATTTTGAAAATAAGGCTGTTGAATATCTTATAAAAATGTGTTTCACTTGATATGAAGAAAACAGCAGGAGAGGACAGCAGCAGAGGACTGGAAGAATTAAAATTATAAATTTTGACATTAAAACATCTCACAGAGCTGTGTTTTAAACTAAATAAGTTGAAGACTAGTTTGCTTTTAAAAGATCTCATCTTACATTTACTTTAATTCACATGCATTTTTCTAGATAAGCTATTATAGGAAATAAAAAAAATTCAAGCTCAAAAGATTTATAAAATTCAAGCTTATAAGCAAATTTCTTGCCTGCAGGGTCTTTAAAAGCAAGTCAAGCAGACAGTTGAGGATATTTGAGCCAGAACAAAATCAGGTAACAAGAGTTGGCTTACGTCTTTTTTAGTTATCTCTACGATGCATTGAGAACTGTTTTCATCCATTGTTTCATCTGTGCTAGATCCTAAGGAAAATCACGATATAATAAACAAAAACAAAGAATACTAGTCTTTGAGCTACACTATTGGCGGTTTCAGGGAGGTAGAGGGGGGCCACGGCCCCAGGCCCCGCATTTATGGTAGCCAGAAGGGGCCCCGCGCCTATGTAAAACATGAACATTGTGGAAAACAAGGGCCCCGCAGACTTCTCGGTCCAGAGCCTCGCAGTTTCCAAAACCGCTGCTGCGCTATACTCTCATATTTCTTGGTGTCACCAGAAAGAGTATTTCCAATTATTTCAATAATTTAGGCCTAGTTTGTCAAACAGTAGAAAACTCTACTTTCAGCCAGCGACATAAACAGAAAGCCTGTTTAGAAAGAACTCGATCTGATCGCTATCAATACTCGCTACTTTTACTAAAAATGCTTTTTATGTAACTTATTTATGTTGTTTTGGCTCGTCAACATTGCAACTTATTTATGTATCGTGTATCGTTGAGTGTTATAGCTGCATGATTCGAATGCGTTCATTTCCAAAGCACTATTCTCCCTTGGCAGTGCAGACTGCGTCTATAGACGAATACCCGACAGATTAGCAGCAAACACGAGTTTAATATAAATAAGAAATTTGGTGCGACTATTGTTTATAATGCGATACGTATAACTGAGAGTAGACAATATTTCTGAAGCTCAAACCTGCCAAGATACTGCGAGCTTCTTCAGTACGGCCTAGTCGACGGCATAAATTGGCAAGCTCAAGCGTCACACCTAATTGGTTGGGAGCCAATTCTAGCACTTTATAATATGCATCGGCTGCCTCGGATAGCTTTCCGACTGCATGTCGGCATTCGGCAAGTTTTAGCCACACTGCAGCCTTAAACGGGAAAGAGAGAGCTGTCTTATTACTCTATAAACAAAATCAACCTTCTAGAAATAAATCAACGAAGGCAACAGTTGTATGATGATCGCATTAAGCCTGAAACTCAGAATAGCAACTTAGAAACGTTCTGTTCTATATGGCATCAAGCACTTTAAGACAGACTGGTAAACAGTCATTTTTACTAAACCAAGATGCGACATTTTGGTCCAACGTCTTAAAACAAAAACTTCCAAGCAAATTTTAAAAAAACATGGCTAATTAGATCATGAAATGCAAAAACTTCAATAATTAATTCCACCATTGCATTAGAATTGTTTTTTTAAATCAAACTTTTTTAATATTGTTTCTTTTAATCTCATTGAATTATATTGTATTTACTATAATTATTTTAGCTTAAATAGAATTTAAATGCATGATCCCCTTAATGCATGCCTAAAAAATTGAAATGAAATGGAAACATAAACACAGAGGAGTTGTTGATGTTTTTAGATCCGATACCTATGTTTTTACCAATATTGATTGAAGAAAACCATAAACAATAAAAGTAGAGTTTTTTTCTAATAATTAGCAATCTCATTTTAGCCAAGCATCAAGTTGCTAAAAAGAAAGATGTATAGCCAAGCATGAAAGGAAACAGCTACAATAAATGAGATCAATCTTGGCGAAGCAATGAAACAAAAGTGAGTAAAAAGTCAGATCATTTGGGACTAACAGTCGTAAGTAATCTCTTTGCATTAGATTTATTAATGCTATAAAATTAATTTGAGTTGAAACAAAAACTGCACGAAACTTAATAATAGTAATAATATTTTAAATTCACAAAGGTTAATTTGTTCAGTAAATTAAATTACTGGCATCAATCAAAGTCCTGTATTTTACGTAATAAAAGCTTGTATTAACCAGAATAAGATTTTTTGAATGTATACGAATGAAAGTTTAAAAATTACAGAATTAAAGTAAAGGAATTTACAAGAATGAAATTTAGATGAACTTGAAGAAAATAGAAAAGAAAATATCTTAATGTTTACAAAGTTTAAAAATGAGAGACGAGAGTATAAGAAATTTCTGGCATGGCATGGATATAAAAGTAGGAATAGCAGCCCATTCACGCACAACCGGCATTTATTTGGATTCTAAAGAAGAATAACAGTAAAAAGATTACTTTACAATACTTTTCCGACGCGATAAGCTCTTCAAGGTACCAAATTGCGTCTTCACATCTTCCTACAAGTTAAAGCTTTTATCAATATAATTGAGACTGAGAAAAGTTTGCGGTGGCATGAAATTCATAAGCAGCTAGGCCCTCGACACATGCAGGTGTAGAGTCAAGACCCTTAATAAAGTGTATACTGGTTAAAGGTACCCTAAGGTTAGTCATGCAACATAATTAGATTATAGAAATGTCCAACAGAAGAGCGAAAGATTTAATGCTTTTTATTGGATGTTTGCTTCATATGATACTATCTTTGCACCTTATTATGCATCAATAGCCCAGTTGTAAAAGCTTTACAAAGAACTTCACAAGGAAAAAAATTATTTCTTTAAGTCACAAAATTTCAGTTTTCCACAGCCGATAGCTTACGTAAATTTCTATATTAATGCGTTATGCATAATGTAGAACTATTATATTTCTGCATAAAAAAGAAGAAATTTTGGGGTATAAAAAATTGGAAAGAAATGTTGATCTTCAAGAGGGGGTGGCAACAGAAGCGCTATAATTTTGTTAGATGCACAAGCACTACTTCAAATATCACTTGCTTAAATGTTTGCTTCATTTCCTCAGTCCATTTCAAAAGAACATCTTTTGCAAACCACCCCCCCTGATGACTCTCTAGAAACGCTTTGTGTTGTTTATCGCAAATTATTCAGCATAAACTCACAAAATTTGAAAATGTTTGTAATTCTCTACAGATATCTGGGGTGGCCACATCTTACAGCCCCCATAGCTGCTACGTTCATGATAAAGAGTCGTCATAAATGGAAATTCACTTATTATAACCTTGGAAATATAAACTTATCAGGGCTGTCGGGTATTCGTCTATTGCCAAAAATTACTTGACAGGAATTACTTGCTCAAAAAATTAATCTCTGATGTTATATCACCGTCCCATTATTCGATAGTGATTCTCAAGTAACTTACTACCGATAACAATTTTGTTTTCACTAGACGGGATTTTCACATGGACTGTTCTTTTGGATTGGTTGTCGGAACAAGTCGCAAAGTTAGATTGCAGTGGGAGTTCTCCTTTCATGGGGCCTGCATTCCAAGCTTAACAAAAATGTAGGTTCAAACTACATTGCATTTTGTATGTACTTGTCACCATTTACAGGTGTAACAAGATTGGCCCTGTTGCAAACATAGACATGATTGGATTCTATGAAATAACATCCAAAGCCTTACAATTTTCTTCCACGAAAAGGGTGCATTGAAGGTTGAAATAAACTAGCATACCTTTCTATGCTCAATATGCACTAATCATAAAGATAGAAAGACATTGGGACTTACCAACATTGATGTATGCTTCAGAAACATCCAAATACAAGTCCCCAACGTCTTCTAAAGATTCTTTAAATAACGGGCAAAGAACGCGCTGTGGGAGAAAGAGCATCAAAATAATATGCTGGATGTTTTTTAGAATGCTGGATGTTTTTTAGAAGACTGTTCGGTATTGGTGAGAGTATTTCAAGGTATTTTCTGGCAAGGTATGTCAAGGTGTTTACTGGCAAGGTATTTTCTCAATCACTGAGCAACGAAAAGAAACATAAAGAATTTGTAGATATTAAGCATTATCGATACAAAGGAAATGGTAGATAAAATTACAAACATATAGTCAACACCTATATGTTTAATGAACTGGCCACGGATGATCAAGGCAAAATACAAAACCTCACACTTATCAAACATCAAGTAGTATTGCATCATTTTTTTACTACTGACTACCAAAAAGTCCTTTTTACCGAATCGAAGCTAAATTTACCGAAGGAAACAAAAATATTGGGGGGAGAGAGGTATCACACCCCTCAAAAACCCCCTGGCATGTCTCTCCCTGTGAACAGCATATCAATAAGTGGCTAGATGAGTTTTGCGAGAGACCAAGTACATGCTACCAGAAATAAAGACGACAAACAATGTTTACCTGGACGTCAAAACAAACTTTCAGTTCGATGGCACTCACAGCAATCTTCACTCGAATGTCGATAGGCACGTGGTCTGGAATATTCCATTGATCGTTGTCACGTTTTGCGCTGACATCAGCCTTATCCGCCATCTTCTCTTTCATCACTTCCTTGCTTACCTTATCAAGGTCAACCAACTCTGTTTGCCGCCCCTCTTCCTCCGCTTGAGCGTTCTTCGACGGCGAAAGCAAAAACTCGGTCCACGAAGGAGGGACTGTGGACAAATCAGGATTTTCACGCACAGGCTGGGTTTCTTGGACAAGAGACTTAGCAAACTGAGTGGTAAACTCAACATTTGTGCTTTCGATTTGCTTTGTTTCCAAAAGGCTGTTGATGGATTCTATCATTTTCGGAGGTAGCTTGACATCGGAGGTCTCTTCGACATTCTCTGCAAATGATTCTTCAGTTTTGTCTGATGCTGACAAAATCGAAGCCGGAATTTTTACTCCAGCGTGCTTACAAACAACCTTAAACAAACAAAGAAAAGTGCTTTGCATACAATAAAGGAATAGTCTTGAAGGAAAAAAAAATTAAAACCATTTAGAAACGTAAACGTGATGCCCAAGCTTTTCATCATATGTAGCATATAGACACAAACACAAAATCCAAAACAACAAGAAAACAGTACAATGTCAAAGTATAAATATATATGAATACATATCCTTGCTGTATGAAACAGGAAGGTTCTAAGTTGCCTTCTATTGAATACAAAACAGCAAGTTAGAACCGTCCTTTTTTGCACACCAAACGTTTACAGCTCTGCATCGAGCATTTAGTGACAGACCGATAAACAGTCACTTTCTTTATATGAAAATGTTTATAGACTTTCTAATAAACACTATCTCATACACGCTTCGATTTTTGTCTTCACGAGCTTACCTGCAGACTTCTTTCAAAATTTTTAGCAGATATATGAAGCTCGGCTAGCATGTTTATACCTAAAAATGATATTGTAATATAGAATTTTATAAATATTGCATTCTTGTATGATATTTGCTAGAATGATAGAATGATAGAAATCATGGCCCGAACAATTTTTCCACCAAACACACCGATTTTGCATGATTCATTGGCTATGTTCATCTTCAAAACATAACTTGTCAAATATAAACCTGATGTAAGAATCTTTGAACCTGCAAATTTCATATGCACCGACAAGGCCAAAGAAAATTCATTTTAGGGATGTACTTCACTTAGAGAAAACATAACAGGTACAACAATTACAGACATACAAGGCAATTATAGTTGTTTCCTCAACTGCTGATCACTGCTATATGTCATTGATCAAGGAATCTTCACTTCAAATGCTAACCTACTTCAAAAGTCACAAGAAGATACAATAATAAAGAATAAATGGCATTAAACGTGAAAAGGAATACAAAATGTTCACACTCATTAGAAGATACAGAAAATTGCACAAGAAACAGTATCCCCGTGATGAAAATGCAATCACTTACAGAAAACGTCGTTTCTGAAAAAACAACTGGCCTACCTTCAAAATCGACATAATCAGGGTATTTTGCAAACATTAACTCAAGTATCTCAATGGCTTTCTCAGCGTTATCAGCAAAATGGTGGATCTAAATGCAAAATCATTCGTATAAAGCAAGGATATTGCCTAAAGAAATGCAACGAAAGGCTCTTGGTGAGTTCTAGCTTTCTCGCCAAACTACAAGAACTCATTCAAAATCCATTTGAATAAACTTTGCATTCAATTATTTTATGATTGAAATAAATTATGAAGATGCACTTTATGACAATACTGCTCTACACTGTCTTTGTTCTAAGTTGCAACTTTAAAGCAAGAAAAGAGCGTCTTCTTTCTGAAAGTGGCTTTTAAGTTGACGTCTTGTAAAAATTCTTTCGACTCTATTAAAGTCTGTGAAGCTTGGCAAGAGAGCATTTACAAACCAAAAAGATTAGAAACGATAGAGCCTTTGAAGAGAATGAACACGGAACAGGATCAGCAAATAAAAAAGCCAAGACCAATTGAAGCCTGAAGAGATTATAACAAAATAAGCATAATATAAACGGACGTCGCTTTTGTCATTTTCGGAGTGATGACTGTACTTTTGAAAAGTTAGGAAAATAAGGCAAAGGATGAAAACGTTTCGAAGATTATAATACCTGTGCCATTTCCTTCCCGAATTCAATCATCTTAGCACCGTCGACAAAAGTTAAAATCTAGGGATGAATATTATCAATGGCATTAGCTGTAATGAATTATCAAACATCTAATTTAAGGCTCGCCCGACGTATGATGGTCGGTAGAAGAACACAACAAATCTTTTAAAGATAAAGACACATTTTGCGAGACGACTGTCAGACATAGATGGTTGCAAGACTTTTTACCGGCAAAAAATAAGAGATATCGCGTCAAGTGGAGTACAGAGACGTTACAGGTTTCGTTACAGGTAATTTTTTACGCAATAAAAAGCACTCATTATAACCTTACTTGACCTGACCTGAAGTGAACTTATTTTACCTAGCCTGGTCTGACATAACCCAACTTCGACTGATGTGACCTGACCCAACCTGACACGTTATTATTAGACATGATCTGATGGGTTCTGACCTGACCTGACCTGACCTGACCTGACCTGACCTGACCTGACCTGACCTGACCTGACCTGACCTGACCTGACCTGACCTGACCTAACCTGACCTGACCTAACATAGTACTTTGAGGCAGTTTCTTCAAATGAAAAACACATAAAATGAACTCAAATTTTTGGAAAGTAACACTTAAGATTCTTGTATGAAATCATAACCTTACCTTAAGAATAGTGTTGTAACACTCTAGTGCTCTCTTGAAGTCACCCTCTTCAAATATAAGAGCAGCACGCTCCCATTGAAGAACGACATTGTGACGAGCAACCTTGCAACCTGTGGATATATAGCTTGATTAGCAATCATATGGGCACTAAAAGTGCAATTACAGAAAAGATAAAGAATATTGTCAGTAGTAAGCATTTTGTTAACTATGCAAGCACTGACTACTTGATGCAAGGTTCAACAGGACTCTTTTTCATTCATAAAATTCGTTTCGTTGATTCATATTGGATTGCATTATAAACTCAAAAGATGCTAGAGTGTTAGCAAAACAGAGGCAAAATAAGTGAATGGAGGGGGGGGGGGTCATGGCGTATTAGTTAATATTATCCGTATCTTATAGTAGATTGAGCACTTTTGAGCCACCTGAGTCTCTAAGTGTATCGTGGTACCCATAGGAAGCATTTCCAAAGTTGGGGACACATGTAGGAACAAATAGGAACTAAGAAAGGAACAAATTCAAACAAGCATTGACAACTTGTTACCATTGTTATAGCAAATCAGTGCTTGCTTGCGACTTCCAGATTGAAGACATCGGATGGCAAGGTCTCTCCATTCGTGTGGGTCACGAGAACCAAGGAATGCAGATATCAGAGCATACTTGAAGGCAAATGTGAATCAATTTAAAATAAGAAGACGTTGTCTTGTATATATGCATTGTAATTTAGATAAGGAGTACCTCTGAAAATCAGTACTGAAGGGCTACCTTCTTTAAACATCGACCGATCCAAGACCTAAAACAATCGCTAGGCTAGGACTAAGATGAGCGCAAATATAAAGAAAGAGTTTTCTCTAGTTAGTGCTAAATTGATTTTGATGCTGAACCTTAAAAAATAATCAGATAAAAATGTACAAATAACGATCCGACTTTCTTCAAAAGAGATTCTAGACATAATATTGAATAAATAATTATAATATCGAAAACACCAACCTGCAAAGCCTTTTCGGCATCGCCTTTCTCGTCATAAATTACAGATAAGGTTTTAAACGCGTGAGGGTTATGAGGAGCTGAAAAACAAAACAGAATGGATCTGAAACAATTAATTAATAAATTGATTTAAAGAAGTTAATAAATTACATGTTATTGGATGTTATGAGAAATGGAGTGAGACGTTAAAGGGCGTTATGGGACGTTTTGGGACGTAATTGGAAGTTATGGGACGTTATGGGACGTTACGGGAAGCTATGAGATGTTATTGGACGAATATGATACAGCTGGTTTAAGAGCAAGAATATTCAGCGTTAAGAGTGCAAGTTTAAGCCTAGCGCACACAGCAGATTTTTGTCGCAAAAGACGAAGATTTTTGTCTCAAAAGACGAAAATCTGTAGTGTGCGGGGCAAAATCGCAAAGATTTTTGTCTTTTACGATTATCTTTGAGATCAAAAATGTTTGATATTTGTCTTTGTCTTTTACGACGAAAGACAAAAATCGTGCAATGTGCGGGGTCGAAAGACAAGTTTTTAATTTTTAAACCAATAAAACTTGGATTATATGGTCACGTGAATTCTGTGGAGCCTTTCTTTCCCGCCAAAAGAAAAAAGATCGAGAACGCCATGGAGAATACAGAAGACGAAGTCGGTATATGGACAGCAAGCAAAGAGGAGCAGCTTGTCGATCTGTGGCAAGAAAAGGCTTGTCTGTATATGGTTACGTCTCCAGAATATTCAGACAGAAACAAGAAGCTAGCAGCCCTGAACGAAATTGCAACTAAACTTTCTTCAAACGGTGAGTGAATAATTTTGACTAGCTAGCTAGGCTAGTCCTCTTTTCTTAGGCCTACTCAATTTTAAGTGAAACATTGCTGTACGAATTCATGTTTTATTCATTCTAGTGAATCAAGTAAAAAAAAGAATCGCATCTCTGCGCACGCAATATGCACGCTCCCGCAGAATCCCAAGCAGTGGAAGTGCACGACCAAAAAAGACGAAGAAGACTCAATGGATAGAAGACCGCCTTCAATTTTTAAGCCCATATGTATCCAACAGAGTGTCTATTTCTAATTTGCAGGTACAATACAACACTAGCTAGTTGAGTTCATTATTTTTTGTTGCAACCATACTATCTTGCCATGATACTGATCCAGATGTTGAGCAAAAATATTGTTTCAAAAGCTCACGCTGACCCTTAGCACTTAATGAACAGTTTCTGTTTTTTGTCTTCTGTAACTCAGTTAGAGATTTGTCTAATCTCCAGCTGCCTTGAAAAAGCTCATGGTTGTCTCTTTCACTGTCACATGCATTTTTATATGAAGGCTGCTCATCAATCAGCATGTTGTGCAGACAACAAATTTCCAGCACAATTTGCTTAGCCTTTTCAGGCTCCAACATAATCTTTGTCAGCATCACCCTGAACCTATTAGCCATGATACCAAAAGCGTTTTCGACAACCCGTCGTGCTCTAGAAAGCCTGTAGTTGAAAATGTGCTGTTCATGTAACAGTTGTCTAAATGGGAATGGTTTCATGATATCATTTCTCAAGGGAAATGCATCATCACCAATGATATGATAATGACATTTGATGCATGTTTCCCCAAATTGCTCAGCTTCTGGAAAGGCAATTGATTTGCCTTTCATCTGTTGATTTAGAGGCGATGTTTCAAAAAGTCCAGCATCACCATTTCTTCCACTTGCACCAACATCAACAAATATCAACTTGTAGTCATAACTTGCCAATGCTAGAAGGACTATGCTGAAATATCCCTTGTAGTTGAAGTACTCTGATCCAGACATTTTTGGTTGTTTGATTGCAATGTGTTTGCCATCTAATGCACCAACACAAAAAGGATAGTCCCATAAATTGTAGAAACCATCACTGATTGTTTTCCATTGATGAGATGTGCTTGGAATCTAAAATACAAAAATATTAAATTTTAGTCTTCAACTGAAAGTTTATCTGAGCCACAGCTTAACACTGGTGACAGTGACTGTGATGGAGACTTGGACGACAATGATGCCCCTGCTGCAGAGACACCAGTTTCAACAAGCAGGCCACTGGCTGCTGTTAAAAAATCCAAAACTGCAAAGCAGAAAAAGGAAGAGGAAGAACTCTCCATTCTGAAGTCTCTTGCATCATCTTTCTCTGCAGATGAAAATTTAGCTGCAAAAAAGGATGCAAAGCCAAGCCCTTCAGCTGCCTTTGGGGAATACGTTACACATGCTTTGTCTGTGATGGATGAGAAAACAAGACTTGTTGCAATGAACAACATTCAAAATGCTCTTTTTCAGGCACAGATGGGCTCTTTCTCAAATGAATTCAACAACCCATATCATGCTGGTCAACATGCTAGAATGCAGTCTTTCAGGCAGTCACTTGACCAGCAAGATATGAGTGAAGGGCCATTGTACGGACAATTCTAATCTTTAAAATTCATACAGTATATTGCTTTCACTGCACTCTTCAATGTTATGTGAGTTGGTTTTAATTAGCACATTAAATATTGTATTGAAAACCAAAAAGTAGAAAACAAAAAATGTTATGTACCTTAAGATATCTATCCTTAAGATTCTGATAAATTGCATCACAAGTTTCTGTCACTATTGATGAAATTGTTCTTTCTCCAAGTCTATATGAAAATCCCAGGCTGTGAAATGACTCTCCTGTAAAGATATGCAACATCTTATTATACCAATCAATATCTAAAATGATATGATTACCTCAATTTCTCCATGTAAGATTATCAGATTTATGATTGCATTCATTTTGATGATACTCATTTCAAAATGCTCATTATGATTGGCATTAAAGGTGAAATGGTTTGTGAAAGATATCAATTAGTAAGAAGTATTTTCATTATTGTTATTAAGTATTGCTACGAACTCTGTAGAAGAAACATTTAGAATATTTAAAGTTATTTTTATTATTCACAAATATATTTTTACTTTTCTCATTTGTATCCTATATTTTCTCTTTGAATCAAGCTGGCAGACTATTGTGAAATCTCACCTGTTGCTAAGTATCGTAGTGTGACTGCAAGTCTTTCTGCTGCACTAATTGATTTTCGCATGTGAGTGTCTTTTCTTTGAATCATTGGTCTTACTTTGGCAAGAAGAGATTTGAAAAGGTCTTCGTTGAGACGAAAATAGCGTTGGTACATAGATTTATCCTCCGATGCTAACTCCTGAACAAGATTCTGATATGCTCCCAGCTCATTTCTACGCTCAATCCAGGATTTCACCCACATTCGTCTCGCAATTCGCCTCCTTCTTCTTCGTCTTATTAAAAGGATAATAGCCAACAGTGCTTTCTTTTTTGTCAAATTCATAACCTTTGTCAGTTTCTTGAGCAATTTTATTCGTGTTTGGAATTTTATTTTACGCGCCAAGAAGTTCAAACAATGTGAAAAAGAGGTCACAAAACTTAATCGAGGCACTAATCCGAAAAAAATCGTGCTGTGTGCGGGCAATCAGTTTTTATGAAAAAGACAAAAATCTTCGTCTTTTGCGACAAATATCTGCTGTGTGCGCTAGGCTTTAGGAATTGATAACAGGGAAAACTAGTTTCAACAACAATTTCAGCAGTATTCAGGCACCGCGGAGCGGAAGGTGCAAAAAGTCGAGGGGAGATGAAATCGAATAAAAAGAGATTTGACTGGAGGCTCATTTCTAAATCATTTGCATTTCTGGCAAAAAGAAGGGAGAAGACTATAGCACTGATACCAGGTACCTTCTCCGCGAGGCGTAAATATATTAGGTAGAAATACATAAAATAAAAAGCTTGAAAAGTATTTATGAAGATAATGGTGTAGAAACAAAATCAATTATTAACAGCTTGCAGCTTTGGTAGACAAGTCAATCTAGTATACTCAAGCTTTAATATCCATGCTCGAGACAAGGATACCAAAGAACATCATGCATTGCTGAGATAGATAGCTTCTACTTTTTCTGCGAACTGTGTTAAATATCTCGAATTCTGTTCAATAGATATTTACCATGGTACCTCATTATATAATTAAACTGAATGTCTTAAGGAGGGGAATGTCTATAGCATACTAAATCAGTTTTGAAGCGGATTATATGTCAAGGAAAATGTCTACTTTTTACTTTCAGGGCAAACAATAACACTTAACACTGTAAAACGTATGTATACACTACTTGCGAATACCTTGTCGTATGATTTCCATACACACTTCAATAGCATCGTCAATTTGTCCTTTTGCTAGAAAAAGGTTGGCCATCCCCATCTGTTGTCTTAGATCTTCTCGTAACTTGTGTGAAGAAGGGCCACTTTTTCTGAGCCTTCGTTGCTTTGGGAAGATGAAGTCAGCGAAAACCTTGGTAACCGATGGATCTACAAAGTTCAATAAGGCAACTGATCATATGATATTCCAGAATTATGAGCCCCAAAGTATGATTAACAATGAGATAGGATATAATGACCAATGACCTCCCAACTCACCCTTCCCCCTCCCCCTCCCCCAACCCTCCCTTACAACAACCAATGTGCACCCCTACCCCAACCAGGAAGTAGGATTGACAAATACTTCTCTGTAAACAAATCTGTCAATGTAGGGCCTAAATGTGAACACAGTGAACACAGACAAAGTATAATCCACAGACACAGATAATGACCAATGACCGAGTTCTATTCTAAAACCGAGTTTTATCTTTTCATTCGTAAAAAAGGCTCAAGTCTATGTAGATGAAACTCAAATTTTGTTCAAAATTTTGTTATGACAGGTGCAAAAGAAACAACCAATTTTTTCATTTACATTTTAACAAAAAAGTGACCATGCCGATTTTCCACGACAGCCAGATTTACGTGAAAAAATAACGGTTAGAATGGAATAAGTGTTTCAATTCACTACTGTTCCCTATCATGGAGACGGGGTGAACCTAAAACAAAGCCGAAATTTGAGAACACGAAAACCCCTAGATAGAGAACAGGAGCAGAGGGAGGCGAGGATCACAGACTGGATAAGTTTTCAATCACCATATAGTATGGCTACAATTAGTTATGACGTAGGTGCCATCTCTACCAGCTCTCAACTCGTGTCAGTTGTAGCCATCACTCGTATCAAGACATTCAATTTGTGAAATGTCACATATTTTTGTTATTAGCAATACAAGTTATAAAAAGGAAGTTAATTTTTGACACTTCTAATCCCTTTTGCAACACCCTCTGGTATATCTAGCTTAGAACATGAACGTAATAGCCTAATGTAAACTTCATGCATTTGTTAAACCACTTGGTGAGGCATAATTGAAAAAACCAACAATCCCTGGTTAAAATCCAGACTCTTATTAGAGTGATTGAGCCTACCAGTGGAACAATGGCAGAGAATGCAGAAAAATAGAGTCAATTTGAACTGATCAAATATACATTAACAAAAATCATAACTAAATAAATACAGCAATCACAACTATTCATAATGTCCTCAAAATTGAATGAATCAGCCATGAAATCTTTGCCATAACATTAAGGTGGCTTCAAATCAGGATTGGTGATGTCCTGTCTGGAACTGCTGGCAAAACATGTGGCTCGTTGTTGGTAATTTCATTCTCTTCTACGTGATCAGCCCAGTTTGCAATTCTTGGCAGCTCACAATTTTCAAGGTCTGCCAACTCCGCATCAACGGAGGCAGCAACGGGAGACAACAGCCGTGTTGATACCTGATTGGCATTAGAATTGATGCTCCCATTAGCTATATCAACAGCACTTGTCGAATTCACTTTGGCAGCATCTAGCTTTTTGGCACTTGCCCTCTCACTTGCTGCTCCAGTATCACTTGTACTGCCATGTACCTCATTGTCACGTGAAACTTCCTTCTCTGCAGCAGCATTTCTTGAAAGATCAAGGACACTTGCTCCCTCTGGCGCAATTATTGTGCCATTACCAGTCCCTGACCCTGCGTTGGCAGCACTATCGTTGGCTACAACATCACCATCATCAGGATGGCCATTCTCTGCACCAACTTCAGGGATCAATGCACTGTTGACTGCGTTACCATTGGATAAACTGCATTCTGCATCCCAGTCTTCTGCAGGAATCCTGAACTCCCCCACAAACAGCAGAGGGTCCTTCTTGGTACATATAGGATCAAAATCTCCAAACTGCAAGAGACACTCTGGTCCATGACAGCATGGTGGTTCCCGTTCTGGAGCATCGTTAAATGGCATTATGACACTAGAGCTTGCAACAGGGGCATGAGAGAATAATATTTCACTCTTAGAGCGTTGTACAGCCACAAGTGCACCATCCTTGTCACTTCTGTTGGCCTTGCGGTTTCTGCGGGACATTCTCTCTTGACGAGCAGTGCCACGTCTTTCAAAATCCGTTAAACGAAGGCGTACATCTTTATTACACTCTTCACCGTTCGGTACTGCGGTGATATCTGGTAGATCTTCACCATTCTTCGCAATCTCCAAACTATCTGGCATGGCCAATTGTCCTCGGTCACATACTGGTTCCACAGACATAACCTTTTCATTATCAAGCAGGCCCTTTTCTTGGCTTTCAGGTTTTGGCAAAATCTCTGCTTGCTTTGATGGCAACTGGTAGAGTTCCAATCTACGGACACTTCTTCGTAGAAACTCTCTTCTCTCCAGCTTTCTTTTATAGGCTAACTGGAGATATCTCACTCTTTTGTTGGCAGAGGGGGATACACCTTGGCATGGGGTTTCCTCCTTTTCTTCACGAATCAACTTTTGCATTAGGGCTTTCTCTTTTCTCCGCAGACGTATCTGGGCGCGTATCTTTAGCAGAAGAAGTGACTCGACAAGTGATTCCTTCGATGGAAAAACCTTTCTTAGGTATGGAACTTCCAATTTGGTCTGCCTGGCTTCCAAATAGAATATGTCTCCAAGCACCTCTTTCAGTTCCAGCACCAGTTTTCTTTTCATGCTTTGCTGCAACTCAAAATCTAAAAAAACGAAAAACAAATCTAACTTAAAACGAGCAATCTTTCATAAATCAACAAAAATTCATGATATTGGAGTAATTTCTCATTTCTATACTTGCTCCAAGCATCATCTTACTTATAGCGTTTTATTTAAAATCTGGTAAACAATAGTTGAAGGTAGAGAGGATTTTCACCTTGGGCTGGCATCTTGCTCTCGGCTTGCACCTCCTGTGCTTGAGACACTTTGGCTTTTGTCACTTCCATTAGAACCTGTTTCTGGCCATCTTCAGGAGCATTAGCAGCTTCCATTTTGTGACTCTCTCCCATTAGTGCATCACTGCCATCCGTAGACAGTTCCACACTTGGCTCTTGACTTTGGTTACAGGCATCATTGCTACATATCCACTCTTCACTGCTTGACTTCGAAGACAAATCATCACTAGCAATGGCAGTGTCCTTCTCCTCTCTCAACCTCTGGCTGGCAACCTGCTTTTCAGCCCCTGAAGAGCGTCTTGCAGCAAATTCTCTTAGCTCCTTGTCTTCCAATAAAATGAGCTCGAGCTTACTCACGCTTGCTATCAACCGCTCTCTTCTATGTTCCATCTCACGCAGGTATGCTTCGAAGCTTTCCATAGTGAAGGAGCTGATCAAAGGTTCTATATTTCCCATCAACTCGGTGTCATCGCAACGCACTTTCATCTCTTCATTGCGAATATTCTCCCAAACAGCTTCATCACTTTTTTTGGCAATAGCCTGCTCCAGCTTCCTGACATCAACCATAGATTCCAAAAGCAGCTTTTCAGTGCCAGATCCATTGGCACGCAGAGGTGCTTCTAAAGACTCGAGAGTCGATTCCAGCCATTTGATATCACCCAAAACGTGCTGGAATTTCTGCATTATCCCCTGCAGATCGTCAAGTTTGGATACTGAATCTAAGATCGGAAAATGTTCTTGTTGAATCATTGTTATTTGAAGATTATCAAGAATTTAATTAACTATCGACGGAAACAGCATAACCTCAAAACTCGACCGGTCATTTGAGAGAATTCTGAGTCAATCCTTCATACAACACTTTTTCTATCAGACACAACTTTTTTTCATTTACATACGAAGACAGAGAAATAGTTCTCCGTTCAATAATTGTCTAAGACTTTAGGCCTGTGAAAATACTTGTATGAAACGATACCAATTAAATAAAGCGATACTCGTACAAAAAAGAGAAAAGATTGACAAAAATAAACTTACCACAAAAGCGAACAGACTTCTTTCTTCGAATGTCTTTCTGGCTAGAGAAACTTGAAGAAGAAGTCGAAGGCAGGCGTCTGCCTTCTTCGGCTTCAATGCTCCGCATAGGAACTAGTTCCTCTTCGCGACTTGAGCGCCTCATGGCGTCAATTACACTAGAGATAATTTTTCTAGCGCGAAATTGAAAAAATACTAGATATGCTCTAGTGGGCACGTACGATTTTCCGAAAAAACTCACAAATAATCCTTTCAGCAATCGAACAAGAAACGAATGTGAGGAGATTTGCTATGTATGCAATCAAATACCAGACGAATGATTTATTTGACGTCATAATTGCAATACGCAAGATCAACCGTTGCTGCTTCGCAGCAACTGACTGGCAGGTATTGCCTGTGGGATAACTGCATTTTGTAAGGGCGATTTCATATAACATTATCATCATATTAAGATGCGTGGACGGCCCCATACAGCAATGCTGGTTGTCTACAATCCAAAATAAGACAATGCATCTAAAATAACAGGAATATCCGATCTCTCCCATCATTATCTTACCCTACCAATGCAGTATTCGAAACCTTTTCTTTTCCTTTTCTCTTCATATATCAAGTCTGAAATATAGTATCGAAACGAAAATATTTAAAGCTAAGTATTTTTTAAATAAAAGAGGGTATCTTCTTACAAAGAGAGGGTATTCTAGACCTTGAATAAGGTATCGTAGACCGAAGGTTATGAGACTATTTTTTATAAATGAATTTTTGCGTATTTGCCATTGAAACCAGTAGTATCCCCCCCCCACCCCCAACGTCAATGTTTGTAGTTCGTAATGGAAGCAGATTGTGGAAGCCAGAAAACCTAAAAATCAACATAAACATTGTCATTGGGGGACGGGGGTTGGTTGTTTTTGCCATCAATGACAGTAACAGTAAATGTCTCCTAACTTTTGTCCAGCATTGACGCTTCCCTATCTGGGCTTTTCTAAAGATTAGCTCCAGTAAACAAAAATGGCATCTACCCATTGCATGTGATTTATTTGGGATCTTTAAATCAGTTTATAATTACATAGCTTCCATGGTGCAGTTGAAAATTTCTTGGGAACAAATCTTTCCTTTATGGGGAGGGGGGGCTGGATTGCACAATCGTTTTACTATCGTGGTTAATCATGTAATTGACTGTTTTCAAGGCTAGCTTTTGTATCAGAGGTTCTTTAGAGTCATCAAAACTGCTATTCGTTATGGTTCTAGCAACTCTGTCTTGAAGCTCTTAAAGTTTCGAGTTTTCGTCAATGCCATGATGAAACACGATAGTAGTTTTGTAAAAAACGACACTGTTATAGCAAATGACCAGAAGCTGACAGAGATCTTCGATGTAAACATAGTTGAGAAATCCAGTAGTAAGAAGCTTGTTAACCTCGCTAATGAGACTGGAATTTTCGATGACCGCCAAATTGTTGGATTAATTCTGGACAAGTATAACAGCATCCACCATAGCATCCTAGCTATCATTCAAAAGCATGAACAAGTATCAAACACATTTTCCTTTCATGAAGTCAACAATCAAGAAGTTATGGAACTACTAAAATCCCTGGATGGAAGAAAACCCCTCTACTGGAGATGATCAGATACCGCCGAAGCTCGTATCGCTAGCTTCTAATGAACTCTCAGCCGCATTAACTATGGCAATAAACTGCAGCATACGAAATACTAGATTCCCAGACGATGCAAATAAGGCAGCGGTCTGCTTTGTAAATAAGGGGGAGCCAAATCGTACAGTGGAAAGGAATTTCCGTCTAGTTAGTGTTCTTAACACCTTTTCTAAGATATATGAAAAGATCCTGAAGCAACAACTGATTCAACACTTAGATAACACACTTTCTGTTTTTATTTGGGCCTACAGACGAGCATTTAGCACCCGGTATGTCTTAATACGGCTGATAGAAGACTGGAGGTCTGACCTTGACTACCTTGACTACTTTGTAGAAGCAGTCCTGATGGATCTTTCCAAAGCGTTTGATTGCATTCCACATGACTTGGTAATTGCCAAACTATATGCATATGGTTTCGATGAAGATGCACTTGCCTAACCTATTCGTATCTTAAGCAACGAAAACAAACGTTCGGATAAATAATACATACAGTTCTTTTCTAGAGGTCATATCTGGTGTACCCCAAAGATCTATGCTGGGCCCAATCCTGTTTAATTTTTATATAAACTATTTCTTCCTTTTCATAAAACAGGCAACTATCTATAATTATGCTGATGATAATACTCTCGCTTATTTCTCCAAAAGCATACCCGATCTTGTCAATATTTTGGAAATAGAAACCGGAGTTGCTTTAACCTGGCTAGAACAAAATGAAATGATTTCCAACCCTGAAAAATTCTATGCTTTACTGCTCAGAAAAAACCAAAAAAATACTAGTGGAGAACGGATGAACATTGGAGGTAAAATAATCAAATTTGAGGAGACTGTGAAACTTTTAGGTGAAATTTTGGACTATAGACTTGATTTCGACCGACATATTTCGACTCTTTGCAAAAAAGCTGCAACACAATTAAATGATCTCAAAAGATAAAAGACGTTTATTTTGTTTCAGGAGAAAAAGATCCTAGTTCAGAGTTTTGTATTTTCGAATTTCTATTACTGCCTCTTGGTTTGGTTTGGTACTTTTCATTTCCAAATCATTGCAGAAGATAGAAAAATTAGAAGAACGCGCAGTGGTGGAAATTGAAATTTTTTTCTGGGGGGGGGGGGGGGCAAAGACATTTAATAAACCGACAAAAATTTTGTCAATATTTCTAGCAGCGATTTGGTCGTAAAATTTCAACGGGGGAGGGGGGAGTCTATGAAATTTCTAAGTTGTTCTTTTCATGTAATAATTGCAATATGAACATGGCGAGGTTCGATGTTTTTTCCGATCATGGGTTGAGCAGCCAGGTACATTGACTGTGTTTGAGGGGGGCATCTGAGATCAGAACATTAATACCATGGAAAGAGCCGGGGGAAACTTCATTGCAGGTGAGGAGGCAAAACTTTATATTGCTCAGGGGTTTAGTAAAAGCCGCCACCATGGCGGCGAGAAAAATTTTGAGATATGGCCTTCTAAGAATGGCAAGAAATACATCCAAAATATTTATGGCATCGATAAGGAAGAAACTTCTTTTTAATAATAATGACCCATTGCCAATGGTTGGGTTTTGAATTGAAACAATTTCTCTCGAGTTAACAAAACAGAGGCGACTTTATCAGCTAATGAATAATGCTACTAAAAATGTCATGTAGAACTGTTATTCAGTGGACTTGGAAAGTATTCATAGTTTGCAGATATAGCAGAAATCAATTTTGAAATAAACGCATTTTAAGAACACCAGAGCCTAAAATAATCCAAAAAATAAGAGCATCCAATGTTGAAAATATTGTATTGTTCTTATAAACAAGAGTGCAGTGCATGAAATACTAAAATTAGACAAGATAGAGTCAAATAATAGCAACCGGTTGTTGAATCAGGCATTTCTAAATGCGACAAAAAACCAACTGTCTATACAGAACTGCAACTGAAGGTACTCAGTAAAAAATCATACAAGAATTTTCTATCTGTATATGTCAAACTTTGTGTACATTTTCATGCATAGAAAGCATGCAATACCTTTAAATCTGTCAGTTGCTTTTCTTTTCCATTCCTGGTTTAGCCGTCAATGGCTGACCTTTAGCGAAGTAACAATTCTTCACAGATTTCTTTGCATTATATGATTCTTGGCTGCATCCAAGCACAGACAATCAAGGGGGGGGGGCTGCGCCCCCCTGAGCTCCCAACCACTACATCAATGGTCAAAAAGTCTAACTAAGGGGCTACCATGCCTAACAATTTTGTAAATGAAATAAAAATATCTTATTTTCCGACATAAATTTTGGCCAGTATCAAAAGTTCCTTATGCTTACATTCAGTACAAATTAGCATTCCCTGTGTCTTTGGTGAGAGTTTTAGCCAAGTATCCACACCCCGACGGATATCATTGATAGCCTCATTCAGTTTCTTTGTATCCTTAGATCTTAAGGACAGAATAGTACCATCAGCATACATTTGCGTGGTTTAGTTTCTAACTGCGCAGCGGAGATCACTGAAATGGAGAAAGAAAAGGGGAGGCTCAAGACACGAGCCTTGTTGAACACCAACGTTTTTTCTTCGTTCTAAGTTTTCTGTTAGGCCGATTGGACTGGAGCCAAAAGAGATTACTGTTTACAACCCCACACTATGACACTGAGCTGATCATACAGACATTGTCGATACTACTGTACCATCAGTCATCAGTTGTTTTGTGCAGTAAGTCAAAGCGGAGAATAAAAATCGAAAGCTTCTCTAACCGCTCGAAAGAAGCCCAATTGAGCCTAAATATTTGTAAAGTTGGTTGAATACAAGCCTTTAAAATAACTTTGAAAAAGATAATGCATGATAAGCAAAACATTACTATAGGGCATCAGTTATAGCACCAAGGAAACGTTTTGGTGGCATGATGATGAGCCCACAGGTAAAACTGACACTGTACCAATCCCTACCATACCCGAACTACTGTCGGTTCAGGCCGTTATCGAGGCACAAACATAACTGGTATCCTTAACTACATCATAGACTTAAAGTATTAGCAGTTTGTTTTCCCATATTCTTCAGCTGTACCGTTCGTCTGGTACAGACCTGCAAAGATTTTGGTACACTTTTGCCATTTCTGATATCAATAGGACTTTAATGTATGGCCCTCAAACGTCTCCCAGTGATAGTAGTTATGAAGACCTTCAATTTGAGCAATGTCCCATTACTTCCTCGCTTATTGTTCAATTGTAATGGAAAAATAAACTTTGGCACCTTTTCGACTCTATTGAGCATATATAACTCTGAACAAAGATGCGGTTCTCCAATGGAAATTAAATTCATTTGTTAAACCATTAATAGGGTAAAACTAACGCCTGTCTAGCTATTTGTACCTTTTTGTGATCTCAAAGCTGCCAAAGGGACCGAAAATGTGCAAGAATGGCACTGGTTTGGTTTCGTCTGCCTGAGAAACAAATCTTAATACATCTCACAGTTAGGAAGGTATTCAGTAGAAACCTGTTTTCAAAAATCTTGGCACGTCTCTTCTTTAAATTTACTTACTTACTTAGTCACTTTACTTACTTACTTACTTAGTCACTTTACATTACTTAGTCAAACACATTTGGTCTCAGATTTTTATAAGTGAATGATCTCTCGGATCAACAATGAATAAAAAATATTTTTGTGCCCCTTGGCTGAAATTTCTATTTTTTGAGTTTTGAAAATACAAACCTTTTAAAAATACCATTTCCATAACGATACTTTTCGTAACATTATTGGTGGGATATATGGTATCGCCCAAAAACGGTTGCTTATACAAGATATTTTAAAATACCAGAGTTTTGCTACTGTTTCTTGTGGGATTTACCATTGAACTTTCGCTTAGAAAAAGGGGAAACATCATCTAACTGCCTATAGAAATAATGATAGGGAATGAAAAAGAAAAGAGTCAATTGGAACACATCAAAATAAACATTAACACAAATCATAACTAAATAATTACAGCAATCATGACTATTCATAATGTCCTCAAAATTGAATGAATCAGCCATGAAATCTTTGCCATAACATTAAGGTGGCTTTAGATCAGGATTGGTGATGTCCTTGTCTGGAACTGCTGGCAAAACATGTGGCTCGTTGTTTGTGATTTCATTCTCTTCTACGTGATCAGCCCAGCTTGCAATTCTTGGCAGCTCACAATGTTGCAGGTCTGCCAACTCCGCATCAGCAGAGGCTAGGCCATTAATTTCAGTTTCCTCGTTGGCAGCAACGGGAGACAACAGCCGTTTTGATACCTGATTGGCATTAGAAATGATGCTCTCATTAGCTATATCAACAGCACTTGTCGAATTCACTTTGGCAGCATCCAGCCTTTTGGCACTTGCCCTCTCATTTGCTGCTCTAGTATTACTTGTACTGCCATGTACCTCATTGTCACGTGAAACTTCCTTCTCTGCAGCAGCATTTCTTGAAAGATCAAGGACACTTGTTCCCTCTGGCGCAAATATTGTGCCATTACCAGTCCCTGACCCTGCGTTGGCAGCACTATCGTTGGCTACAACATCACCATTATCAGAATGGCCATTCTCTGCACCAACTTCAGGGATCAATGCACTGCTGACTGCGTTACCATTGGATAAACTGCATTCTGCATCCCAGTCTTCTGCAGGAATCCTGAATTCCCCCACAAACAGCAGAGGGTCCTTCTTGGTACATATAGGATCAAAATCTCCAAACTGCAAGAGACACTCTGGTCCATGAGAGCACGGTGGTTCCCGTTCTGGAGCATCATTCAATGGCATCATAACACTAGAGCTTGCAACAGGGGCATCAGAGAATAGGCTTTCACTCTTAGAGCGTGGTACAGCCGCAGGTGCACCATCCTTGTCACTTCTGTTGGCCTTGCGGTTTCTGCGGGACATTCTCTCTTGACGAGCAGTGCCACGTCTTTCAAAATCCGTCAAACGAAGGCATACATCTTTATTACACTCTTCACCCTTTGGTACTGCGGAGATATCTAGTAGATCTTCACCATTCTTCGCAGTCTCCAAACTATCTGGCATGGCCAACTGTCCTGGGTCACATACTGGTTCCACAGACATAGCCTTTTCATTATCAAGCAGGCCCTTCTCTTGGCTTTCAGGTGTTGGCAAAATCTCTGCTTGTTTTGATGGCAACTGGAGGAGTTCCAATCTACGGACACTTCTTCGTAGATACTCTCTTCTCTCCAGCTTTCTTTTATAGGCTAACTGGAGATATCTCACTCTTTTATTGGCAGAGGGGGATACACCTTGGCATGGGGTTTCCTCCTTTTCTTCACGAATCATCTTTTGCATCAGGGCTTTCTCTTTTCTCCGCAGACGCATCTGAGCGCGTATCTTTAGCAGAAGAAGTGACTCAACAAGTGATTCCTTCGATGGAAAAACCTTTCTTAGGTATGGAACTTCCAATTTGGTCTGCCTGGCTTCCAAATAGAATATGTCTCCAAGCACCTCTTTCAGTTCCAGCACCAGTTTTCTTTTCATGCTTTGCTGCAACTCAAAATCTAAAAAAAGAGAGACAAATCTAACTTAAAACGAGCAATCTTTCATAAATCAACAAAAATTCATGATATTGGAGTAATTTCTCATTTCTATCCTTGCTCCAAGCATCATCTTACTTAAAGCATTTTATCTAAAATCTGGTAAACAATAGTTGAAGGTAGAGAGGATTTTCACCTTGGGCTGGCATCTTGCTTTCGGCTTGCACCTCCCGGGCTTGAGACACTTTGGATTTTGTCACTTCCATTAGAACCTGTTTCTGGCCATCTTCAGGAGCATTAGCAGCTTCCATTTTGTGACTCTCTCCCATTAGTGCATCACTGCCATCCGTAAACAGCTTGACTTCACTGCTTGACTTCGAAGACAAATCATCACTAGCAATGGCAGTGTCCTTCTCCTCTCTCAACCTCTGGCTGGCAACCTGCTTTTCAGCCCCTGAAGAGCGTCTTGCAGCAAATTCTCTTAGCTCCTTGTCTTCCAATAAAATGAGCTCGAGCTTACTCACGCTTGCTATCAACCGCTCTCTTCTATGTTCCATCTCACGCAGGTATGCTTCGAAGCTTTCCATGGTGAAGGAGCTGATCAAAGGTTCTATATTTCCCATCAACTCGGTGTCATCGCAACGCATTTTCATCTCTTCATTGCGAATATTCTCCCAAACAGCTTCATTACTTTTCTTGGCAATAGCCTGCTCCAGCTTCCTGACATCAACCATAGATTCCAAAAGCAGCTTTTCAGTGCCAGATCCATTGGCACGCAGAGGTGCTTCTAAAGACTCGAGAGTCGATTCCAGCCATTTGATATCACCCAAAACGTGCTGGAATTTCTGCATTATCCCCTGCAGATCGTCAAGCTTGGATACTGAATCTAAGATCAGAAAATGTTCTTGTTAGATCATTGTTATTTGAAGAATATCAAGAATTTAATGTACAACCGACGGAAACAGCATAACCTTAAAAGTCGACCGGTCATTTGAGAGAATTCTGAGTAAATCATTCATTTAATACTTTATTTACCAAATAGGTTTTAATTTTTCATACGAAGACAAAGTAACATTTCTCCGCTCAATAACTGTTTTCTTAACACTTTATTTAAATCTGGAACTTTAGGCCTGTGAAAATACTTGCATCAAAGGAAATCAAACAAGTAAAACGATATTCTTGCAAAAAGGAGATACGATTGACAAAAATAAACTTACCACAAAAGCGAACAGACTTCTTTCTTCGAATGTCTTTCTGGCTGAAGAGGCTTAAAGAAGATGCAGAAGGCAAGTGTCCACCATCTTCGGCTTCAATGTTCCGTTGAGGAACTTTTTCCTCTTGGCAACTTGAGCGCCTCATGGCGTCAATCCGACTTGAAACGAACAAAAAATACTAGATATGCTCTAGTGGGCACGTACGATTTTCCGAAAAAACTCACGAATACACCTCACTGTAATCGAACAAGAAACGAATGTGAGGAGATTTGCTATGTATGCAATCAAATACCAGACGAATGATTAATGTGACGTCATAATTGCAATACACAAGATCAGTTAAAGTTGCTTCGCAGCAACTGATTGCAGGGCAATGACAAGGTGAAGACCAACGATATAATTGGGCGAAATTGTAAGGGTGTCTTTCTAGACACAATAAAAAGCAAAATACTGCTTAATTGCTAAAGAAGCGTATATATCGCGAATAAGCAACGATGTGGCCTAATTCAATTTGGCAGCATAGAAATAATATTAAAATTTTACATACACGCAGTTTAAGTCTATAGCATGCAAACTAAGGGATGAAATCAGTCTTCAATCTAGCAACATTTAATGTTAGAGGTTTACGCCAAGAATTTAAAAAAAAAATCTCGCAGATGATTTGGAAAAGTACAAACTTGATGGTTGCTGTTTGCAAGAAACAAAACTACACGAGGGCCTACGATACACCAGCTGTGAAGGCAATGAGATTTTACTTTGAGGGATCGGAGGAGGGATTCAGAGCCTTAAATAAATGGATACAACCTTAAATAAAGATATCACCAGAGCAAGAGCAATGAAAAGGTATTTTCCATTACCGAATATGAAGAACGATGGAGATTTTGAAAAGATACGATCCATAGCAAAGGACCGCAAAGAATGGAGAAGATTATCAGAAGTAGTGTGCAGAGCTGCAGAAGCAGAAACAACATGAAACCTTCATGTCAGGACTGTGCAACTGCAATTATATGATATATTATATATACACGCAGTTCTGAAATGCTTACAGGACAGTTCTAAAATGCTTTCAATGTTTTAGAAGTAACTTTTAGAAGAACTGTCCTGTTCTAAGCACGTACAGCTCAACCTATACGACAGCGAGCCTTATATGAGAGACCGGTAAACAAAAGTTTCCTTAAGATTAACATACATGTAGTTTATGATTAGGAAGCATTTAATCGTGAAAAAATAACCCCAATCGATCGAACGTCTTAAAAAAATCCCAGCAATATATTAAGAATTTTAAGGGACACTTTAAACATGTCTCAAGAAGTATGAACCCAAAGTTGCTTACGAGAAGACGTATTTTAATAAGAAGCTAAGGTCCAGGAATAGTAGGCAGTTTCTTAAATTCTCGGACCATTTTCATGTGTAATATTTCATAGCAAGGGTCAACAGAACTCTCATTTAGAGATATGCAGGCCATCTCTGGAAAGATCGCATGTTCACATCTTGGCACCCGCCTTGTTTCCCCCAAAAACGCGGTTCACATTGTATTTAGTTTCCTAATTAGAAACAAATTTTCTGCCTGTTTGCGGTCCTTGAGTTCTAATTGAGAATGAATGCAATCTGCATGTTAAGGGTAATGTTGCAGCACCGGTGGTATTTAATGTCAAAACTGCTCTGCGTTACTTCAAATTACAACAGCTTCTTGGCTTTTGAAGCTCAGGTAGGGTTGTTCCTTAGCTTTCAAAAATTGAGCCTCAATAAACATTGAGTTATCTCTTTTAAATAGCTCTGTTCCCTTTGTTATGTTTTATTCTATGATAGTTTTCATCCAAGTAACCAAAAGGAATATTCTCTCTCGAGATCTAACTTTGGCTATATTGCTACTAAGTACTAAATAGTATGTAATCACAAGATAATGTAAGATAACGATATCAGACAGACACAGCAAAATAAATTGGGGTAAAAAACAAGCCCAACATACCTTCTTTGCCTATTTCAGTTGTTTTAGAAACTTCTTCCAAAGTTTCAGAAAGTTTTTTAACAAAAATCTGCAGATTTTGAAAGGGCTCGGAAAGTGGAGCACCTTCTGTGAGCGGAGGTAGACTAGGAATGGAAAATGTTGGTATCTTTCCTCTTCCTTCTGAAGATTCAAAGCCATCTGCAAAAGAATTATTAAAACTGATGAAATAAAGTAAACATGGTTTATCTCTTATCAATACGTTTATATCTGCATTTTAAAGCAAACTGACCAGCCTTGAATAGAGGAACAAAATTTACCATTGCAATATTTTTGACTGCTGCTAATTAGGCCCCCATCTTGGAATAAGCCCCCTCCCTGAAATAAGCCTCCACCCCAAAATGGATTTTTCCAAAATAGCCCCCCCCCCTCCAGGGTACAGTAAGCCACTGCCAAATACTTATGGTACAAGCATTTTTATCATCAGTGAGCATAAAAGTACATAATAAAATAATGCATTATATAAGCTGAGTATTAATTGCTGGGTAACACAATATCTGAGTGGTCTAAGATAACATTGCTGCAAATAGATTAGGGATTAATTCAAGGGTTTTTTGGACGACCATGGCTGAGCTAAATGTGACAACAAGCCCATAATTTTGTCTATAACCCTAGATAATATACACAGGGCTGTCACGAGGCAAGGCTTGTTGGGGGAGGGGGGGATTTACCTGATTGAAAAGTCATTGCCTGAAATTTTTAGAATTTATTGATTTTGAGCCCAGAACCTAAAAGAGCATCATAAAATACCTCTAAATATGCAAATTCAGTTAAAGGCATTACGAATTAGCTGAGATATGGCCACTTGAGCACAGGCTTTTGCCCCATCAAACCTCTGAAATTTGGCCTTGGTTTTTTTAACTTTATGAACCAGGCCAGAATAACAGTAATCCGTTAGCAAACATCAAACCTTCTACTGGCCATATTTCACCAAATTTTGAGCATATCTAACTGATTTTGCATTTTGAGGGGTACTTCATGCTGTCTTTCAGATTATGTGGTCAAATTTAAGAAATCCTAAAAAAGATTTTTGAAGAGGTCACACACTTCAGTACTTTATTGAGATACTATTAGGGTTTGATCCCCCCCCCCTGCACACACACACAGTCACCCTGTTCACGATGCCCCTGAATATCAAGGATTTTGCTGCTGTTGGGTATTCCAGTATAACCTTACAACTATATGTACGTTGTTCAACTGAAATTTTGTTTTTGAATGACAGTTTGTATACGTTTTTTTATAAGAACCAGAAAATTTAAGTGCAGGCTGACGGTTCTTAATTTTTTCTGAAAATCTGAGGCTGAATTTTTCTTAATTTGTTCTTAATCTAATAGAGTGTAAGCAGTATGATTGCTAACTTTTTCACTCTAAGGAGGTGTTTAGGCCTCATTTGCCAACAAAGTGAGTGAGACAACCTTCATTTGCTGACAAGTTTGAATATTTCCCGAAAAAGCACCCACACATGGCCAAAATACTCATTTTTGAGATAAAACATTGTTCCAAATTGCATTTTGCAGATGCTCAGTCTTAGCTTGTTCTTAATTTGTTCTTAACCAATTTTGAGGCTCGTGTTCTTATAACATTGTTTTTATAAAAGAAAATAGCGTATTTGAGAATTTTCTTCCTCTGTTTTCATTGTTTTTGGTTGTTTCTGCAACAGCATGGAATATATCAGCAAGCATAACCACAAAACATTTAGTGTTCAAGCTGCATGAAAAGTCAATGCACACCATTCAAACGGACAAGCACGTAATTTTGTCGATGAGGCATGTCCGTACCTGTAGGCATGTTAAATTAATGCCTGACATAGATACAATAAATAAAGAACAAATAGATCCTACAATTGTGCAGCACTTATGGACATTGCTCAAACATTTGCAAAAGTTTCAAGCAAAAATTTTTAAAACAAATTTAGCATTAAAACCTGTAAATTTAAGGCTTTGGGCACAGGAAACACATTGAAAACGGCGGTCTCGTTGCAGTGTAAATCTTGCAGTGTAAAATTTAACATTTTTTTCTGGAATGGTTGTTCTCTCAAATTATCTTTAGTCAATAATTGTTGAAATCACCTTAATACCTAAACTCCTGCAGCCAAGAAAAACTTATTCGATAGAAAATTGAATACCTATCAATAAACTGCCTGAAGCTTCCTCTGCAATAGGCCAGGCCCCTTGGCTTTCATCATCTTCTTCTTCGTCATCACTGTCTTCCCAGCCGCCATCTTCTGCAAAATTACTCGTCGAAGGAGATGGGGCGAGGTCAAATTCATCAAGGGAGCCGTACTTTGTTCCAAGAACTTTGAATGATTGTCCAAAATTTTGGGCACTGTCTTGAGGTCCTGTTTGTACCTGGGACTCATTCGATCTAACAAGAGTTGACGTGGTTTGTGAAATCTCAAATCCAGTCGATCCGGCTGAATTCGATGGCAATGTGGAAGAGAGGGTTGGACCACGAATAGAAACTGCTGCTTGTTGTGCAGATGTCGCCCCATCAAGCCATTCTGAGAAAGATATTTTCCCTTGTAAATATTCTAGCAGTCGTTTGTCCATCTCCGATCATTGTCAGCCATGTGAAAATTTGAAGATGTTGCTGTAATTGTTATTGTTGTTGTTGTTGAGTCAATTTTCGATACAAGATGAGGGGAGTTGAGAGGATTGTGAACCAATGACGTAACACCAATGGTCCTTCGATATTTTGCTAAATGTTTAGTCATCCTTCGAGATCTTTTTCTCGGATCAAAATATAATCTGATTAATGAAAAATAACCCTTGTTTCTCTGATTTATCTTCTCAAAACACCGCCTTTTGAAAGAATCTATGTTCCAGATTTTGCAAAACGTAGCTCCCTTTTCAGCGAAATCCTAGATGATCGCGAGGATCGCGAATTTCCTATTTGCAGCCGCAGAGCACAGATTCTAACAGGATACTACTGCAGCATTACACTCTTCATTGACACTGTTTGCTGACCTTGCTTTTATTCATAAAAGGAATTATTATATTGTCCTTCAATTATGGTAAATAACGGAAGCAAATTATGCCAATGCTTTCAGTATCTTGAAAAGTCTGCTTTAAACAATAAACTTGGAGACATTTTAATGGTCATACGGGTGTCGAGAAAAAATAAGGTCATACGTCTTACACCCTGAAAATCATTTTGACAACAAAAACGCTGGACAGGTACGTCAAAATCATTAAAGTTGTACAGCATTGGAGATCTTGTATCAAAGCTTCTGGTTGATGTACATAAAATCATATTCTGACAATATCAGCATCTTGAACTAACTAAGTAGGTGTAATTTTCACTGCCTATAAGAATATTCAGGCTCAGAATCATCAAATTTTCATGAAGACTTCCGAAACTTCCACAGCTCAGCACATATGCTTGTATTTCATTATTTAGCAGTTGCCTGATTGGGCTAAAAACGTAAAGGGACTTCGTAAGCCAGGGTTACGTAAGTCTATTGGATCCCCAAACGGAACTCGCATGATAACAGACAAATTTCGTTTTTATTTTCAAAAAGCGTAGTTTCTATTCGTGGGCGGGCGATTTCCCGCTTAAACCATACACATTGAAAAAAAAATATGGTATAGGAATAAAATCTGGCTCAAAACGATATTTTTTAAAAAAATATCGATGCTGCATGGAATTTGTAGTATTCTTTTAAAAATAAGTGCAAAATTGAAGTTGGCATTAGCATCAATTCTCATATCATGCAAAAAGCATTTGTCCAAAAATTTTTATCAAAATATGTTGAAAATGAATTTAAAAGTATTTTTTCCGAAACTTTTCCGCCTTAAAGCTTTAGATTTTATAATATGGTTTCCTAACTTACCGATCTCAATATGACTGAATTTAGAAAGCAACTTTTCCCTCTTTGATCATAGCCTCGTTTCGATTCAGCTAACACCGTCCAAGCCGCCATTTTCTTTTAGGCCTAAATCGAGTCGACGGGAGTTTTAGTTCAAGAAAAAACACATCAAACACTCGAAATGGCTGATGTTAGAGACATTCTCGAAATTGAGGGCTCACCTCAAACGCCAACGTCTAAAAATACAATCATACATGGAAACAAACAGGTATATCCAAGTCCTTTTATTTGTGTTAAACGAATGGCGGGGGAGGGGGGTGTTATTATATTACACAAAAACTAAGCTAAACAACATACTAAGAATACTAAATATAACCATCCAAATTGAAAATTCCCTTGATAATCGCAACAGTTTTCCTGATAAATTTAGTAATAACTGAGAATGAGGATCAAGTTCATCTCATCTTATCTGAGTTGTAAAGTTTTTTTAGAGGATAGCGTTGTGTAATATGTCTGTATTGTAAATGAATTGGTTTATAAAAAAATACTTAAACAAATCAGACAGAGGTAATTATAGACCAGTTACATTGACATTAACCGGATAAAGCTTCTTACTTTTGTAATCAGTTTCAATCTAATTGTAACAACATAGAACAATAAAGTCCAGCATTAAGTCAATCATGGATATCAAGAAATGTAATGCAAATATTATAGCCAAAATGAAGGACTCTAATGGTAATATAACATCTGACCCAGCTGTAATTGCAAATATCTTCAATACGTTTTTTGTTGATGTCTCTCACAATGTTACCAAATCAATACCAAGATCTCAAAAATCACCTATATGTTTTATGGGTAAAAGAATCAATAAATCATTGTTTATTTCCCCATATGTCTCTTTTGAAATATCTGATATAATCAATCTGCTAAAATAAGGCAAATCTGGAGGCCCAAACAGTATTCCAACAAAATTTTTTAAATTTTATGCCCATTAATATCCTAATTTCAGTGTGGCATTTTCCCTGACAAAATGAAACTAGCTAAAGTTTTTCCCCTGTTCAAGAAAGGTTGTTCTGCTACAACCTCTAATTATAGACCAATATCCCTTTTGTCAGTCTTTAGCAAGATTACAGAAAAAGTACTGTATAAACGTCTGTATAACTTCTTAGAGCAACACAATGTTCTGTATTCACTTCAATTTGGTTTTCGTGCCAGCCATTCTAACCATGCACATTAGTATGACAGAGAATATAAAGGGAAGTCTAGACAATAGAAAATATAGATGTGGGATTTTTCATGATCTGCAAAAAGTATTTGATACTGCAAATTATGAAATTCTTTTGGGAAAACTTGAACATTGCGGAATACATGACCACGCTTTTAACTAGTCTAGATCCTACCTTACTGATAGAAAAATGATATCTTTGTTTATGGTTTTGGTTCCAATCTACTTAGTTTCACATATGGGGTGCTATGTCCTTGGTCCTTTACTATTCTTTATTTCGATAAATGATTTTCCTAATTCATCTCCAAAACTTTTTTTTTATCTCTTTGCTGATGACACTAATATATATTATGAAGCTGATAAATTTTGTGAACTTGAAAAAGTTGTCAATAAAGAACTGGTCATATTTGAATAGAGACATGAATGATACAGCTTTTGAAAGCACTTGTTTGACCTCATTTAGAATATGCAAACTCTGTTTGGTCACCATTCTATCAGAAGGATGTTGCAGTTATTGAAAATGTACAGAGAAGGGGAACTAAGCTTATTATGGATCTAAAAGATATCCCATATGAAGAAAGACTTAGCTCTTCGAACTTACCCAGCCCTGTATACTTTCTTCTATGGGGTGAACATATAGATACATGCACAAGATGTACAATGTAGAAAGCCAAGAATGTCAGGCATAACAAGGTGATATGGTTTAAAGTTATCAAAACAGAGATTCAATCTGGTTGCTAGGAAACAATTCTTTAGTAACAGAGTCAACAATCATTGGAACAATTTGCCTGAGAAGATTGTAAATGCTCCTAGTATAGACAGCTTCGTGAATCAATTAGACAAGAACTATAAAACCAAAGTGCTCTGCACAGACTTTAAAAGGTGTCTCATCAACACAAAAACTGATATTTATAACACAGATCATAGACAGTTAAGGTCTCCTTGGTTCAAATGATTGACCTATAAGGCTTTTTTCAGTAACTAGTACTAATGTCAAACACAAGTTGACCAATGGGCCCATTGACCCACTTGACCAATGAGCTTTGAGCCTATGCAAAGGTCTTATAAGTATAAGTATAAGAATCATCAGTAAACAGAATTGAAGAGAGCTCCCCTCCCATTTGAATACTACAAATCCGTCTGATCTGAAATGAATTAGATTTGAAAAATATTGGAATGAAGTATCATCTTTGTTTTGAAGGCTGAGAACAAAATTTCATTTTAAAGTTAGTTCTACCATCAGTATGTTCTTCTCAAAGAATATTTTCATTGCATTTCTGATTGAAAACTCTGTCTATCCATAAGTTCAAATTTTAATTAGGTCTTTCAAAAATTTAGATCTTTTACAGAAGCAACACATCAAAGAAAAATAGTCCTTCACCAAATATGTGTGTATCCTTTAAGGTTAAGCTTCAAGTATGGAAACTTTTTTTCTAACACAGACAAGTTTGTTTTGAAAATAAGAAACTGTGTGCTTAGAATCATGCACATTGCTGTGACAATTGCAGAATTTCACTTCTCTCTGAGGGATTTGTGTTTAGATATCCAAAAGCACTCTGATGGGGAATTTTTTGTGCACGGGCAATTTATTGTGGGTGTGCAGCAAAGTTTCTAATCTGGTTTAGGTAGATACAGTAGTGTAGCCAGGATGGTAAGATCAGGGGGAAAAGGCAAGCTGAGCAAGAGAAAAATTAGGGTCCACGCCATTTAGAATGCCAGACAATGCCCTTTTTCAAAGAAATGGTTGGCCATTGGGGTGGGTCTGCCCATATTGGTACTTTATCAAGGGCTTATCTTTTATTTAAGCTTTTGTATTTCTTTCAACAGAAACGACTCAGAAGGACCACTGACACAGTATTTAAAAGACCAGAGGGTATGCACAGAGAACTCTATGCTCTTCTTTACAGTGACCAGAGGTAAATTCAGCAAATGGTTATCATAGAGTTTAGTACAATGTAAATCTATGCTTACTGATAATGTTCCTGATCCTCCCTCATAGTGTGACTAAACCTTGTGATTTTAATGCCTAGAATAGTGATTTTCCTTGAAATGAATATTTGGTTATGGCTGAACTTGAATCTCAGCTACCGATCTGTAGTCTGAACTCTTAACCAGTGAACTAACCTATCACCTGCACCATTAAAATTTGTAGCAACATTAAACCGTCATTATTTAAAATATGACTCTTAATAATAACTAATTACAAATCATATCTGTGCTGAGAGAGTTTAACAATGCTTTCCAAAAATTGATTAATGTAAGTATAGAAGTTTTTATGCATTTTATTATCAAGCATTTCAGGATTATTGCTTTAGGCTTGCCCCTAGGCTGTGCAATGCTCTCTGTGGCTCTGGATGCAGCACATCCTTGTGGATTTTTTTTAGAAATCGGCAAGATTTGTGTAATTTTTCTTTACCAGAAAAAAATGTGTTTCATTTATTTTGTGTACATTTTCCTGATCTCGACGTGATGTACAGATCTGTCTGGAAGATTCCTTCTTAAAAGCTCAGAACGGAAACATGTGCTCCATTGAAATTATCAAATGTAGTTTGCTAAATTATGAATGGTATATCATGATAGGGACCCATCATCTATGACTCCATCTGATACTGGAAGGGGATACAAGCAAGTAAAAGCAAAAATCGGAAGAAGTAAGGTTCGGTCATGGCAGTGGGAAGCTTTTAAAAATCCATCAAGAAAAGATGACTTGGAAATGCATCATTGGAGAAGAAAAAATGATGAGGGAAAGGCATATCCATTCGCAAAATTTAATAAGGTTTGTTACGTTGTCTGTGATTCATAGTCTTTACTATTAATCTGAAGCTTAGTACATCGTTTTCATTACTGTAGTCACTTTCCTCTTTATTATGAATCATCTTTATATTTACGAATTCTTATACTTTTTTCAAGAACTGAACGTTTTCCTGGATCTTTACAGTACAAGCGTTGTTTTTATGGCCCATCTTAAGCTGGATTATTTTATACATATCTCCCTCATACCTGTTGCTCATTATCACCTTTACACCTTTCCTAGCACCTGTGACTACCAAGAAAGAGTTAAGATTTTCAAATTGTCTTACCTATTGTAATAAGATTTTCTTCATCAATTTTAATTGTCATTTTTGCTATTTCTTCATGAAAAACCATAATGATACCTACCAAGGGTGGCCAATTTGGTCTCCTGCACACCTGGGTCGACCAGTTTTTATCTGTGGTGGGCCTCTTTTCATTACACAGGGTAACTGCTCGGCAACCAAATTTTTTACTTGAAATGCCCAACCCTGTCGCCAGAGTTCTTTTTTGGGAGACCACAGGCCATTTGCTGGAGACCAATCAAAAAGCTGCTGGTCTCCCAATGGTGGACCACCTTTTAACCAGATTTGTCCACCCCTGACCTAGGGACCAATCCTTAAAGAAAGTTAAAAAGGGTTGTTTTTTAGCTTAACCAAAAAAAATTTTCACTTTTTTGTTTCATTGTCGGATGGACATTTTTAATTTTTGAAAATCTTCTCAACTCAGGTTGTTGAAATACCAAGCTATACTGATGAAGAATATAAGGTATATTGTTTCATTTCTATCATAATTGTTAACCAAACTTTCGTTTTTTATCTACCTTCCACTTTGTAACACTGCTGATGTAACTTCTAGGAAAGATTTCGAATGCCTAAAGAGTCAATTCAACCAACTCAATTTGATTATTCTTGTTCTTTTTTAGTTGTATCTTGAAGATAAGAAAAACAGTTGGACAAAAGACGAGACTGATCATCTCTTAGATTTATGCAGGTAATTCTGTCATTTTTTTTATTATTATCATGCAAGGCCAAACTCTAGGGTGGGAAAGAAATGTAGACTACTTTGTGTATGTTTTTGATCCCTTTCAACGCTCTATGGAGACAATAAAAAGTTATGTCCAAATTTAAAAATTGGCTTAACTGGAAGACATTGCTCTTGTTGGCTAGCTCTCGCCACTTAGTTATTTGTAACGTTTTTTATCGTCTGCTTAGTGATTTTTGGACAAGAAAATTTGCAGATGGTACGAAATACTAGGAATGTAGTACAATAAAATATTCCATCAAATAAGTTCTTGGAACCGCAGAATTTTAAGATTGCACGAAATAGCGGAAACATGGCATGCTTAATTAGTGTTGGTGTGGCAATGTTCTGAGTATAAACGTCGGAACGTGACCAAAAGTAAGCATAAAGCCAAATCCGATTGAGGATTGAAGATGTGATCTAAAACTGCAAACTGTAGTGGTTGATTCAATGGAAGGCTGATCTGTATAACTGCAAATTTAAACATTGTCAAGAAAGGCTGGAAGCAGAACTCAAAAACACCTCAAAAAAACAAATTACTTAAGCCTTTTGTATTTTTGTGATTCCTAATGCATTGCCAACTACTTTTGTGGATTCTCTGCCTAATGCTTTTAGCATTATATTTAAATATAAGGTATTCTTGCGTATGGTATTATTACTATTATCACCATTGCACACCCTCATAGCACTTTCATTCCACCACTACCACACACGCTCCATCACATCACCCTTCCCTCTTCCACATTCTTACCTGTTTCTTCTACGCTGCGCTGAATTCACACCATTCCACATCAACCAATTCGACACCACCATCGCCTATTTTGAATTTGTACACTCTTTTAATCCGTTCACTTTTGCTCTGTATGCCAGGGCGAAATAATATTCATAGCCAGTCTTCGTCGTTTAATGCGTGCGATCGCACGCGCACGCATCGGCACACGCATGGCACCAATAATGCGAGCGATTGATCGCACGCATGAGTTGTATATTTGACCGTCATTTTTGACCTGCATAACATTGTTTTCTTCAACGAAACATTGGAAGTTTTGTTTTTCATAAGCTGAGCAAAATCTGCTAATTCTTTTAATAGTGCCTATTTCGCTCTGTATCGTGGCTTATCGCTTTGCTTTGTTCTAATTCTCCCGGAAACATGGCGAACGTCAGGTAGTGTCCAAAACTTTTACCTTCCCGTTTTCGCCATTATCAAGGTAAATATCGATAAAATTTCTCAAAAGAAAATGGGCTTTTTTATCATGGATGCGAGAGGCAGGCGACGAATAGACCCGCAAAAAGAAGATCTTCCGACAATCAAGGTTAATATCAATCTAGTGATGTAGATAGGAAAATTCATAAAAGGGGCGAGAAATTTAGATTTTCCGACAAAAATTTCCGACAATAAGAGCTTTTATTTTTTTCAAAATTTGTACATAACTTCACGTAAGTCACGTGTCATAAATCATTCTACTCGAAGATTTTTCTTGTCTTTCTTCTGACAAAAGGCATTTTTAAGTTCTATACCTTATTGAAAGAGATTGCCAATCTAATTCAGAACAACAGAAGAGATCACCATATTCAACTTTAAAATATTTTCTCTCAAAATGTAACATTTGGATTTAAATAGAAAACCATGTAAATTTCCGATCAGATCAGAAGTTTTCCGACAAAACAGCAGTTTAGCTGTACAGGGAGCGAGGGGTTTCGCCCCGCCCTTTGACCCCCTTTATCTACGCCACTGTATTAATCAATAATTCTGTATAGTTGTCCTGTAATGTCGAACGTTCTCGGAATGAACACAGTAGAAACACTCAAGTTCTCTGCAAATTGTCCCAGGGCTTCGAGGTGTAGGGGGCCTTATAAAGTAATGGATTCTGTTTTGAAATAAAATTGATTAAAAGTAACAAAATTATGCCTAAAACAGTAAAGCATTTTAAGCGAATGAACGAATTTAAGCTAGTTTAAAGGGCGTGGTCGCAAAAAAATTTTCTGCTCGCTTCGCTCGCAGGGGCCAAATTCTCCGCTTATGCCCCAGGGCCTCCAATTCTCCAGGCGGCCTGCGTGCAAGTTTGGAACGGTGATAAAACGGTTGCGGTTCGCCCTTTCGTTCACGCCAGCACTCTGGAACCGAGTTAATTTTGCTCTGCTATCCGGAATGGTTTCGACCCTGTTACGAAAGAAAACGAATTTTCTACCGTCGCAGTTCCGTTTTTGAACAGGATTGTATAAACGGGGTCCGAAATAGCCTGATTTTTAAGAGTGTGAATCGCACGCATGAAAGAAATAATGCGTGTGGTTTGCCACACGCATGGTGATTTTCTTATGACGAAGACTGCATAGCTAATTAAATTTTAGGCATTAATAATGATTTTAATGTAATTGATCTTACTTCAAAACTTTTGCATATGTAATTTTTTCAGCTGTTCCTTAAACGTTCTGATTGACTCTTTTCCTCTTGATTTTAGGAGATTTGATCTCCGATTTGTGGTTATAAATGATCGATACGACCGAGTCGCCTTCAAGGTAGGTTTCTTTACACTGCGGAAGATACTTTGTACAGTATAGAACTGAACATAAGATTATCAGTTATGAAAAAAAGGCAAGAATACGGAATTTACTATGAAAACTTTGTTTATCTTTAATCGTTAAGCCTATATTTTATGATACCTAAATCATTTTGGCTAACAATAAAATTTGATTCTCATTTCTCAAAATTTTTCAGACGTATAGTTATAATGAAAGGATTATCATATAATTATAATTAAGTTTACATTTAATTTGGTATTTCATTTGTATCATAGCAATGAACATTTGCTCTAAAGGCAGCTAAAATATGCTAAAAGGAGCTTAAACCGCCTTTCAACCAGAATTAGCCAATCAGTGAGTGCGATTCCACTCACACTCTCATTGATTGGCTAATATTGATTGACAGCTGGCTTAAGCTACGTTTGTATCTGTCGATTGCTTTTAAGTTAATTTTTTTCATTAGAGCTAGCAGCATACGATAGAGTTGAACAAACTATAATGGCAAATTGTGTTCTTAGAATAATATTTTTAAGAAAGTGCTCCAGGATTGCAGATCACAACGTTATTGCCTAGGTTGCATTAATCTTTCGTCTGGTTGTTCAAGCTCATGTAATTTCCTATTGGTCCGCAGCAGCCGTTTTCTTTTAATGTCATTTAACCTGTGCCGTTTGTATGTGTTCTTACGTTTAAATGCCAAATTACCCTGTCATCTTAAAAGCTGGTGAAAATGCATTGTTGAGAGTAGGATGAATACGATGATGTCAGAACCCGCACAATGGAATTTCCTGGCATTGACAAGCCTTCGTTTGTCAAATGTTCGCTTCGTCATATATCATGAAACCTTTCTTTGTGATGTGCCTTCATTTTTTGCATAAAACAGAAAGAATAACTCAATATTTGCAGTCTTGAACAAAGTTTACTTTTCTGTAGCAACTTGAAATCATAATGTAGCAACTTGAGATCATCAACTATAAGAAAAATGCGACAGCCTCCCAATGTTGCGACTCTTGCAGACCCATTTATAGGCCATTCGTTTAAACGAGTTGTATTTACCGTGAGTGAAGCGGGTACAAAAGTTTAGCAGGGGGGCTAAGTATGATAGATATTCCCCAAACACTATAGCTTCATTGAGATAGAACTGCCGAAATGGAATCTGAAGGACAAATAAGGTTGCATGGTTAAGGGAGAGGGTGTGATGAGAGGGGGGCTGTGATGAGAGGGGGGCTGTGATGAGAGGGGGGCTGTGATTAGAGGCCTTCCTTGCCCCTATGTCTTCTACATCTAAGGTATTGACTTCAACCTCATTTATTTTATCAGAAAAGATCAATGGAGGAGCTCAAAGGACGGTATTACGATTTGGTTGGAAGGCTTTTCAAGGTACTGCTTTTGGTGTATTTATTGTTTAAAACTTGTGCTTTTATACAAAACGCTGATTGTAGTGAAAGTATCAAATCGATTTTGACATAGAAAATCATAATTAAGTATACAAAAATAACGTGGTATCCTGGCTGAGAAGAAGGGCTTTTTTCATTTATCTTTATGATTCAATAAAGGTGTCACGACTTAGCAAATGTATCAGCAGAATAGGGACAGAAAAAGCAGGCGTAAAACAAACACCTTTCCCCTTCCCTTCCCCTTTTAAAAAAAACTTCGCTATTGAATGCATACTTTTTTAGAACAATTGATAGATCTACTTGTCTAACATTGATTCATGGAGAACGAAGGATTCATATTAACAACGAAAACATAAATTAAAAAAATTGCAAAATTGCAGTTTGTCGCAAAATTTTTGTCAAGGATTGTAGGTAAGGGAATAGCGGCCGCTTATTGGTCAAAAACAATGAACCAATCAAATACGCCATTTTCTCCTCCTGGATTTGAAATTGTTTTTACCTAAAGTCATTTCGGACATTAATATCATGATGAGTGTTGGGCGATCTTCAAATGAAATACTGTTGTGATGATGTTGTGGAGGGGCACAGAAAGGAAGGGACCCCATTTGGGACACTTTTTTGAAAAGGTTTCTTCTTAGGAAAGTGAATTTTTTCAAATTTGTGGACATGTGTCCTTGGTGCATCCCCAATGCATCGTCCCTGGCTCATTCTGTTTAATCTTCTCGTAGGTTCAAGCCCAGCCTGGAAAGGAGCATGATAGTGAACCCCCTGTTTTCGATGCTGAACACGAAGCCAAGCGCAAAGAGCAATTGCTGAAGTTGTATAACAGAACCCCCGAGCAGGTAGACCGCACATCATATCACATCACATCATAACTTGTGCTCAACTTTTGAAACGTCCTCTGTGCTTAAAAGGGCAAGAGAATTAATTCCTGTGTGCTTAAAAGGGAATTAATTCAAATTGGCAAGAGATGATCTAGAATTATCCCTCAACATACAAACAGAGCTAAAGGCATTTTAATTCTCAGTTAGATCTTTTTTATCTTCCAACACTTGTCAATATACCTGGAAATGTCCAAAATACTTTTAAAATCGATGTGATTGACCTAAAATTCGTGAAAAATTTCTTTCGTTCTGGTTGTTCTGGCTGGCTTTTGTTCTGGCTGGTTTCTGAATTTAAGAATTCAAGTGAGTTGGTAGGGAAGTAGCCTCTGCCATATCTCTGCAATTTTTTAATAGATTCAGCTGTGTTCTCATATGCAGCAACATTTATGTTTTTTCTGGTCCTGATTAGAAATATTCTAGAAAAGATTTCAAGACGTAGTTATGTAGCCCTTTTTTGTTATGTAAACCCAAAAAAAGAATCTAAATTCATTGCTCAAATTTATAGGAAAATTTTAGTAGCATTCTCAGGCATCGTGTCTGTAGCCATCACTGCAACAATATAGGTATCTTTTTACTTAAATGGTATTATTTCCATACGCACAGGTAGAAGAGGAGGATATGCTTGTTTCAGAGCAGAAGAAAATAGAATCAAGGAAAAAAGAACGAGAGAAAAAGCAATTGGAATTGAACAAATTGATAACAGCCGCTGAAAAGAAGCCACAGATGTCTGAACACAAAGTTTTCTCGAGCGGGTTCTGTTTCTTTTACTATTTCTTTTAGTGTAATTTCCCTAGTATATGCTTTATTCATTTGACGTATACAAATAAACCTTTTTAGCTGTTTCCTGATGACCGCATTAAGCGTTAACTGCCCGTTTCTTCATACGAAAGCGTGTACAGCTCTGCCTTTATGGTATCGAACGGTAAACAGTAATTTTCATCATAAGCCTTTTGTGTTGGAAAAGCTCCGTTATAAAAACATGAACCCCCCCCTCCCCCCTGAGGCTTGCGAAAGTGAGTTTTCAAGGAGAGCTTTTCATTGTTCTTACCTCAAGATCCTCGGAAGCTGAATTTTGTGATTAATAAAGATGAGTCTTGAGGAAGCTAGTCATTTGGAAAGGAGAGTTTTTCAATGTTTATAAATACAATGTAACTTGACTAACGCAATTAAATAAGCACGCTAATTTAAGTGATATTCAGTAACGCATTTAAAAGTGTACTCTGATTGTTTAGTTTTTGTAGTTATTAATCATTAGTAGTCTCTCTCTTTTCAGCCATCAAAGGTCGAAACCAAGGTTAGCCTCTACATTATATTCAGATATTTTACGTATTTTTTTGCAATCCTTTCACTTTTCTTGCGTTTTGAAATTTAATACTAAGAATATAGGACAAAATGGCATGAAATTGCGGAAACATAACAAAAATCCGGTTTTGGGTAAGCAGAGAGAGTTTGTCTTCTTCTTTCTTCAGCTCTGCGAACGGTAAGCACCTGCTGATTGGATAAAGCAAGGAACCAATCAAAAGAGCAATTTTGCGTCATGTCACTTCAATCCGTTAATGGATGCAAATCTCTGCACAACTTCTGTCAGTTTTCTGTTTCGTACTCTGTGGATTGTCAGACAAAAAATTTACTTAAGCTACACCTGCTTTTCCCAGCCATCTTGACGCTTTGCACTTATTTGATTATATTTTTCCTCTTTTGTTGTTGGTTACTTTTCTTCTTAACGTGGTTTATGGTTTTTGACAGGCGCAAATCATCTTAGCATGTTTTACAAAACTTTTTATAGGAAAGACAAAAAGCAGGGTAAAAAGAAGCAAAAGCGAAAATCGGACCAGCAGGTTTTGGAAGTGAAGCAAAAAACAACAGAGCAACTAGCGGGAATCAGGTTCCCAGAGTCAAAGGGAGCAGGGTCATATCTTCGAAGCTCAAAAGTAAGCATGGTTTTGTTGTTTAATGATAAAAACTGAAAACAGTTGCACAGTATTTTTTTTTAATTAGTATTTTAGCTCACTCGTGCTTTCGTTACAAACGAGAATCTTTACTGGGCTTTCCACACATGTCTTCCATCAAAACATGGCCTCATTTCTCGCAGCCTTTTTTCTTGACTTAGCAAAGCAACATACCTAGAACCTGGCTGTGCCTAACTGAAACAAACGAGCTCGATATCTACAAAACATCCACCATAGCAAGGTCAATCAAGCAACAGACAAGCATAATCAGGCTGTCAAGCCATTTTTCGACGGTCAATATTTGAAGCTTTAATTTTATTTATCTCGTATTTCAGCTCAAAATGCCACAGTCTGTTGGCACCAAGAAAGCAAAGGCCGTCGAGCAATTGCTGGATGGTCTTGGCGTAGGTGAGTCTTTTCCCCAGCTCCCACAAATGCTAGACTTATGAAAGGCAATCGACAAGTGACTGAAACCACCTGTCAATCAACTATTGACCAATAAATAAACGTGTGATTGGTATCGCGCTTTTCGATTTGTCAATTTTGATTTTGACCTCTCTCTAGTATCTGTCTATTGCCTTCAAGTACCTATTGGTTGCCTTTTAAAGGCTGTGTTTCCATGCAGATTTAAGTTGCACTCAGGATCGATAAAACTGCTGATAGAATGCTGACATGAAATTAGCTGTAGTGTGCTTTGATTGGTTTAGACGAAGTTAACTGTACTTAATGTATTCTTGCTAAACTTGTAAATGAAAGGTCGCAACTGAATGCCATATCGAGCAGATAAAACTTTTTTATTTGTTATTTTATTAGTTAGTGTATTTTTGTACTTTTATCGATGACGTATTTGTGATGCCTAAGCCATAACTTCATAACTCTTTTATTTATGTAGTCTTCATGATTGTAAATATACACTTAACGTACAAACATTTAAACAGCCTCAAGCATCTTTTGTTTTAGTCGTAGTATTTAAAGTTTTACACATATGGAATGTGTTCTAATGAAATCAATTCTTCTTTAATAGTGGCGGACACCTGGGGGGCGAGGGGGGCGGTTGGAGAACAATGTCACTTTATTAAAACAATAGACTTGCCGCCCCCCCCCCCAATATTTGACCAAGTGTCTGCCCCTGCTCCTAATGTTCATGCTATTTTGTGTTTTGTTGCAGAACTGTATCCAATGCCTACTGAAAAAATTGTGCTGGAATTCAACGAATTAAGGTATGGAAATTGCTGGTTGTACAAAATTTAAAAATTTTGCCATTTTGTAGACAGAAGGAGTTCGTTTTCACCTTAGGACTAATATTTTCAATAAGCACTGTTGGGCAAACTCAGCAGTCATGTGCTCGCGTTTCTGATTGGCCTGTCATCAAAACCTTTATCATATTTGCTTTAACTTTCGATGGAATTTCAATCCTTCGACTGAAACAGTTTTTCTTAAACATATTTTCAACTATCCTATATATTACCTGGAGTTTTCTTTATTAGAGCTTTAATTCTTATGTTGAACTTCTGCCGCGATATAGTTTCTTCAGAACGTTGCACTTCTAATTTTTTAATTAAAAAACGAATCAGCTTAAGTTTGTAGATCAACTAGTGTGCTGATCGGACAGTGTGCTATCGCATCAATGATGGTTGAAAGAAGTGCATTTTGTACCATGATAGCCAATATATAAGAAGATATTGTTGCAGTCACCTATCAAAACGTGGCTTCACTCTTCCTGTATCCCCCAATTGTTAGTCCATTAACATTACAAGTTGCAGTGACCAGCGATGTTGAATAAATTTGTTTGCTTTTTATTTAATATTCCAGAAACGATCTGCTCCTTCTTTATGAACTGAAGCAAGCTCTAGGGAACTGTGAATTCGAACTGCAGACTTTAAAGTAAGTAAAGACACTACTCTATGTTATACTGCAAACTTTTTTGCTCAAATATCCGAGAGTTGGATTCTATTAGACTCATATCAACAGTATTATGTTTTAGCGGGAAGCTTTATAAGAGAAAATGGAATGCCATCCTTAATTGATCCTTATGCATTAATTTAATTGATAAAATATTTTTTTAGCATTTTCTTTCTTTTTTAAAGTGTGATTTCATATTTCAAGTACTTGCTCGATGATAGATATTTTTCAGCTGGGCATGTTGTGTTGGCCATAATTAATGTCCTCTTGATATGAACTTTTGGTTTGAGACATTTAAAAAACTCTCATCTATTTCTAAACTCTCATCTATTTCTAAAATGGTATTTCTTTAGAGCCTAGTTAGTGTCTTCATACTACTTGCACTGGCACTGTAATTGTTTCGCTTTTCTTTTTAGGCACAAATTTGAGCTGTTAGCTCCTAACAAAGACATAACACCTCTCATTGGTGAGTATAACTACACTTTATTCTGAAACGCTGCAACAAGAATCAACCATAGCAAAGCAATAAAAACGGTGTTGTGGAAACGTAACCAAACATGCATTGGGCTCAGCGTTGGTTAGTTGTAAGCTAGCACTAAGTCACGTGGCATCTCTCGCCGATACGATAGTCATAGCCCAAACATTTGAACACTTTCCAAGCCAAACATACTTTTTTCATGTTTTATCTCTCGGATTTTTTCTGCACGAATTCCTTCTATTTTAGGTTTTTCATTGAGTTCAACAAGCCAGACAGAAGTGCAAGTGAGTCGCTTTGTATCCTTACAACTTATTAGTTTTGATTATCTAATATATACTTTTAAAGTCATCAATATGGTGGCCTAGTTGTTTGCATACATTAGGCATATTTTACGAGAAGAAAAAGTTCTTCGTTCGCCAAAGGTTGATATCACAAGATGTTTTAGGGTGGATTCTGCTTCTTTTTTCATTGGATTTTGTGCAAGAGAATTCCGGTCGACATCGATACGTTAAAGTCGATTGCCAAGAATTCCAGTTTCAAAGTTTTGTTGCTTGGAGGGCCGAAGAACCATTAATGGGCCGTTATTTTAGACTGTCTCTTTCTGCTATGCCTTGCATTTCAAGACTGTGCTGTATTCTGGAAGTATGTTGAAGCAAAGTAATTTTTTCGCCATATTCGCGGCTACCCGCAGAAGTACGCGGTTACCCGCAGAAGTACGCGATCACCCGCAGAAGTACGCGATCACCTACTAGAGAACGCGATCTTTTTGAAGCTGCATAGCAGGAAACATGACTGTTTTAGAAACATCTGTGTATTGGGTTGTGGTAGGTTGGGGACATTTTGTGTATATTAATATAATGCCTAAAGGGCCTAAGCTTAATTTCAAAACTACTGAAAGTTCGTTTCATTTTAGGATGGTAATTCGTCTCTTCTGATTGATGTGGTGGCTGCTGGAAATCTGGTAAACTGTGATGTTTTTCTTATTCATTTTTCTACTTCCAGCTCTTTTTCTAGACCCGTTATTTTATAAGAAGCCATCTATAAGAAACCAAACTCTAAATGACCAAAAAATAATAAACCATAGTATTGATCACTCCCAGCTCTAAAAAACTAGTCAAAAGTCCTTTTTATGGAATTTGGGTTGTAATGATTCTTTTCGACAACTTGGCATCTATTATCTGTAAAATCGACGTAGACAAATATAAAAAAGAGCTCTTTTTGTCTCATATGTTCATGTATTTCATATTATCTTGAATTATGTTATATTATTAAATTATCTTATATTATCTTTAACATTTGGTATCTACGCTACCTTTAAAAACCTTTGAGCACTGAAATCACCAAGAAAAGAAATGAATGCTACGAAACTGAATAAGAAAATAAACACCAACCCGAGTTTCTTATGAAAAAATGACATTTTGCTCATAAATCTCAAAAGATTTTTTTTGTAATTTTTTGCTTCTAGACATTTTTTCCGATCTGTTAGTGATATCTTTGTTCAGATTATGACCTTTCTTTCTTATTTCTTCCAGAGGAAGCGAAGAACTGCAACAACCTTTTTAGAAACCACCCCCTGGAAGAAGTCTCGGAAATAGGATCCTGGTTGAAAGAGTTCTTGAAGAAATTCAAAACAATTATATGCTTGGTATCCAAAAACAAACGATACTCTGTATAGCTTTTGTACATAATCATGATTCAAATTTCAATCTTGATAAAGCATTCTTCTCTGGGGTTGAGAATCCCCCCTTCTGTTCCTTACCGGGATTTTCGTGCACGTTTACCAGGGTTGAGAACCCCCGCTCCTTACCTCCACTCCTTATTTCAAACAAAAACCTACAACTAACTATTTAAAATTCCAGCATGTCCTTGCAGTCACTTTCCACAATAATTTTACTTCATCATAGGTTCACTACCGTGTCTATTATCCTCCCACGTTTATTGAACTTTGGATTTAGCAATGGCTCTGCCATTCATTTCAACTTCCATCCCATTTATTCCCGGCCACAGAGTACGAGAAGTTCTGTATGTTCTGTATTAAGCCATTTTGACTATCATCAAGCCAAATTGGTTCTCAGATCAAACCATATACAAGTCTTATCATTTTTTTTAAAAGCGTTATTTCTTTGTTTCTTGTAGTTTTCTCTTAGGATGTAACTGGCATTTTTAAGCATTTAATGGGTCGATAGTGGCAAAGTGGTGACGCCACAAAGATATATTTTTGGAATGATTGGATTTCGAACATATTGCCCGAAAGATCGCAATGAATTAAAATTAAGTTGATCTGTTACAAAATTGACTGAGATGTGTCCACTTGATTACATCAAACTACTGTAAGTTGGCTCTGGTTCTAAAATTTATTAACAGAACATCTATTGGTTTGAAAAGTAAGAGCATACGACTTGAATTCGGTATCTTGTAAACGGAACCGGGAATGGTTTTTCGATCTAGTGTGTTCCTGCTAGTAATTTTTGTAAGGATTCTTACAGCTAAGTTTCCCCTATCAGACATAGACAAGAATTTTAAAAATGCTTAGAAGTTAACCAGAGTCCTGGGTTCCAAACAGAGAACAACTATCCTACATCGAAGTTGAACACAGTGGTCGACTTTCAATTATTGACAATTGGTGCATCATCCACAAGGCATATTTTAACATATGTACTGGTGGGCCGACGGGCCCACCAGGCCCCACCAATGGCCCACTACTGAACCGAAATTTGTCATATTTGGCCCACCACTAAATGGGCCCTTTTTATCAAATCAAGTGACCAGAACAAAAATAACACAACAACACGATTTACTTTCTCACATTTTGACTTGCTGACAAGGCAACATTCTACACATATCTTTAAATGGCAGTGGAACCTCGTTATTCGACCCCAGAGAGGCAGTGGCTGAATTTCTTAAGCGAAAAACCCGAAGAAACTCTACTCCCGATCCAGAGCTTTTTAGAGACAGAGAATACATGAAAAAATTTTTCAGAACCTCAGCTGGATGTTTGTAAACACAATATGTGAACTTATATTTAAACATAACTATATGATTTAACTGGTGAATGCAGGGCCGTCGCTAGCGGGGGGGGGGGGGTGCGGGGGTGCGGCAGTTTTGTCGGGTTTTACTTTCGAAGTTCTCAATGCGATAGTTTTAGCAAAATGTTTGGATAAGATGAGGATAAGACCGAAAAAAGTATCACCCAAAAACCCTCAGCAATTCAAAATAGGTACAGATGGCGCTATGGGTGTCAAGGAGGGGCAAATGTCCACCAAAAATTTCAAATGACTCCCTGTCGGCAGCCGGGGTCTAGAATCTAATGTCCAATATCCAGGGCGACCTAATTTCTACCTAATGTTTGGGGACAAAGTTTATTGAAAAACTCTGAACGTTGATCCTGGAGGTACAGAAAGCGACTGTAAGCAGGGCTGCCGAGGGGAGCAAGGGGGCAAAGTGCCTCAGGGCCTTGAGGTTGATGGGGCCTCAAGTAGTAATGAACTCCATTTTAAGCATGAAATCAATGAAACGTAGAAGAAGTATGCCTAAAAATAGTTAAAAGATTTAAACGATTGCAAGAAATGATTGCAAGAAATATTCTGAAATGCATTTTAAGACAATCTAAAGGGCGTGATCGCAAAAAAATTCTCGCCTCGTCTTTCGGCTTTCCTTCAAGGCCTTTGAAACCTCTTGGCAGTCCTATTAGTAAGATCTACTCATGCAAACTAAGTACCCACAGTCATTCGAAAATTGAAGCGATGATTGACTAACGAGAACATACTCTTTGATAAACAAAATCAATTGCGTCAAAATACCACACCCCAAAATTGAAATGCCTTAGGCCACGCCCCATTTGTCGACAAATTTGTGACTGGCACCCCCCTTAGTGAAAGTGATTAGCGACGGCCCTGGGTGAATGTACAAGTTAAGAAAGTTAACTTGGTATTAGTCTCATATTCTGCGCTCATCCTACCATCTTATGTAGTGTTTTAGTGGGTAGGCCTGAGTACACACCTGAGTGTGGCCTTGGGATTCAAGTAGAAATTAGGGGGCAAATATTGTTTGGCCACGCCCTTAATGGGCCCCTATGTGACTCTGGCCCACTATTGAGAAATTCTTAAAATATCCATTGATCATCCATATTAAAAGGAAGGCAAATTTATCTGCATTTGACATCGTACGGCTAATCATTTTTTCAACTTTTGCTTGGAGCCACCTTTAAATTTGTTTGCATTTTAGGTTTTGGAGAGTGAAAAAATGAGACAAAAAGATATGTTCCCATCAATAATAGAAGTTCTCTTAAGAAAATCATCAATGGAGCAAAGCCTCTGGCCCCTATTCGTCTATTGAACATGTTTCTTGGCAGTTTTAGCACAAGTTATTCTCCGCATCCTATTCATTTACATAGAGTTATTTGATCAGTTTATTAAGTTTCTGATTTAATAGTAAGATAAGTTAGTGTTTGGAAAATAAGGTCATCATATTTTAAGACGACACCATTTTGTGTTTTCACAATTTTATAATAACAAGAACAGAATCGAACTATTTACAGTAAAACATAATCGGCGTATTTTAGCGAGAGCTTATAACGTGTCCATTTTCAGGAAACAAGTGTGAACAACTGACTCATAATCTTACTTCCGGGTCTGGGCAAGGGTGAAAGGATGTTTCTCCTTCATAACAGTTAGGAATAGACATGTCACTAATGAAGGACAGGCTGGCATCGTATGCAGGATTTATCTTGAGGTCATGTCCTTTGTTCTGTTAACATAGAGACAGGTTAGGATTGGAGTTGAGGAAAATCTGCTTGCATTTCCTTGAGGGAAATTTATGCAAAACGTACTTCTACTCGCATTTTCCTGAGTATCAAAAGTACGTTATGTTTCCCAGAAACGATTTTATGTGATAAGAACGATATATGAAAATGAGCTTGATGTGATTGCATACCGTACTAATTTTTATTGCCACGCCCTTTAAAACATCCGGTGGAGTTTTTGTTGATATTTCTTTGCGTTTGGCTTTTATTCTATTAAAAGAAATTTCTGAACATGCCTGTTTTGATTGTAACATTCCAGATACTTCTGAGCTTGCTACTTGTTATTGTTACGTTTTTGACAGAAAAAAATGTGGCCAAGGCTTGCTTAGTGCACAGAAAAAATGTTCTATGATATGATTTAAAAGAACTTACTTTCAAGAAATAACATAAGATTTGTCGCCGACTGTATCATTAATAGATTTAATACCTGATTGTGCATAGGTTTGTTCATCATCCGAAAGGTTCAACGGAAGTCCTATTTCCTGAACGCTTGACAACATACTAAATGGTGTATGTGCAACACGATATGAAATTTTGACGGCACAGGGTCACTGATCATGACCCAGCGTTATGAACTACACTTGCAAAACCCATTACCTTGTGTAGTCGTTAAATTCATTTCAAGTCAATTGAATTCACTGTTTATTAAAAAAGACATAATTAAACAAGTCGCCATTGATGAAGGATGTAGCTTTAGGTCCTGCATGAAAGAAGACCACAAGGCGACATCACACCCCCCCCCCTGGACTTGCTACAAGTCTCTCTCTTTAAAGAAAGGGAAGAAAGAAAAAATGGGAGGGGACGAGAGAGAGACTTGTAGCAAGTCCAACCCCCCCCCCCTATGGGGGCACTCCCATACTTGAATAGATGGAATATTCCGCGAAACAGGGTATACTTTCCGATTAAGACTATGGGACAGGGACACAAACAATGCGTGTTAGTCACAGTGTAGACCTTTTTCCGTTCAGAATGTTTTTAATCTTTTATTAGACATGGTATGCTTTTGGCATATTTTTTATGGGACATGGTCAGAATGCAAAAATGTTTGGCCATTGACCCTTTGATAGCTACGAGGGGATGAAAGCAGAGAAATACTCAAAAATACTTATATTTGCTGAAAAATGTATAAGCCTGCCGTAGAATAGACACCAGGCCCCGCGTTTATGATGCCGACCGACAATTAATAAAAGAGCATGCGCAATCCGAGGTGGGTCATTTCCACGAGGTACAAAATTTTTCGTTCCTTGTCCCGTGGAGGTCCCTAGCCAAGCCATCAGTGCCGAGAGCGTTGGGAAAATTCTATGAATTAGTTCCTTCGCCAACCATTTTGTTTTAGAAGCAGAGAATCAACTAATAGATAAGGCCAACCATGGGTGACGAAGACTGGGACGATGGGGATGTAAGTATAAACAAAAATATTTGATGTCACTTCCATTTCGGGAACGAACATGCGTGGCCTAAGTGCTACTACTGTTATAGTTTACTTTCAAACTACAAAAGTTTTGGATTATGATTCAAATCTGATAAAAATAGCATTGCCATGACTTAACCTATATTTATTAAATCAGCAATGCGGACATTTGGACAGAGAGCTTGAGGATCCATACCTGCCAAGCAGGCCTACACATCGTCGTGCATATTTTAATCGTTTTGCTTACCAGTTGGATGATGCCATACTTAATGTGGCAGAGCTTTCCCGCCAATTTACTGTTCCATGTGTGACAGTTTACTAAATTTCCAGTTTTGCCCGTTGAGCGTTTCAGAACATGTGTCCATCTAAAAGCTGCATCGATTATTTTACAAAACAGTCAGAACCGAGGATCCGCAACGCCACATTTCATTTAGTTTTCTACATCCTTTTAAAATTTCACGGTTCTCAATTTTTTAACTTCTGTCAGCTTCAAAGTTTACACCTTCAGCCAGCCTGGAGTGTCAAAGCATGCCATCCACATGTGTCGTGCATGTTTGGAAGAACGTAGTGCAATTTGTTGGAATAAAAATATCTGTAGTAATGCGTAGATCGTAGAATTAAGGCTGTGTTAGAAATTATGATGTTTATCAGAAGCTTTGGCAATGATCGTCTGTCAATGTTTCCAGTGCATTGATACCAGATCCTGGATGTTTTAGGTGTGTTATGTATTTATAAGCCTTTGTAATGCAGCCTTGTATCAAATTGCATGAGAAACTACTCGAAGTTAATTGTTCAGAGCAAGGTCAAAAAAGCGAATTTTGATAATAAAAATTCAATTTTTACTACAGTTTAAGTGTTATACCGATGTATTTCTGTCAAAACTCAAAGTCCAACAAAAGTATGCTTGAATGCAGTTTGATCTACCAGGTTCCATTTCTAAAAGTCTAGTTGCAAGTTGATCTAATTAGGTCAATCAGTTATTCTTCTGTGTTTTGTCTATACACTTTCCAGTAGATGTGACCACAATCTTTTCTTCTAGACCTCAGCCACCACATTTAGCTTGGCACCAACCAGTAATGGCAATTCTGATGGCTGGGACAATGGCCAATCTAGCTCCAGTAGCTTAGGTGGAGGTTTTGGCAGAGGGTTTAGTGGTGGCTTTGGAGGAGGCATTGCTGGTGGTAAAGATGCTGATGATGCAGGAACATCTGGTGGGGGCTATGGAGGCTTCGGCCGTGGCAAAAGCTCAGGGGGTTTTGGTGGAGGAAAAGTAGGTGGTTCTTCTGGTGGTTCTGGTTGTCGTATTTGTGGAGAAGATGGTCATTTTGCGAGAGAATGTCCCAATAAGGGTCAGTCATCAGGTGGTGGGGGCTCAGGATGTCATAAATGTGGAGAAGATGGTCATTTTGCGAGAGAATGCCCCAACAAGGGTCAGTCATCAGGTGGTGGGGGCTCAGGATGTCATAAATGTGGAGAAGATGGTCATTTTGCAAGGGAATGCCCAAATAACCAGTCTTCTGGTGGTGGGGGCTCAGGATGTCATAAGTGTGGTGAAGATGGTCACTTTGCAAGAGATTGTCCAAACAAGGGACCTGACACATGCAGAAAGTGTGGTGAAACTGGACATTTTGCTCGAGATTGCACTAATGAAGATGCCAATGGAGTGAATGAAGGTACATAAAGTCTGCCTCATTGAAGGATAAATTCACAATTTGATAATTTATCTTTAGAAAATTAAACTATATACATGTGATGCTGTTTGCAACACATTTAACATTTTTCATGAATTCTGCTGTGTGGACATCTTATTTTGATAGCTTAGGTGAAATGTATTGTAATTCTCTGTCCCTTCTGATGAGTGTGACTCATGTTATCAGAATAAGTCCTGTCCTTCTGACAAGCTCAATATTATTATATTATGTATATACTGATCTAAAGTTACTTTTGAAGAAAAAAGAAGTTGTTCCATTCCTATACATAGATATTAAGTGCTGTTCTCAATTAAGTTCTATACCAATATTCCAATATGATTTAATTTTTTATCTTTCTCAAAGATGGCACCCCGAAGCCAGCTCCTGTGACCTATGTACCACCTGATCCATCAGAAGAGGAGCAAGAAGTGTTTCGAACCATTGCACAAGGACTGAACTTTGACAAATATGACGAAATTCCAGTAGAAGTGACTGGCAATGGGAAAATGCCACAACCTATCAAGACATTTGAACAAGGAAACTTATATGAGGCTTTCTTAGTTAATGTCAGAAGAGCAAAATATTTGAAGCCAACCCCAGTACAGAAGTATGCTATACCCATCATTTATGCTGGCCGTGACTTGATGGCATGTGCACAGACTGGTTCTGGAAAAACAGTAAGTATTATGGTTGTCTTCTATTTGGTGATTTAATCAGAGTGAAGTGTCAAACAGTCCGTCTATACTGTAAGCCTTCTGTTTAATCAGATGATGGCAAACTGTTTGCTCTCAAGTCCTTTGAATATCTCTAGTTCAGGATTGTTTTTTCATATTTGTTGTGTGACACAGAATATCAGATACTTTATAGCCAGTCAAAAACTGTGGTTAACATTTGTTTATTATTGTTGATATAGTTTTGTTTTTATTGCTGTCTTTCATTTCTTATTTGACAATTTTCAGCAGTGGGTGCTCTTCTAGGTGAAACTGCATATATTTCGGCTGCCTTCATCATCAGTTGACGTTTTATTTAACATGAAGAAAATATGGAGCCAGAAGAGTTTAGTTGTGTAAATGTGAATTGAAACTGAATCAACTGAACTATACATATATATATATAATAAAATAGAATATATACTAGAAATGAGACATGTTCTCCGTTACTCCGAGTTTCGTGCTTACGCACTCATCAGACAGACTATCTGTCATCCGATATCTGTCCATCAGATAGTCTGTCTGATGAGTGCGTAAGCACGAAACTCGGAGTAACGGAGAACATGTCTCATTTCTAGTATATATTCTATTTTATTATATCTATTGCTCTGTGCTTTTGCACATCAAGCACTGTCACGTCAGAATAGACAACGCAATCTGGAATACATATATATAAATATATATATATATACTCAATCTGCAGACAGTACTGTTTCGCCCTTTGTGGGCTCGTCAGTGCAGCACAGAGCTTGTCTGAGACACAACCCGAGCTATGCTGTCAGAGCAACAAGGCAGTTTAACGGATTGATTGTGGGACCCTGCCAGAGTGCTCAAACAGCGCATGCGCAGTGAGCTTTGCATAATGCTAGAAGCAGGTCCCCACAGAGTCCCAGACATAGAGTGCTCGACCAAACTAGTGTAAGGGAGCGTAATACTCAATCTGCAGACAGTACTGTTTCGCCCTTTGTGGGCTCGTCAGTGCAGCACAGAGCTTGTCTGAGACACAACCCGAGCTATGCTGTCAGAGCAACAAGGCAGTTTAACGGATTGATTGTGGGACCCTGCCAGAGTGCTCAAACAGCGCATGCGCAGTGAGCTTTGCATAATGCTAGAAGCAGGTCCCCACAGAGTCCCAGACATAGAGTGCTCGACCAAACTAGTGTAAGGGAGCGTAATACTCAATCTGCAGACAGTACTGTTTCGCCCTTTGTGGGCTCGTCAGTGCAGCACAGAGCTTGTCTGAGACACAACCCGAGCTATGCTGTCAGAGCAACAAGGCAGTTTAACGGATTGATTGTGGGACCCTGCCAGAGTGCTCAAACAGCGCATGCGCAGTGAGCTTTGCATGGCTCTGTGCTATATATATATCTATATATATATATATGATATATATATATTAACTGGAGTTTGATTCCGACCAAAAATGGTTCGATACAATTGGGCAGCACCCTTGTGGAAAGATTTTCCTCCCGTCAGCCTTATGATAATTGATCTTTTAGATCTTTACCTTATGATCTTTTAGCAATATTGATTTGCTAAAAGAGACACAAATTTTGTGGAGAAAGAAAACAAATGTTCAGAAGGGGGAATTACGGTGATAAGTGAAGAGAAAAGCATGGTAAACAATGAAAAAGTAAACAGTTGATATCAGTAGATATGTTTTTGTTTCTGTGGTTTAAAAGGGTCTTATGCTTTGTTTTGAGAGTATGAAAGAATGAATGATGAAAAAGAAATATATAATAAGTATATACCACAAGATATAGGATAGACTGACATAAATTGAGATTCTCCACTTTGGATAATTTATTAGGGCAACAAACCATGGCTACTTATGTGTTATATGTTGAATCAAATTGCCATGATATTGTATGTTTAAAGTATTCAAGAAAATTATTCAAGAAAATTCAAGTTTTATTTTCAATTTCAGGCTGCTTTTCTGCTCCCTGTTCTTAGTAAGATGATGGAAGATGGCCTAACAGGCAGTCGTTTTTCAGAAATACAAGCTCCTGCTGCACTTATCATATCTCCCACCCGTGAACTCACAGTTCAGATCAACATGGAGGCCCGAAAGTTCTCTTACCAAACATCAGTTAGACCAGTGGTATGTTATGGTGGAGTTTCAGTGGCTCATCAGCTAAGGCAAATAGAAAATGGTTGTCATATGCTGGTTGCCACTCCAGGAAGATTAAAGGATTTTGTAGAAAGGAGAAAGGTAAAGCCATTGTCTAAATTTTTATTATGATTTAGCTGTTTGTTATTAAAAGAAAGATACACTTTGATGCAAAATATTCTGGAACCTGATTCTTACGGTGCCTAAAGGTTTACATGTTTTTTATAGCTTTGACTTGTCTAGTGCAGAGTTGAGAGAGAAATGATTATGTATTCTACATCAAAAACTTTCTTTCATGCACCAAGCATATAATCAGAGCCAATTACTTTGAAAATTCACAAATCCGAATGAAGCTCTAGGGCTACAAGTAAACAAAGTTTCAGAGAACCAGTGAACTGTTCAGCCCTCCTCACAAAATTTTATCAGAAGTTTTATTGAGGAAGGATAATTAAGAAGTTCTTGTTATTGTTAGATTATCTAATCAGAAGAAATTTAAATTATTTAATATAAACTATAACTATTGTATAATGAATATATATATATAGATCTAAAATATCTTTTAACTGTTATCAACATATTTAGGACCATAAACAGTTGAATTGTGTTCAGTTGTACAACATATGATTTAGACTTTCACTTAGTCAGACAGATTTTCAATTCCTTTTTTATCATTCTGCCTTATTAAATGCAGGTCATAAGAAAAACATCAGATCATTCCTTGTCTACTTGAAGGTTTAACTTAACTGTGCCTAAATATGTATTGATTCTCTTGTGTCATTATTTCAGATCAGCCTTGAAGGTGTAAAATACCTTATTTTGGATGAAGCAGACAGAATGTTAGACATGGGTTTCTTGCCAGCCATTAAATCTATTGTCAATGATTTCAACATGCCCTCGAAAGACGGCAGACAAACACTTATGTTCAGTGCTACTTTCCCTGAAGAAATCCAGAACCTTGCTGCTGAATTTTTGAATGATTATGTTTTCTTGACTATTGGCAAAGTAGGTGGGACAAGTTCGGACATTGAGCAAGTCATAGAGGAATTACCAGAGTCTGAAAAGAGAGACAGGCTGATTGAGATTCTCAGTAGTGAGGGTAAGGAATTCAAAATAGCATGAAAAACAATGAATATTGTTCTAAGATACGTAATCAATATATACCATTCTTCCTCAATGCCTAGATTTTGGTTTATTATTTGTTGCCATTTAGACGTTTCTTAACTCAAACAGGATTGAGGATTGTTGAAGAAAATGTATAAACATACTTGACTTTCTTTGTTTTTGCTTTCCAAGCTATTTTAAAATTCAATTAAAATTTGCAGTATGATTTGTGATCCATGTTTAATTCTTTAATTGTGTTTTTCTTGCAATACCCTAGTTGGTGTCTGGGACCAGACCTGCAATGATCCTCCTCTGCTATTCTCTGCCAAGCTTCAGATCTTAATGTACTGTTCCATGCCATGTTCATTTTGTCTCCTAACCAATGTAACCTTGAAAGGTTCTGCTCTACACACCATAAAGAGTGTCAGACCTACAAGTTTCACATAATTTTGTGTGAGGCTCAATAAGTGAGAAGCAATAGAAAGTACAATAAAGACAACATAATAGATCCCATGTATCTGGGAACATTAACTTACCAGCTATGTGATGTGTACAGCTCTATCTATGTGGCATGAAATACTATACAACAGACCAGCAATAGTAATCTTTATTGTTTTTACTTTTAGGTGCAAACAAGAATCTTGTTTTTGTTGAAACCAAACGCTCTGCAGATTTTCTTGCAAGTTTGCTGTCACAGAATGGTTTTCCAACAACAAGTATCCATGGGTAAGGCATTTGTACACAAATTGATTTATTTTATAGTCTAAGGCATTCTTTCTGAATGACTGTTGCAATGATCTGAACGATAAGAGATACGCTTTACCTGTATTGAAAGAATGCTCTTGACCAAGTCATGACTTTGGAATGTCAAATTTGATCTTACTATGGCCTTGCTGTGGCCATGCTGTGGCCTTTAGTTGAAGTTAAATAAGTTGTTAGAGGAATTCAAGTTGAAATAGAGTTAAAATTAAGATTTTAGAGATTTTGCTTAGGGTGTTCTTCATACTTCGAAACTTATTCAAAAGAAGATTTATACGTTGCTTACTAGGGTAATGTTTTCTATAAGCAAGCAGCATTGACTGTGAAATTTTTACAGTCATTTGATCCCATTTTCTGAAATGCTTATGTTTATCTGCCACTGGTGATACTCAGCTATCAAACTTAAAAATTTCAGAAAGGGAAGGAAATAAGTATCTTAGAATATTTGCTTTTTTCAAAGCTAGTTTTAATTATTAACTTTGAAGTGTCAACCTGTGTTCTCGATTTATTTTGAATTGCATATTTTAATCTTCCTTCATTTTCTTATTTCTTAGTATATATATAATTATCTATTTTTTAATATAATGTTTGTTTGTTTCTCTTCAGTGATCGATTTCAACAGCAAAGGGAAGAGGCATTGAGAGATTTCAGGAGTGGTCGTTGCTCAGTTCTCGTAGCAACAGCAGTTGCTGCCAGAGGTCTGGATATTGAAGATGTAAAGCAAGTTGTGAATTATGATCTACCTCAAGAGATTGACGAATACGTTCATAGAATTGGTCGTACTGGAAGAATAGGAAACCAGGGCAGGGCCATTTCATTCTTCAGTAAAGGCAAGGATGAGGGTCTTGCAAGATCATTAGTTAAAGTTCTTTCTGACGTAAGTATTAACTGGAGTTAGAGCTGCCTATTATTGAGCAGATGCTTTTTCAGTTTGTATTCTAAACTTAAATTTGCAATTTTAGCTATTATTTTTATCCATATTTTTATTTTTAGCCAAAGATTATTGTTTTTGCCCGCAACTCGCGCGCGATAGCGCGCGAGTGAAGGGCTTATAGTCTGCCCCGCGTATAAGTAGCATATGGAAGCTTCAGTTCATGTTGTCAGCACTTTGTCAGCAGATTTTGTCACTTTCTGCTGCCATGACAACTGTCAATCAATTTCATTGTCAATCAATCGGCTTTGTCGAGGAGGTCGTTAACCGCCACCTCTTTGTGCGGAGGGGAATTATCTTCGGAGCGTTGCTCTGCCAAGACTCTGTTAAAGGCCTTCGGTTTTTTTGGCACGAAAACGGTGCTGCATCACAGCTCGGTTCTCCGCAATGGATGGAAGTTTTGATTCGAAGTTTTGGGAATCAAAACCAGTCGAATGCCACACCTTTCTCCCAAAAACTCGAGACCATACGAGCAAAAGTTATGATAGGCGTGACTATCGAAAAATAAATGTCAAACCCTTGAAAAACTTTCATGATTTTCAAAAGGGCGTTGGACTTAAATCAAAGGCAAACTGAACGCTAAAAATTCTTGATAAAAAGAATAGTTTAGCATCAACTAGAGCAGCTGTTTTTATAAAATTGTGAAAACCCAAGATGGTGTCTTCTTCGAATATCCTGACCTGAATTTTCAAAACAATCATTATCAAGGAACTAATTGTTTGCGGGCAGTACTAGCAAGAGCTATTTCTAGTTTAACATTATCTTGATTATTTTTTGCATTAAACTTTAATTGACCATTTGTTTCATTTTTACCTTTAACTTGTAATTCCATTTTGTGTCGGTGTTTGTTGAATTGAGAGGCTGTGTGTCTGAGGAGGCAGTCTGCAAACATTTGAAATATATGGGTACCTTTTGTCATCTTTGTTTGGTTTGTACCTTTATTATACTTAATATAAGCTATATATTCACTTTTTATTTCATTATTCTTTTTATTTTGTAGGCGAACCAGGTTGTGCCAGACTGGCTTGAAGAGGTTGCTGAAACTGCCCTTGGCACAGGTTATGGTGCGAAAGGAGGAGGAAAATATGGAGGCAAAGATACTCGAAATGTATGTTTTCCAGATTTTGTTTTGCTAATTTTAAAAAGACATCATTTGGTTAAAAATTTGATAAAAAAGCTCTTTCCTTATAAATTAGTATAAGGATGTGCATTGTATCCCAATTCTATCTCAGTGGAGATTTAAATGAACTTAAATGCCATCAGGGATACAAATATATAGAAATATGAATAATATATTAGATGTGTAGTATAAAAATAACCATATTTGATACGAATGAATAATGTTAATGATCCAAACAGATAAAATAGAAAGTAGTTTTCACAGTAAAAAGTGTAAGTAATAATTACCTTATCTTTGCATGTAAATGTTGCTTGAAATCTCTTTGATTTAAATTTTCACAACTAATATGTTATTTTACAAAATTGAAATAAGCTGTTTTGCCAGTCTGCCTTTGAGTACTAGATGCGATATAGGCAGAGCCGTACACGTTTTGCTGTTTAGATCAGAACTTTTCTAAGTTGCAGCCACTTTGAATCCCCTGTTCTTTACACTAAAGACTAATGCTAATACACTTTTAGTCTAAAGAACCGAACGGTTCCAAGTTGCTACTCTGAGTTTCACGCTTGTGTGATGATCAGGCATCTGTTTCTCTCTTTATCAGTGTTAGTATGTTTGGTTGTTTTGTCTCTGGAGGAATCGTGAATTTCATTGCTCATTGGTTTTAACAATTTTAACAGTTGCTTCATGATCGCGAAACTCAGAGTAGCAACTTAGAACTATCCTGTTCTACAAACCCAAACTGGTACAGCACTTTATGAATGAACTGTAAACAGATATTTCCAGTATATAAATTTTAGATGAAAATGTTTTCTGTTTTCCTATAGTTTTCTAAGTCAAATAATGATGACTTCAGCAACGGTGGTACCAGCAGCTTTACAAATGGTGGTGGTGGCTTTGGGGATTCTGGCGGTGGTGGTGACGAAGAGTGGTAGATCAAGCTCGCTGTATCATCAATTCAGTTCTGTTTCACTCACAAAACAATGTTTGCATCATTTGATGGAAACAGGCTCATCATTCACAGAGTATTGTTGCATTTTTTGTATCATCGACTTGGTAACTCTCGCAGGTTGATTTACGGAAGACGCATACCCACTGCTGCATAAATCACCTTTGCAGATGTTATATTTTCTATAATCATGTGCATGTATTTAGTTGCAGGGTTGTTTTTTAGACATTGATTGGTGTATATAAAACTGTTCCATTGCAGTCCCTTTAACTTATCTGCATGATCCAGTGTAGCTGTTTGTTTTGTTACATTCTCTAGAAATGTCAATGTTGTGATCTATGTCAGTTCTAGAGGCCCCGGGAAAGGGACCCTACAATAGACGAACCCGGCAATAAACGAACCCGGTAATATACGAACCCTGTGTGTCAACATGCCATCGTCTTTATCTTTAAAAAAAGTCTGCTTATAGTTTATTGAATTCATACAATTGATGCTTAAACCAAGTGAATGAAATCGTCAAATAAGACTGGTTTTTAAGGTTTTGAAGATGAGTTTGGTCGAAAAGGAGGACATAGTTTAGTTGGTAATCGAAAAGGACTTGCCGATTGCAAAAAACCTGTTTATAAATTTATTCCACCCTGCAAAATCTTCGCACCTTACAGTTGAGAAGTATGACGACATAAACCATACTTTTAGAAATTGCTATGGAAGACATCAATATGTTAGAATTCAATAAGATCTGTTATAAATTGACCGAGATTGAAAAATCTGGATATTCCTAAAAGGCTACTTGTTATTTTGGCTTTGTTCATAGAATCTGGTACAAACACCAAATCACAGTGGCTTGATGGGGCCAGTGAGTGATTTGTTAACCGATTTTCGTTGGATTTGCCTTTGCTGTCACAATTACGGTTATTTCATAATGTCTGTCCTAGTAACGCGATCTTAGTTCACATATTCTAATAATAGATGCTTATGACGTCATCACTTTTTAACGACTGGAAAGATAATCAGTCCTTTGGTCATTCGAGTGTTTTGAGTGTAATGCAGCGACAAAATATTTTTGAAACCGCTGACAAAAGCTATAAATCGTTTGAAATACAATTGAACCTTGTTAGGTCGTACTCCGGACAACTCGGACTTTCCCTAGATCGTACTGGTTCAAAGTTCCCATTGGATATTCCTACCTTACTCCAGCCAAAAGTCGTACTTGGCATAAGTCGGACATTCGCGAAGTCGGGCCATTTCCTTGTCCCTATTGAAAATCCGACTTAAAAGGGTTTCAATTGTATTACTATTTATAAACAATGTAAATCAAGGAGGGGGTGCAGTTGTCATATTCTACCTATTTAAATTGGCTTTTTTTCTTAGTTTGTTGCCTTTTATTGTACCTTTCTCATGTGAGTGATAACAGATCCTGCTCTTATCGCACTTGTTAGCGGGAGTATTTATTAAGAAAAGTCCTCAAAGTAAACAATACGTGTATACTTAATTTAATAAAGTTAGTTATCATAGATTCACATTTTGATAAGAACCGCCAACGATATAACTATTTTTCGCCGTCTTAAAATTAGGAAAAGGAAAAATGTGATTAGGAATGTTAATTCACACTGCTTATACATATTGTTTATTTCCAGAACTTGTATCTTGGTCCAGCAATAAAGATATTACACAAACATTTCACGTTTGCTTGTTCACATGAGTGACAAATATGATAAAATGACTGCAAGAGTTTTTCAGTAAAATGCTACCTTGCAGAAATTTGTGTGGTAATCGTTTTATGCCCGTGTAAATTGTTCTAAATCGTATATGTTGTCATTTAAAACCCACGTTTTCAATTATCTGTGGATGCTTGCAAAAAGATACTATTAGTTGTATAATGTTATATTGATAAAATGTTCTGTTATAGTTAAGCAATATTAGATAGGATCTAGGCCTATTTTTTTCTGCTTCTCCTCAACCGGCCGCTCTGGTGCCTTGGCATTAACAAGGGACAATTCTTTGCTGTGTGACATACTTTGTGGTACAAGAATGTTATAACCGCCAGCAATTGAAGTTGTCCCTTGCACAGAAAATCATTTTATCGTTTACTTGTTGCTTTTCAGCTGGAAAGGAGTAAGATTTTTTCGTTTTTTCTTCAATGACTCTACGTTATCTAGACATATAATTCGAACCATTAATCTTGGCCAATCTTTGGACTATGAGCTACATTGTCAAACCAGAATACATTGTCAAACATTCTTTCTGTTTCAAGTTCGCATTTGATGAGCAAACGGGATCAATATATCTTCATATCATAAACACGATAGCTCTATTCTGTTACCATTTTGCCAAACGTACACAAAATATAGTGAATGTTGTCGTTTTTACATCACTTAATAAAGACAACTAACATCTAACTTCATAGTTGTCACAAAACGACTCGATAGAAGGAGAAGTCTTGAGTGCAACGAGAAAAAACTAAGGAAGGATGAGAGAAACTTAGAGAATCACAAACCTAAAAGCGACTTTTCCAATATCTTTTTCGAATGTGGGACAAGCGTGTCAAGCATAGTTGTATTCCTCGCACCGTATGTAAAAGAAGGCGCCTGAAGCTTCATCATGCAGCGGGTGCAGAAGGGCACTTAGGGATGCAAAAATTTGCCTTTGAAAAAAGTCAGAAATCGTCGTTTAGCAACAATTCCCATCCCATGCGCACAGTACTTTGATATTATATGGACTTTCACTCTAAAGTAACATCAACCTACAGAATCTAAACAACTCAGACCTAATGTCTAGATAGATGAAAATTCGAACTACCCATGATGCTTAGTGTCGTTCGAAACAGAAAGGCATCAAACATAGCAAGCAGGGGATGAGCTAATCAAGCCAATCAAATTGTAGTAATAGCTGTAGAGATCATCAAATATGTCCTTTTTCTTTCGTCAGTTTTCAAGTGTCCTTTCAGAACAAAAACTTTTTACTGGTATATGCTGCTTATAA